TAGGAAAATGCTGAGAAGGTATTTCAAGCTGCCAGCAAGTATACCAGGATGATAGGTATGCAGAAGAAGACTTAGTATAACCTCAGGTCTGACATCACACACAAATCAAATCCAATACACCCGCACACCCACATACACCAAAACACTCATCCACATGGGTACATCCACCCACACCCCCTTTTCAACACACAACCACCCAAGCACATGCACCCACTCGCGCACACCCACACAACAGCTTAGAATCAACAGAATACTTCGGGCAAAGTGCTTACCAACAGCTCCAGTGACAATCATTCTTCCCATGAACAAGAGGAATGATGTTACCCCATTGAGAGTTGCAACACTAACAAACAGACGCACACACACACACACACACACACACACACACACACACACACACACACACACACACACACACACACACACACACACACACACACACACACACAGGACACCAGAAATACTCTAGTCAGTGATCTACGGATGACATGTACAACATGTACAACTGTTTTCTGATGATCGCTTAGTGCGTGAAACTCGGAGTAAAACACTTTCTCCGTCCTCCTATTGTTTGATGACATGTACATTAATATGAGTATCACACTCGACACAAATTCACAATGCCAGGACACTTTGTTTTACACCTCTGCAAACTTGAGTGGCAGGGTCCTCTTCGTGGGTTGAGCACCTTCACAAGTCAACGGCAACTCTGCTTTGTATCCCGCTCAACAACGTACACAATGAAAGATATCCAGGGAACAAAATGCACCAACTTACCGGAGCACGTTTGCAAGAAGAAGTTTGAACGCCTTGCGTGCACCCTTGCAGAAGTTGTACCCATAGACGGCAATCTGTACGAACAGTACCAGTGTCCACACAGGCACACATGCACCCCCCCCCCCCACACACACACGTACACACATACAGATGCACATACGCATACATACGCATACACACACATACAGACACATAGACATACATACACATACACCCACACACATGGTTATAATTTGATGACGCATTACCTGGGTTGTCATGCCCTGGCATAGTGATGAACAACGAGCAATGGTGAGCCAGCAGCATAGGAGTTGTACACTCCTGGAAAACCAGTACACTGTTGATCTCACATACTAGTACCATGAAAGGATTATGAATGCACAGACAAAAACAAACAGCAACTGACCTCAATATAAGCATTCTTGTTGATGAACTTGAGAAATTTCTCCAGACAGTAGAAGAAGCACTGCAGACATCTGCGTAAACACACACACACACACACACACACACACACACACACACACACACACACACACACACACACACACACACGTAGGATTTTGAAATAAGCCCACCACCTCACACGTCAAATCTATCCTGGTACGAGTAGACCTCCAGCTGGCACAGCACCCCACAATGGACAGTGTTCTATACTCGTATACAGTACTGCAGCTCAATGAGATCCCATCAAATGAATCAATGGCACGCTGGGTATTGTGCAGCCATAGACCTGCCGCTACAGTGAGCTGGGATTGGCCCGTGAACAGGTGCAGGGCACGACTCACGCTCACGCCATCCCACTCAGCAAGCAGCACTTTAGTACTAAAGAAAAGGGGGCTTGTCAACTGACAACCGCTCTCTTCAGTTGCTATTCACAATCGCCGCATGCGCTGGATGAAAAATTCTTTACTGTGATGTCAAACAAATTATGACGTTTCGGGCCAGTCACCCATCGTCAGAACAATTTACCTCTTCTATAATATTCTATGGACTTTGAGCAGCACTGTAGTAAGATTGCTAAAAACGCTTGAATGCAGGAGATCATCAATCCACTATATCGGAAATAAGAGCTCATAACCTAGAGTATGCAGCCGTGCCTAAGGAGTCAGTGTGCGGCACGCTGCCGGTATTATGCAGCTTGCCTGCATCATGCCCTGTTGTCGCCACTCGCCTGTTTCGTAAATGTTTCAAGACAGCCTCTTGAATGATTCTCGTTTTGACCTTACCTTGTCTGATTATTTATTTATTTTCCTCTGAGTCACGTTGGTGCGAACGCGCACGTGGAGATGCTCCAGCCTACAGCCATGTCGTCTGTTCCGTTATTACGAGTGTCCATGCTATTGTTCTACTGACACTGATAATTCTCTCCTTCTGTCTAGTCGCGTTCTACTCTGCTTCTCCGTCTCTCTTTTATTCTGTTTCTGCTTCGAGCGTGTAGTTGTTTGAGCTGCTCTCATGATAATTTATTTGTATTTTTGAAATCCTTTGTACCCGCGATCATGCGCTTCAGGCCCGTAGCAGCCCCATTTAGGTTGGTCCGGCGAGATCCGACTTTGATGCTCCCCCCCCCCCCCCATACTCATACATATGCCGGTACATGTACATGACTTTATCTTGCCCGTAAAAGAGGCCGTTACCCCGCCAAAACAAACAAACATGTACATGCATGTAATCGTGACCATGTAGAGTGACATAGGGCGAGAAAAGGAAGAAGGACGTTCTGCATGAGTCAGGAAAAGGGCATCAGCATGTTGTGTCCGTCCAAACAGAACTTGTTGAAGCCTGTGAAGGCATAGCAACAGTATCTAAATGCATGTGATAAAAGAACCAAAATGTACCTTTGGAGGAGGAGAAAGTGTATTGCAATGGACTATCTTTGGTACAAACTCTATCTAGAAAAAATTGGAGGAAGAAAAGAATCCGAACACGTTTCCGGAAGAACAGAGTAGGAACATTCACGAGCATGACTGTCCTCATGACCTTCAGCAGGGTCATCATGATTCCTGATGACATGTACAATGTACAATGTAGGTCTACTACCGGCACCAAGAGTCCATAACACTTGCCGGCACTACTATGTAATACCTCTATACTACTTAGTGCACACATCATCATCATCATGGATGGACATCCTGAGCTCTCCCTTTTTTTTTTCTTTTTTTTTTGGCCGAATATTGGTCCGGCAGCTGCCGGACCACCTGCTACGGCCCTGCGCTTGTACAACTGCGCTGTGCTGTATGACTGAGCTATGACTATGACTATGAGTAATGCTTGCACTATGATGCCTTTTGTGTCACGTGTACGTGTATGTCGTGGCGCAAGCGCGCTGTGCCTTTGCTGGCCCTTTTTTGCTTCCTTTTGTAGTTTTGGTTTTAGAGTTATGCCGGTTATGGTTGAAGTGTGTTTGCAAGGAGAAATCCAGAACGTTTAGTAATGGTGTGTTGCCCCATTTGCGTTCGGAGAGTGTGCCTGTGCACGTGTATCGGATTTTGAATTCTTGCCGGTAACACGCCCCATACACACGCACACCAGAATCCACAGTCTCTCGTACCAGCACACCCAGTTGTGCTTGATTGTCCGAGTACAGATGTGAACTCAACACTGTGTGCACGAACTTCAGTTTGGTACGAAAGTGGGTTTCCAACAAAACGGAAAGTGTACAAGTAATTATTCCGCAGTGTGCTCTGCATATCTGGCCCCAAAGAAACAGTCACATACTCTCGTTGGAATACATTAGCGCAGCCCTTATTACAACCTCACCCCTAGTCAGCATGCTCCAGCAGCACACACACACACACACACACACACACACACACACACACACACACACACACACACACACGCACGCACACACCCACCCTACAGCATACCTTAGTAGGAACTTTGCAACTTTGTTGTCGTTGTATTCTGTAAGCCAAGAACACACGTAGACAAACACATGTATAAACACATGTATAAACACATGTATAAACACATGTATAAACACATGTATAAACACATGTATAAACACATGGACACACACAAAATGTCAAAACCAGGGAGTAGTACAATACTGGTCAAAACCCTCATAAAAGCTCAGGCACAGAACACATAAAGGAATGATCGTACTAACATGTTTAGCCAAATTCACTATCCGTGTGCATGTTGTGGAAACTCAAAATAACTGGCATATTCTCATCTTCACAGGCGTGTACAAGGCATATTGTGTGGTGCAGAGTGCCCGCATGCCTCAGTGGAACTTGAAGACTATACTTCAACCCTTATGCACATTGACGTCACGTATGAAATCCCGTAGAATCCCGTAGACCCGGTTGGGTGTTGAATGTACAGGATCCTATTGTTATCCGTATTTTCGATTACAAAACGTTCCCTCCAGGCATTTCATGCAACATCTTTTTTCGAACGAAGATCTAGCTAATCATTAGTTCTATCCGAAGTGGTGAAGCTGGAAAAGCGACAGTCTGCCTCTAAGTATTGGGCTAAATTGGTCAAATTAGCATGTACAGTGAAACCTGTTTAAGACGACTGCTCAAGGGACTTTCAAAGTGTGGTCTCTGTAAACCAGGTGGTCTCCTTATCCAGTGCCATTTGACTGGAAATAAGTCGCCCCCCCCCCCCCCCTCCACCCACTACAATACAGTTCGAAACTTCTGACTCACGTTTCAACCGTGACTCGGCAAGGACAAGAGCTGCTCGAATAAGCTGCACAATAGTGATGATAGCTGCACCGAATGCCAGTGAGCCAGTATGGTAGCTGGAGAACACACACATACACACGTACAATGACAGCATTTGCACAAAAGACAACCAATCAAATTCAAGGCCACTTTCCAGGGTTTCGTGATTCTGTTTGCCACACTCGGACGCTGCTGCTATCAGCATCAGCACCAGCAGCAGAGAACACTGGTGATGCGGAAACCACAATAGCAGTAACACTGCACGACTATTGAGCGACATACGCTGATGACTGCTGAGACGATGATGAGAGCGCTTCATCAAGAAGGTCGTCAGTGACTGTTTCCTCAGCAATCATGTGATCAACATGAATACTAAGTCTTGCCTTCCCTGTGACTAGTGTGTGCTGAATCTCCCAAGTTGCACTGGGTGCATGTGTGCATGTGTGTGTGTTTGTGTGTGTGTGCGTGCACGTAATAAAGAGTACATTTCTGGTTCTAAAAACTCACAAGAGTGTTCGTTTTAAGGATGCCATCAGTGGAAGAGCTGGCATAGACTGTAAGTACAACAATAGATCCACATGTGCACACAGACACACACACACATACACACACACACACACAGATGCACACAGAGACACACACAGACACACACAGACACACACACACACAGACGCACACACACACACACATCCTCGTGAAAACCACTGACTCCATTGTGAGGGTGCAGGGGGTAGTATTCAAACTGTAAATCACTCAAGTACAGAGAGAGAGAGAGAGAGAGAGAGAGAGAGAGAGAGAGAGAGAGAGAGAGAGAGAGAGAGAGAGAGAGAGAGAGAGAGAGAGAGAGAGAGAGAGGGGGAGAGAGAGAGAGAGAGAGAGAGAGAGAGAGAGGGAGAGAGAGAGAGAGAGGCAGAGAGAGAAAGTGTGTGTGTGTGTGTGTGTGTGTGTGTGTGTGTGTGTGTGTGTGTGTGTGTGTGTGTGTATGTGTGTGTGTGTGTGGACTGAATAGGGTTACAAGCAGCACAGTTGATAGTCTAAACCATTGACCCCAGGATTGCCTGGAGTTGCATGCAACATGCCTACCAATCAGCCACGCACTGGGCGCAAAACCTCTCAGTACACGGCAGGTATGCAGGGTACAACGGACACAGGACATACAGTATACAGGCAGAGCACGCTCACTGTCTTCTTCACCTTTCCACCGTCGTCATAACATTCGGCATGACTGTCCGTTTGACTCGCGATGATGTAAAAATACAATCACTACACAATGCAAGCACAGCAGCACCTACATTGCTTTTGTGTTGCCAGTAGTAGGAGGAGAAGGCTCCGGCTAAGACGCACTGGCCCATTGCGGAAATCCAGTTGACTGTCCACAGCCAGCCAACAAGATGAAACAGCTGCATACCTTGTAGCACCCTGCAAACACACACATATGCACATTGTTAGGATGCAGGGAAAAGTAAAATACAAGGCAGAGAATTGAACAGAGAAATTTCTGACTAGACGGGCAGACAGACAGACAGACAGATTAGTGTGTGTGTGTGTGTGTGTGTGTGTGTGTGTGTGTGTGTGTGTGTGTGTGTAATTAAAAATCCACCACTCTGCCGTACGACCCAGCTTTGCATGCACGGGTAAGTAAAGAGTGATGTGACACCATTCATGGGCACTGCATGATAACGAGGGTGCCAACAGCAAGGCTAGTGCATCATTCACTAATACCTTGTGCTGGCAACTGAAATCCGACCCCTGAGCGGTGCGCTCACATTGCAAAGACCCAACACAGGATCGTAACACTACGAAATAGAGACCGCTAGAAAGTGAACCCACCGGTAAGGGGTCGGATTTCAGTTGCCAGCAAAGTACATTGTGCTAGATAATGCAAGCCTTGCCTGATAGGTAACATGTTTTCACGGTGACAGCGTGAACAAGGCGAGGACACACCGTATGGGGAAACAGTGCTCCTGACTACAACCATAAACCGGTTGGTAGAGTCTCGGTCTTTGCAAATGGTCGCAAGACCGAGACTCTACGAACCGGTTTTATGGTTGTAGTCAGGAGCACTGTTTCCCATACAGTGTGTTCTCGCCTTGTTCACGCTGTCACCGTGACAACATTGTACTAGTACCACTCACTTATCAGGATCATATGATGCAAAGCCACAGTTGATCAGGTCTGATGCATTGTGGATATTCTTGAATGAACTAGACTGTACACACATACACATAAGAGGGAAGATGGAAACAAGAAACACACAGCAATTCACCAGTCTGAGTGGCGGGTAAAGACTAATACAGAGAAAGTGTCCCTGCAGCGGGGACTAAACGTGCGTCGCAATCGAGCTATGTCGTTGCTGTATCATCTACTATGCGCCATGTGCTACCTGATGTACCAGCCTGCTATGTCGGATACCACAAACCATGCATCGGCTAGGCGCCAGGCGCAAACAGATGGTGGTGGCGGTGGTGAGAAGGAGAGCTCTGTGCCAGAGCAACTTTGCAGCGTAGAGAGCGTGTGTGGGCAGGCGTGTATTTACCGCCATATTGCCAGGTGTGTATTTACCAACATATTAATCAACATAAGTACAGCTGCAGTGGAGTCTTCAACCTCATTCTCCCTACTACTAAATAGCCTGGTTTTGGGTTTTTGTGTTTTGTGACGAGAGCATTGCATTTACACTGTGTTTCTTCTTGTTTTTTGGGGAACACAGCCCCGCGCAGTGTGATCAGTCGTGCTGAATAGCCCACCCTAGCCTTTCCAGACTCAGACTCACCGTAGGAATGCAGCTGGAACCAGAGACGACGTCGACCATGCTCCCGTTGACATCTACCATGGTCGAGGTGGTGTTAGGGTTATTGCCGAAAATCTCCAGTGCATACTTGGGCGTGGCAGAGGTGACGAGGAACAAGGCAACGCCAACGAAGTAAGCAAACAGTAGACATTGCAGCATGGCCGGGAAGAGGGGGAAGAAGAAGGTTGATTTGATAGCCAGCATAGCCCTGGCCACGTGGACAACAACAAACAGTCAAATAGACAACAATACATGCAAAGTCAGTGCAGGCGGTAATCAAAGACCGGGCCTAGTTCCAGAAGATACGGTATCTGTACATCGGCACGTCGTCCCTACATCCCCTGTATCTCCCTCAAAACGAACATACACATGTTTATGCAAAGGATAGATATTTTTTAATGAAGTGCAATTTCCTTATGAAACGTGACCAGCTGCAACTCTAATTTCACCATACACCTAGGTTTACGTTGCCACGGTCGCACAACCTTGCCATGGCTATGTTCACGAGGTTGACTTTCACTTTGTGTAGGTCATAAACTACATGTTCGAACAGTGCCCGTCCATAGATAGAGTTCGATATTTTTTTCTGAAAGACGAGACGAACAGGGCCCAACCCCCCCCCCCCTCCCCCCAAACGAACGAATATCTTCTCTAAAAATATATCGATATTTGTGGACGGCCCCTAAGTAAAAAATCTATGATCAAATGAGAGGTCATTCACCGCAACTTTAGCTAAGTACCCAGCATATCACCATCACCACTGCCATACCCGTACATACCTTGAGCTTTCCTTGATGACGGCAATGGCCAGGCGAATACGACTCAGCAAGAACAGACAGATGAGCGCTAGGATGCTGAAGAACACGGTGCAGACGATGCCCAGCACAAGGTATGTGTCCGTCTGGTAGCGGTACTCGTCCAGGAAGGAACTGGCCGATGTCGGGATCGTGACATCGCCGTTCTTCAAGCTCTTGTACATCTTGTAGCTTTCATACGCACCTGAAGGATTACCAACAGCAAACCAACCGAGAGACATAACGTTACAATGAAAACAGTTCAGCATAAAGTTCCCTGGATACAACATACATTGCACTTTTTTTTTAATTACTTCAGACACTACAAAGTACATGCAACTATGTAGGGTTTTTTACTGCGTCAGTCTGAGAAAATCGTTAACTTTCAAACCGTTATTAAACCTGCAAAAATCAGAAAATCGTTAACTTTGCGGGTTGTTAAATTAATATCATTCACAGTACAATGAACATTAGGAAAGCCCCAGTAAACCCTTCAACCATTGCTGTGAACTTACCTAGTGCTAGCAGTGCAAGAGAGCCGATCATGGAGAGATAAATGAACGGACCCAAGAAGAATGAGGCAAGGAAGATGAAGACGAAGCAGGTGACAATGGCTCCCACAAAACCCACGACCATGTAGATCCAGGTCTTCTCAAAATCTGCCCAAACCTGCACAGATGTAGCAACACAGACACAACACCAACATTGTTACATTGCCAGCACATGAAGAATGGGATTACAAGTACTTGTCAGCGTTGGGCATGCAGTGAAGAAGGGAGGGAGGGAGAGAGGGAGGGAGGGAGGGAGAGAGAGAGAGAGGGAGAGAGAGAGAGAGAGAGAGGGAGAGAGAGAGGGAGAGATAGAGAAAGAGAGAGGGAGGAGAGAGAGAGAGAAAAGTGACCTGGGTACGCAATACACGCGTGCGTGCTCAGGTCGAGTGCATTTAACGTCTTTTAATATATATTTTAAAAAAATGTGAGTACATTGTATGTACATACATTCCACAAAATACCAGTACTTGGATGGACACGGAAAACCCCTGCATTGTGATGTATGTGTGGCCGGGTTGGAGGGTAGAACTAGATAGTGCAGCGCCCTAGTTTATCCAGCAGAAACGCCGTTGCAAAGAGGAGCAACTGTATACACAGTACTGTACTTCACTTGCTAGCAGAGCAATGCACAGAGCAATGCACAGAGCAATGCACAGAGCAATGCACAGAGCAATGCACAGAGCAATGCACAGAGCAATGCACAGAGCAATGCACAGAGCAATGCACAGAGCAATGCACAGAGCAATGCACAGAGCAATGCACAGAGCAATGCACAGAGCAATGCACAGAGCAATGCACAGAGCAATGCACAGAGCAGCAGCAGCAGCAGTAGCGCTTTACCTTGGTTGCGATAGAGCGCAGGTTCAAGAGCTTGGAAGCAATGCGTACAGCGTTGAGAACACCAGAGCCGGTAAGCGTGTTGTTACCGTTGTCTGTCAACGTAGCGTTGTTACCATCCGTGAGCAGTCCACCGGAAATCTTGTTCAAGTCCAAAATGGTGGGCAGGCATCTGCTCAGTACTGTATGACCGACGACGAATGTCATGATGGTAACGAACATGTCAGAGGGCAAAAAGGCACACACGGACATGCATGTACACACATGCACACATGCACACACACACACACACACACACACACGAACACACATGCACATGCACACACATGTACATCTGTGACCTCGCTATACAGCAGCGTGCAAGGTTGGGAGAAATCAACCACCACTGTAGTGGTCTGGTGTCCTATAGCAAGCAGTGTGAAAAGAAATAAGTAGCTTTTCCTGCCTATCGCCGAACCCATGCATGAGACGTGCACATACACATGCCCGCCTACAAAACCCAGGTCAATCACGGTGTCGGCAAATCTGGAAAGCATGCATACATACAAACACCCTACCCAGGGGCGCCGGAAGGTATTCTAGGGTGGTATGGTCAGCCACCCGACATACAATTCAACCGTGGGGTTGGGTTGGCTCCTCTGAATTTTTTCGAAATTCAGATCCCAGATCAGAGATCTTCAATGATCACAGGGTACCCTAATTTCAGAAATTTTCGGTGCTCAATATTTTCGGTATGAGGGCAAAAGGCCAGGTTAGGTGTATTGAAATTTTAGGTACAGAGAAGCAGTTCCCTATTGATTTATGCTTGTTAGTGTTTGTTCAGTGTATTGAAATTTTAGGTATGAAACAGATGCACCGAAAGTACCGAAAATATAAGTACACGGAAAATTTGTGAAATTACAGTACCTGGTACAAATAGGGGTTACAGTCAGTACAGTAGTGATCGTGGCGTGTCCGACGCCCCTGCTAGCACACACACACACCTTTTTTTGGACCTTTTGACGCCCATCGCCGGAGGCGATGATAGCGATGCTACAGCAGAAGCCATAGCAGCTTGGGTTGGAATTGCACCATTCAACAGCTTGTAAGACTGAATTGACCACCACTACTCAGCCTGGTCTACACCACACAGCTATGAAGTGGCTTTTTCTGGCCAGTGAATCCCTATTTTTTGGTCTTTTTCATTTTTTTCCCACGCACACATCACACCACGTACTCCGGCATGCACTGGCTGTTGGTAACCACCCACGAGAATGAAAGAAAAATCAGGAGGAGTCTGAGAAAGAGAAGAAAGACGTGTGTGACCATAATCGTCGGGAATCGAACCCGCAACATACCACTGCACCATATGGGACACCCCCCCCCCCCCACACACACACACGAAACTGTACGCTCACCGACTTCGGACTTGAGATAGTATGGCGCGCACGTGTTGTTCTGCAGCAACTTGCTGCGCTCCTGCAAGCTTAGGGCCTGTACTTGCTGAAGGGTCTTGCCATCACGGCAGTAGAGCTGTGTCTCTTGACCACTGGGCCCAGTGACACCAAGAGCATTGGCATTGGGACAAGCCTTGACACACACCTATAATTACACCAGAATAATCAACAGTAACAACAACAATTGATCACCTTGAGCAGCACATGTTGCATCTAACCCGAGGAGGGGCTGAAGGTTTAGGGCTCAGATTCAAAATATTATTCAAAGAAGATATTGGTTCATTTAGGTGTACGCCCTGTTCGTCTCATCTTCGTGCATAAATATTAGGGCTGAAACAATTATACCGATAACTCGCATATCGATCGTTAAGAGTGCAATCGATAATCGTTAGTGTTCAAAACGAGTGCTAACGATTTTTTATGCATGCATATCAGTGACAGTTTTCCAGCCCTTGCACTCCATCCGATAGTGGATACGAGCACAATCATGTACTTTCAAGTGCAGTCAAATTGATTTGTGTCTTCGAAAGAGATCGGGAGAGAAGACTTTGCCTTTTCGGTTCATTCGTGGGAGAAGTCGGAGATGAGAACAGTTGCCAGAGGGTGATGACAAGATTCTTCGCTCTAGAAACAACATGAAGCTCTCTACTTGAGTAGTTCATGTTGATAAAACCAGCCAGATATCTACAGATGTCAACAGTGCGGTGCCACAAATTTCTGCAAAGGCATCATGGAATTTCTTCATAAACTAGTGTTCGATAGAGCTGACAAGAATCGATAAAACCAATATATCGATCGTTAATGATATTGGTTGATCATTAGGAGTTATTGAATGATCGTTTCAGCCCTAATAAATATTGATCTCAAGATATGGGTGGACACTGGACACTGAGCAAGCATGTAGTTGATGACGTACATGAAGTGAAAATCAACCCCATGAATATAGCCATGGCAAGGTTGTGTGACCAAAGCGTTGCAAATCTAGGTGTGCAGTGAGCGTTGAGTTGCTGGTGGTCACGTTTTAAGAGGTGTCACTTCATTAAATAATAACGTTGATAACCTTCATAAATGTCTATGTTCCATTTGAAGGGGATCCCCAGGAGGGGTCTGGGGAGAAAATGAACGAATATGAAATATCGTCATGAAAAAATCTTCTTTTTTTACAGATGGCCACTTACAGCCAGATACACTTCAGCAAGAGTACATAACTCTGTAACTTATGTACTCTTGACTTCAGCAAAGTACATACCACACTGGCAACACTGACGTGGACGCAACCTGATGCACAATAAAGGGAGTTGAATTTCTCAACCTGATGCACAATGAAGGGAGTTGGATTTTTCAACCTGATGCACAATGAAGGTAGTTGGATTTCACACAGTCCAATAGCAGCAAGAGTACATGAAAACCAGAGTGTGCTGCTTTGATGGGTTGCAGTCAAGGCGGAATTCCGTGATTATATCATTTTAGTGATGTAGTGCACACAAGCAGGATTCAAGCAGGTCTCTTTCTGCACAACTGAAGCTCAGTTGTACGCACTACGCCACTGCCCGCCTCAAATCTGCACCAAATATGATGTAGTCACGGACTTCTGCCGTGACAGACACCCATAGTAGAAAAAGCTCCAAGCTGCACACTCTGGGTTTCATGTACTCTTGATAGCAGTAAGTACCCAGTTCGACATGTGCAGAAATCAACCCATACAGGTCAAACCTGAGAAAGTGATTGCTCTAATTTCAGAAATTTTCGGTGCTCAATATTTTCGGTATGAGGGCAACAGGCCAGGTTAGGTGAATAGAAATTTTCGGTACAGAGAAGCAGTTCCCTATTGGATTACGTGTGTTAGTATTTGTTCGGTGTATTGAAATTTTAGGTATGAAACAGACGCACCGAAAATAAAAGTACACCGAAAATTTGTGAAATTACAGTATTACTGGTTTTAAGTACTTCCTCCGCGTCATCGAAATTGTCGCAGTTTGACTAGTGACTTGTCACTTGTTACTGACAACTCCATAAGCTAAACCATTCAAAACTTATTACACAGTATGATGGTCTGAAGGCTAGAGTAACGTTCCAGGACAGTTGGACTGAGAAATTTCACGCAGAGATGAAGGCCTCGTCCTCGTTGATGTCAATGGACGCAAAAATATCGTTCCAAAATAATTCAAGGAAGGTTGTAAGTTGGTCGCGCTTCATCTCAAACGCTTTGACTTTCTCAACAGGACAAGACCTGCTATGCTTGTCATCTGCTAGCTCTGGATGATTTCTACTTCACCACCAACGAAGTAAGAATACACGATCGTTGCGAGGTCGGTTGATTACCATCGGCGGAATCACCTCGATCTTGAAATGAACTTTTTTTAGCCGTGGCATGCCCATTTATTTTAGCTGTGTGGTCACAGCTCATGCAGGTACCAGGTAAGTGTACTGTCACGTCCAGCGCGCCCTCTTTTTCTGCATCACTGGTACGGCATCTGCGCGTGCATCACTAGCACTACTTGTAGAGTCTACACGGCTCTTGCAGGTACACGTACAATCATGTACTGAGTGTCTCAGCCAGAGCGACAAATTTTACCGCTGTTGCATGCATTTAGTTTGCTGACCCCTCGATGTTTCTCCAAGCGCTGCTACTTGTTCCACGAAGTCATTCTCACCCCAGCTAAGGTAAAATAGTGATGAGGCTTGAGTGAATGGCCATAAGCACGAGAAATGTGCGGGCTGCAACGCCTGACTGATCTCAACGAGTCGAAATTACCATCGCAGCGACATCAGCGAAGAAATCGCGTCTAGTTCAAAGATTCCAGCTTCCAATAACAGAAAATAGACCTTTGCCGTCACCCTATACTGATGACTATCGCCTATGTCCAATTCCTTGCCTCTGGTACGAGTGCTGGTGAGTAAATACCCCGTTTTATGTCAAAAGTCAAACTGCAACAATTTCGATGACGCGGAGGAAGTAACAACCTGGGGGTCGCAGCATACAGGGGCACCACGGCACACCATACAACCCGATCCCCGGATTCGGAAATCCTATTCTATGTGAGCTGTGTGCAAGTCCCCCCCCCCCCCCCCCCCAACCAACTCACATACACAGTGGTGGTGAGGGAGTCTCTGGGGGTCCCAAGCATACCTGTGGTGTGTTGCAGACAATGCCGGAGTTGAGGAGGTTTGTAGATGTGATAGCGGATTGTACACAACGGGCGACATCGTAGAAGAGAAGATACTTGCGATCTTTGTAGCCAGGTGTGTATCCACAGCGATTTCCAGCCGAATCAACTGGTGCAAGAAGACGTGTTGGGTCACCTTTGGCAAAACCTGAAGTCCAAAACAACGCAAGTACACACAAAAGAAAGGTATAATCATGTAGATGCTAATTAAAGACCTCTGCTGAAAGAATTAGTGCTTGTCTGTGCAGCAAGATCCAGCAGACACTTGTACAACACAGAAACACACTGGATCTGACAATCACGACTTTTGAATTCATTTCTTTGGCATGGCTCTACGCACACTTGAAGTGGTTTCCTTTACAGCAGGGTGTTGGTACATAACATCCATCAGTATTGACAATACTGGGCCTGATGAGGGTTGAGAGAACACTGCTGGTGCAGAAAAACACATGCCACAAAGGCCCATAATGCACAGGGGTGAACACCATGTACTACAGGCCCACCAAAACCAGTCCGGTTGGTCAGGTTATCACCGGACCAACTTTTCGGCCACCAACATATGCTTGCGACTGTGAAGGGCATGTGTTACCCGCCATATCATACACAACGTATGAAAGGCCATGCTACTGCCAGACCAATCAAAAACTGCTTCCGCCAGTCCTGTACTAGTACCATTACCCACCACCTGCAGTACAATGCTGCAGAAGAATGGATCCAGAAGAGAATTATGCTACGACTACTAGTACCCAGTCATATGTGGTGAATATCACTTTCAAGCATTACAGTACTGTTGGTCGCCGAAGAACTGGGGGGGGGGGGTCAGCCTCCTAGCCTAGACCGTTCTTATGTTCATGTATTGTAGTTTACACCTCACTCCATATACACCCAGTCATATCTCCATATACACCACTAAGGGAAAATAGCAGTATTTGTCGGCGAGGAACAAGCCATTAGGAGGCCACACGCGGTGAATATGGAGACGTATAAATATATTATAACAAAGGGACCTCGTGTGTATCAAGATACACTCGGTCCCTTGATATGTACAGTTGACTCAGTGTCTATACATGGTTAAGCTGTGCTTGGTGACATTGTAGCCTGGTCGTTCTTCGGTACCTGACAGTAGAGTATTTCTAGTTGTGCAGTTGACTGGCAGACTTACCCACAATGGCTACTGCAAGCATGGCAATCCATGTCAGAATGAACAGCAGCAGGCAGATCACATCCGTGCAACGCCTGTATGTCCAGATCCATACACACACACACACACACACACGCACACGCACACGCACACACACACACACACACACACACACATAACAGTTATTGAGCTGCCTCTTCAGTCTTGGAACATGTGCACCCCCAAAACAAAGTGCACACAGAACTATGAAATGAATAGAACAGGCTTCGGGTTGGGGCCTTTCCTATCAACATTTCAAAATTTCCACAAGCACTTTCAGTGCCTTCTCCTCAGGTGGATACAGGCAGAAGAAGCAACTAGCCAGTGCAACATTCTTTAAACAATGTAGAGCCTTTAGGTGATATAAGCAGCAGTAGGTATAATAGATTAGCAAGAACAAGCAGTTTAGCACAGAATAAAGTGATGACTCACACACACACTAGTGATGTGTGTGTGTGTGTGTGTGTGTGTGAAAAAAAAAAATGAAAAAAGAAAAAGATCAAAAATAGGGATTCACTGGCCAGAAAAAGTCACTTCAAATAGCTGTATGGTGTAGACCAGGCTGAATAGTGACGGTCAATTCTTCAGCCTTGCAAGCTGTTGAATGGTGCAATCCCAGCACAAGTTGCTATGGCTTCTGCCGTAGCATTGCTATCATCGCCTCCGGCGATGGGCGTCAAAGGTCAAAGGTCAAGGTGTGAAGAGGTGTGATCAGCGTGGTATGCATGGTGACAACAAATGAACTGAACAAACGACGTCTGGATGTCCTATCTAGCAGTCTGCGCGTGAACGTGCTTGGTTTTCTTGTGTGAATCTAGACGGATAGAACTATGAACCAAACAGTATCTGTCAGTCTGCAAGGAAGTGTAAGGGGCTCGGCAATACTGGTGACATCATGTCAACAACGCCGTCACATCCAGCAGAAACTGCCGGAGTGGCATTCACCCGTACGTGCAAAATACTCACCTCTCCTTCACTGGTCCCTCAGAAATCCGTGACTTCTTCCCGCTGGAAGCTGCACAGCACATAAAGAACAAACCATGCACTTAATACATGTACAGATATGGCAAGCGAAATCCGATACTTGCCACAGGGGACAGAGCCATAAATGGACTACAATGATGCAATGTACTATGCTGAATTTGTACATAAGAGCCGTATGAATTCTTCGCATAGGTCACAAATTAGGTACACACAAGAAGTATTGGCATCCAGTGCCCAGTCATATCTGGGAGCCCTTTTGAACCTTTCAAGGGAACTTTGCTCGTGATGAGTACGAGTACTCTTTGAGACAGATAAAAGTTAGTTGTATGAAACATAATGTACTACGTATGCAGGGCTGCAGGGGCTGCACACTGTATGGTGTAGTCCCGTATGGCAAGTGTCGGATTTCGCTTGCCACAACTGTACTTTGTAAATCCATTTTCAGGTACAGTACAAGTTGGACGTGGTTCTACTTCAGAAGTAGTCAGATTTAGAACGTCAACATTTGGCTGAAGGTGCCTCCAGAGCTCTTGATTACACTAAGCGCAAAATCTCCATTCCTCCACTTGTGCGCTAGTCGCATTTTGCACCTAAACTCAGTCTCTTCATATGAACCCTCAACCCACTGAGCAGTGAGCACCTGCTCTGCTCCATAGGGCAGTGGTGACTGTGGTGTACACTGTTACAGCATGTCACCATCACCTGCAGCTTGCAGTCAACAAGGCGTGCTTAGGATGTACAATTGTACACAGTTGCACACACAGCACAAGGCTGATTCTTCTACGTACATGGACGTGCATGCACACCTGTAAGTCAAGTACTGTAAAACCGGAAAGTCTAACGAGTCACAAACGTTTTAACGACTATTTTTTTTGTTATTTGAAGAAACGATATCGCGAACCCGGTTCGAGATGTCTGTGTAAAGATGCGCACACAGATGGGTGGCCAGGTAGCCATCGCTAAACTTTCTGCACGTTATCATGCCAAAATTACAAAAACGTTAAACTTTCCGGTTTTACAGTGAAGCACTTCTACTTCAGTAGTGTCATAGCTATGTATCAAGAGCGCATATCCAAGAGTATGCAACTGTGATTTGGGGCCAGTGCACAGCATGCTGCCGTTATCATGTACAGACTGTCAGTAAAACCTGCCAAGGCGACCACTCGGATAAGGGGACCACCTGTTCTAGAAGACCACTTCAACCAGGACCAAGGGATGCTATTGCAGTCAAATGACCCTGGATAAGGAGACCACCTGGTTACAGAGACCACGTTTTGAGTGTCCCTTGAGCGACAGGTTTCACTGTAGTTTCACTGTAGTTTACATCACGCTGCCTTCATTATACTACTTGTCTGCATCACACCATCTACTGGAAAAGCAGACATTTTCGGCGGTGTATTTATTTTCGATGACTTCGGTGCCGACAATTTTACCGAAAATAAAACGCACCGGGTGCACTTACCTGGAAAACGGGTTTACCGAAAATGTCCCTCCACCGAACCGCCGATTTTGGAGAATACCGAAAATATTACACCACCGAAATTTCGGCTTTTACAGTACCAAGAGTGCATAACCCACAGGACCGCCGGAAGCAGTTTTTGATTGGCCTGGTAGTATCATGACCTCTCAGTCTCACACTTTGTGTATGATGTGGCGGGTGCACATGCCCTCCACAGGTGACAGTAGGAAACATGTGTTGGTGGCCCAAAAGGTTGGTCCGGTAATAACCTGACCAACGGGACTGGTTCCGGCGGGCCTGACAGAATTTCAAGTTGACATCATACTTAACTATAGGATGCAATTATGGGCGTTGTACACGTATCATCGGACGTATCCTGGACCAGTGGTGGACAAATCCCAATGTGATTAATCCCAATGTGATTAATCCCAATGTGATTAATCCCAATGTGATTAATCCCAATGTGATTAATCCCAATGTGATTAATCCCAATGTGATTAATCCCAATGTGATTAATCCCAATGTGATTAATCCCAATGGGATTCTGCACAAACTACATTGTACTGGTATACTAGTGATCATCATATGTGTGATGCGTTGACAATCAGCGCAAATCCCGTGAACCACTCATGCGACGAGCATTGCATCTTAAAAGTGGCGTCAACTTGAAATTCTGCCAGGACGGCACTGAACGTCCTGGGGGGTTATGCCCTCTTTCCCCGTACTCAAAGCCACACCCTCTAGCTCGTTCCAGCACGACTGCTTTGCTTGATTCGCTCAAGTACCGACGCCATTTCTAAACTTGCGTGCACGAACTGCTTCCGTTCTGTACGAAATAAGGTTTCAAACAACAAGGAAAGGCGGCGTGTTGACTTCACGCATTGTGCTGATGTAGCTGCATGATGTCATGAATGCAGCGTGCCGTGCATCTGGCACATAGAAAATAGATCACGGTTCTGATTCTATATTCTCGGTTATAAACTCTCGAATGTATGCATGGTGCGTTGTATACCACAGCATATCCGTACAAGAAGCTACACAAAATTCATATTTCTGAAGTTTTGCCCAAAAAAGCCTAAGACTGACATGACATACAGGACTGTACAAACGTCATGTAACCTGAGCTCCCAAGGAAACAACCGGTAACTCACTTCCAACTCCTTACTGAGCTACCTGGAGACAACTCCTTTGCCTGGAATACAAGCAGCTTAGCTCAGTGGTGAGTGTATCTAACAACCCTTGCCTAAAATCGATGGAAGCAGACGTCATGTCGTCTCCTAGAATGTACTGCCCGATTTTCATTTCGTGGTTACCATTCACTTCAACGAACTTCATAGCCACAAAGCGGAAGAATTGAGCAGTTGCAAATACAAACGTTCTATAGATCTGCAAACACGGATAGATACTCTCGAAATACTCACCTGAGGAGCTCTTTTTCCCCATCTCTCGTTGATTTTGTGCGCCAAATCGTTCTGCAAGCGAAGTCCACCCAACGTGCTAAGCTAACACCCGCGGTGCAACTACTAATACATATATCTTCAGTGGAGACCAGCAACAAGAACGTTCACTTATAACAACATGAATCTTCTTCCGAAGAGGCACGAAACAATTCTTCTACCTGCTTTGAGAGTGAGTCTTGGAAGTCTGAGGCTGTGAAGCACACAAACCACAGATTGTTCTGTGCCAAATCTGAAGGAGCACTTCCTCAAAACCAGCTGTCTTTTTTGGTGATTTTTAGCGTTTGACCTCCGAACCCGTACGCATCCCACATAAAATATGGCCTATCGCGACTATTTTGTCGTACCGGGTGGATTTGGCGTGACATGACGTGTGTTTACATCACCAGTGCAGTAGTGACTCATGCTGAAGTCAGGCTTCGATTCTTCGAACCAAAAAAAATACAACACACGTGTGAACCAGTGCAGGCAGCGCAGCGCAGGTAGTCGTAAAATACAGTGACTCCCTGGTGTGAACACGAACAGGCCATTCACACCAGGGAGTAGATCTACGTCGGTACTCGTCGTCGGTATACATGTATGCACAAAATCAACAAGAGATTGGGAAACAGAGCTGTATGGAAAACAGTGTTCCTGACTGCAACCATAAACCGGTTGCTACAAAAAAAGCCAGATCCACGCCACGTTTTGGGGGGGGGGGGGGGGGGGGCTGTACTACTCCCTGATTCACAATAATCAGATACCCCCAAAACGTGGCGTGGATCTGGCTTTTTTTGTAGCAACCGGTTTATGGTTGCAGTCAGGAACACTGTTTTCCATACAGCTCTGTTGCCCAATCTCTTGTTGATTTTGTGCACCAAATCGTTCTGGAAGCGAAGTCCACCCAGCCGTGTAGTATACTACTCCCTTGCTCGAACCAGGGTCAGAGACAACTCCCTGCGGGTTCGAACCGGGGACTCGGTAATAAACTACTCCTGGTTCGAACCACTAGGGAGCTGAAAGTCATGCAAACCATCTATTACAACTGCCTGCTTCGAACCAGATACTGGCATTTCTATGAATACATTGTAGCATGAGTATGCCCACGATCGAGGGAGTCGTGAAAGTCATGAAAGGACTTTCATGGCTCCCTGATTTCACTTAAACCAGGCTTCTGACATTTTGTGCCGCATCTTGAAAATCAGGCTTGTGTCCGAAACAGGCTAAATATGAATATCATACAAGTAATTTGATAACCGCAATCAATAAGACAAGCTGAATCGACATTTGTGTATAAGTTACATGTACTTTACTCATGCAATGTAAAATATGGTGGAGACAATGTGATTGCGGTTATCAAATTATTGTCTCCTCGCCGTTTGTTTAAAAACACAAGTAATATTATTATTTTAGCATGTGTCTTTAAAAAAGAAAGATCATAGTACGTAGGTTGTTAAAAGACACCGCCGTATATCTTGTTGTTTTGTTTTACGTCCGGGTCACGGTACCCAGTGCAGACGGCGTAGATCTACATGTACATGTACTTGCTCTATACCCCGGTCAATACCAGAATTGTGCTTCTCCGGTCGGAGTTTCAAAACTGCTAAGTCTGCATGATACCAAGAGTACATAACCCCGGGTTATGTAATGGTGATACCAGGGAGTCGTAAAATACCATTATATATGTATTTTACGACTCCCTGGGTGATACCAAGAGTACGTACGGTACATGTATCTAATATTGACTGATTATCACTCCCTTAGTATTTACTCACATAGATTTTTGCCATACCTAAGCAGTCAAATATTCCTGCATATTTCACTCCTTAGGGCTATATTGACGGCTTATAATTGACTCCTTTTTAGCGATTGAACACATGCTTTGGTCAGTCGTGATAAATCTAAATAAATGAATATTGACTTCATACTTGGTCAGTATAGGAAATAAAAGACCTCGTAAAAGACCTCGTAAAAGACCTTGGCTTCGCCTCGGTCTTTACTCGGCTTTTATTTCCTATTGACCTCGTACTCAGTAAATATTAGATACGTACCGTCGGAGGCCAATATACTGAATATAGGAAATATTTCCCAGTACAGTCAGACCTCGCTTATTCGGTCCTCTTTTATCCGGATCCCTCACCATCCGGAAGAAAATCGTTGGTTACCAATTTACAGCATATGCCATGTACACATGTACATGAACATACAGTATGACTGTGTATTCGATTATCGATATATCTGGTTCCCACGCCTATCCCGATATTTTTTGTGGAAAACGGATGTGTGCAGTTACTAGTATGCGAGGTCTGACTGTATAAGTAGTTGACCAAGTACGCGCTGAAGTCAACTTGTATTAGATTTATCACGACAAACCAAAGCATGTGTTCGATTCCTAAATAACTACATATGAGCAGTCTTGGTAAAATATCGGAATATTTGACTGCTGTATTATAATATATCCGGGTATGGCGATAATCAATGGGAGTCCATCACGAGAGTGATAACTTGAAATACAGACATGACTGTACTAGTAGTACTCGTACTCTTCTTGATCACAGGTGACACTGATAGCAAACATACCGGTACTGCGGTTAGGTACTGGGCTGTACGCCATGAGCCGTGGTGTAGCACTAGCAGCTCATTTCATCCATTATCATGACCTTTCAGCTCAGCCCCGGGTTGTCTGGTTATGGCGATGCAGCAATGACCGCAAAAATTGGCTTCCCTGATCTGTGCGGTTGACGGCGATGTCCAGGTAGTTGACTCCCTGATGATGATGCCCAATGCGATTGACACTGAGTTTGAGTCATAGACTTGTCTTGAGTGATTCAGTGTCACCTTCCAAGTGACCGGCTTTCAGTCTCAAAGGCAAAAAACTTGATGACGATCGCTTATAAACTTCCATTCTTAGACATTACTGTCTTTATTATCATTCAATTTCATGATAACATCAATTTAATATTATTATAATTCTTATTGCTGTCCGCTTCGTCAGGACCTATCCGATCGTCTTGGACAGTGTCACCACTTCCTCTTCACTAGCGATTGGGAAGAATCATGAGGTCGCGGATGCGGATATTCTGGATGGCGGTATGGCTATTTACTGGGGCGTGGGAAGGTTCGAATGGACAGCCAGTCCATCGTAAGCCCAACCTCGTATTCGTGTATGTCGATGACTGGGGTTTCGCTGACGTTGGCTTCAGAAATCCGGCCATTCACAGTCCCAACTTCGACTCGCTGGCTCGCACCGGCTCGGTGCTACAGCGCCATTATGTCTTCAAATATTGCAGCCCCTCCAGGGCATCGCTACTGACGGGTCGTTGGCCGCACCATGCTCATCAGTGGAACCTGCCATCCGTGTCCATGGCTGGTACGAATCTCAACATGACGATGCTCCCGGCTAAGCTGAAGCAGGCTGGCTATGCAACACACATGGTGGGCAAGTGGCACCAAGGATTCTTCAAGTCGGACTATTTGCCGATGGTGCGTGGTTTTGACACCATGTCTGGCTTTCTCAACGGCGGCGAAAACCACATGAATCAGAGAGAGGGATGCCTGGTCGACTTCTGGAAGAACGGAAAACCCGACCCGCGCAACGGCTCGTACGATGCGTTCCATTATCGCGACGACCTGGTAGATATGATCACAAACCATGACACGGATACGCCATTCTTTCTGTACCTGGCACTGCATAATGTCCATACACCGCTTCAAGCACCTGACGATTGGGTGGACATCTACCCGAGCACGACGTGCAAGAATAGACGTGTGTACCAGGCCATGGTCAGTGTGGCGGACAACGTGACTGGTACGGTCGTGGAGATGCTCAGAAAGAAAGGCATGTGGAATGACACGTTGATGGTGGTCAGTGCTGACAACGGCGGAGCGCCCTGCAGTGGTAGCAACTATCCGCTCAAGGGCTGCAAGGGGACGTTCTTCGAGGGCGGTGTGCGGTCACTGGCGTTTGTCAACGGTGGATTCTTGCCAAAGGCCATGCGAGGGAAGGACAACGATGGGTTTATCCACGTGGCCGATTGGTATCCGACCTTTTGCAAACTAGGTGGAGTCAATCCGGAAGACAGCGGGCCGGGCAAGTACCCTGTAGATGGACTGGATGTGTGGCCCATCATCTCGGGGCAGACAACACAAACTCCTCACGAGAGTATTGTTCTCGGCTTTAACTTCAGCCATACTGACTCAGGCGCACTGATCATGGGAGACTACAAGCTGATCGTTGCACCACAGAGTCCTACATGTGATGGTTTGATGTACTCCCCATTGGACTACCCGTGCAGCAACGGCACGGTGGCGGCAAACTGTGATCCGAACTGTCTCTACAACATCGTAGCAGACCCTCGGGAAACCAAGGACCTAGCCAAGAGTGAACCAGAGATCTATGAGCGATTGCTGTCCGCCTACAACAAGTATTCGACTGAGCCGCAGTCAACGCGTGATCAGGGTTACCACTCCGAAGGTGATATACCGCAAGATTCGACCGCATGTGACAAGCTAAAAGCAGAGGGCGGCTACTGGCGCCCGTGGAGGGACTAACCCGGCCCGGAACACTCTCAGCCGGTCCCCCTTTTAGGGGGTGCACGGCCACATATGTGTAGGGTGGCAGGTGCATATCATTCATGGTCATTATGTGCATGCTGAACCTAGGTCGAAATTTTTTAGGGGGGGGGGGGGGTGCACGTGCCCCATGCGGGCTATGCACCTGCTCAGGCAACTGTGTGGTTCGGTGAACCAGCCTACTGCGAACCATGCAAAACTGTAATTACGGGTGAAGTGCCGGTGTTGCTGTATTGTTGCATCGTCGCGTCGCCTTTGGCTGCTTGTCTGACCCCGGCCCCTGCTAGTGAGTGGCAAATCTGATACCCAGACCTGCTGATTCTGACCCTTCAGTGCTCGCCGCACTATTCCTTGAAGCGATTACTGCTGATTCCTTACTGTTTACTGCAAATCATAATTATTACCCGCAAAGTTATACTGATTTGAAATCCCTATATTTTTGAACTTAGAAATATTTTTGAATTGCTTTTATTCTTTATTCTCACGATGGCGACACGGTCAAATTGCTTGTTTGGCAAATGGCTGTTTTGCTCTATTCAGCACGAACCCTCCGGTGGGGACAATCGGGTCTCCGACTTTTTCAGTTCGAACCAGGGAGTCGACCCGACTCCCTGCCCCTGGACTGATTCGAAGAGTAGGGTACTAGGGTGGCCCTATTATGGCCTAATCGCCGAGTAGTAAACCTACTACGTGTTTCGCAAACGAGACACTAGGGAGGTTCTGCTATACGTGAAACGTAAAGAAATCACGTAGAGAGCAGGTGTCTGGGTTAGAGTCTACGGCTTCGCGTGTTTTGGCTCCAGATTTCTACGCGGAGATGGGGTTCTCTACGTTGTGGCACACGCAGAGAAAATGCGTACGGATTTGCTGGGTATCGATCAACTGCATGCAGAAAACTGCCAAATATGGAAGGGGAAATTCCCAGTACACATTCCACGTGACTTCTCTAGGTGAAACGTAGAGCAGAACTGCATTTCTTTACGTTACGGGAACGCGAAGAAAGTTCGCGTGATTCTTTGCGTCGCGTTCCCAAAACGTAGAGCAGAACCTCCCTATTCTTGACTAGTATTGTGAGTGGTGACAGCGCACTCACCTGCTCACTAGTGCACTGCCTGACGTCGTACATATCAGGGAGTCGGATAAATACGACTCCCTGGGAGGCGGCTCCCTGGTACAGAACAGTACAAGCAAGAGTACATAACCCCCTATGTACTCTTGGTACGAGACTACGAGTACGAGACTCGTATGTCTACTGGCAATAGACCTAGACTGTACTCTGTAGCATGTAGACATCTACCGTCCACATCAGGGAGTCGTAAAATACCGGTATTTTACGACTCCCTGGTCCATAATGATGTACAGTACTGTATCATGACGTAACGAGCGCTAGCTAGCGCGCAAGCTAGACGTGCAACAAAATGGCGAGCGCGTGAATTCTTGTGACGCCACGTATAAAAAAAAACGTCACACATATTACATATGCACAAACAACAAACAATGACATGACGCAAAAAAAGAAAGGGGAAAAGACAAGCCAAGCTAGCTTTGAGTATCCCGTTCTAATTCAAGTGTATGTGTGTTTTGTTCATCAAGATCTTGCCTTGGAATTGATTTCGGAGTGGAAGATGGTGCTGTTGGCGGCTGCCGTGTGTACCAAGGCTGGCAAGCCGTTGGTATCGCGTCAGTTTGTGGAGATGACGCGCTCCCATGTCGAAGGCTTACTGTCATCCTTTTCCAAACTCATTCAAACCGATACTCAACATACGTTTGTTGAAACTGAGAGCGTTCGATATGTCTATCAGCCTTTGGAGAAGCTGTACATGTTGCTGATAACGACTAAGCAGTCGAACATTTTGGAGGACCTGGAAACTCTGCGTCTCTTCTCCCGAGTGATCCCAGAGTATTGCACTGTGATCGAAGAGAGAGAAGTGTCTGACAACGCATACAACCTGATCTTCGCATTTGACGAAATCGTGGCACTGGGATACCGGGAGAATGTCAACCTTAACCAAATCAAGACATTCACTGAGATGGAGTCCCAAGACGAGAAGGTCTATCAGGCCATTCGTGTCACACAGGAGGCAGAGGCAAAGGAGGAAATGAAGAGACGTGCTAAGGAGTTAGACATGAAAAGGCGAGCAGAGCAGAAAAGTGGCCGATCAGGGTCAGGGTATGGTGTCAGCATTACTTCTAGCAGCAGCCTGTCATCAACATCGTCCAGCGGCCTATCCTCTTCCACTGCCGCAGCGAGTAGTCTACCCGCTCCCACGCCACGCTCCACTGGTCCCTCCGCGTCCCGCGGTATGCGTCTGGGCGGTAAAAAGCAGGTTGACGACATTGTGGCTGAGCTGGGAGGTCAGACGGGCCATTTCAACGCACCTCGCCAAGCAGCAGCCCCGGCCAAGTCCACAGCTGCACGCTCAAGCGTCCACATCAAGGTGGAAGAGCACATGAGCATGACAGCGGATCATGATTCCGGCATGGAGAGTCTCGAAGTCAAGGGCATTGTGCTGTTGAATATCAACAGCGAGGACAACGCCAAGTGCCGCATCGCCGTTCGAAATGATGAGGATCGTCCCATCCAGTTCCAAACACATCCGAATGTTGACAAGAAGCTGTTTGGATCAGAGAATATCATTGCGCTGAAGGCTGCTGGCAAGGCATTCCCGCTGAATTCCGACGTACCAGTTCTCAAGTGGAGATTTGCCACCAATGATCAGTCTCATCAGCCGCTGTTGATCAACTGCTGGCCATCTGGGCTGGGCGATGGCAAATGCGAGGTGAATATCGAGTATGATTTGCTCAACGAGCATCTGGAGCTTCGCGATGTTCTCATCTCTATCCCGTGCCCGTCCGGCGTCGGTGCTCCCAAGGTGGGCAACTGCGATGGCGAGTACAAGTTTGAGAACCGTCGCAGCGTCATGGAGTGGCGCATTCCCGTTATCGACTCCTCGTCCAGCAAGCAGGGCAGCCTGGACTTCACCATTCCCGCGCGCGAAGAGGACTTCTTCCCGGTGACCGTGAGCTTCACGTCCGAATCGACCTTCTGCCACCTGGGCATCTCGGCCGTCATGAGCTCTGAGGATGAGCGTTCGATTGCCTATTCGAATGATAGCAGCTTAATCGTTGACAAGTACGTAGTTAATTAAGCCTCCCCTGAGCACTGTTGTATTTTGCTATTGCTTGCTGTTGCTTTTAACACTACCACATGTATGTGTATAGTTCATTTTTTACTCTAATATTATGCTATGTTTTTGATGATTATATAAAGCCTTAAAGGTAAACTTCAGGAAAGGGATCCAGAGGAACAGTGCACGTATGGTACATGGAGGATGGGTGTGTATGTATGTGTGCACGTGTGTGTGTGTGTGCGCGTGCGTGCAGTTTGGCGGGCCCAGGAGTGGGAACAAAGTGTTGAAGTTCACGTGTGGGTTGGGGATTCTCTCTCTCAGACTCTCTCTCTCTCTCTCTCTCTCTCTCTCTCTCTCTCTCTCTCTCTTTCTCTCCCCTAACCCCTTTTTCCGGGGCACACCTGTGACTAGTTAGTGTCAGTGAACAAGTACAAGTGTGTATGTGTGTGCATGTGGGAAAGATAATCAGGCACTGGTAGGACATTTTATTTGGTTATGTTTTGATATAAATATGCATTGAGCTACATGATAGTTATGCTCTTTGTCATGTGCTTTTATGCAGTATATTGTTTAGTTCTGGATTCATACTTCCAAGCAGAGATGATACTAAGATGTCTTTTTTTAGTACTGGTTTGAGTGTGTGCTCCATGTTTGCATACTTGAACATCTTCCTATGATCGACGTGTATGATGCTATGGAACACAAGCAAAGCGATAGCGGCTATTAAAGAGCCATCACTACCTGAGTTCCGGTACCAATGCAAAAGCCAACGTAGATGCGATCATGTTGTGTACAGTCGTGGCCAAAGAAATCCGACCCGCGAGTCAAAAGTAGCGCAGCGTTTCCATTTCAATTACATCATCATGCATGTTCCCAAAACTGATCCGAGTGCCGCACGAGCCTTGCTGCTGCTTTCGGCACGCTAGTTGGATTTCTTTGGCCACAACTGTACGTTGTGCAGTGAGCAATTCGAGCGGTGGCTGCTCACACGTGACCTACGCCACTTGGCTGCTTACGTGGTCACTAAGTCACATGATTGATGTGAGTAATGGCCGCCCGCCCACACACGAACTCAAGGTCCGTGGGCCCCACCTGAACCCATGTCAAAAACACACTACATCGTACGTCTTTGCAGACGTACCACGTCGTACACTTTGGCATGGCTTGGCCGGGAATAAAAGGCCATGCGCGTGTGGAAATTGGAATACACACAGAGACTGAGTTTCAACTCCATAGTATCCTAGCTGTGTAGCACTATGAATATAAAAAAAAAACATATGCACACGCACACACATGCTAAGTCGCAACAGCAGCAGCAGTGGTGACGGTGGCAAAGCTGGGAGGCCTAAGGGTAGCAGAGAAATCAGCAACAGTGCAGCGATAATAAAAGAAGGCGGCACGCAAGATAAGTTGCAGAACCTCTCGGAGCAGGAAAGCAATGAGATGCAGAGGCTCTCGGAGCAGGAAAGCAATGAGATGCAGAGGCTCTCGGAGCAGGAAAGCAATGAGATGCAGAGGCACCCGATGCATGAAAGCACTCGGTGCAGAGGCACCCGGTACAGGAAAGCACTCGGTACAGGAAAGCAGGTCTGCTGAAAGGATACGTCTAAAAAAGATACCAACGAGTTGTTGTCGTCCTACGTGTTGTGATCCAAATATGGAAAATGCTTTTTCATGACATAATAAAATGGCGGAAATAATCTGGGAAAATAGACTGCTTCCCGCTTGGAATTAGCAAATGTGGAAACAGAGACTAGCAATATCAATTTTTTTCATGAAGGGCTAATAATTTTTAACTGGTCGAGGGAGGAAAAAGAACAAATACTTTATGATTGCAACACGCTTGCCTAACTCACACCGGGTGACCGGAAGGCCAGCCATGTCAAGATTTCTTTCTCTCCTACTAAGCAAGACGTTGGGTGACCGCCGGAGTAATTCGTTGGATTATTACTTGGACACCTCATGCATAGCATGTGCAAGATACTCCACATTGGTTGAGGACACGCCGGCAATAGAGATGCGGCCATCCTTGGTCAGGTACACAGAGTGCTCCTTGATCAGGCGCTCCACCTAAGCAGGTGAAGGCAGAGGAGAAAAACCCATAATTGCAAAATGGCATTGATGACATCGACGCCATTGATGAAAGCCTATGATAACAATGGTGGGTGAGCAGCAGCAGCAGCAGCAGCAGCAGCAGCAGCAGCAGCAGCAGCAGCAGCAGCAGCAGCAGCAGCAGCAGCAGCAGCAATAGGAGCAGCAGCAGCAGCAGCAGGAGCAGCAGCAACAGCAGCAGCAGCAGCAGCAACAGCAGCAGCAGCAACTGCAGCAGCAGCAGAAGCAGCAGCAGTGTTCTGTACATCATGTGTACCTGTCATATGTGCATGCCCGTGTTGCTGGTGTGTGCAGAGTCCGTCTTTGTCTTGAGCTTCTCCTGTTCAGTTGTGCCCTGTTGTCTCTTTGTTAAGGTGTCATCGCAAAAGTTTGTTGTCGTCCCTGAAACGAACATCGTTCATTTCGTACTCGGATCCCTCCCTCTGAAACGAATGCAGCTTGCTATGCTGGGCGACGAATATCGCATGCATGCACCGGTACAGTGTCGGTCGACTTGTGATTTTGGCTCGCACCCCTCCCCATAAACGAATGATGTTCGTTTCAGGGACGACAACAAACTTTTGTGACGACCCCTAGTAAAACCCCTATTTCGATGCAGTTCTATCGTCTTTCTTATTGTCCACTAACTCTAACTTACACTTCCACATGTGTATATCATACACAGTATATGTGTATAAACCTTCACTCCTCACCTCCAACAACATTCTCTTTTGCTGCGAATCAAATCAATTATACGACAGCAAATGTTCGTGCCTGGCCCATCATCAGGGAAGTTCTATCGTCGGTAGTCTTGAGTGTGGACATGGCACAGGGTTGCAAGTAGTAAGGCAGCATCATCATCATCATCATCATCATCATCAGCAGCAGCAGCAGCAGCAGTAGCAGCAGCAGCAGCAGCAGCAGCAGGGACAAACAGTACACGCAGGGCTCTTGTCAATTTGATCTCACTCACCTGGCCAGCATCGAGCCCAGTGAAGCAGAACATTCCGATTTGATTGGTGATGTGACTCCAGTCACGCGCTGAACCTGAACCAGCCATGGTCACACACACACACACACACACACACACACACACACACACACACACACACACACACACACACACACACACACACACACACACACACACAAGCGCGCACGCACGCACGCACCCACAGAGACAATAGGCACAGACACACACACATGTACACAAACATGAGGATTTGTACACAGTAAAGAGAGAGGAAGCTCTGCTGCAAGTCAGGTTTCGTGGTTATTCATGATTGTTAGGCAACACCCACACACCCACACCCACACCCACACACAGTCAAGTCAGCTCAATGGCCGCTAGGATGGAACAAAGTGTGGGTGGTGGCCACTGACACAAGCACATACTACACACCATGTAGTGAGGCTACAACAGAGCTGGACGAGTAAGAGGAGAGGACACAGCTACCAAGTAGCAACCACCACCTTGCAGCAGATTGCTTTCTGACACAGTCAGACCTCGCTTACTGTAAGTTGACAAATTTTCGGCCCATTCAAATTTCGGCCGGATCAAATTTTCGGCCTGAACTGCTGCCGTCGGACACACTGTCACACTGAACCATACAAAACAAATTTTCGGCCAAACATGACCAGGCCGAAAATAGCCAAAAAAAATATGCGTCGAATATTTGTTGACTTACAGTATCTGATTTCTCTTTTACCTCCTAATCTCGTCAGCTGGTGGGATCATGCTGGTTCACCAGTACTGTGCGTACCGTAAAAAGAGATCCATGTGTGTGTGTGTGTGTGTGTGTGTGTGTGTGTGTGTGTGTGTGTGTGTGTGTGTGTGTGTGTGTGTGTGTGTGTGTGTGTGTGTGTATGTAGCTGCAGACACACACAATACACTCATATCTCTCTTATCTGGACCTCCACGTTATGGGTACCTTGGTCTACCGCGCACCCCGTGGGCGACTTTGAGTGGACATACTACTACTCATTTCATTATTATTCGGCGCCCTCAACGCCCTGGAAGTGGTACGAATGTGGCTGAACACACACATGCAGAAGTACAGTGATGTAATCGGAACAGCTGGTCCTGGGTGTCAGGGTTGCACTTGGAGTTGGATTTCAGCGAGCGCAACCGTAAACGGTACTTGCTGCATGCTACTAACCTAGCTTAGTCAGACCATCACGTAGACCTGTTCTCATTGTGATGATGCGGTCAGCCATGCCCTTCAGCTCTGCCAGCCTACAGGGAGCAGACACGCGTGAGCAGAGAACACAACAGACATATGCATATACACACACACACACACACACACACACACACACACACACACACACACACACACACACACACACACACACATTAGATCGTACCGTACTTCCCCACATAAAAGCGCATGGGCTTATAAGTGAAAATTAGCAACAAAAAGAATTGTTGCCGTGTGAACATGTTCGGGTAGAAGCCCATGCGCTTATATGTGCAATAAAGGTTTGTCTGTGTCATAAACAACGGTGTTATCACAATACTTAGCAGTATATTCAGCTCCCGGGTGTTTCACGGTTTCACCAATAGTGTGCACACATAGGCGCATGCGTTTATAATTGGGGGGGTTGTGCGCTTATGTCCAGACATAAGCACATGCGCTTATATGTGCGGAAGTACGGTAGCCAGTCCATTGCATTCAAGTAGGATGATGGTAGCCAGCTAAGCCAGGCATATGACTGTGGTGCTGCGGTTGCACTCCCAGTTCATACAGTACCCAATGCACTGCAGTTCGGAAACAAATTTATCCTGTGCAGACAGAACAAACGATTTAACCTATCGGAATGACTTCGAAACACACACAGCTGCCTGATGAGTTCCGCATTTCTAATTATGCACTGGACTGGCATGCATGCATGCATGCATGCATCACCCTCTGGACTGCTATGCATGCATCACCCTCTGGACTGCTATGCATGCATCACCCTCTGGACTGCTATGCATGTATCACCCTCTGGACTAGCATACATACATCATGCACTGGACTAGCATACATGTGTTATCCACAAGACTACCATGCATGCACTTTTGAACTAAATAAAGTATCATCCATTGGATTGGCATGCATGTATCATGCATTGGACTGGCATGCATCATGCATTGGACTGGCATGCATGTGACCTGGCCACTGAGAACGAACATTCTCTACGGTCTGTGCCCAGGCTATCATAGCGGATGTTATGTTTGAATCCATAGTTTGTCTGTACATGAACGTGATCCATGTGAATCTCTACCTGTCTCCGCTGCTGATGTTGCCGCAGCCAGCAAAGACGATGTTGTTATCTCACGCATCATGCAGTATCTTCAGTTCGGTTTGCCCGCCGACACCCCTGACGCTCTACAAGCCTACCGCTGATGCCGCAAGTGCCAAGACACCGCTGACGCTCCGCCCAAGGAAGCACCGCATCCCTGGATATATCCCTCCAAGCCCTTTGAAAGAGTGCATGTCGACTTTGCCGAGCACGACGACCAGCACTACTTTCTGCTTGTAGACGCCTACTCACAGCGGCACAGTGTCTACAAGATGTCTTCAACGACAACCCACCAGACCCTGGAGTGCCTACTGTCGTTCTTGTCAACGTACGGCATCCTGAAGACCATGGTCAGCGACAATGGTCCGCAATTCATGTCACATCTGCTCCGCCAATTCTGTTTGGAGAACGGAATCAGTCATAAAAGCGCACACCGCCGTACCGTCCTGGCTCCAATGGACAAGTAGAAAGTTGCGTCCAAGAGTTGAAGAAGGCACTGCGTACTCGCCCGGACAATGTGTCAGCCAGCACCCAGCTCCACCGCTTTGTGTTCGCGTAACGCAACACATCGCACTCGACAACACAAGTGACGCCTGCAAGCTTGGTGTTTAAGAAGTCCCCCAATGTCAAGTTCTCCCTGCTGAAGCCAAATTTCAGTAGTACCCAGCGTCAGAATACAGCTTCATCAACAAAGAGGGATTACACTCCCGGTGATGCTGTAGCAGTTCTAAACACTCGCAATGACAATGGTCCAAAGTGGATTCACGGTACTATCGCCGCCGAGCGTCTTGGTCCACTATCGTACATTGTCCGTACCAGTGAACAGACGCGACATGTGCATTCTGACCACCATCGCATGGCAGAGTCTGAGAGGGAAGAGGAGATTGAACAGACCGAACTGCAACCGCTACCGACCGTTGATTTCCGCGAGCTTTCTACAGCACCTGCACCAGTCACTGCACCAGCAGAGCCAGCTCCCGCTGTACCAGCTGTCAAGCCAGCACTTGAGCCCGATGCAGACATCGAAGTCGCTCAATCCCAGTCCACATCGTCTGAGGCTAAGCCAGCACAGTCGCCACGCCGATCCTCCAGACAGCATCGGCCCCGTCAACGCTTGATTGAAGAATTGGGATGACGCTAACAGCCCTGTCATGATTCTAGTACAGCTCATTCCGTTGCGTTAATTGTTCTGTGAGCCTTACTTGTACTGTGTTCTATGTTGCAATGCAGTAGTTCTTTTTGTTTTAATAGCAACAGCATTCCACTCCTCATGCCGTTTATTGTCTAGAGGAGGAGGAGTGCTATGTTTGAATCCATAGCCTGTCTGTACATGATCTGTACGCCATACGCTGCTCCGTGTGTACTACGCATTATACATGCATGCACTGTACACTTTTGTCAACTGCTTTGCCATGTGTACATTATTCTGTAGTGTTTGAAAGAAAGCGCGTACTCTGCCAGCGACCGTTGGCCCGTACACCAGCTATGTCAGTTATTGGTTTCCTGATTTCGAATAGTTCCTTCCTTGTCGTTCTGAAGTATAGATGTAATAAATTGTGCTCTTGCTCATGTAGTTCTCTGTCGATCTTATTCTGGCGAATATAACAGCGCACATTCCAAAAACAGCTACCGTAAAAAGTAGAAAATTTAGTCGGTGAAACATTTCGCCCAACAGAAAAACAGTTCGTCTCGTGGAAAATTTGGTCCATGGATGTTGAACGTAGTGAACGGCTAGACAAATCGACATTTAGTCTTGCATTGTACATGTACATGTATTGGACTGGCTAGAGCATCCTATACTATACAGTGGTGTTCACATCTCTTGGTCATGTGACTAGATTTGTGCAGAAAGTGACCATGTCATGTGGACAGTGGAGCCAACATGGCCGACGTCATGTGACCCATAAATGCAACCGGTGACTGGAGCTGGAACCAACATGGCCGACATCACATGACCCATAGATGCAGCAGGAGTCGAGCTGGAACAAACATGGCTGCCCTGTGTGTTGGTCATGAGATAGATGTGATACCATTCTATGCACAACTCCTGCAACCTACCACTGCTGTCTCAATTCCTCGTTGTTGAGGAGCTCAGAGGCAATGAGCACACCGTTGCGAGGCGGGTTGGAGTACAGAGCACGGATAATGATCTTCAACTGTGACTCCACCGCCTTCTGCTCTTCGGGATTGGCTGAAATGACGGTGAACGCGCCGGCTCTCTCACCTGAAAAAAAAACATTTTTAAAGACAGAAACATGAACCCGTCAGTACGGCGGTGTTTGTGAAAATCTGAGCAAAAGTGCATATTTGGCGCCCTGAACTTGCACAACCCTTGACACCCTGGAAGTGATTTGAATGCTGCTGGACATACCCATGTACACCAGGGGCGTCACAGGGCGGTGGGGAGTGGTACGATTGGGGGACCGGGGGATGTCACGCGGAGGAAAAATCGTGGATTTTCCGGCCAACAGTGCACGTTTTAGCGCTCTACAGGGGCTCTGGGCGTACCATCCTGGATGAAAAGTGGTACGACCATGGTCGCACTGATCGTGCCGTGTGTGACACGCCTGTACAAGTACAGTGATGTAATTGGAACAGGATCCAGGGCGCCAGATTTGCACTTCGAGTGGGATTTCAGTGAGAGCAACTGTAGCACCACGGCTCCAAGAGTGCTCCATCCGTGGAGGCAGATCTTTACCACACTACAGGCACACTCACACCTTGTGTGTATTTGGGCGGTCCGAGACCGGGCAACATCTGCAGCTCTGAATTACGTACCGTAAAACCTGTAACTAAAGACCACCGTGACTAGCGACCAGCCTGGTACAACAGACAACTTCAACAGGCACGGACGATCTCACATTATGGTTGTGCGGTTCAAACCTCTAAGGATCACCTGCCACTAAACACCGCTTTCTCTGGCCCCAAGGGGTGGTCGTTAGTCACAGGTTTTGCTGTACGTTCTGATGGGGAAATGACAGGGACAAGGCATATGATGACACTGTTTCCACAGCAAGTGACAAATGAGTACATGTAGCAATATTTCCACTAAAACTACAAAAAGAGTAGGGAGTAAACGACTCAGCAGTGGATAAATTTGAAAGGAACATCAGAGCAAATGTTTGTGCGTGTGCGTGTGTGTGTTAGCTGCTATGTCTTCTGCTGTAGCATCGCTATCATCGCCTCCGGCGATGGACGTCCAATGGTCCAATGGTGTGTGTGTGTTACTTACCATAGAGACCCATGTTCTTGGCATACGACTGTGCAAGGATGAGGGGAATGTTGTTCTCGGTGAAGTAACGCACGGCAAACGCATCTCTGGTGGCATCACCACTGGCAAAACCTGCAAACAGACAGACAGACACACACGCACGCACACACACACACACACACACACACACACTACTACTACTACTACTACTACTATGTACAGCTACCCTATCGGGCCACGCCGCTCCCAGAAGCGGGAGACAACGACAAGAAGAGAGAAGAGAAGAGAGAGAAATCGCAAAGTCAACAATATTTGGCATGGCGTTGCAAGTCCTGTGGCCTTGAGAACCGTCTTTCGCAATGCTCGCATTCATGACGGCAGGTGTTCCTGGCTGCACGTGACATCCGTTTCGCACGGTCACAGTGATGACGGCTCAAACCAGAACGAGAGCGGAAAGAGCGGCGACAAACATCACATCGCAAAGAGTCAGATTCATGGCGAATGGATACAGTGGGGACATCCGTGGACACAGGACAGCGATGCACAGCCAGTCCTCCAGCGCTCCCCAACCACCGCATGCACTTCATACATTGCCTGGCACCCTTCTGTTGTGACACAGGCAACTTCCGCTGGGCAATGCACTTGTGTCGGGCCATGTCGTTACGGCGGCGGAAGTCTCTGGCACACAGCAAGCAGCGCAAAGGTGGCGAATCATCTGTGTGCGGTGGTGGCTCAGCAAGGAACATCCTCCAGTTCTGCCGGTCTTGGGCATTCTGAAACCAGGAATCCACGCCAGCTGCCCTCATGTCTCTCTGGACAACGTCTTTCCAGCGCCGCCGGGGACCACAAGGAGGGCGACGACCACTCAACCTTCCAAACAAAATCTGGACGGGAGCACGGTCTGCAGGCATGCGCGCGACGTGCCCGAGCCATTCCAACCGCCGACGCCGAACAAGGTCTGACACCGGTGTAGTGTCACCCCAGCGCGCACGGAGCGTTGCCGATGAGATTTTCTCCTCCCATTGCTGACGCCGAGATACACATAAGATGGAGCGAATGCACCGGTGGTGAAAGTTGTCCAGCAGATCCAAGTCGTGCCGAAGCGGAGCCCATGACTCAGCACCGTAGAGTAAAACCGACAGAACACAGGCTGTGTACAAATGACGCTTTGTTGCCACCGTCAAGCTGGTATCCCGGAACACTGGTAGGAGGCAGCCAAACGCCTTTGCCGCATTGGCAATCCGTCGCTGGACGTCAGGTGAGGATCGGGTGTCTGGCGTGATGAGGGAGCCCAAGTACACAAACGATTCAACATACGAAATGCTGTCGCCACCCATGTCCATCGGCATCCTGTCCTCCGGGGAAATACCAACACCAACTACCATGAATTGTGTTTTCGACGAACTGACGGACAAACCAAACACACACACACACACACACACAGAGGAAAACAATGCCAGGCCGTGAAGCCAGGATGTCACTGCTACTGTTCTGGACATTGACATCCGCTGCAATGACCAGGGCCGGCGGCCTTACTTGCTTACCGCTAGCTACACGCAAGGTAACCAGCAATGGACCAGCACTAAAGGGAGCAGTGCACACGGTTGCAAGGCCAGCGCCCCGTGGCTGCTTGACTTCTCAACAGATTTCAATGTCAACAACAGCAGTACACTCAAACTAGTGATGTGTTAGCTCTCAGATTTACATGCACTACAGCACTGCCGGTCGCCGAAGAACTGAGGGGGTCAGCCTCCTAGCCTAGACCGTTTTAATTTTCATGTTACATGTATTACAGTCTATGCACAGTTGAGTTACCGTGTATACATTCGTATGCTGTGCATGGTGAAATTCTAGCCTGGTCGTTCTTCGGCGCCCGGCAGTACTGTAGACAATACACAGCGGCAAACCAGTACGACGTGCAAAGATAGTACATGTACTGGCACTAGATAGTAGTACCTTGGTAGGCCATGTCGAAGAATGGGAAGAGATTCTTCTTCTTGACAATCTCAGCAAGCTGCTTCCACTGTTCCGGTGTGGGGTCCACGCCAGTGGGGTTGTGTGCACAGGCATGGAGTACAACCACTGTGTGCTCATCCAGAGCCTGAACCAACCACACAGATAAGAAATGATACACCACATACACACACACACACACACACACACACACACACACACACACACACACGCGCGCGCGCGTGCACACACACACTTTAGGCAACCACCGCAAGAGGTACTGGTAGTGATGATCTACGCCCAAGCAGTAAGCATTGCAAGCTGTGCTCGGATTACTCCACTCTTCAAATTCCAAGCCTGAAAATTGACAACCACTACTAACCATACCCCCCCCCCCAGGGGGTCGGGGTCGTTAGCATGTTGATCATGTGCCCATGAGAGAAACGTGTGCTTACCTCCAAGTCTTGGCAAGCACCTGCAAAGTCAAAGCCGCAAGTACCAGCGTCGTAATAGCGATAGCTTCCAACTTCCAGCCCTGCTGTCCTGTACATGTACATGTACACGCACGCACGCACGCACGCACACACACACACACACACACACACACACACACACACACACACACATGTGCACATAGAAATGTGTGCGCACACAAACACACACAACATTTCAGCACACATACACACACACACACACACACGCACACACACACATTGTGTACGCATACCGAATGTCATGGGCTTTCACTGGTGAGTACAGATTATTTCAAGAGCACGAGGAGAAATATACACGTGGATGTTTCTCCTCGTATTTTTGGTACTCAAAAAGATGAGTTACTCCATAGGAAGGAGTCGCACATGCGATGCAACGCTGTACAATGCCTCTCAGTAATCGAGCGAGCGGACCCTACAGTAGTGCAGCATGCATGCATGCATGTGCATACCCCGCTGCTACCATATTCAAATGTACACGTCTCTTGTGTCCAGAGCGAGTCTTTCTCCATTCTTGGCGAACACTTGGTGCCTAGTCGGCTGCGTAGGCGTAAGGGGCACACGGGGGGGGGGGGGGGGCATGTACCCCCCCCCCCTTCGTGTTCAACATGTACATGTGACTGTTAGGGCCTACCGAATGGCCTAGGCTAGGGATCGCAGTTCAGTATCCGCTGTGAAGCTAGAATCGAGTGCCAGTGTGCAAAGCCACTTGTACTTGTGGCTAGCTGTACCTACAGCTGTAGACATGTACTGGAAGAATTGCAATATCGATCAGAAACCTTTGACTACTGAGTACAAATTGATCCAAGAACACTTTGGCTGTGCACGCCCTAAAAGGCGCACCAGTTGCGGCACCACTGGTTACTTCGTGATTTTTGAGCCCTGAGTATCATACTGGTTGATGGCACTGCAACTGGCCTTGGGTGACAGGAAAGTTCATGTAAGTATACGATTGTATGAAGAGCATGACTCACTTGAAAATGGGACCGTGATTGCCCCAGGTCGGCGTCGGGAAGAAAACCTTCTTCGAGTGTGGGAAGAATCGCTTCTGTAAACCACAAACAAATGAATAGTTGAACATGTGAACGTACGAGCACACATACTTGGAAGTACACACACATACACAGACACACATGCACACACCAGTGCATATGAACAGGCAAGCAGAAGTACAGAAATCGACTTCCCAATGCAACATAGAGGAAAACGTGGCTCCTCAACGTCATCCGGAAAAAAAGAGGAAAATCTAGAAAATAACCTACGTGGAGACAACAATTTAATTACTTGAAGTATATAAATTTAAAAGGATAATAAAACTGCGCACTCATATTCCATACACACATCAAGGCAAAGTAGGTGGGTAGTGTTCCAAGAATCGCCAGAAAACGTTCTTGGAACACAACCAACCTACCCTTGCCTTGATGTGTGTAGAATATGAGTGGGCAGTTTATCCGTTTTTATTGCTATAATAAATCTGCATGTACAAACCTTCAATGGAACAGGAAAACATGCAGATCATACACAGAAGAAATAAACCCCATTCGCCGACAGTCGGGCATGAACAGACTACCGCATGTACCACCACACGACTTACCAGGAAGTGAGCTCCAATGCTCAATGCACCGGTGCCAGAAATAGTCTGAACGGTCGAGTTCTGCACGCGATCAAAGAACAAACAAACACGCACACTGTCATATTAGTAACCATGGTAACCAAGGCACGTCTCCAGTAAAAGCACATTCCAAGGCAGTTCAGCAAAAACCGTGGCTCTGCACGCAGGCCGCATTCTGTTTTCCATTACCCAGCGCTGTGGAAGCAGCAACACGTCCCCTTCGTAGGTTTCTACCGACTATAAACTTCTGGAAGGAAAAGCAGGATAGATGTCGAAGTACAGTGCGGCTCAATGAAATCCAACCGCGCGAGTCCAGTACGCACGGGGCGCTGTGCAGACCTAGACCTACCAACACAATATGTAGTAGAAGTACAGTGTTGCTCAATGAAATCCCAGTCGCGTCACTCTAGTTGGCGCCTTGCACCATTTCACAGCCCAGTGTTTGCAGGTCTAGGGCTGCGCAACGCCCGGCGCGCATTTGAGCGACGCGACTGGGTTTCATTGAGCAGCACTGTAGTAGTATTTTATTTGAATTGGATAACCCAATCGACTGCTGTCGTTTCCCCACGTACATATGGTGGGTATATGTGAACTGGTGCAGGGTGCAAACGTGACCCACACGCCAGGATGTCATGAGCCCCGCACTGTAGTATAAAGCTCACCAAACCATCCTTGATGACCGAGCTGTCTCCACCAAACGCCAGACGGGCCGACGCACCGGTGAACGAGGCCAGACCTGAAATTGGCAGATACTCCTTGTCCAGGTTGCGCGCAAGCAACAACTGCTCAGCCTACGCGATAAAAACAACAACACAATCAAAGGTACCATGATTACAAAAAGAAGACTTCAATGCAGAATCGTACAGTCTAATAGCGTGGTAGTGCGCCCTGCAGCTTGAATAGTTTCGTATGTACAGTTCTGAGTATTAGGAAATTAGAGGCCACATGCCTCGTACTGCTCTTTTCTCTCCGAAACTCAACACTTGCAAGCCAGATATGAAAGAAAGAAAAAACCATCAGTCACACCACCGGGACTCGAACCAGGGGCCTTGCTATTCGCGAGCAATGCTCTAACCAACTGAGCTACAGTTCTGGCCAGAGAAATCTAACCTCGTGAATAGCGCCGCGTGTGAGCAGATAGAACAGTGTGGGTAGTGCTAGGGCTGCGCTGCATGCTCTATTCATAGTAGTGCTAGGGCTGCGCTGCATGCTCTATTCATAGTAGTGCTAGCGCTGCATGCTCTATTCATCTCCAAGCTGTAGATACTGACAAATAATATTTTCTCCATGCAGCGCTGTTTCGACCACTACAGTCCATTTCAAAACTATAGACGCGTAGGGTTTTTGAAATATTTCAAATTTGGCTGGAACTTTTTGAGAATAGTTTTCGGAATATTGCTCAGGACCGCTCCATATAGTTTCTAAACGATTGGATAACAGACGCCCAATTAAAATTATTTGGAAAAAAATATGCACAAAGTGATCACAGATTTTATGTGGTATAGATGCTGGCATAACGGTTTTTGCCTAGGTACGCGTCTATAGTTTTGAAACGGACTGTAAGGTCTCATCAGTGAAGGTTTAGAATCATTTTATTTCACTTTATTTCACCGTCCAATGGCAGAAGCCATTGCAAAGGAGGGGGCGTTAGCCAGCCATGGCAAGAGAAGGAAAGAGAAAGAAAGAACATATTATCGGAAGAAAATAACGCATCAGCGGGGGTGAAATTTATCACTATGTCGACTATGGTGAATAGTGGCGAGACAAGCTAGCATAATGAGGTTTAGAACAATGAGTGGCTAGAAGCCTAGAACTAATTTGAAAGCACAGTTTATACACAGAATGAAATGAAGAAGCACAGGATCACGCTTAGAGGTCATAGACGTGCTAAGTGCACTTAAAGATAAGTATTGAACTTATCACCATTTTGTATTTGCCACCAATAATCAAAGACTCCAATGCTGGCATTGGAGACAAATTCGACTTTATGCACTGGGAAAATGCACGCAGACAGAATAGACCGATTGCCATTTGCACAGATCCACGAAATACCGTAGACTCCCGTAGACCCGATAGGGTGTTCATTGTGTGCTATGCATGCGTATTTGACCTTTTTAGCGTCATAATTCAATGACCAGCAATCGCTTTTCCAGCTTTTTCACTTTGGTTAGAACTAATGACTAGCTAGATCTTTGTCAGAAAAAGGTTTTCGTATGAAATGCCTTCAGGCCCCATTTCTTAGTGGAAATAGCAGAAAACACAATAGGGTCCTGCACATTCAACACCCTACCGGGTCTACGGGATTCTACGGGATTTCGTGGATCTGTACAAATGGCAATCGGTCCATTCGCCCTCAACTCGCCCCAAATTTCACTATTTTCCGGGTCATACGTTTGTGATGGATGGGTGGGGCAGACTGGTCACTCCATTGGCCTTCAACTCGGGGCAGCGGGTAGTCTAAAAGGGGATGTATGCATGAGATGAAGAGACAGGGCTATATCAACCCACTGCATGGCTCACCTTTCTAACAGATGGCAGGACATACGGCTTTCCAGAGTCATCACGATACGCCCCCACGCCGAGGTTCATCTTGTTGGGGTTGGTGTCACGCTTGAATGCCTCTGTCACACCCAGGATAGCATCAGGAGGACCAAGGGGCACGTTTGCCCACACACTGTTTGCATGACACACACAACAAGCACAAAGACAGTAACCTGGGGCTGTACCGTCCCTAACAAGCTAATGGCGGGCCTGATGTAAATCGCTCACTGAGAGGTTCACAGAAAAGTGATGACGAGAGAAGCAGAAGTTGCCAGAGATCACCGCAAGGAAGTTAGCCAAAAAAGTTGAATGCAATATAGTTGAGATGTGTTGGCAAAGTCGTGGCAATGCACTAGCTCAAGCAAACCATGGAAACCGCCGACTCAGACTTTTACACAGTGCCCATAAGTGGTTCCGATGACTCATCACCATGACATCATTCATATGACCTCTATACATGTACTAACATCCAGGTATTATATAACCCAATACTAGTTCAAAACTAGTATTAGATAAACCTTGTTATAGTTCACACATATTGTTAGATTGACAGCATGAAACAAGGCGGAGGACACTGTGTTCAACACCCATATGGTTCAAATGGTCCTAATGGACCGGGGCTCTGCCAACCGTGGAAGGTTGTAGTAAGGTCACTGTTTCCAAACACAGTGTCCTCTACCTTGTTTCATGCTGTCAATCTAACAATATGTACTAACATCCAGGTAAGAATTGTACGGTATAAAACGTACCACAATTATTTCAATTTTTTGGCCAGAAAAGGGACACATCATGCTTTGCAAAAAAAGACATTTTGCATATGGACCGTAGGCGGCACTGCTCTCAATATTCAAATGAGTGGAAAATGCGCGCAGCGCAGCAGGCTTGCTTGGCACTGAAGCAGATGTGGAAGGATGGAATACAACACCACGGTCGGTGCAAACACTCATGTGGAATCAGAATGGCTTCCTAGGTGTCCTTTAGCTCCAGCAAAAAGGACAAGTGGCTGTGTTGTCCCTAAGGCGTGTGGTGACGGACATTTGCTGTTTTCGTATACGCTTGGTGCACAAATTGCTCTCCACCCATCCACTAAATGTGGGTCACTCGAATGCAGCACGGCGGGCCGTCCATATGCCAAGCATCTATACGGCTAAGACGTATGCAATGTTTGTCTGAAGCCAAAATTGTGCAGGGACCTTCTAATGCTTTGATCTATTTCATAGTCTCCACGTGGCAATATTTAAGCTGTACAGCCCGCCATCAACACAACACATGTTACGCATGTGAGCTGTGTGAACTGGTAACAGTTAAACTAGCAATCCACAACCCATGTTACGCATGTGAGCTGTGTGAACTGGTAACAGTTAAACTAGCAATCCACAACCCTAACTCAACCTGTCCACAATTACGTACTGTAGCAAAAAGGACCTACGGGTGTGTGTGATCCCCGGTAGCCTATAATAATCGGTAGGGCACTGCCCCGGAAAGACAGGGGTGCTGGGTTCGAATCCCGCTCGTAGATCCTTCTTTTGCAACAGTACAAATACATATGCACACAGTATCATGATCATGGTACCCCGTGGCGGGGTGACAACTACAGCATGGGTGTCTAAAAAATATGTCAAAAAATAATATTCAAGTTGACTACAGTATTTAAAAAGGATATAATTATATGCTGAATTTAAAGGGCCAACGACTGGAAACTAAGTTGAGCAGAATGCTGAGGGCATCCATGATGCCCCTCCAGAATGATATCACCCTTCTTCCCTTCTCTTCGTGACATAACACACCATCAACACACGTGCTAAAGGTTCAAAAATACAAAGTAATCAAATTGTTTTACCTAGCACAACGTAGGTGGCGAGACGCCATCAGGGATTTTCTCGCGACACACTGCATTCTGAGAGTTTGTGATGTTGATGAGTGTCAAGACAAAACCGACCTTGCAAACGGAACGAACGAAAAGTAGTTCCAAAGCTTGGGCACTGGTCCTTGAATTGAACAAACGAAACTAACTTTTCCACATGTATTAATTTTTTGGTAGAAGGAGCATGCACAACTCGTACACACGTCCAAATGCAACACGCACATGCGATGCATGCACGTCAATAATTTTTTTGAAACTGCATGCTATGTAGATGCTGCATGCACTGGTTTGTTGAGCACGTGTTTTTCAGCAAGTGAGCGCGTGCTCAGAGTCATAACTCATAAAAATGCATAAGCTCATATAGGGAGGTTCTGCTCTACGTTTTGGGAACGCGACGCAAAGAATCACGCGAACTTTCTTCGCGTTCCCGTAACGTAAAGAAATGCTGTTCTGCTCTACGTTTCACCTAGAGAAGTCACGTGGAATGTGTACTGGGAATTTCCCCTTCCATATTTGGCAGTTTTCTGCATGCAGTTGATCGATACCCAGCAAATCCGTACGCACTTTCTCTGCGTGTGCCACAACGTAGAGAATGCAATCTCCGCGTAGAAATCTGGAGCCAAAACACGCGAAGCCGTAGACTCTAACCCAGACACCTGCTAGAACCTCCCTATATACATGATCATGTACGCGCGCGCGCTACGCTACACTTGTAGGCTGCGCTGGCGCACAGCGCCGCCGCGCCGCGGCCGCTATCGCGCGAGCCGCTAGCGCAGGGTATAGTTACGTCACATGATTGAACATCGCGCATGCGTTTCCCTGACATCATCGCAAAACGCACAAAAAATTGAAATTTTTTAATCGTCAACGAAGAAGATTTTCTCGAAAAGGTTTGGATCTCTGTTCTAGAATCCTGCTCCCCGTTCTAAACTATCAGCGAAGAGTATCTCACCTTTCAAATTGTGAAGAGTATTTGGATTTCGTGTGTTCTCACCACTGTATTGTGAGAGTTTTGAGGCTCCGATGCGGGCCCGACATCTGGGTCGTTCCTGTGAATCAATCTAGTTTGAATTGAAATAGAAGTTATCTTGATCTTCCACAATGGATCTTCCACCACATAACGAAGAGTCTGCTATAGAGCAGTATTATGTCACCAAAATCGAGGAAATGGAGGTGAGTGGTGTTCTATTCCGTTTCGATAAGTTTTTGTGCGAGAGTATTAGTTGTTCGAGGGGCATCACCAACATATTCCATCTATTCGATTGAATTAAATTTCACATAAATCAGGGAGTTGATTCATCACGTTGAATAGGAATTTCCGAGGAAGTATCAGTATGTGACTTTCAGGCCTCGTAAAATACCTGCAAGATCTCAGAATTAAAGTTGTCTGTCGTCTGGTAGCGCAGCTGTAGCTGCTATTCGCAATAATTGTTTCGATTTGAAAACTCGAAAAGCGAGCACTTTCTGCGGATGCCGTTAGTACCCCATTGCCAACAAGGATAGGAACTGCAGCAATACTATTACAGACTGTATAGTGAAGCTAGCGTTCTTCCCTTTTTATCGTCTGTGTGTGTGTGTGTGTGTGTGTGTGTGTGTGTGTGTGTGTGTGTGTGTGTGTGTGTGTGTGTAAGTTGCTATGTCTAACATAGCTGTTCGCTATCATCGCTTCCGCGATGGGCAAGTTTGAGGTCTGAGGTGTGTGTGTGTGTGTGTGTGCCGGCATTGCTCGCATACACCACATCACCAAGTGATCTCGTGCGAGGTCAGTTGTGAGCAGCCACTCACATTGCTTACCGCAGTAATCCACGTGGCATCCACCGCACACATGCCTAGTAGGCTGGCATCACACGTATATGTAGTGACAAGCTTGGCTTTGGTAGTCTGTACATTTCCGCATCATAATACACATCCCATTACTCGAGAACGTCCAGGTCACATGAGTGCAAGGTTCCTTGTCGCCGAGTAGTTTCACAAACGTACTGTAGAGTAAACGTCTGTCACTCCACAGTGTGCTCTTGGCTGACCAATATGACTTGCACACAGTCGCAATAGCGGGGACAATTCCTGTGCGATTTTGATATTTTCAGATGCTCTAGACAGCTGTTTTGCTCCAACACAGCCCATTAGTGAAAATAGCAGAAAAGAGGATGATTGAGATGCATGGTGTTGTATAGGGCATAACTGGTGCAATTGCACACGTTCTGCCTAGAAGGGTAGCATGCCCTAGGAATCTAAGGTGTTAGGTGACAGAGAGGTGATAGTGCAAGCACCTACACGTGGCATGCAGCAGCACTAGCCATGGTGCGAGAAAACAATCAACAGAGATCTACTGTCAGAAGTACTACAGTGTTGCTCAATGAAATCGGATTAATCTGGTCGCGTGAGTCAAGTTTTTGCCCCATGCACCATTTCGCAGGTCTAGGGCTGCGCAACGTCCGGTGCGTCCTTAAGTGCCTCGACTGGATTTCATTTAGCAGCACTGTACATGTATGTACTAGAAGCCACACATCCATACGAACAAAAATTACGAAGTATTGAGAAGTTTTAATGGTTGTACTGGTCCCAGTGACGGGGCAAGGTGACAAGGTCATGCCAATGGAAGTTTGATAATACGGCAGTCCCAGGCGCCCCTGAGGCATTTGCCGCACTGCTTGCCCATTGTCAACCCTAGTAATACCTCTCACAGTTCATGTCTGTTGATTGGTTTTTCACACCAGTTCTAGCGCTGCTGCATGACATGTCCTGGCAATTCGTGCTTACACTATCACCTGTCTGTAGTGTTCTGATGAACACCTTAGTCTCCTAGGACATGTCACACCTCCAGGCAGAAGGTGTGCAATTGGGCTAGTTTTTGCCATATAGAACACCGTTTGTTCATCTCAATCATCCATTTTTCTGCTACCTCCAGTAAGGAGCTCTGTTGGAGCAAAAGCTGCCTCTGGCAATATCAACATCACAAAGGAGTTGTCCTCATTGTGGTGGTGATGTGCAAGTGAAATGGGTCGGCAGAGAGTGCATTACGGAGCGACTGGTAGTTCTATAATGGCCGAGTTTTGCCGCCAATGTCTATTCTCAAAGGCTGCATACAATGTAGCAGGGATGCATAATCCGGTCTACCTTGTAGATTGGACTATTATTTTTATGTATTTTTGGATCCTATGTAAGATTGTGTTGCCACTTGATTGGTTTGATGGCATGAAAGACGGAGCCATGCGCAAACTCGGTGGAGGACAGAACAAAGCAGGCAGTCTCTTGTAGTTGTAGTCAGTATTGCTTGTAGTGATCCTTTCACCTTCTGCTGTGCTTCTTGCGAACAATCAATCTGGCTCCTCGAATCAGATGACTGTTTGTGGTGGTGTTCACTGGGTCAACATCTGGCTTGTCTAGGTATAGTCTCCAGATTTAGCCAACCACACAACTGTACAGCCAGTGGTGACGCAGGCGTGCAAACTTTACTTTACTTTTTACACACGGCTTTGAATTTAAGCCCGTCCGGGTGACGTTACCCTTGAAAAGCTAATTTCCGAGTTTGTGCTATGAAACAAAGAAGTCCTCGTGGAGTTTAAGTTGAAGGCACATGTACCGGTACATGCATCTTCACATGGCAGAGTTGCTCTTGTTTTGACTTAGGCTTTTTTGTGATCCTTGGTTGTGCTGTACATGTTAACAGGTGATGGTCAGTGAGAAAATGCAAGATCTACGTCGTCTTGAAGCACAAAGAAATGAACTAAATACAAAAGGTACTGTTGCCCGCTGTTCATGTTTCAATGTCAGGCAGTACCTTGACGATTTTAGGATTTTGACAGCCTGCTTTGAGAGTGAAACCCCTGGGCGAAGCTTCCGATATGGGAAAGATGGTTGACACTCTGGTTCGGTATCAACATGTGTTTGTCCTGCCGTTGCCCTAGTCTGTCGGGCTACTGTTGATCCAATGGATTTAGTCCTGGTACGCCTCTGGGTTGTGCGCAAACTTCCCCACCGCAAAGCCTCTTGGCTTGTCCATTGGCCTGGGGAAACTGATTGAAAATGGAAAATTGTATTTGCAGCACTAGTTTTGTGAAAGAAGGAGCAAATTTCTGATGTTCCTTTACCCCATTGTTGTTCTTCTGTTTAGTTCGTGCTATTCGCGAAGAACTTCAACACCTCCACGAACAGAGTAGCCATGTCGGTGAAGTGATTAAGCCGATGGACACCAAGAAGGTCCTTGTCAAGGTATGTGCCGTCCAGGATAAGACCGAATATCAATGCTCAGTGTGTGTGTGGGTGGGTGAGTACATGGGCGGGTGGGTGAGTGTGTGGGCGTGCGAGTGTCTGAGTGAGTGTGCTGGGTAGGTTAGTGAGTGAGCGGTGAGTGAATGAGTGAGTGCAATCAGGCTCTTAATGCTAGTTCTGCTATGGGTTTCTGATTGTGTCAGTGATGAGTGCTAAGCAGGTGTAGCTCTGTATTCGGCTTTCATTTAGATGCTGACTGCAGCAATAGTCACAGGATGAAACCTTTTTTTACTGCTGTAACCGACATGTTCTTTACTACATGTACTGTACTTGCTCCGGAAACGGAACTGTGGCTTTTTTACTTACATTTATTGTGAAATTCGGCGCAGTGGAGCAACAACACTTCAGCACGAAACGAGTGGATGTACTTCTTTGAAGCACTGTATGTTCGCTATTATACAAACAGATATTGGCACCGTTTGGGTCTCACTCAGAGTCACCATCACTTGCTTCCTCAAAGCTCTGTCCACTAGAACTGACAGGTCGGTCAAGTGATATGTTTTTTTGTTTTTTTCCAGATGAAGTATTTTGTAGCACTGGTCAGAAGCTTCAGTGAACCCCCATCCCTGCCGGAATAGAATGTTGACCCTGGGTGCTTTGCTGTCTGGGCAGTAGAGAAAATCCGGCATTATATGTATCTGAGATGACGTACATGGGGTGTTCTTCTTGCATGGATCAGGACTTGATGGTGGATAAGCAGGCCCAACTTCCCCTTGATCGGAGGCGAGCCCAGGCCCTGCCTAGTCTCGTGAACTCACTGTGTGTCATTGCGGATTACTGCCTCTGCTCCACAGTGAAGTAACTTACCTTCTAGATATTTATGCCACTTTCTTCTTGGTGATTTGTGCAGGTGCCGCCGGAAGGAAAATTTGTTGTAGATTTAGGAAAGAACATTGAGATGGCTGATGTGAGTACTGTGTTGTGTCATCCTGGTTCTGCGTGTGTGCTTGCCTGCATGTGTGTGTGTGTCTGTGTGTGTGTGTGTGTGCGCGCCCTTTTTGTTCATGAATAAGAACCCTTCACACTGGCTGGGGCAGTGTTTCATTTCTTTGGCCTAGTAGAGTGGTTGCGCACAACAAAAACAAAAAACCTTTTAGCACCTCTTTGCTTTCCTTTAGAAATTCATTGTTTTTGTTATAGTTTGCTCTTGCCTGTATATGACCTGAAGAGAACGTACGATACGGCATACTTTGAAGTTGTAATAATATCTACGCTCGAGAGTGTCATGATGGGATTTTGAACACAGTCGTGTTGTGATTGTCACAAACTCTGGGAACATACGAACTTGTGGACTCATTTTGCAGATCGTTCACAATCGACTCACGCAATCTCGCTCAAAACCTTTTTGTATTGCTGGCTACATGTAGTTCCCTTTTCCCATTCAAATGTGCATGCACATAGGCCAGTCGCACAATGCGGCGTAATCATAAATTTAGGAGAGTGGCATCATGGAATTTTGAACACAGTTATGTTGTTGCTGTCACAAACTCTGCGAACATACAAACGTGTGAACTCTGAAGTGTTTCATAGAGGGTATGATAGTTGACAACATGTGATTGTGTCTGTACTGTGTGTGTGTGTGTGTGTGCCACATGCAGGTCAAGGCAGGGTGCCGTGTAGCACTACAGAATGACAGCTATGCGCTGCACAAAATCCTTCCCAACAAGGTGGGTGCTGTTGTTTGCATTTGTTTGCATGAGCTTGCGTGTGTGTGTGTGTGTGCATATCTGTGTGTGTGTGTGTGCGCGTGTGTGTGTGTGTGTTGTGTGTGTGTGTGTGGTGTGTGTGTGTGTGTGTGACTCTACAGGAGTCAGTTAGGAATTTTGTAGCTCTCATCGTTTGATTAGTTTTTGTTAGTTTTCAGTTCTCAGGGACGACTCTGGGCTTCCAGGGTCGTTTCTGGGACAGTTCCCAGTAGAAGTCCACAGCGGAAAGTCAGCAGAGCAGATTACAGGACGAACTTCGGGTGTCGTCACTCTGACTCTGTTTTCCGCTGTTGGACCCATCGCGAGGCCTTGCAAGCCCGCGAATGGAGCCATCTACCGCACGCAGTAGGAGACGAAAGGAGTTTACCCTGAGCGTTGGGACGTGGAATGTCCGCTCGTTGCTGGAAAGTGAAGGACCCGTCCAAACAGCATCCACTCGACATCAAGTGGCTGACGACAAGAAAATTTATCGGATAATTCAAATTTTCAAACGTCTTGGATTGGAAATAGTTTGTCTTCAAGAGACCTACTGGCTGGATAAGAACGTTTACAACATCGACGGAGCAGTGCTAATTTCGTCTGGAAGACCTTCACCTGGCGAGGGAGAGTCGTGTCGAAGGGGTGAAGGTGTTGCGATTCTGTTGCTGGGAAATGCAGCTCGCGCGTGGCGTGACGGCGGTTGTCAATACGACGCCCGCAGCTCTCGGATTGTGTCAGCGCGATTGAAGTTTGATATTCATGGGTGTTCACCGGTATGGTATACTGTCATCTCCGCATATGCTCCGACGTTCGCCAGCAAGCGAATTGCCAAGGAACAGTTCTTTGCGGACTTGCAAGCGACTTTGCCACGGATGGGCACAGAAAAGTTTATTCTGTTGGGTGACTTCAACGCCAGAGTTGGATCCCGTACGCATGCTGACGCTGATGAGTGGTCACGTGTACGGGGCCCACATGGAGTGGGTGAGATGAACTCTGCAGGACGTGAGCTGTTGGATTTTCTTGCAACTATTCAGGCGATGGTGTGTAACACATGGTTCTGCAAGACAGAGGATAGGAAGTGGACCTGGCAACATCCAAGGTCAAAGAGATTTCATTGTATTGATTTTGTCATCACGTCACAAGCTGACTACCACCAATGTATTGATGCTCAAGTTATAAGAAGTGCGGAATGTGGGAGCGACCACAACCTGGTGGCTGCGCGTTTTGTAGTAGGCCGTCTGCAGCGCCGCTCGCGTTGTGTGCAAACGAAGAAATGTAAGCGGTTTGATGTTGCACGTTTGAAGGATGTCCACAGCACTGACTCATCTGGAAACATCACACGAGTTGCTGATGTCTATCGTGAATGCCTCACAAACAGTCTGCAACAGCCGAATGAACATACCACCGTTGAATGCAAATGGTCGAGGTTGCGCACCGCGGTCACCGGGTCTGCAGAGGAGACCCTCGGTTTTCAGAAACGTCGTCAACCAGATTGGTTTACTGAGAGCAAAGATACCCTCGAACCCTTGTTGAATGAAAGGAATCAGCGATATCAAGAATGGATTTCAAGTGGCAGGTCTGATGACACGTGGAACAGGTTCAAGGCTGCCAGGAGTAAGGCAAGAGCTGCTGTCCGCTCTGCCAAGAACTCCTGGTTCACCAACAAAGCCAAATCTCTTGATGGTGCACGGTTCAGTTCCTCACGGGTGTGGGTATGTGTTAAGGATATGCAGGCTGCCAAGCAGGGATTACGCCCTGTGTCTACTACCGCTATTAGGGATGCAAATGGCAACATCTGCAAATCTGTGGAGGAACAAGGTGGACGATGGTACCAACATTTCGATGGCGTACTCAACATCCCTAGCACATTTGATCCATGTGCCATTGACGAAATAGACCAGCAGTCTATCAACCAGAACATCGCTGGCAAGCCGGATGCAGCAGAGGTGGCGCGAGCTATTCGACAACTCAGCAACGGCAAGGCCGCTGGCGCCTCAGCTATCCTGCCTGAGTTGGTCAAAGCGGGTGGTGAGAGTTTCATGGAGGCACTGTTGGATCTGTTGCACCATGTCTGGGATGACGAGGCTGTTCCGCAGGAATGGGTAGACTGCAACCTTGTGCCAATCCCAAAGAAAGGTAACCTCTCATTGTGTGATAATTGGCGTGGCATATCACTCCTGGATGTTGTTGGGAAAGTTGCTGCTCGAGTACTTCAGTCCAGATTACAGATTATTGCGGAGAATATTCTACCCGACTCCCAGTGCGGCTTTCGTAAGGGTCGATCTTGCACAGACATGGTGTTTGCAGTTCGCCAAGTCCTGGAGAAGTTGTACGAACATCGCTGCCCGGGATACGTTGTCTTTGTTGATTTACGTAAGGCGTACGACTCAGTAAACCGTGAATGCATGTGGCTGATTCTCGCGAAGGCAGGGGTCCCTAGTAACATCGTAAACATCATCAAGTCGTTTCACACCTCCATGTCGGCTACTCTCTCCATCGGGTCAACACCCATCCAACCCATTGCAGTGAAGAGTGGTTTGCGGCAGGGCTGTTGTATGGCACCAGTCTTATTCAACATATTCATGTGGGCTGTTTTCCAGAGATGGTCCAGAGTGGTCGAGCATGTGCCTGGTATCGGCGTCCCGTTGGCATTCAATCCTGGGGGCTCGCTTTATTTCAAGAGAAAGCGTACTGACGATCAGACTACCATCAACGACTGCCAGTTCGCTGACGACTCTGCACTGTTTGCCACTACCCGTACTGCTGCTGCTCTTGCTCTGGATATGTTCATCGATGTCTCGTCTGCATTTGGTCTGACCGTCAATCTGGACAAGACCAAATTTATGGCGGTTGGCTATGGTATCACGGATGATGACCGACTTCCTCTTCCTGTGAAGAATGGCACATTGGAATGTGTGCGTGAGTTCCGATACCTGGGTGCTGTTATCCATGATTCTGGCCGATCTCACAAAGATGTATCGACCCGTGTTTCATCTGCCTCCCGTGCTTTTGGAGCGCTCCGTCATGCTGTCTTCAATGACCACAATCTCTCTCTGCGCACCAAGCGTCTGGTTTTCGAGGCCTGTGTTCTGTCCTTACTGCTCTATTGTGCGGAGACGTGGGTACCGCTGCAAAGTGATGTGCAACGGATCACGACCTTCTACTACCGGTCGCTTCTTTCCATCATGAGTGTTGCACAGCGGGATGTGTGGGACTTGAAGATAGCCAAGGACACCATTCTGAAAACATGGAATGCAGCAAACCCACTGGATATCCCCGACCTCCTCATGCAGAGAAGACTGGAATGGCTTGGGCACGTGGTACGCATGCCTGAGGAGCGGATGCCGCGGATGTTGTTGTTTGGCACATTGCTGCCACCACGCCCAGCGTGTGGCCCGCGGAAACGATGGCGAGACGCAATTAGGGTCGACCTGCGACGAATAAACATCGCCGACGAGTCATGGTTTGACACAGCGCAGGAACGATCTGAGTGGCGGCAAGCTTATCGAGCAATACAACCAGCTCAGAAACCGGCTCGGGAGATAGTCTGCGAGGTGTGCCGGCGTGCATTTGCTCGGCAGCAAGATATCGCCCGCCACAAGTGCATCATGGAACGGCGTAAACCAGTCCAGCAGCAAGCCAACAGCCGCCAGTGCTCCCAGTGTCACCGATGGTTTCGGAGTGCGGGTGGCATTGCAGTCCATCGCTGTGTCCAGTCCAATTCTGCCCCGAATGTTGCTAATGCCACAAGCTCTTCACCTGTACGCCTATGTATTCGGAAACCGTGCTGTACCGCTCACTGTCCCATTTGTGAACGCTGCTGTAAGTCGATCCGGGGCTTTGCTATCCACAACTGCAACCGATCCACCAGGCGCCCAACTGCTGATGAAAGGGACAAGTTCCAATTGCAATGTCAGAATTGCCGGAGGCGTTTCAAAAGGCGAAACGACTTATCCCGTCACCAACGCTCATGTCTCCTCTCGTCTCCGTCTCGCTCAACGAGAAACGCGTGACCTACATGGCAGTGTATACCAGGACCAGGACCAGGTGTGTGTGTGTGGTGTGTGTGTGTGTGTGTGGTGTGTGTGTGTGTGTGTATCTGTGTGTGCGTATCTGTGTGTGCGTATCTGCGTGTGTGTGTGGGGGGGGGGGGGGGAGCAGGGCAGCAGCAGTGATTGATTTTGATGTGGCAGTGGTACAGTGTAAACTGCTATAAAGACGACCAGTGCAATGATGGAGCAACTGTGTGTAGGAACCGGGCCCTGTTTGAATAGCTGGAGAGACTTGGCAGCACATGTAACTGGTCCTGTAGAATTCACAATGTGTGTAAATCGTACTGGCAATCAATGATTTCGTTGTGCCATGGTTTTGTTGCAACATTTGTGCCTGTCTTGTCTTGTCTCAGGTTGACCCTCTTGTCAGCTTGATGATGGTGGAGAAAGTGCCGGACAGCACCTATGAAGTAATCGGTGGTCTTGACAAGCAGATCCAGGAAATCAAGGAGGTAAGGTTGCGTTGGTTTATGCCAGGACGTGTGCTGCATGCACTGAATGCAAACTGCCCGAGCAAGTTCACTTGTGCCACCACCACCGAATACGCGTACGATTCGTATGTACTTGGTGCAGAACTGTAGCCACCAAAGTTCTTTTTCTGTAGCTCTCAAGTTTAGAAACACCCTTGAAGTTCCGACACACCTGCTCACATGTGATATTCATCGTGTTTAGTACCATACCGGCTGTTAGTACTTGAAGTATTGCCAGGTTATTGTTGAAAACTGGCAGTGCAAAGTGTGTACAGTGCTGCTAAAGGAAGTCCGATCACGCGAGTCAAGTATGTGCCAGGCGTGGTGCAGCCCTAGACCTGCAAACATTGGCATGTCAGCTGGTTCAGGGTGCAAACTTGACTCACTTGATCATGTTCTGTTGAGCAGCATGGTACTATACTGTAGTGCAAGGATTACTACCAAGAGTACATGAAACCTAGAGTGCGCAGCTCTGATGGGTTGCTGTCACGGCGAAATTCCGTGATTACATCATTTTAGTGATGTAGTGCGTGCAAGCAGGATTCAAGCAGGTCTCTTTCTGCACAGCTAAAGCTCAGCTGCACGCACTGCGCTACTTCCCGCCTCAGATCTGCATCAAATATGATGTAATCACGGAATTTCGCCGTGACAGACACTCGTGCAGAAAAAAGTCAGAAGCTGCACACGCTGGGTCTCATGTACTCTTGTTAGTACCTGCAGTAGGTATGTATGAGTGCAATTATGTGACTAACGACCACCCCTTAGGGTAGGGATTTCAGGCGGTTTTTTCTGAGCAGCGCTTTGCTCCAACTAACAAGTTTTTCTGAAGCATCTATGTGTAAGGACTGTCCACAGAAAATTTGAACGGAATCCAAGCAGTATTTCCAAAGTTATGAGCATTCAAACATAGCGCACCAACCTTGATGAACACACATACAAATTGGATCTGCAGGATGGCACAAAATGGAATTCCCATACTCCCTAGCAACACCATAGCAACAAATAAACTTCATCCGATCGTGGCCAAACTTGGATCAAGGATGGCCCTGGCTGTGACGGAACGGAAGATAAAAGTTTTTTTTCAATATTCCAAATGACCGCAACAATGGCGTCCTTAGCAACGGCCCTAGCAACAGTATATTTCACGCATAATGCAACATGGTAATAGGTGGAATATGACAGAAATACGGCAAACACCACATTTAAGTTATATAGTATGCATGTGGGAAACTAGAGGAGCAGACAGCAAGCTCTGATGTCACACAGTGCCCGTTTTCGGCTGCAACGAGTCAGAGACGCACATTAGCCGCACAACGACCATTCTAGAGGGTATTGAGTATTGTACACAGAAGCCAGCCAGCGGTGAGTATTTATAAGAGATAAGTTCAGTAAAAAACCAGCCTGGAACAACCACGCACCTGTATGACACATGGAAGATCAAGTCTGGTGCCACACACAGGGTCAAGACCTGCTATGCCGGATGCGGGCTCCAAAGCGCCATCATTTGCTGCGCCGGCATCAACATCAACTGTTGCTTCAGCACTGACATCAACGGCTGGTCCAGCATGGACATGAACTGTTGCAAATATCCACACCTCAGCACGTACGACTGCTCAGGTGTGGAAATTTGATAACACTGATATAATTTTCCAAACTTATACAATTCATGCAATTTGCAATCCCTGCAGCCCACAATTTTCCTTGCAGTTCAATGTTTCTTTCTTGGACAAGAATCAGACACAATATACGATTTTTCGTTCAGTGTGTGGTTATCTGCTTTACAATTTGATTGAGAAGCAGTCAAAAGGATGACTTAGTAATTCACTGAGGTCGTCACTTGCCTTGTTCTTCAGCAATTTTTTTCTCCACTCTCTGATACGCCCGATTTTGTTCCTGGCAATTTTCACATCGTCTCGAAATCCTTTCCATCCACGACTGCAACTAGCAAAATCAAATTATGCTAACTTACTTGGTATCATTTTTGCTTCTCGCCCTCAACGAGAGTTCAACTACTACTAGGCCATTCCTCAACTGCCTGGGACAACACCATGAACACAGAGGAAGACGGAAGTCAATCGTCTTTCTTCTCCACCTCCATACTGTGTCATGGCGTTCAACTTCAAAACAATTTCCGCGACCGAGCGCGACCCTTCATGCCGTCTGAAGGAACCTACCTAGACTAAATCGATGCCGTAGAATCTGATTCTGACTGCCGCTTGAGCGTGGAACCAAGGCAAACACCTCAAAAGCGACTTTGAAATCTACAAGAATCTATCGAGATGCGTAATATCGGCACGAATTCGCCGCGTGAGGCACCAAACGAAAGCTTGAAACCTACTCTTCAACGGTGCGCCAATAAAAATGGCGATAAACTCACTCTCCCTACCTAAAATCTACGCCGAAGACCCCACGCTGAGCTGTGCCATGCCTGGCATTCAAAAAGCATGCATGCGTGTCAAGGTACTTTTGCCCCCGCAGATCACGTGACTGAAATCCCTACTTAGGGCCAGAGAAAGCGGTCTTTAGTGGCGGGTGGTCCTTAGTTAGAGGTTTGCACCGCACAACCATTATATGAATGTGAGACCGTCCGTGCGTGGCGAAGTGGCCTGTAGTACCAGGCTGGTTGCTAGTCACGGTGGTCTTTACTTACAGGTTTTACCAAGAGTATATACTGTAGTGTCTTGTATTAAAGCCTGCCTAGTATAAAAGCCTGTTTTGAATACAAGCCTGATTTTTAAGATACACTGTCTGCACATAAGCCTGGTGTAGTGTTGACATACATAGAGATACGTGGTTTGAATAGAAGCCGGACTTGAATAGAAGCCTACCACTGACATCGGCTTACACGGCCGTAAGCACCTGCTTTTACACGCGACATTACGGTAGCCCCCAAGAGTGTGCAACTCCTGATACCCTTTCTATAGGGTACGCCGACGGCGAAAACTCACATCACGTGGTGTAGAGTCGCAGTTGTACGTTTCCAGCCCGTTTTTAGCGAGCAGCGGAGTAATAAAAAAAAGCGCTGTCTGACAAAAACTCACTGCGGGTATGCAAATCCCCAGCATGATCATGGCAGATATTTGGATTGCGCGCACGCTATCCTTCGTTTGTACGTAGTAGGAACGTAACTGAGACACGTGATGTGAGGAGACCCCATATGCAGAGTTGCACACTCTTGGGGGGGGGGGGGGGGTTATATACTCGTGGTTTTAGTGTATGAGTGCGTGTGTGACTATCTGCTTGTGGCTCTCTGATGTTGCTGTTCACTGTGCAGGTTATTGAGCTGCCTGTCAAGCATCCGGAATTGTTTGAAGCACTTGGTATCGATCAGCCAAAGGTAATGCCTCTTGCTCTTGATGTGCATTGTGCTGGGTGATTGAAGTGTCACATTTACCCACCCAGTCTAGCTTTGTTATCTGAACAGTTAAATGCACTGCAGCACATGTATGCTGGCAAGAGTACATAAACAAGAGTGTGTGCAACTACAGTATTTTCTGTCTACGTCAACTTTTCTGGAGATCATGAGTCCTACCGGTACCATTCTTTTTAGCGTATCTGCGTACTGTAAGACATGTAAAAATCTACCATTTTAACGAGGGACATTTCTCCGTTGTAATAAGTTCTGTTGAGGCTGTAACGCCTCACATGTGTTATGTGCGGATATGCCTGAAGACTGCAAGATCGTTAATTTTGGACAATTGTTGAATTTGTGACTTGTTATAATAACATGTCTTACCGTACGATACCTCAACTCTAACACTCCAAATACGGTCTGTTTGCTGCACACGTCATTTAAACTGTTCACCAAATTTTCGGCCATGGCAGCCATCATTAGGGTGAAAACAGGAAAAAACCCAGTGTTGGGGTATCCTATATTAAATGTGTAAATGGCTGCAGTGGAGTCTGCAAGTGCTTGGAAAAGTCTTACAGAGTATGCATTGCATATGTCTGTGTTGTGTTGTGTGTGTGCAGGGTGTTCTCCTGTATGGTCCACCTGGTACTGGCAAGACGTTGCTTGCCAGAGCCGTCGCCCACCACACGAACACCACGTTTATCCGCGTCTCCGGCTCTGAACTCGTGCAGAAGTATATCGGAGAGGGTGAGTGGTGCAATATGAATAATAATTGAGCTGCTTGAGCACTGTACACTGACACTATTACTGCATTTCCTCGAATATAAGCCACACCTTTTTACAGTAAACCTCAGGGCCGACAAAGGAGGTATGACTTACAATCGAGCATGACTAGCTACTGAAGTGAATATATTGAAATGATACAACATGCACCTGAAAATGGGGATGCGACTTACAATCAAGTGTGGCTTACAAATAAGTTACAATCAAGTGTGGCTTACAATCAAGTGTGGCTTACAACCGGGGAAATACGGTACTCCTTCCGACATGAGTCCGGTAGGAAGAAATACCTCAGACCTCCGACTCTTGCTGCACACCTTCGGGTTACACGTGCCTGGATACTATGTTATGAGAAGGTCATCTGTGACAAGAAGTCACCACTGATTCTGTCTTTGATGCTGTCCGAGGGTGTCTTTGCCTTACCAGAATCCAGAGTATTTGGCAATGTGTCATAGTACTGCATTATCCGTATGATTTAGTCTGTCTGGATAGGTTGAATTAGGTTCCTCAATATTTTTTCATGACTCTCTCTCCCTCTGTGTGTGTGTGTGTGTGTTATGGCTTGGCAGGATCGCGAATGGTCCGTGAACTCTTTGTCATGGCTCGGTGAGTACTCCCGCCGTGAGTGTGAGCTGTATTGTTGTTGTTGTACCGTGACACCATGCCTTTGGCTTGCTGCGTCCAGGGGTTGTTTTTTATTAGAACATAGTCAGCAAAAGACAGCCATGGGAGAGAGTCATTCAACCATCGTCTTCATGCTGCGTTTGGTCAAAATGAACTACCTGGAGCTAGGGAGAATACTTGTTTTTGTCTTTACCAGTGCAAGAATTATAATCTGTGTACATGTGTGTTGTGTTTGTGTCTGCAGGGAACATGCACCCAGTATTATCTTTATGGATGAAATTGATAGTATTGGTGCTTCAAGAAGTACAGCGACAGGTAAGAAACTCAGTGTGTGAGACTACCAAGCGTCTCTCTCTCTCTCTCTCTCTCTCTCTCTCTCCTCCTCCTCCTCCTCCTCCTCCCTCTCCTTCCTCTCTCCTCTCATATCTATCCTTTCTTTCTCTACGGTGGGTGTGCGTGCGTGTGTGTGTGTGTGAGGGTGTGGGTGGGTGTGTGTGGTCAAATGTTTCTTTCTCTCAACCTCACACATTGCATGCACATGTGTGTATTGAAGTTTGAATGATCTCTCTGTAACTGCTAACGGTAGTCGTGTGTGTGTGTGTGTATCTGTGTGTGTGTATGTGTGTTTCCTTGCAGGTGATAGTGAAGTACAGCGTACTATGCTTGAACTGCTCAATCAGCTGGATGGCTTTGAGGCGACAAAGAACATCAAGGTCATCATGGCCACCAATCGTATTGATATTCTGGATCCGGCACTGTTGCGTCCAGGTCGAATTGACAGGAAGATCGAGTTCCCTGCCCCCAATGAAGATGTAAGTATCCTTGTTCATTTACAGTATTGCCGGGTGCCGAAGAATAGAGCGCCAGAAAACGACCAGACTAGAATTTCACCAAGCACAGCATAGCATACCGATGTATACACGGTGACTCAACTGTGCATAGACTGTAGTACATGTACAGGAAAATAAGAACGGTCTAGGCTAGTAGGAGGCTTACTCCCAACCCCCTCCCCCCCCCCCCCCCCCCCCCCCCTGTTCTTCGGCGACCGACAGTACTGTACTGAATATTTCTCTTTTCAAGGGAAGGACCGGCAGGCTTTCAAGTGCTGGTGCCTTCATTTCTAGTAGGGTGTCAACTTCTGCTATGGATTATGCAGGTCATGGACTCCTGTACGTCCTGACGATGACCTGTAGCAGATTGAACTGGGCTGCTCTCGGCGTACAGTTCTGTCGGGGCGCCGGCGAACTAACAGGCTAGGGTTTCACCAAGCACAGCATACAGTAACAGACATCTACACGGCGAAACTGCAGTACATGGAAATAATAACGGTCTAGGCTACGAGGCTGACCCCCAGCTCTTGGGTACCTGACAGCAGTATATGTATGGTCTCGAATAGATAATAAAAATTGTATTGGCAATGATCATGATCTACAGTCTACACTGACAGGATCTAAATTACTCCTCTGCATGGTTGCTATTGCTGTTGTAAGCTTGTTCTTATGCCGGTGTTGGTACTGTTCTTGCGGGTGCTCGCTCTTGTGTGTGTGGGTGTGTGGGTGCATGTGCATGTGCATGTGCATATGGGTGTGGGTGTGGGTGGGTGTGTTTGCACAACCAGGCTCGTCTTGACATTCTGAGAATTCACTCTAGAAAGATGAACCTAACCCGAGGCATCAACCTGCGTCATATTGCTGAACTCATGCCGGGTGCTTCCGGTGCTGAAGTGAAGGTAAGGTGTTGTGTTTGGTGTAAAATCGACTAGGTCTTTCTCATTGTCTTGGATGCAGCGAAAAGCTGCTGGATCTGATCCATAGCACAATGGCGCGTGTGACTGTGTGTGTGTGTGTGTGTGTGTGTGTGTGTGACACACACACGTGCGTGCGTGCGTGTGTGATTGTTCAATTCTCCTTGAACTCTTCGTTATTGTAATGGCTGCTGGTTGGCCAGTTTTCAGTTCTATCACGTAACACGGTATATCCAAATGATGCTTTTAGTCATGTCTGGTACTGAGCATGTTTGTTTGCATGAACGGTTCTAAAATGTGGATTATAATAGTCATTTGTGACAGGTTTGAGCCCAGGTGTTGACGTTGTCTATTTCACAGGCCCTATCACTATACAGTAAAACCTGTAACTAAAGACCACCGTGACTAGCGACCAGCCTGGTACTACCGACCACTTGGCCAGGCACGGACAGTTTCACATTCAAAATGCACTGTGACTAGCGACTACCTGCTGAACGTGACCAGCGACCGCCTTTTCTTGTCCCAAAGACGATTTTTGACCCGTAACTAGCGACCGCGATGTAGGAAATAAAATGTTGCTCGAAGCTCCTTCTTGAAATTTTGCTGATTTTCCCATGGTCCTGAAAGGAATCTTTCGGTACTACAGCTGAACAAATGAACGCAGGCCATTATGACTGTGGAGTCGGTGTGGACTGCACTACACCTGTCAGAATTTCAAGCCCTGTCAAGAATAAACATGATAGGAAACGTCTTTGAGAGCGCATCGAAAGCGCTCTCTGCTCGATGTTACTACTCGGAGGAGAAACGAAGACTGAGCAGCTCTGTCACCCCAGTCATACAAATGAATCGACGATGGCATCAAGGAATCCAGAAACAAAGCAGCACCGCAAGGTCCTGATGCTGAAGGATCGCGTTCGAACAATCGAGAAGTCACAACAAGGATAGTCGGTACGATTGATCGGATGAACAAATTTGAAGCCCAGCGCGAAACGAAACTTCCACAGGGAACGTTTGACTCCTGGCTTCAGAAGTAGCAGCTGAATTTGATGTCTGCAAAAAAATTAATCTTCTCTCTCTCTCTATCTTTTGTCTCTCTCCATCTCTCCGTCTTTCTCTCCAAGTGTTGTTTGACCTGAAATGAGAATGGCATTGCGCAAGTCCTGGGGAATTGTATTAGCTGCATTTTGATATGCATATCATATACTGGGATCCTTATATGGTCGCACGGTGCAAACCTCTAACTAAAGACCACCTGCTACTAAAGACCGCTTTTGCTGGCACCAAGGGGTGGTCGGTAGTCACAGGTTTTACTGTAGTATCAGCTGGCTGGTACAAGGATGAGGGACCGCTTGTACAATGTATACTGGATGTGTAACCGCCAGGCTGGACATGAACGTGTGCAATTACGTGTGTGTGCATGTGTGTGTGTGTGTGTGTGTGTGTGTGTGTGTGTGTGTGTGTGTTGCATGTCACCTTGTGTGTATATATATATATATCCGTGTGTGTTTGTCCGTGTGTCCTCATGTGTGTTTTCAACTGTTTGTGTGTGTGTGTGTGTGTTTGTTGTTCAGGGTGTGTGTACTGAGGCAGGTATGTATGCACTTCGAGAGCGACGTGTGCATGTCACGCAAGAAGATTTCGAAATGGCCGTAGCCAAGGTAGGTGTTGGCACTAGTACCACGATGTCGTGTATGAAGGTTGGCCTTATTCCCGTAGAAGCCGATGTTAGTTTTAGGCTTTTACTCCGAGCAGGTACACACAACGATTTACAATAGTACATACACAGTACAGTGAAGGCGACCGCTCAAGGGACCTTCAAAACGTAGTCTCTATTCCCAGGTGGTCTCCTTATCCAGGGTCATTTTACTGGAAATAGCATCCCCCGGTCCTGGTGTCAGTAGTCTTTTGCGACAGGTGATCGCTTTATCCAAGTGGTCACCTTGACAGGTTGTACTGTACAACAGTTACACCCAGTTTTAGAAGGGCCCCTGCAGCGTCAGTCAGACAACACACCACACTCCACAGCTACTGCTGCTCTACTACTGAGCATACCCACTGAGCTGTACACGGATCTGTGCTGGGAATATATCCTACTGCCACAACAGGTCTGCCAAGGGATAGCTATGGTGTATGGTCTACAGTCTGTTTGTCCACAATGTCTTATCGCTGCTTGACCACTATGTCTTCTTGTCCTTGTGTTTACAGATTATGATGAAGGATAGTGAAAAGAGTATGTCCATCAAGAAGTTCTGGAAATAAGTTGCCGCGAACAGGTGTGGCGTGTTCTTCTTGGAGCACGGCATCATGCCTTGTATATGTATGTACGTATGTACGTGACTGGTGCGTGTGTTGTGTGTGTGCACGTGTGTGTGTGCACGTGTGTGTGCGTGCGTGCGTGCACGTTCGCGCACCAGCACTAGTCATTTTTTCCCCTCTGCGCAACAATCACAACATGGCTAGCGCGTGCTGCGCCCCCATGCTTTCGTGCGAGCATTAGCGTTATTCCTTTCTTCTAAAGCCGTCGACCGATGATGTTCGCATGCTAAGAGTCATGACCAGCTCTGTACCCCTGTTGTTGAGTTTCATTTTCATGACATGATTTCTGCCTTTTTTACTTGTGTTTTGTCTATGAGCGCGCTGCTCCTGTACAGTCGACTTGTACATGCTTTTCCCTGTTTTTGTTTTGTTTTACGGCTTGCTTGTTTGTCTGTATTTTACTCAATAGAACAACCCTAATGCTACCGATTTCTGCGCTTTGGACCTCTGAATTTGCTTCACACGTCTTTGCTTTTTTTTTATTGCTTCCATCGCTACCACTTCTGAGGATTGACTAGGGGTGTTTAAACTGTCAAATCTCATCAGTTGTCCGTGTCCGCCTACCGGTTGTGTGCACATGTGTGGATGGCGGACGAAGCACTGGGAGCGGGGCCGGGGACACACGTTTGTCCACGTGTGTTGTGTGTACGGTATATTCCGGTGTATATGCAGCAATTTAAAATAAAAGCGGTGCGGCTTATACTCAGAAAATAATATGGTACATGTGTGGATGTCGGAGGGCCCGAGGGGGCATTGGAAGCGGGATCTTGTTTATCCGCATGGATTGTGTGCAAGACGGGGGAGCGGGGGCCAGGGAGTCGTCAAATACCTTTTTTGACAACTCCCTGGCGAGGACACATGTTTGTCCACAAGACAAGGGGTGTGTGCACTGATGTGCGCCTTCACCAGGTTCACTGGCTTCAGTCTTTCACTGGGAGTCGTCAAAATACAACAAAACAACCACATATTTTGTCGACTCCCTGCATGCTACTATTTTTCAGGCCATTATTTTTTTTCACGCCAAGGGGTAGTAAAATACCGGTATTTTACTACTCCCTAGCAATGGGAGTATGGCTGCCGTTGTTTTTTTTACTAGAAAAAATGTTGACTTGTTGCATCAAGGACTTTACTTGAGTACGAGTATGTAAAGTTGAGAAACAGTACTGTACTAATTTTTTCTTGCTGCCACCATTTCAACCTCGGTCTTCCTTTGTGAGGAGCAAGTTTTGTGCTTTGCGATGTCGGCCAGGCCTGGCAAGTCCCTGTATGTCAGGAACCTCTCTCATAATGCACGGTAAGTGCTGGCTGAATATTAGAAAATTGTTATCCTCATTTTCTTTCGAAATGGTGTGCTTTGAGCGTTCTCACTTTGCGTGATGTATATGCTTCAGGAATGACGACCTTCGCAAGGTGTTCGAGAAGTATGGGCCAATTTCTGATGTTTACATGCCCCTAGACTACTATACCCACCAGCCTAGAGGGTTCGCGTACGTACAATATCCTCTCTGCATTGAATTTCTTTCTTTTTTTCGGGCACGTTCAATGTAAAAAAAACCGTGTTGCTGCACCAGTACTGCACTGGTACATGTAGTGGTGTATTATTTCCTCTAGTACTGTATTTAGAAGCTCTAGCTCATGAGCGTCTACTGAAGTACGTTGCCTTATTACTATTTTGCTCTCGCCCTCTCGTTTAGGTATGGAGATTGTTGGGGCAGGTTTCATACACAAATTTTCAAATTTAAAAGTTGGTTTTGTTTCCAAGCCAGCAGGACATGTTTATCTGAATGAACTTTACTACTGCAAGTGCATGTACAGTTGCGCTTGGTGAGTTCCGACCCAAAGTGCATATTTGGTGTCCTCAACTTGCGCGGCCCTTGACGCTAGCTGGAAGTGGTCTAAATGCGGCTGGACGTACACGTACATGTTTAAAAAAATACAATGATGTCATTAGAAATGGTCCAGGGACCAGGGCTCCAGTTTTGCGCTTTGGGTCGTATTTCAATGAGTGAAGCTCTACTGGTACCGTGCTGTGCACTGTTGCAAGTCATCATGATACGCTCTTCAACTACCATGAGTACGCTAACTTGTTCGCGAGACCGACATTCATTGAGTGCAAGTGTGCAGAGTATTGTATGAAGTAGTGTTCTGCTAGCTACAGGCGTTTATTTCCGGTTAGGGATTCAGCCTGTTTGCATTCTGGAAGCATTTTGAAGTGTTCTGAAGTTGGTGGATGGCCTGTGAATATACTAAATTTGAAAGCGAAAAGTGGGTTTATTTGGCCTGTAGCCAAAGCAATAATTATAGTGTAGTGCTCCTCTCTCCCCCGTTCGAAAGCGAAAAGGCCACTCAACAGTACATGGGTTGCCTTACCAGCACCCTGTTTTTCTATACATGATATATTTTGTGCATGTAGCTACCCCCAGTGTGCTGGTCCAGTGCAATTGTTGAGTAAACGCTTGCAATAGGCCGACATTACCATGCTGTGCTGCATGTGTGAAGTGATGCTGATTTGCACAGCCATGCACAAACTAACCGAGCCGCCGCCCCTCTTCCCTAAATCAAACTGACTGCAGTCCCCGGTTGTATGCCATTCTTCTAGTGCTTATCTATCATGCTGGCGGCATGCTTACTGTGTGTGTGTATTGGTGGTGTGGGCATACATGTACACTGTGTAGACGCCGCACTGCCAGCAGCTGTGCACTAAAGAGCAAGTCAAGACTTGACGGGCAGCAGTGATGGCGGTGGCAAAGTCCTCGTTGATGCAAGCCCAGTCTAGCAAGCAAACAAGCGCCCTAATCTAAGCCACCGAGATCAACTGATAACCGCACTAATCTGTGATCCGTTGTCCGTCTCAGTGCGCCCGCCCGCAACACCATCATGACTGCGGTCACGTGTCATGTGACACTGTGCATGACGTCATTGGATGTGCAACATGACGTCATCATCTCGTTGTCGTGATGGCTGATGTCACTGTTGCACATCCGGAAAGTTCGCGGTGGTGGATTGCATGCCGCAGGGATGGTGGTGGTGTGGGTTGACGCTGATAATGGCCACGTATTGGCATTGTCCTGGATTGCTAGCAGAGCAAGACAAAGCAAGTCAAGCAGCAGCAGCACAAGACACAAAGATATAGGCCAGAAAGTCAAGACAAGCGAAAAACAAGACAAGAAGCCCTGTGCGCACGGGGGAGAAATACAAGATAGAGCGTCTGCTTGTGCATTGACCAGTAGACTGAAGGGCGAGAGCAAGTAAAGTGCAAGACAAAGGCAAAGACAAGGCAAAGGCAAGGCAAAGACAAGCTCACCTGGCACCAGTATCTTTGGTATGTCACTAGGCCTATAGCTGAATACCATTCTCTTAGTAATTGTGTTTAGGGGAGTGGGTGCATGCGCATTTCAAGTTTGGGCCAGGTTTACATGAACGTGTGTGCGAGTGTGTATATGTTCTCCACCGTGCCTGTGTGTGTGTGTGTGTGTGTGTGTGTGTGTGTGTGTGTGTGTGTGTGTGTGTGTGCGCGTGTGTTTGTCCGTATTTGCACCGCATGCCTCAATGAGAGACTAGGCTAGAGAGGGTGATAGCTTCCCACAGTGGTATTGTGCACATCATAGTTCACCGGCTACGCATTGCCTGATCTGCCAGCTTGCAGGGGATGTTGTTACTGTTGTGTTGACAAAGTGCCTATGATCGTGATGAAGTTATCCTTAACGTTGATGTGGGCGCTTACATTTGATGATCCCCGTGACGCCGACGAAGCCCTCTACGGTACGCAGCGCGGAGCTCGCCTGCTGGGACGCGAGCTGGAAGTGGAGTTCGCAAAGGGTGATCGAAAAGGTCAGTGTACATTTTTGTTGATGTGTGACAGTGTTTGTAGGTCTACCTGTGTCTGGTTGGTAGTACCTGAGAAGCCTTCCGCTTGATAACTGTATCAATGACACAAGTTCTGAGTTTTGAGCTGCTGAATTTTGATAGCTTTGAACGTCAGCTTTCCAGTTCTGCACAAGCAGAATATTTACATTTTGTAGTCGATGAATAATTTCGTACAGCTTCAAGAAATACAGTTTGCCTGGTTGAAATTTCCATCCATGGACGTTGGAACGTGCTGAAAGGCTAGATAAATTGACTTTTGGTCCTGCGCTAAATTTACATATTATATTTGTAGTGTGAAAACTCTTTGGACGAAAACAATGAAGTCAAATTCCCGATGAATAATATGTTCTGGTTGTACAGTATCTTCATTTATGCAAAGGAGTATAAACAGAATTACTGGTATTTGTCCGGAATTAAATTTCGTCTTTTTCGTCCAAGGATTTTGGACGAAATGTAATGCCGGACTAATGTCAATTTTTCACTAGTCAAGGGAATGGAAATCTGTCAAGCTTTTCAATACACTCTTATGGTCCATGGACTAAATCTTTTTTTATAGATTTAGTCGGTTAAAACCGAACGAATTCCCTTTCTTTGGAGTGGAACAAGATTATTGACCGATTAAAATCTCTCCCTTGGTTTATTAGAAGACGGGATAGGCGGTGTACATGCACATGTATCTCTGAGAACAATCAGATCTAAAACAACAGCTGCTGCTCTGCTGTTTGTTCTTTCTCTGCTAGATCCGCACCAGATGCGTTCTAAGGAAGGCCGCTTTAGGTAAGACCCCATGTTTGTGTATGCTGTGTGTGTATGCTAACTACGATAAAGCCGTGTACTTCCACCCGAGCGTGAATAAAATCGGACAAGATGCATGGAGAATCGACAGCGTCGATATCAAAACCTATCTCAAACCCCTCGTAGGTGAAGAGACTGTCGTCTGGGTGGGCATTTACAAAACTCCCATGTGGTACCTTCAACCGACGGATTTGATTGCTTTCCACGCTTTCGTTGTCTTTCAAACGAGAAACTGGTGGTGGTCGGCAGAAAAAACCACCGACGGTGTCAGCATATGCAGAGGCAAGACTCTTCAAGCGTGAGATCTTCCTATCGAAGTACCAATCGAAAAACTCCGATAGAGGAGATTATTGCTGACCAATCACATGTAAATCTGCAGGATATGATAGATTTCCTCTACGACTCCTATCTCGTCAAGGGTATTTACGTGTCAACAAACAACTGCCATACGTTTGCCTCCGCTCTGTTCAACGAACTTGCAGCTACCCACTATGTTAATCACATCGAACTTCAACATGCCAAACCCATCGACTCGAAACATGCAATCGAATGAGTACTCGACCCCCATCCAGACAAACATTTAACACAGATATGTTCGTTTGTATGCGTTGACCTCATGCAATGAGTGAAATGCGAACTGTCATTATTATTATTATTATGTTCGTTTGAAAACTGTTTAATTATAAATCAGTTATCCCGACGCTTGCTTGAGTGAGGGTTATTACGCTCTTAGTAGGCAGCTCCCCGTAATAGTTCTCCAGTTTCTGCAGATAGTTCTTGATATGGGCGGGCGTTATGACGTGGCTCTTCATATCTTCCAATGTCCGCCATTTGTTGTCACTGTATGGGAGGAAACAGATAAAAAACAACATGTATAAGATCTCCGGTATTTCAAATAAAGAGAATTGCACGACAGATCACTTACCACGAGCATAGGAAGGTTGGTTGACGACCGGCCTCCAGCTTCTTCCTGTGTCCTTTGGACTTCAGATGATCCATGAACGGCTGGAGGCCGGTCATGGTTTTCGCGCAGGCGGAACAGCTGAAGAGCATGATGTCAGTTTTGTTGAATGGGACTGATCAAGGTTGATCCAATCACTTTTATCCCCATCCAGTTGTTCGTTGGTGGAAGGGTGCGGCGCGCGCGCAGTTCAACATTAAAACTCTGCGCGATGATCATGGAGTCTGCTACTCAGGATGTGGAGCGGGTAAATTGGGCGGTACCGTGAATACCACATGGTGAACATCTCTTTGAAACGGTGGTAGATTCGCGCAATAAAGATGATGATCATGGTGGCCACCACTCAAAAAGGATGTAAAGCGGGTAAAGCGGTGACGTGAGTACTACATCTCTTTGAAACGTGCACGATTCATATAGTTGAAAACCGCTAAAGATGATGATCATGGACCCCGCGGTGCTTTCAAACTTGCCGTTGGTTCTAGTTGATTCCAGAAGATTGCACCTCCGCATATGCTTGGAGAAGCGTGATCACGCTGCTCGTCGGGATGGCCCCGTAGAAGTTGATAAGCCTCTGAAGGTACTTCTCCATGTGGCTTGTTGTCGAAATGTGATCCTTCATTTCCATCATTGATCTCTATTGCAGTAACAGTATCCGAGAACAGCAGCATGTTCTCTTTTTCAACTATCTTCTCCACCAGATTCACCCGGCCCACCTGTTGTGCCAATAACTCATCCACCTTCACCATCCCCTCAACTCTCTGTAACCTCAGCTAGCTGTTTGGCCTGCTCATCCCTAACATTCTCCAACATACCCACCTGAAGACGGAGGGCTTTTATTTCTGCCTCCTTTGCCAGCAACTGTAGTTGCAGTTCAGAACAACAAGAACACGGTATGTCGGGCAAGGCACTCACATCCTGACCAAGTAGGTGGGGCCTACGCTCTTCCTGAACAGATACATTGTCCGTACCCAACTCCAGACCACCTAAGCTATCTCTATCTAAGTCTTCGCCACCTGTGCTACCACTGCCCAACTCCTGACCACCACGCATGCTGCTGCCCAACCCATGACCAATTGTGTCGAGTAAACTACCTACTGACCCTCCGGCACGAGCAACGCCAATCTCCTTACCACAATTGCTTCCCACGCCGTTGCCACACTGAATCCCACAAGCAGATCCATCACCAGAGGCCACACCCCCACCATCCACAGAATCATCAAAAGGAGGAGCATCATTGCGACTTACCACACCAGGAGTGTTTGATACTGACGGACCCTTGTAGAGCCGGTGACTGGTGACTTCTGGCTTCTCATCAGCAACATGTCGGCAGTACCTACAAGTTGGATCAAAATGAATGAATTTTAGGTCAGACAGTGGGCAAACCGTAGTTTCACATGAAATAGTCCCAAGGCGATCACTTGTCAACACGTCCCCCCCCCCAAAAAAAGCACACAGTGGCCTGAATTCTACAGTGCTTTCATTTCATTCATCATCACAATGCTTTCATAGACCTGTACAGTGCCTTCCAAACATTGTCATCATTCCCGATCAAGTCACCATGCTGGACACCATTGGCAGCTATCAAACAGAACACGAGCAATTACTATTATGGCTTACCAATGCCGCACTTTAAACGAAATTCAAATACAATGGGCACGTGGAGTTCAATGAAAAATCAGGTATGTTTTCATCTACAGTACAACAAATTCGACCCTTAGAATTTCACGGCCCCATGCCCTACCTGCAGATAGACTTGATGTTCCGTCCGCTGATGCTGGAGAGGACATCCAACAGCGACTTCCTGGCGTTTTTGTCCTTCCTTGTGGACGTACTCCCCCACTGGTAGTGGAAGGGGTTTCCACACTGGTAGGCCCCAGGAGTGGCACGACGCGAGGAACGTCTGGCCTGCACGTCATGCTTCCGCGACGACATGATCAGTGGTCTGGTGGCACTGGACGAAGAGCTCCAAACGTAGACTGGTCAACAGACTGGCGATCACCAAACTAAAAAAGACGAAGTCTGTGCCCTATTTCTAGTATTTGGGCAAGCAAAACCTCTCAACGAAAAAAAACTACACATGGAATCCAAATTTTTTTTCAGGGGAATGCATGAAAAGGCCATTGCCAACACGTGGCTGTACACGTGTACGCCTGCATTTGACGCATGTGGTCTGCATTCGTGCATTTCTCCATCCGAATCCACCATTCCTCCTTCTCTGCATCAAAACAGCAGAAACAGATCAAGTGAATTTTGAAACGCTCAAATGACGCGTACGCAGTACTGAATTTCTATAGCAACCACCGCCAACAGTCACCTGTCCTAACTAGGCGATCTCTGAGACCTGGTCACTGCATGGAGGAAACAGATAAAAGAACAACATGCGCGTGTGAATGCACATGTGCATCTTACCTGGTGATGAGCATGACCCTCCCCCCGATTGAATTGTTGTATAAATTCGTGCAAGGTAAGTAAAATAGTTTACTAAGTCTTGCTGTTAGGTAAATCGGGGGGGGGGGGGAGGATTTTTTTCAACAACTCTCCAGTACCTGTAGACATGTATGTGATGGTGATTGGGTTATTACGGCCGTCATCAAAGAGTTGATGGGGGTTGCGATGGTGATTGGGTTAGCATAACGATAGGATCTGTGCACATAACAAGATTTGCTAATAGGGTATATAGGGCCTGTGCACACATAAGATGAATAGCGATAGGATCTGTGCACATAACAACCAGATTTGCTAATAGGGTATATAGGACCTGTACACACATAAGATGATTATTAGGGTTTGCTAAGTGTTGTTGTTGTTGTGATCTGTACACAAAAAAACAATCGTACGAGGACTTCTTCAGCTGTAGTACCTGCACACATAAAAAGAGTAGAGTTGGCATGGTAATAGGATTGTCATGGTGATAGGGTTACGAGGGCTACTAGGGTTATCGTCTCTCGAAATATTAGGGTTATTGTCAGGTTTATCGTCACCAGAAATATTAGGGTTTAATATATCATCATTGTGATAAGGTTATCACCACCAGTAAAATTTAGGGCCATCATCATGGTGATAGGGTTAGGCCGAGTAAAAAAAATTACTAGATGATCGTCCTTTTTTTTGGAAAAATCGGGGAGGGCGGGAGGATTTTATTTTTATTTTTTTACTTTTTACCCTCTCATGCACACAGTGTACACAACAACATCAAGGTTTTTTTTCTCTTTTTTTCTTTTTTTTTCTTTTTTTCTTTTTCTTTCTTCAGCAGATCGATACTGACGTTGTGATATACTAGTAGTATGTGGTCCATATAGTAAAGAAAGTATTAAACAAAGCGTGCACATGTTTCCTGCATCCGCGATCGGTAAAAAACCAACGATTTCGGCAAAAACTCACGATTTAAAAAATAAAATATTTCTTGGGGCGCTGACAAAAACTGGGGCGGACGGGGACGATCATCTAGCTTTTTTTTTACTTGGCCTTATCAGGAATATTAGGGTTATGGTCATGGTGTTAGGGTTATCGCCATGGTGATAGCCCTAGGGTTAGGGTTATGGTCATGGTGTTAGGGTTAACTTGGGGTTATCATCATCAGAAATATTAGGGTTATCGCCATGGTGATAGCCCTAGGGTTAGGGTTATCGTCACCAGGAATATTAGGGTTATCGTCATGGTGATAGCCCTAGGGTTAGGGTTATCGTCATGGTGATAGGGTTAATATGCCCCGATTTTTAGGGTTAAATCGCATTACGTCATCGATGCCATCATGTGTAAAACGCTCCGATTTTAGGTTGAATCGCAAAAATTTACCGTAAATCGGAAAAATAGGGTTAAAACGCCCCGGTTTTTAGGGTTGAATCGCTATGACGTCATCGATGACGTCAGTGATATGGTACACGTCTAATGCTTTCTACTTAGGTTAGGGGTCGTCGCAAAAGTTTTTTGTCGTCCCTGAAACGAACATGATTCATTTGGGGGGGGGGGGGGGGAGGGGGTGCGAGCCAAAATCGCAAGTCGACCGACACTGTACATATGACATGTACATGCATGCGATTTTCGTCGTCCAGCATAGCAAGCTGTGTTCGTTTCAGAGGGAGGGGAGGGGGTCCGAGTACGAAATGAACGATGTTCGTTTCAGGGACAACAGAAAACTTTTGCGACGACCCCTTATAATGGAGCTGATCCGGTATGTTTTGGTGTGTGGCAAGCACCTGTGCGTGTGGTGTGTGGCAAGCACCTGTGCGTGTGGTGTGTGGCAAGCACCTGTGCGTGTTTGGTTGAACGACGATCAATAGAAGCTTAACAACAACAACAACAACAACAGCAGCAACAACCCTTCGGTCCCAAGACGATACCCAGATCTACTGTGCATTTCGAAAGGCTGGACTTACTTTCTCATACATGCAGGCCTAGGTATTTTTTAATGATTGTCCATACCTTGGATCATGAAGGCTTGGGATCCGGGTCTTTGTACTTGGTCAGAGCTTTTCCAACAAGAAAACAGCCAGAACTGGGGTTCAAAAGCCTTTATTTTTGCCACCGTCCCTGCTCCTCCTCCTCTCTATCTGGTGTGCCTTGTATTCATGTGTTTGTGTGCGTGGATGCTGTTTTGTGTTTGTATGTGTGCGTGTGTGTGCTTGTTTGTTTGTTTGTGTACATGCATTGTGTGTGTGCGCATGTGCACAGACGCTCCAGATCGCCAGATCGACGTGACAGGTAGGGAAGCCATGAACTGCACAGTCTTGAGTAGAAGCCTGGTCTTAAAGATGGGTTGTTCTGCACAGAAGGTTTTTTTGGGTTTTTTGAAATACATGTACCACGAGGGTTCTCAACCTTCACTGATGAGACCTTAAATTAAAAAATAATGGTTTAAACAGCGCTGTATGGAGGATATTTACTAAACAGCGCTGTATGGAGGACATTTACTAAACAGCGCTGTATGGAGGACATTTACTAAACAGCGCTGTATGGAGGACATTTACTTGTCAGTATCTACGACTTGGAGTCGTTGCTGGTATGAATGACGTTTGCCAGAGAGCGCATGTGGTGGAGGTGGCATGCTGAAATTCTTTGTTTTGGAATGTGCACAGTATTGGCGGTAGGACTTGACGGGTCACGCGGGGTAGCTGTACCTTGCATTGTATTCTGAGCTAGCTCGCCCACCTTGATTAGGATTAGTTTAGGTCGATAGACAGGCCAAAGGAGCCCAATTTTTTTCAACCAAGTCCACGTGCCCTCTCAACCAGGTCACTGACTCTGCTGACCTGGAGGGGGGGGGGGGGGGGTACTAAGGCAATACCGCCAGATATCGATGCCGGTATTTGCCCTGTGCATGCGCATGTTTGGGAAACCAACAGTTTGATTTCACTTGAGAAAGAGAGTGCTGCTGCTAACGCTAACATGTGTGTATTAGCATGAAGTGGCTTCTCTGCCTTGTCTGTTTCTAAGATGTATCCTCGCTCTTGATTGACGGTTATTGTTTCAGGCGCAGGCGTCGCTCTTATTCTCGCTCTCCAAGTCCACGTCGTCGCTCACGTTCACCACGCCGGTAAGTGCTTGGCTATTTTGATTATTATCTCTCTCTTTCCCTCTCTCTATCTCTCTCTCTATCTATCTATCTCACTTTATCTCATACACACACACACACACACACACACACACACACACACACACACACACACACACACACACACACACTTACAGGGGTGTCTGTAAATGCCGATATCTTATTGGAAACGAGTCAAGCACTATCTGTTCTTACCTCCAACCAGCCATGCTGCTGTGATGTCAGATCCTACTAAATAGAATTGATGGACTGTCCTATAGGCCTTATGCACGTTGTACAGATGCACGAAATCCCGTAGAATCCCGTAGACCCGGTTGGGTGTTGAATGTGCAGGACCCTATTGTGTTTATTGCTATTTCCACAGCGAAATGGGCCCTGAAGGCATTTCATACGAACACTTTTTCGACAGTGATCTAGCGAGTCGTTAGTTCAATTCCAAAGTGAAGAAGCTGGAAAAGTGATTGTTCGCCGCGAATTATGAGGCTAAATGGGTCAAACACGCATGTATAGCACACAATGAACACCCAACCGGGTATGTACACACCTACGGCCCTAGTACAGAACTTCGTACATCTGTACAATGTGCATAAGGCCTATTGGTTGGAAGGAGATTATGGTATAGGTTTAATCGACTGACACTGGATGGGGAATAGAGCATGGAAAGGCCTTCTACTAGACTTTCGTGCAGGACCAGCAGCAACTGACACCAGTGTAGCAAATCAGGTGCATTTTTGAGTTCTTGTTGCCTTTTCTACTGTGTGTCCGCGGTATTTTTGACTTGACTAGAACAGAAGAGGTGGCTAAAGTGAAGTGCCATGCTTCAGTGATTGCTGTGCCAGGTCTGGGCATTGTCCATTCCGCTAAAAAAACCTCTTTTTTTGCTCTTCCGTTCCTGCTTTACGTGTATTTTTCAGTGCGTTCAAGTGTTGGTTTGCTGCTTTCTGCTGCTGTTCTTGTGTGTGTAGGCGCTCTCCGTCTCCTGACCGAAGGCCTCGCAGTCGTTCAAGATCACCCTATGAGAGGTAGGCTCACTTTGCGCCAGTTCGTGTTCTTGTTTGGTCGATAGAGAGGTGCAGTTGACTCCACCAAGAGTCCATAACCCCCCCAGAGTGTACAACTGGGATAGGGTTGTGGTGTACGTCATTTTTCGGGTCGGACTTGCATAATTCCATCGACGCGGTGCACCACGGTCCACACTTCCCCTACTGATGATGCCATACAATGACGTTCAACACGGATTTCGCCGTCCCAGATCTGATAAGTGAAGTTGCGCACTCTGGGGGGGGGGGGGGGGGGGTTATGTACTCGACTCCACTTATACTTCCTCCGCGTCATTAAAATTGTCGCTTCGCACATCGCAATATTTGAGACTTGGCTCGTCTTAGTCAGACTGTCGGAATCGCGGTTTTCTGTGTTCGAACACTGGTGCGACCCTTCCTGCGCAATGTCTACTTGTCACTGAAGCCGTGGTGGTCTTGGACTTTGTCGGAGCGCTCTTCCGCACCAAGCAAATTCATCGCGCTCCGCACTATTCCGCCCCAGAGAGCATTTCATTTTCTGGAGTTCGTGCCGTCCCACATCGTTCGCGTGGGCATATATCAAGACTGCAAGCTCGGGTATAAGAATCCTGGTATCTCTCCTGAATACGAAATGCTGAAGCTGACGATGGCAAGAACAAAGCGGTCTCAAATTCCTAAAATGCGCTACTTGTGGCGCATGTTGCTGCGAAGGTAGCAGGTCTGAAAACTAGGGGTGAAACGATTAGTTCGAATATTCGATCGAAAATTTCAAACGAGCGAGTATTCGAAATTTTGCACTCGATCGTTTTTTTTTTTTTTTTTTTTTTTTTTAGGATTGGCATTGTATTTTTTTAAAACTTTTGTTGTACCGCTGGTCCACTGGTATGCATGCGTTATGCATGGCTTTGAGTCAGTATTTTAAGACTTCGACGATGCGATCACCACGGCAAGTAACGTTCTGAGATATGAAAGTACTGATGAAAATCGTTACTTTACACTCTGTACAAGACGTTGGCGACTTTTGTTCTATGTTCACAGATAATTTCTTCCAAATTGGTTGAGAGCAAATCTAGCGCTTTTGAATTTTGATAAAATACTCGAAATAATCGGATACTCGATCGAATATTATGAACGAGTGATCGGTTGGTCAAAATAGATACTCGCTTCACCCCTACTGAAAACACCAAAAAAATCAGCGAAGCGCTTGCCAAGGAAAGAAGGTGCGAAACTGCTTACCCCATCCCGCTGGTCGTTACAGTGTACTTGAAAAAAATGCTAGCTTGCCTTGATCGCCTGCCACCTGGAGGCATGGATCGCTTGAAAACGAAGTTTCTTGACCTGAATTTGACCGCGCGCCTTGTTCAGCGTATTGTTGAGTGCTGAAGGGTCTGCCTCGAACTCTGATGAAGACGTCGACCTTAGCTGCAAGTGCAGCGAAGCGTGGGGCCACAAACTAAAGCTTGGTCCGTCGACAATGCTCTGCCTCAATTTCTAGCTGATTTCTTTGCCCTTCGAGTGGACAAAATAAATTCGAAAAATCGCTCTGGGAAGCGACAATTTTAATGACGCGGAGGAAGTAACAAACTCGAATGATGTAGCAAATTTCGTGATAATTATAGCGAGCCGTTGTCCATGTCCCAGTTTGAACCCACAATGTAAGTGCATTTCTGTTTTCTGTTATAACGAACTTTGGCTATAAAGAACCAATTCTCCTGCACAATGGTGTTGTTAGATCAGGAGTCGACTGTACGTGGGTATTAGCTTCAGGCTGGTGGCTGCGTGGTATCCATGCTTTTCAACATTCAAGTCGAACTCGAACACACTGCAATGCCATTCTGTGCATGCTAAAATTTGGATCCCAATGTTCTGTATCGCAACCCTGCTTGCTGCATTTGCTGGTTGTCACATTTTTTCAGAATTAGGTGAAAGCAAAACATAATAGAAGCCAAGAACGAATACTGAAAATTGCACAATTTCCATGGACAATTTCTCACAGGTTCTAGTGGCAAACCTGGAAAAAATAAACTTGAAGACTCGTTGCATATTTTTCTTGGCGAGGGCTTGCTTAGCCCGTTGCATTGCATACACATGCTCTCTGCAATGACTGGATAGCAGATCTAGGAGGGATACACCTGGGCTTACGTTTGTCTGAGCCTCTCTTGCGAAAGCTGTCATCAGGCAATTGGCATATTCACGTGTACCGTAAAGTCCGGAGCAAACGCCCACTTCGCAGCAAACGCCCACCCCAGCGGGTCCATACTATTTTCGTCTTTTTCAGGTCAATATAGTTGTAAACAACTGGCATGAAGGTCGAATGCGTACGGGAACGACTGTAATGCCTACAAAGTGCCTATGTCCTACCAGGAGGCTGTGCAAAAACGATTGTCATTATCTTCCTGCAAAGAAATAACTTCTGTCGAGATTTCCTTTCATTCGATAAATGTGTCGTCTTTGTGGTAGTTCGTTCTCCATGTGGTACGAGTAATGCCGTAGAAATGTGTGCAGTGCCACGATGTCGCACTGTCAGGAACAGAAATTGTTCTGATAAAGCGTCAGTCAACGACTTGACTGGTCCCAGTACTAGTATTGCAGTTGCAAGTCGGATAGGGTATGTCACAGAAGCTACACCTACAAAGCCGCTGCTAACTTGTTGAAAACTCCGAAGTGCCCGAGAAAAACACTTGCCTTTGGTGCTGTGTGATCTCGAAATGATTGCTTGAAACACCGTCAGAAGTGTATTTGGTTCCTTCAATACTCTGTTCTTCGCTACCTTGCTATTCGGAAGAAAACCCGGTTCGGATTTGCGAAATAAAACAACCATCATTATAAAATCACTACGAGCTAGCTCGTGGCTAGTGCCCAAAGAGATTTTGAAACCCGGAAAGTGGACATAGTTTACCGTAGCGAAGTGCTCTTCCCGCTACGGTGTGAGATGCACTTTCGTACAGTAGTGGTGACAGTGCATGGGGTCAGTGTGTACAGGCCAGCAGATCTTGCAAAAATGGGGTGGGCGTTTGCTCCGGACTTTACGGTACTGGTATCCAGGTTGTTCCAAAGTGGTCAGTTTGCTTGTACCAGTGGTGAGTTTAACCTGCTCTCTGCACCGTCTTCTTGTCCTCTAGGCGGCGCCGATCCTACTCTCCACAGCCGCGCTATTCCGAGGTGAGTAAACATGTGCTGCACAAGCTCACAGCACATGGCTGCATTGCCGTTAGAGAGGTTCTGCAAAACGAAAATGCGTGCAAACTTTCGCTCTACGTCATGAAGTGAGAAACTTCGCACGAACTTTGGATGCGAAACTCGCAAGGAACGCGAAATGAACTTTCGCGGGAAGTTTCGTGAGATCGGGTCATGGCGTACGTGCACTTGGTGCGTGCAAACTACGAAAATGTGCAGAACACAAAGTTCGTGTGAAAATTCGTACACATTTTCGCAAGGCCCGTCGCAAAGCTTGGTTCGAATTTTCGTTTTGCGGAACCTCTCTATTGTATCAAGTACATTGTACATCCATGTACAAAGTACCGTGCTTATACACTAGAAGCTGAGCCTCCTGCAAGCGGAGCCAGACTTTGTTTATACTGTTTTTTTGTTGTCTTTGACAATCGACAATACTGTCAGGTGCTGAAGAACTGGGGGGGGGGGTCATGACCACAGTTGCATACTATTGTTTAGGGACTGTTGATGTCATCATTTGCGTGGTGTGTGTGTGTGTGTCTGTGTGATGTCCTCTCCATGCTTCTTGCTCATGTAGAGTCCGCCAAGGGGTAGACGGTCACGTTCTCCAAGCCCACGCTAGAGTGTGTGCCACACACCGCTGCTGCTGCTGCCTAGCAATGCTGTTGTTTTTCATGGCGCTGCTGTTCTGTGGTTCAAGAGCATCTATTCCCTTTCGTTCGCTCCCCCTCTTTCTTATGATTTCGTTTTCAGAGACGCAACATTTTCTTTTTGTTGAAGGACGTCAAACAGCATTGTGGTTCCTGAATCCAGCCTCGATGTCTTTTTGAGGTGAACTGTGGTGCCTGTCATGAATCAGTATAGTATGCGTGCATATAGTGCCTTGCTGGGCTCGCTCGCACATTTTTTCGGCAGGACTTATTGATTTTCAGATGAAGACTTTATGAGAGAACGGTGGCTTGCTTTGTTCAACTGTTGTAGGGTGGCTGGCTTGGCATGGCTGCACACACTCCCCTCCCTGCAGCGTTATTGTGTGTCTTGTCATGTAGCGAAGCACTGCCAGTGGCTGCACTGGTGCGGTAGCGAATTTCTTGCCGTGTTTGCACTGCTGTTTAGCGTATCTGCAGTGGTAGACTGCTGTCGCCCCTGAGGCCTCACTGTTTGCCCGAGTCATGGCGTTGCATCCAGCGTGCTGAGCGTGCAGCGTTATCTCACACTGCACATATTTTGCTTTACTAATAGCTGTGCTGTGCTTGTCACCTGTTTTATTCAACTCGCTCAACTTAGATTTTGAAATGCGTGCAATTTAGTTCCGCATGCCACCCATGTATGCCTACACATACAATGTAGCGGCAACGTTACTGAGTTTGATTGATTGTGTGTCTGTGTTACACCCTACTGTACCCCCACCCTGCAGCCTGCTTGTGTTGGTTGCTATGGGTACCCACCCTGCAGCCTGCTTGTGTTGGTTGCTATGGGTACCCGTCTGTGTATGGTGCGCTGGCCATTCTGGCGACATCGCTCATCTGTAGCGCCGCTTGTAATGACATAATTGATGTTCTCGTAGCTGTGTACAAGATTGCAGTGTGCTGGCGATCTCTACCTGTGCCCTTGCGTGTTTGTTTGTTTGTCAACTCTTTGCATGTGTTCTAGCAAGAGTCCATAACCCTCCATACCAGGGGAGTTATGTACTCTTGGTGCTAGCAACTGCCATGGCTCTTGTTGTACTTGCCTCTACCTTACCGAGTTGCTTGTTTTGTTCTCGTTTCTGCTGTGGTGATTAGTTAGCTTCACCATGCCATGGAGTCCAGGACCCATAGTTGTTCTGTACATTGCAGCCTGGACTGTAGTGGGATAGTGGTATGGTGTAAAAATGAGTAAGAGTAAAATAAGCTACTCCCTGCTCCTAACCGCAATACAAATGTGCTGTTGTTTGGTGTGTGGCGAGTGTGGCTTATCGCTGTGCGAGAATGGTGTTCTTATGCATAACTGACAGTTTGTTTTAGCAGGGTTCAAAAGTGCTACAGAAATATATTGAAAAATTAATTAATTGACCGGCCTGCTGAGTCACCAAGGTCACAGCGCGCCTGGTCGGCCCTGAGCTGACTCAGCTGTGTGCCTTTTGATTTGTAGCACCGTCTGTGACCTTTTTCGATTTTGACAGCATGTTACAAGGCGAGGACGCGTAGTGCTCCTGACTACAACCATAAACCGGTTGGCAGAGTCCCGGTCTTGCGACCATTTGAACCGTATTGGGAAAACCCAGGTTCGGACCCTCGTTACTCTACGGGTTGGTAGGATTTTTTTAGAGTAACGAGGGTCCGAACCTGGGTTTTCCCAATACGGTTCAAATGGTCGCAAGACTTGTAGTGAAGTTGTACAGATCAGGGAGTAGTACCTACTCCTGTCCTGGTACCATAGGTACAGATCATGTACGAGGTGAATAGCAATTTCTGGACACGAAAATAAAATAGAGGCCCACTGGCCGTGTGTTTTACATTTTTCATATCTTTTTGTATCTATTGTATGGCCTAATCCTTCATCTTTCCAAATATGTGACAATTGCTCATGCTGTGATCCCAGAGACTTTATAGCAGGATGTTTTCTACGGGCCAATTGTTTGGCCTAAATTTCAGTGTATGGAATTCTGGACATGAAAGTAAAATAGCGTCAATAGGCATCCTATACTCCACCATTTTTGTTATTTTTTCTATTGGTGGACTGCAGTTGGCCTCTTCACACTTCCAGCCAACAGGTCCAAGACTATACAGCGTCTGAAGTGGCGTGCACATGGGGAAGCCAACGATTCGTCCATTACTTCTTATTTTACTCAAAATTCAAAATTCTCATGCGACATAGTACCACAAAACTCGTTGAAATGCCTCCCAAGAAAAGGCTATCAACAAGGCACCGACACGAGGAGAAACTACTTAAGTACAACAGCCCAGCTGTCAACTACAACAAGAAAACACTTCATCAACCTGACTGACTTGACTTTACACGCGACGAAATATTTTTTACCCGAAATGTCCAGAAATGTACAATGTCCAGAAATAGCAATTCACCTCGTACAAGTCAGTCCGTGCGCCAAGGGGTACTCAAGGGCTGATTTTATTTGCAACCGCGGGAAACGAAGTCACCAAGACGCCTTCATTTGAGGCTTTTGGAATTGGAGAATTTATTGAATTTAGGTATGGCTCTCGTCCCTTCTAGAGAACTAACCAAGACCCTGTGGGGGCAGAAGGAGACTTCTTTGGCTCCGTGAATACACTAGCTATGCGGTGGTCTAGTTAGTTTGAGTGTGTGGTTCGTATTCAAAGTGTTCCAAGCCGCAGTTCACTCGAAGGTCATCGTGGATACGTCTGCACTTGAAAATCAAGGCTGGAAAGGACTGCCTGGTGTGTCCGAACGGTATGTTTTGCACTGAAGGCATTTTTTGTATGAATTGTTGAAAGTGTCTACTTGTTCGAAATGCAAAAGACATGGTCGTAGATCCTTGGCCCACAACACCCCACTAAATAAACTATGACCTGTCGTGAAATTATGTGAAATTGATCAACACAATCATACACAAATTATCCTATGGCAAAGTACTGCAAATGCAAATAATAGCATCCCTTTACCTAGGTCATGTTTGTAGGGCCTTATGCCACATCTTTGCATGATTTTCTCATGCAAATCGTGTGCCTAGCTTCGAAAACACATTGCGCTAAGTGCCGAATATATACCTGTGAATCAGAACAACAGCACTCACTATTGCTTTCATGAGTGGTAATGGTCAGCTGAAAGGAAACTTCTATCCATCAACTCATAAGTAAAGTAATGACTAATCTCCTTGCTGCGCATGTGGTTCCTTCGTATTTACATGTACCGTAAAGTACCGTAAAGTACCGCCAGAGCGCCCCACCATCTCGTCCTTTCGGGGTCGTATTGTGGGGGTGGTCTCCGGTCTGTAGGTTATACGACACGAACTTTGTACACATATTGCACGTTCTGCAGACAATCTGTGCCTTCGAGCGGACACGAGCTCCACACAAAACCTGCTTAGTGTGACCTTAGTACACTAAGTTGCTCACACCGTACGAACTTCGTTGCACTCTGCCACACGATTTTCCTTTCCCTGGCTGTATTATAAATCTGTCGCAGCAAAATCAAGGTGGGGCGCTCTCGCGGTACTTTACGGTATGTGCGCCTCTCTGTGTTCGGTGAATGATTTTGAATATTTGCGCACGACTTCAGGATAGTGCACATTGTATGCATGTACCTGCATATGTAATCCTTTCATGATTTAAAAATTAGGAGAGCCGTGCTTCTCATCACCGTGGACAAGTAAATGTCGGCCAATTACGTAGCGTTTGGAGATTTGCACAAGTACAGTTGCGTGTCGATTATGCGGCAACCGCGGAATAAAATGAATATTCTGGACGACTGAAGCTACAAAGCCATCTTGTGTTAACTTAACAGATAAAAAAGACAGTACTTCGAAGTACCTGTATTTATCACTAGTATTACCCTGAGACAGTCGTGCTCATCTCTAGAGATGGCTTGTATTTAACTCTACGTAATGGCAACTTTCATGATGCTGACTGTCTACATTTACTTGAAGTAGGACTATAAATACTAAATATAAGGTCTATAAGCTGTCAGTGCGGTGCTGTTGGATACCCGACATGCCATGTGACTGACCGCCAGATACTAGTAAACGACATGCGATTGTACCGGTCACAGTGTAGCTGGGTTTTCACGACAATTTGAAACTTATACGATTGTGAGAAAAGTTCAGAAACCACACTTACACATACACACACACGCACGCACACACACACACACACATGCGTGCACGCGCGCGTGTGCACACACACACACACCTGTCCTGTTCTGTTGAGCCACTACCACAACTTAGCACAAGGATCGCATCGGCCCCAAAGTGGCAGTAGAGCGAAAGTGAGAGGTGTTGGCTTCGAGTTCACCTATCTCTACGGTGAACGCAACCTCGATCGAAAGTCATGCCAAACGGATTTATCTACCACACGCGCGCGTGTGCGCGTATACAAAACGGAGGAAGGATTACTTACTCTCCCTGTATGATGTTTCTGTTGTATTCGTGAACAATGTCATTGATGTTTTTCCATGCATGTTTTTGAATATGCGAGCATAACTTCCAACATCAAGCACATTCTTGCTTCTCATCAGCATGTACAAGTTTATGTTGGGCAGTTATGTAGCGTTTGTTTTACCGGCTGCGTTTGTTGGTGCTTGCAGGTCATTGGCATGCTGTCTGTTTCACAGAAGCTCGTGTAACAGGTTCACCGTACAGCTATGAATGCAATGTAGCGTGTTGAAGCCACTTCGGTATGACGTGATGCCTAATTTCCTGGTTGTACCAAAATTGCGAGTATGCAAGTGATCGTCAAGCCTGCCCCTGTACAGTAGCCGTCTTGCCTTGTTACGCCTGGTTCTGACTCTGCGTTCTCGTTTACTCCATGCAATGTTACAAGGAATACTGCTCCCTTCTCAAGCAATTCATTGGCAACAAAACGCTCGGCTATGCCCTGTAACTTTGCTGTGCGGTTTGTGCTTTGTCAATGTTGTGTACCAGTTCATGATCTGTGCTTGCTGGTCTGTTTGTTTTCTCTCGCACAATTGAGGCGCTGTAGCACAGTGTACAGTGTCGATCATCCTGCCCAGGCTCTGATTTCACGTACCACAGTACGGTTTCTCTTGTTGCTCACTGTAATGTGCATGATACAAGCTCCTTGGTACTCCATCATCACCTGGTGCTGTTGCTGCCATTGTTGGACCCTGCTGATATCCTTCTCGCAATGCCCGAACGTTGTTCCAACAAATGCACAACTCGCTCTTAGTTGTCACATTCGGTTTGGTATCGTTCCAGTCTTTTGAATTGAGTGAGTGCGTAAACTTGTATGAAGTGGTGGAGCAAAAGCCGTGTGCCGGCAAACATTCAATGTCCGGGTGTAATGACGCACCAAGGTCCCGGGACTTGCGTCCAATTCCTGAGTGATTTTTGTGTGCCTAGCCTCTAGGTATCATACCATATTTGTTTGGTTCAACCGTTTTGGATGCCCACTGCAATACCATTCACTGTATTATGTGTGTATGTTATCCAAGAAATCTCCCATATTTTTGGGTGGACAAACCTCGCCATAAGTCAGTAACCTGGCATTTTGCACTAACAGAACTCCTAGGATATCAGCGCCGTCTCAGTACCTGGGGACAGTTGTAAAGAAAAAGAAAAAATATCCTTGGCCCACAATGCCCCACTAAATAATCCGAAGGGTGTCGCGAAGACGACAATTTCCTTACCTTTCTTTCGTGGACGAAAAAAGACACTTCGCTTCGTCCGTTGCGCATGAAACGAAACATGAGGGTAGTGTTTATCAATTAGAATAGGTATCATGCACGAAGGAATGGCGAAAAGGTACTATGCTCGAGCGCTGGTCGTCGTCTTGTTTGTCAATTTTGAGTCCCATTGAGAATTTTCTTCTCCAGACCTCTCAAATTTCCCGCGGTTGCAAATAAAAGTGCAACTTCTACACACTTTGTAGACGACTTTTTTGAATTTGGCGCACGGACTGAAGTAGATGACTGTACAATCGTCATGCACTGAAGTAGACGTAGACGTGAAGTCCTTTGTTTGCACGTGACTATCCTCGTGATCTCTTCGAGTCGTTCGACACGAATCGACAGGACACTGAGGACAGGCGTCCTCTACTCTAGTACTAGCTCTAGCTTGCCTTGGTTCCACACGATTTCAGGATCAGCTCGTCCACTCTTCGACTTTCCTTTTGAAGTTTTGTACAGGCTGTCCGCATGTCCGTCATGTCAGCAGCTCCCACAGTCACAGGTACTAGGTAGCTAGCTGAGCTTGACTTTCTGCCTGTGACTCCGCGTCTTGACATTATGGACTCTTGACATTACCGATACTTAGGAAACAGGATTCCGTTCTTGTACTTACTTACGAATTTGTAGTTTCGGTGGCGTACGCGCCTACAGTAAGCCCATAGCAAGTGTTTTCTTGTCGAGGCACGCATGGTGTTCTTCTAGTTTAGGATTGGCCCATATTGGATGCGATGGAGTGCTGTGTTAGCTGGTTGTTGCTTGCCGCTTGCCTTTTTGGGGTAGTGTTTTCTGGCGACCCCGAGGAAAACCTTGACGCAGTAAGTGATACGTAACTCGACTGGGAATGGTTGTTTTGAGCGATTCCTGTGTGTGGGTGTGTACACGTGTGGAGACTAACACTTTTGCCATGTATTGTTGCACAGACAGTTGCATTTTCAAAGGACTTGGCTGATAAGCTATCTTACTTGTAGCCGCGTCTAAAATTGATGTACATGATCTGGGGAAAGTGATTACTAGTATTGATGGATTTGTGCACGCCTGGTTGATTGCGTGTACCACCAATGAACTATCTACGTGCACCGCGTGTAATGACTACCGACTTGTGTCTAAAATGAGTAGATCTACTGGCTGTGCGAAGCATGTACTCGAGAGTCAAGACCTCTCTGAGTGGGTAAACAGTCAACACAACGACAACAGCAGAACGACTTTCAAGGTCTCACTTATTACTATTACTAGTACACTGTACAGTACTACTATGTCCCATGAATGCATGATTTGCACAGCACCACCACCATGACCACGGTACGGCCATGATGCGGTGGGTGCGTACACATCGGGGTGTGTGCTCCTGGCACTTGATCATGGACAGTTTGTAGTTCAGTACTGGCTGACTGTACTCCAGGAGGTGTAACAGGGGTGTGTGCTTGTCATGGCTAAAAAGAGTATCATGACATGAACATGTGTTACATGATGATGCACAAAAAAACCCTGTCCCTGCAAAGTGCAAGGCTGCAGTACAGTCAGTGATCACAAAACATCACATCTTACAAGTACTACAGATTACCAGACCTTTGTTTCACCACATCGCCTCAGCTCTGTGCTGCTTGGTATACTACAGTACTGGTGGGTGCTGAAGCACTGGAGGGTCAGCGTCGTAGCGGTCTTCGGCACCTGACATTACTGTAGTCATGTACAGTTGTGAGTTGTGACCAAAGATATCCGGCCCACGTGCCGAAAGCAGCGCCAAGGCTCATGCCCCCCCCCCCCCCCCCCAGGGCCCTCGGGTCGGTCTTGGTACGTGCATGATGTATTTGAAATTGGACACGCGGCGCTACTTCTGCCATGGTCAGAATTCGGAAGAAAACATACAAAGTGGAAGAACAGAGAAAGAACAAAAATGAAAGCAGGTACAGGATAAGTAGCATAACACACACATGTACATGTAGTGACTAACACCAAGAGTACATAACCCCCCAGAGTGTGCAACTCCCACATACCCTGCTGTCCCGACAGAATTTCAAGTTGACGTCATTATTTATGACGCAATGCTCCTTGCACCAGTGATTTACAACATGTGTACGGGTGTCAACGCATCACACGTTTTTCTTTGCAATAATTTGTACAGGATCAGATAGGCTTTGGTTCACCACAGGTTCCGGATTCGTCTGATAATCCGTGTGCAGTGCGCATTGCATCATCAAAATGACGTCAACTTGAAATTCTGTTGGGACAGCACCCATAGTGGAGTTGCACACTCTGGGGGGGGGGGGGGGGGGGGGGGTATGTACTCTTGCTAACACTCATGCGGGCAATGTTTTTTTTCGCAAATCTGCATCGCAAAAATGCTTCCGTGAATCCCGCACTTAAGCAAAATTAATGTGTGTGTGTGTTTTGTATGTGCACATGTTTGTGTGTGTGTGTGTGTGTGTGTGTGTGTGTGTGTGTGTGCATGTCTTCTGATGCACCGCTCTGCAGTGTGGCATTGTGCAGTACCATGGGTACCCGTGTGAGAAGCACTTTGTCGTGACGGACGATGGATATATCCTGCAGATGCAGCGAATTCCCTACGGCAAGAAGAACCATACCAAGCCAGGTAACTTACCAGATGGCTGTGTTAGCTAGTGGCCCCCCACTCTGAGTACACCATCAGCTTGTCCTTTGTCCACGTGTAGAGCTCAGTGTTTGCACTGCAGTAAAAACCCGTCAAGGTGACCACTCGGCTAAGGTGACCACCTGACTGACAGGACCAATACTACCAGGACCAAGTGGTGTTATTCTGTTATTTCGCGTCAACTGACCCTGGACAAGGGGACCACCTGTATAGTGTATACAGGTCTACCCTCGTTAGTACGACATCGGTTACAAGACAAACCTCATTAGTAGACAACGACGCCTGAAACGTGTACACTCACGTCCGCATAGTAGATAATACTCGCTATGAGACGAACAGTTTGAAATCCGCCGGGTTGACTACTAACGAGGGTGTAGACCTGTACAGGGACCACATCTTGAAGGTCCATTGAGAGCGGCCGCCTTAGACAGGAGTAGTTAGTAAAATACCGACTCCCTGGTTGGTAGGTACGCCATAGAGGATGCACGTTGAATTGTCTGCGTGAAATTAATCACATTTTTCTTCTGCACTGCAACCCGTGTCATGTCGTACATTTCTGCCCTGGTCTGTTGGAACTGGCACGTCCCACTGCAATCTGAATAGAATCTGTGGACAGACTCAACACCTGGGGTAGCGCATTTGCTTGTTTATTTTAAGTTGTCATTAAAGGAATCCGACCTCGACTTAGCGAGTGCTGCACCAATTTGCACCCAGAACTTGTAAATGTCACGCTGTTGTGCTGGGGTGCAGGGTTGGGTGGCGACAACCCTAGCAGTAAGCTGATATATGAGCCGTCAGATGCAAAAAGGTACCTTATGACGTTTTGCTCGCAGTTGAGAAAATCGCGTTCGAAAAAGTATTTTCTGTGAATATGTGATCGATAGTCCGGATAGTTTCCAAGGTAACTCGGTGATGAATTGAGATTTTTGGACCTGGTTTTTTGCACGACACTCTCCTGACCAGGTTGTATCTGAAACAATCGTTAACTCGATTTGGCCAAAAATGTCATAAGGTACCTTTTTGCATCTGACGGCTCATATGTGAAGCTGAACCCATTTGTCACCTGGTTTGTATTGTGAAGTGGAGTAGCAGCTAATGTGTGCTGGTGTTGTACAGTGTGTAGTGTATGGCCTGGTCTGGTCTGGTCTGGCACAGCTGTGATGCTATTGGTACTAAGTAACAGGTGAGGATGATAGCACATGGGTGCTGCTCCTACTACCTGGAGTGCAAGGTTATCGCTTCAAAATTAGTTTATGTCTATCTTTGCCCTGTGCAATCATTTGCTCACTCTCTCCTCGCTATGGGTACTTGAAGATCGAACTTTTGGCAGAAACCTCTGCTGTAGTAGCAGTAAGTTCACTTTGCCGTTTGGCTTCCTCTCGACGTTGTCGGGCATGGTCGTTTGCTGTGCTTCCACCCGGCGCTGGTACCGGTACTGGTTGGCCAGAAATTCCACTAGTCGCAGCAGTGGCTGTCAACACAAGCCAAACACCGGTCTCGTTGGAGGAGACCTCTCTTCATTAGCCCGACAATAGGGTTGACAGCCCGGCTGCAATAGTGTGGAGCTTGTGTGCCTGCCTCTTGCACACGATTCAGGGCTTCGAGGATAGAAGCCGTTTTCCTGACGAGTCAAAGTCAAGGCATGGCGTTTGTAACAATACACTTACTCTGAATCAGATGGAGGAAAGAACAGCAAGGTATGCATGTAGCTGGCTGAATTAATAGAATGACCACTGTTGCGGATGTGTGCGTGTTTTTTTGTGCATGTGTGCGTGCGCGTGTGTTTCTATATTTGTTCCCCTGCGAGCAGTCCCTGGTGTAACCAAGCCAGCTATGTATCTACAGCATGGTCTCCTGGCTGCAAGTACCAACTGGGTGGCAAACCTGGTCAACGAGAGCTTTGGTTTCCTGCTGGCTGATGCTGGCTATGATGTGTGGATGGGTAATGTGCGGGGCAATACCTACGGACACAATCACACCAAGCTCAGCCCCAAATCCAAGGCCTTCTGGAAGTTCTCGTAAGATCTCTACCCACCTGCCAATTTTGGCAGTGAGCAAGTACAAGTGTGTGTGTGTGTGTGTGTGTGTGTGCGTGCGTGCGTGCGTGTGTGTGTGTGTGTGTGTGTGTGTGTGTCTGTGTGTCAGCTAGTTCGGTTAGTGGGTACACTTATGCCTGATTGTGTTGGATCTGTTGCCAACAGGTTTGGCTGCTTGAAGGTGTATTGTTGTATCTGCCACCTTTGTTGGTTTCAGGGTTCATATACGCTGTACTTTCTATGTGAAGTATACATACCTGTTAACCATGGGCTGCTTCTTGCTGTGTAATCAATGGTGCTAGTGACGCTTATCAGATCCACTCTGATTTAGCCACCCACACTAGTAGCAAGTATTGCATTCACTGGGGGCAGGGGTAACTGCAGTTGGATCCCGGGACGGATACCCTGATGCCGTCACACTTGTACTGTACACTACAGGCATGTCATTGTGTACTGTGCAGGCATGTCATAACGTACTGTGGAGGCATGTCATAACATACTGTGGAGGCATGTCATTATGTCTCTGGATGGTCCTATACTCTCAATATATTCAGCCATTCAGTTCAGAGTAAGCTTATCTCTCAAGATATGTGAACAATTATCTGCTGTCTGGAGATTGACTGATGTGTCTACTATGCGTTTGTGTGCTGTATGTGTGTGCGTGCGTGCATGCATGCATGAGTGTGGTGCGTGCATGTGTGTTGTGCATGTGTGTTGTGCATGTGTGTTGTGCATGTGTGTTGTGCATGTGTGCCTGCACAACACGGTGGCGGCGGTGCTTGTTATCATGTACATGTATTAGATTTGATGAAATGATTCGTTATGACGTGCCCGCCATGATAACCCACATCCTGCGTACCACTGGCCTAGAGCAGATCTATTACACTGGCCACTCACAGGGCACTATGGTTATGTTTGCTGGCCTGTCTCGCAACAAGACCCTGGCAACCCAGGTAGGTCTGACCTGCTGCTGCTTGAAAGCAGCCACTAGCTTCCTGCAGTTTATTTCTGGAAAATAAATGTGCACTATATCAATGTGTATGAACTGGATGAGAACCATGAACTGTGAACCGATCATGATCTGTGTGTGTGTGTGCGTGCGTGCGTGTGTGTGTGCCTGTGTGTGTGCCTGTGTGCGTGTGTTGTCTCTCTCTCACACTCTCTCTCTCTCTCTCTCACTCACATATACGCACACGCACACACACATACATACTTTCATACATACATACATACAGTCAACTTCGCTAATAACGACAATTCGCGAATAACGACAGAATTTCCATGCCCAGAGCAAAGTCCATTCTACCTGTATACGTATAACGACACTTCGCGAATAAGGATACTTTTCTGATGCCCCACCGAGTGTCGTTATACGCAAAGTTGACTGTACATTCATTCATACACATATACCGCCAACCTCTACTCTACCTTTCTACTTCTGTGTGCGTGCGTACGTGTTGTTGTAGGTCAAGGCCTTCTTTGCTCTGGCACCTGTAACTACACTCGGTCACATCGGTGGAGCGTTTAAAGAGCTCAGCTACATTGCCCCAGAGATCATCGTAAGATCACTTTTGCTATTTTGTCAAGTTTGAGCAAAGGACTCCTGTGCATGGCTTATTCTGCTCTCTGCTATGGACTGTGTGTGTGTGTGTGTGTGTGTGTGTGTGTGTGTGTGTGTGTGTGTGTGCGTGTGTGTGTGTGTGTGTACGCACGCACATGCGTGTGTTGTTGTACTGTTTATGATGAGTCTGTCATCTACACACACCATCTATACCCAGTTGTCATGGGAAGTATCAGTATGATATGTGGTAATTGCATGTTACTCAGTACTTCACTTCTCTCACTGTGGTGTGTAATGTTGAAAGACAGTTTCGGAGTTGGTCGGACATGGCCAGACGCAGACGCCTTGGTTTGGGGAGAACATGTTCACAGCTATACAGCGCACGCTTGTTTTTTACTGGAACACCATGCGGCTTATCGAGGTCAATATTCCCCCATTGTGTGTGTGCACGTGCATGTGCGTGTGTTTGTGTGTGCATGTGTGGGTTCATAGCTAGGACACCATGCTGCTTATAAGGTCAGCATTCCCGTCTTCTGTGTGCATTATCTTAAGCTGCGTTCCCAACTGGCGCGTGGACACGGTACGCTTGCGGTTCATGCGTGCCCAAACGCTCGCTCAGGCTTTCACAAAAAAAACAGCAATTCGACTCGTATTTAGGGCGTGCGACGCCTTCGAGTACTAATGTTTTGACCCCGCCAGTCAAAGTAACTGGCATGTACGCTGGTACGCGCCTGATACGCGCTGAAAATTCCAACATGTTGGAATTTCCATTTCGGTGCGTTTCCGTACGCATGTGTAGTATATGTTGGAATTTCCATTTCGGTGCGTTTCCGTACGCATGTGTAGTATCCCTGCCCGACCAATACGGAAGTAGTACGGAACTAATACGGAGCTTTGCCTGATGTATAGTTAGTGTATCTCCGTATGTAAGCGTACGGCGTCTGCTGCATAAAAGCTGCTGCGCATTTCTGTTTAGATGAGATTTTGATAATAACGAGCTATTCAACCTCCAAGTGTGCACCGGAGAGAAACTCATTTATGTGCCGCTTCTTCTTTCACTAATAATTATATCCCAGGTGTGTACCTGAGAGAAGAGAAGAATAAAACGAACTCTTGTTGATTACACCGCGCCTACCACTCGGCTACCTGTTACACATGTACGCATGGCGCCCCAAAAGCCAGCAAAAATGCGCACAAACGCGTTGTTTCACGCGTTCCCCTGCCAGTTGTGAACACAGCTTAAGTCCTGACCTGTTGGATGTTCATACCAATATGTATGTATGTGTGTGGTGTGTGTGTGTGTGTGTTGTGCTCTGGCTGTTTCTGTGCCTGCGTGGCAGGACATCGTAAACCTTTTTGGAGACGGGGAGTTCCTGCCATCCTCTCACTTTGTGCGCTTTCTGGCGCAGAATTTCTGTGACACTCAGCTAGCGGAGGTGTGTGAGAACATCCTCTTCGTGATTGCTGGCTATGACAAGGCTGGTATGAACGAGGTAATGCTTGCAGTGAACGTTTTATGCAATCCCCCTGGCACACACACACACACACACACACACACACACACACACACACACACACACACACACACACACACAGACGTGCACACATGTGTATCATGCAGACTGGACAGCATTTCTCTACATCCACTCCCCACCTGAGGGCACCCAGGACAACACATTTAGCCAGAAAGATTTGAATTCTTTTCATCCCCCTCCCCCCCCCCCCCCCCCGACATGATCAATCATTCCAGTGGTTTATATAGTGTCCATTATTATTTCGCCCCTCCCCCTTCTATCTTGTGTTTTAGCATGGTGTATTGTGTAAGGGACACCCAGTATACGTATGGACCAAACGTCTCTTGTGACCACCCCATAGTATCCCATAGTTCATAGATTGTCGGTCTGCACACTGGGTGCATCCTCCGGTGAAGGTTGTTAGTCGGTTTAGACAAGTGGTCGTTGTAGAAAGATTGAAGTGTTTGCTCAGACATGGTTTGGGGCCTGAATTGACAGCTCTCTAAAGGACAGGCGACCATTTTTACTGCTGTGTCATCTCCTCTCTCTGACTGTTTGTTGTTGTCGTCGTCGCTGTTGTTGTTGATGTTTCTGCAGACAAGACTGCCTGTGTACACATCACATTGTCCAGCTGGTACATCTGTGCAGAACATAGCACATTTCGCACAGGTAATACAACCCACTGCACTACTTGTCTGTATGTACCGTATTTCCCGGAGTATAAGCTGCACTTTGAACACTCAAAATTCACCCAAAGAAAGGTGTGCGGCTTATACACCGATGGTCAAATTAACGGTAATAAATACCGTAAAGTCTTGTATAAAAGCCGCGGCTTCTGTGACTTTCTTGGTGAAATTTTGCAGGCTTCTATATGAGACAGGCTTCTATACAAGACAGGTATTTCTATGCATGTCAACACTAAAGCCAGGCTTTGTCTGTGATTTGATGGGCCCAAAATTGCGGCTTCTATTCAAGTGCGGCTTATACAAGACTTTACGGTAGGATATCGGATAGATGTCTGTATTTTAGGGGTGAAAGTTGGCACTGAGATCCCGAGTTCGAGTACTCTGATTTTTACCGATCGAATGTTCGAGTATTCTTGATATCCTAAAAATCGCACACCAACCGCCTCAAAAATCACACGATACAACCCTGATCGAACCGATTGGCAGTTCTTTTCTCGGGTGTATTGGTTGGTGGGTCATTTGGGCTCTCTCTACTCGTGAAAAAATGTTCAAAAACACAGTCTGCACATCAATATCTGCTGACTGCTGGTCTGAAACTGTAGACTTCTGTGGTAAATGTATGTACCATGTATGAGCGAGTACTCTGATTTATTCCGAGTTCGAAAAATCCAAACGAGTATTTGAATACAGGTCGTCCCCCGTTAATACGAGTCCGGTTAGTACATAAACCCCGTTAGTACATAAGAAATCTCAAGTCCCGGACGAAACGTGGTCACTTCCATACAAATTTTGTCGGTTAGTACATGATTCGTTAGTACATAAACCCCGTTAGTACATAACATTTCTCCGTACCCGCATGCCACCTACCTCAATAGTACATAATTTGTTGGTCTTTTGGCCTTCCAGTGGAGGCACGTCGTGTTCTAGTTTCTACTTGTGGACGCAATTAGCTCAGAAATCAGAGCGCACATCACAAACTGACAAAGCACTGTTTTTTTCCGAGTGACTGTCCAGGCGCGGCTGGGCATGTATCATTTAAACTGTAGAATCTTCGCTGACTGTGACCGTTATAACATAATTTTTTTGTTATATCGAGGGAATCAAGAATATCTCGCTCCCTAGTCATGGCAGCAAGAAACACTCAGAAAAGTTGAAAAAAGTGAAAAATTCTAGTATAGAAGCAAGTTATGTACACTTTCGTTTAGTACATAAACCCCGTTAATACATAACATTTGTCAAGTCCCAGAGATTATGTATTAACGAGGGACGACCTGTATTCGGTATAATTGTTTCACCCCTACTGTATTTCGTGGCAAAAAATGGGGGGGGGGTAGTGTGCGGCTTATACTCGGGAGAATACGGTACTTACACAGAGGTCATAATGGCCAGTTGCAACTCGCAGTTTCATGCAAGGGCATGTACTTACATGTGCTGCTGCTGCACTGTTATCATGAGAACATTCATTGTACGTCATGTATCCATGTATCCATGTAGTCATGTACATGCATACCTATGCATGTGACACCCTGCAATGGCCCTGCACACATCCTTTCGTGCAGGGCATTTCTGCTCAGCTAATACTATATTTTAGAGAGTACAGTAAAACCTGTAATGGCGACCACTCGACCATGGCGACCACTTTTCCTTGTCACGGATGCATTCACATTCAAAACAGCTCGGATAAGGCGACCACCCACCCACGAGCGCGTTGCATCCTGCAACGATTAATCTCTGACGTAACGATTACTTGATTGATAAAAAATTATCGATCGCTTACCGAGCAATTGGTATAATCGTTTCAGCCCTAAAAAATTCTAAATCCAACCTGGATGGCGTCATGAGCTTTTCTGGTGGTTTCTGACATGATCATCAAGCGCTGTATCTTCAGGGCGTTTTGTCGGCCTCGGCCATTGTTGCTGGCGTCGTTCAAGGCAATTATGGTGTTGCGTTCTTGGCTCATTTCATGACTCTGTCTCTGTTTGTCTGTCTGTCTTTGTGTGTGTGTGTGTGTGTGTGTGTGTGTGTGTGTGTGTGTGTGTGTGTGTGTGTGTGTGTGTGTGTGTGTGTGTGTGTGTGTGTGTGTGTCTTCTGTGTCTTCTGTGTCTTCTGTGTCTTCTGTGTCTTCTGTGTCTTCTGTGTCTTCTGTGTCTTCTGTGTCTTTTGTGTCTTCTGTGTCTTCTGTGTCTTCTGTGTCTTCTGTGTCTTCTGTGTCTTCTGTGTCTTCTGTGTCTTCTGTGTCTTCTGTGTCTTCTGTGTCTTCTGTGTTCTCCTGTAGCTTATACGAAGTAACCTCTTTCAAATGTACAACTACCCAACGAAAGAAGAAAATATTGAGCACTATGGCCAGGTAAGAATACAGCTGTGTTTGGATACCCTGCAAGTGTGTGTGTGTGTGTGTGTGTGTGTGTGTGTGTGTGTGTGTGTGTGTGTGTGTGTGTGTGTGTGTGTGTGTTGCCAGCTAGTTAGGTTGGTAGGTACACTTATGCCTGATTGTGTTGGGTCTGTTGCCAACTGGCTCGGCTGCTTGAAGGTGTAATGTTGTACCTGCCACCTTTGTTGGTTCCAGGGTTCATATACTTTCTATTTGAAGTATACATACCTGTTAACCATGGACTGCTTCTGGCTAGATTAACTCTTGTGTAATCAATGGTGCTAGTGAAGCTTTTATCAGATCCACTCTGATTTAGCCACTCACACTAGTAGCAACTATTACCTTCACTGGGGGCAGGGGTAACTGCAGTTGGATCCCGGGACGGATACCTGATGCCGTCAATCCTTTTTCTGCACCTTGTCCTCACCCACTTAGTGAGGTGTGGTGAGCCCATAAGTGGGATCATTTTCAAGTCCACCCAGAGTTTTGGGGATTTCAGGGGGTGTCGGCCGTTGGGCGGTTCAATAACCAATTGAGTCATCTTTCCAAGATTCCTTTTGAGTCTCTCTCCCCTCTCCCGGGGGGACTCACGTGACCAGTTTTGGCAGTGAGCAACAAGTACAGTACAGTGTGTGTGTGTGTATGTGTGTGAGCGCGTGCACAGCAGGGGCGTAGCAGCCGAGGGTCCAGGAACCCATACAGGGCACGCGCCTGCAGGTGCTTGATAGTACTTGATAGGCACATGCTAGCCAGTGAGGTGGTGGGTGGCATGTGTAAGCACGCCTGCCTTTTTGCCGTCAGGAATGAAGTAGGTGATTGACTGTGTTGTGTTGCTTGCACTCTGTTGTCACGTGTGTGTGGTGTGTGTGGTGTGTGTGCCGTCATCACAACCAGGCTACACCGCCACTCTACCCAATCGAGGCCATCACTAACCCTATCTACATTTTCAGCGGCGGAAAAGACATCCTTGCAGACCCGACCGACGTTGCGTCACTCAAGCCCAGATTGCAGAACTTGAAGGGATCCGTCTACATTCCACCATTCGAGCACCTGGACTTTGTCTGGGGTCTACAGGCAGCTGATCTCGTCTACAAACCAATTATTAAAATTCTGGCCGAGATGGAAGGACGCTGAAATACACACGATTACAAATCTTTTGTTTACTTTCTTCTTCCTCTTTTCTCTGGGTGGAATGGACTACGATAATCACAGGGAGTGTGACACGTCCCCAGCTACCACAGTCACATAATAATATACTCATACTATCTCGAAAACGGATTTTATAGGTGATTTTTGTTTTACTTTCTAATGGTTTCTACCCTGTAAGGGATATTTTCCCCGATTTCTTCCTTTTCCTCTTAAGCGGCTGAGTGCATACAAAATAGAAGATTAATTATCTTTGTATATAGAGGTTTGTTTTTTTCCAGTTCAAACTATTAAATTTTGTCATATTTAAGTTTCCAAGTAGGGTGTTTACTAGGTTTTTGTTACTTGAAAAAATCGTTCATATAGATTTCCAGCGTTTTTCGTTATCATTTCTTGGTGGTGACTCAGTCGGGACTTGCGAATACTTTCTGTTGATTGTGCACGGCTCTACTAAAAGTTAAAAACATAAATGTCATATTAACTGCGAAAAAGACAGCGAGCTTTGCATGAGGGCAAATCACGTTAACCCTTTGTCCTTTTGCCCAAAATGTATGTGAGGGGTACCTGCTTCAACAAATCCACTCACCATTCCCAAGCAGCTGATATTTTGTATGTACACTTTATGTTTTCCTGAAAGCTTATGCTAATTGTGAACTAAAAATGCAGTTTGGGTTGAGTTCCTCAGATAGGCGTGGCTAAACAAAAGTATCAAAAATGATTTTTTGGCAAAAATCGGCAAAATTCAAAGTTCAAGTTCTTTCCTATGTATAATAATGTGCAATTTGTACAAGTATGACCTGGAGTAGCACCTCTGGCATGTTGGGCAAACACGGAGCATTAGCCAGAGGAGTGCCAGTGGCGACATGCTCGACATTGCGGCCCCGTGCGGCTACTCTCCTCTGCGCGGCTGTCGACCATGAGTTTGACGGCGCGCAGGTGACGGAGATCTAGACCTCTCTGGGATCGGACTACGCTCCCGCTCCACGTGCTGCGGCATTCTAGCTGACCCTGCTGCTCCACGACGGGTAAGACACGGCGGTGGTACACTCTCTTCACCACGCGAGTGCTGTTCCGCCGATCCTGCGCTCAAACGGAACGGTCGACATGTCCGACAGTTGGGTCGACGGTTACGACATCATAATCCGCGTCGTCATCTAAATCAGAATCAACACCTTCTACTAAGGCTTCGTCCAGTTTGTTCTCTTCATCAGAGGACATAGGATTGTCGCTTGGGTCACTCCAGCTATCCTCAAACAAGCGCTTCATCTGCATCAAGCGACCTGCGTGCTGCCATGTCGGAAGTCACGGCGCAAGCAAACTTCGACTTTGATTTCCTGAATTTTTTCAAATGGCAACTAGCCCCAGCGACCCGTGTATCATCCTCTACATAGCATAGGCTGTGTGCACGTGAATTTTCATGTGGATCGGGTGATCCGCGTAGCTTCCAGGTCGCTTTGAACATGCATGGGTTGAACCGTACACAGGTGTACGGTTCAAGTATGGGCGAAAGGACAAAGGGTTAATGATCCTAAGCAGAAAAAGTGCTGCTCCACACTGCCAAGCTGGGGTGAGGGAGCGTAATACTGCAACTCCGCTATCCAGCTGTCGGAAGTGGTTCACATCCATCATTGCGCCCAGCTCACAATGGCCACCACGGCTATGTCCGTCCACAGGATTCGGAACACTGCACAATCCATCGACAGGATTCGGGACATGGCACAGTTCCTCCACAGGAATCGGGACACAGCACAGACTTTCATGCACAAGCCTTGGATCTGAGAATACACTCGGCAAACACCAGGCACAACATACCAGTAGCCATGTGCAAATACACCCAGCACGATTGCCAGCCATGCTCACACCACGGGTGTGGGAATATAGCCAGACACAGAGACAGCGTCTATCCATGCAATGATACTACACTAGTATGTCCCCTTGGACTTGATGATTCAGGCAAAATGCACAGCGCATCTCGATATGAGAATAGAGCGTGATGCTGCCTCACAGGGATAAGCAGCATCACAGCAGTGTACACACGTACTTACAACACCACAGCAGTGTAAACAGACTGACAACTCTATACAGAACCCATCACCACACGGCAGAGTGAGTGCACAACTATGCCAGAAGTTGCGATAAAAAAAACAACCAAATCATACAAATATGTACAAAAGAACATAGGGAGAAAAAACAATACATACATATGAACAAGGAATATACAAGACGATGCGAAAGCTGAGTGCCCAAAGGCGTTATTATAGACAGAAGAGATAAAATAAATGTACAAACGAGAGCGAGAGAGAGAGAGAGAGAGAGAGAGAGAGAGAGAGAGAGAGAGAGAGAGAGAGAGAGAGAGAGAGAGAGAGAGAGAGAGAGAGAGAGAGAGAGAGAGAGAGAGAGAGAGAGAGAGAGAGAGAGAGAGAGAGAGAGAGAGAGAGAGAGAGAGAGAGAGAGAGAGAGAGAGAGAGAGAGAGAGAGAGAGAGAGAGAGAGAGAGAGAGAGAGAGAGAGAGAGAGAGGTAGGACACTATGTACAGACACTTACATCCACATTCACACCGGCATATTGGCTTAGTGGCATGCTGGCAGTTGTTCCATAGCACATGCCACCAACATTCTAGCAGCTATGCTACGAAGAGTTCAGCCTGGACTTGCAGAGTACCATGGTGACATTATCGCCAGCAGATTACACAAGACAACATACCTTGCGTGTTATACCTTGTATGTCATTCCTACTGCTGTTACTGCTAAGAGCCGTGAGCTGAGTAGCCTGCTTGCCAGCCAAACTCAACTGTTGTCCTGTGCTGGTTTCAGGCAGGTCTGCTGCTGCTGCTGCTCGTTTAGATGTCTTTGTCATCAGGGTGGTAGAGCTCACTCAATAGACGGTAGACGTAGGACGGGGCATTGCCACCACTGCAGCAGCAGCAATGTCAAACAAACACCCCCCCCCCCCCACACACACACGCGCATATGCACACACACACACACGCATATGCACACACACACACACACACACACACACACACACACACACACACACACACACACACACACACACACACACACACACACACACACACACACACACACACACACACACACACACACACACACACACACACACACACACACACACACACACACACACACACACACACACACACACACACACACACACACACACACACACACACACACACACACACACACACACACACACACACACACACACACACACACACACACACACACACACACACACACACACACACACACACACACACACACACACACACACACACACACACACACACACACACACACACACACACACACACACACACACACACACACACACACACACACACACACACACACACACACACACACACACACACACACACACACACACACACACACACACACACACGAGAACACATACACACGCGGGCACACGCACACATTCATGCTATAGTCAACACTGGACCTTCTGGCATTAGAGGTTCCGCACAACGTAATTACGTTAGTAAAAAAAGTAATCGATCTACGGAAAGTTTTATGTAAACTGCATGCGGATCCGTGTTCCATCATAATTACCGTATTTCCCCGATTATAGGTCGCACCTTTTTACACTAAAAATCAAGGGTAAAAAAGGGGGTGCTACTTACAATCGAGCATGACTTACTACCGTACTGGCAATATATGTTGCCGCGTAACGCGTAACGCAGGGGGGGTGCGGCGTAACGCGCGACCAGGCTAGTGCGACAAATTTTCGTTGCGTTCGTAACGCGCGTCCGGCGGGGTGCGGCGATCTTTTCATTGCAGTTTGCAAAAAATGATGCGGCAATAGCAAAAAAATGATGCGGCAATAGCAAAAAAAGTGATGCGGCAATAGCAAAAAAAGGACTGCGGCAATATAGAAACCTGTGTAACGGCTCCTGTGCGACTTTGCATGTAACGCCCTGCGTGCGGCAAACATGTGCCAATGTAACGCTTCATGGCCTCACTGCGGCAACATATATTGCCAGTACGGTACTCAATAGATCAAAACAATATTGCTCAAACCTGGAAATGGGGGTGCGACTTATAATCGAGTGCGACCTATAATCGGGGAAATACGGTATGTAGTTTTCGAATCATGTAGCTGCCCTTGGCAACTCCAAACGCGACATTGTACCACCTAGGGAGACAGTCGTAAATGTATACCCCAATCCACTTACGGAGCACCTTCATTAGTAGAGCTGCATTTACGTACTCTACGTAGACAACATTCCGTAAGTGGAGCGCAAACTCGCGAATTCACGGGTTTCCCCGCCCCCTTAAGGCGAGACCAAAATAAAATCGAGATTCCCGGGCAGGACCCATGTGAAATTGGTGCGGGCGGGCGAATTTTTATTTTTTTTATTTTTTCCCATGTATGTACATGACTAGGGGCATGTTCGATTGGTAAGGATCGGGATCGGGATCCAGATCTCAGATCCCTCGGATCCTTCAGATTCAACTGAACACTTTATTTTGGACCTTGACTGTTGCCATGTTGAAAATGGCGCTCACAAGGCACCCAAAAGGGTGAACGTCGTACTCATCCCGTGTGTCGTACAAAAAGTCAACAAGCTCTATCTCCATCCACGCGTGCGTACTACAATGTGTACAAAAATGATTTTTACCAGCCATATACGCACAAAGGTCACATTTGGATCCGTTGGATCCGGTCAACCCTGCTCCCCGAGGAGGGTTGACCGGATCCAAATCCGAAGGATCCGGATCCGGATCCGACCAATCGAAAGGGTGCGAATCCAGTGGATCCGGTGGATCGGGATCCCGATCCTACCAATCGAACATGCCCTATGTGTGCATGCCATGTTGAACTTTTTTTACAGCCTTTTTCGGTAATTTTTATTCAATTTTTTACAGACAACAGGTAGGCGGTTTACCCGTTCAATTTTTCTCATACTGTACCTGTACCTGTATGAACTGTTCAAAAAATATAAAAAAATATAAATTGGCTTTGGCTCGATTTTGGTGCGGGAGTGCCAGGGAATCTCTATTTTTTTGGTCTCGCCTAATTAAAGTTGCTAAAGTTGCTCAACTTTGTGTAGTGCGGAACCCCTCTATTATCGATACTTTTCACGGAAGGGAAACCCCACCCACCCACCCACCCTGTGAACGAAAAATTTAATATATTGACTTTACAGGAAGAATAGATTGATTCAGATACTGTAGAAAGGAAAAGGACATAAGGATACGAGTTAAGAGTAACTCTCCATCATTCTGACTGTATATAGTATCCAGTTACAGTGATGGAGAGTTACTCTTAACTCGTATCCTTATGTCCTTTTCCTTTCTACATTTATTTATGGCTCAACATCCGAGTTTCAGATACTGTACCAATATTATTTCAAAACGAAACTCTTCTTGACAAAGCCACCCAGAAATGAAACTTTTCGTTTTGTGTATTTAAAATCGATACGATTAATATAGACGGCCCCTAACGACACTTTTCTCATGCATAATCGAGGATGGTTACTGGCAAGGACTTCCGTTGAGTGTATTCCAGTGTACTATATGACTGTACTTACATATTAGAAATGAACAAAGTGATGAGATCCGGTGGAACATAATCAAAGACTGGATTCCAGAGCTGCGGAGCGTCTGAGCTGCCGCCTGTAAGGATTTTTGAAAGACACACAGGCACACACACACACGGACAGCACACACAGCCACGCATACACAGACACACACACGGGCACACACACACACACACACACACACAGGCACACACACACACACACGTGCACACACACACACATACACACATACTTACAAAAAAAATTTTTTTCGCAGCACGGAGATGCGAGCAATCGTAAAGAGCTAAGCTTCAGTTCTCTGAGTTGCTTGAAGAGCCAGAACAGGGCACAACAGGGCACAACAGGCACAAAGGACATGCCAGTCACTGTTCACATGTACAAGTAGAAAGTACCTGATAGGCATTTTAGCCTCCGTTTGACTTTCTCTGCCGTATTACCTTATTGCTTGAAAACAACACGGCAAAGGGAGACAAAAGGGAAGGGGAGCGACACGCAGAGCAGATATTGACTGCTTGCTGATCACACACGCACTGGACTTACAAGTCGCTGAGAACTTGAGGACGTCGTGCGGCGAGTCCAACAGGTTGAATGTATCCTACGGTTTGCCAGCACAACACACACACACACACACACACACACACACACACACACACACACACACACACACACACACACACACACACACACACACACACACACACAACACACACACACACACACCAGCACAGAACAGAACAGCAGAACGATACAACACCCAGCACAGAAGTAAATTAAGAATGACACTGAACACACATGCAGTAGGACTCACTTCAAATAGACCACGGGACAAGGTGGTAAATAAAGTAATAAACATATACCAAGAGTACATAACCCCCAAGAGTGTGTAACTCCACTATGGGTGCTGTCCCAACAGAATTTCAAGTTGACAGGCTTTGACGAATCCGGAACCTGTGGTGGAGCAAAGCCTATCTGATGCTGTACAGATTATTGCAAAGAAAACGTGTGATGTGTTGACACCCGTACAAATGTTGTAAATCACAGCTGCAAGGAGCATTGCATCATAAATAATGACGTCAACTTGAAATTCTGTCGGGACAGCAGGGTATGTGGGAGTTGCACACTCTTGGGGGTTATGTACTCTTGCATATACCCATCCCCGTCAAACACCAGCACAATCTCCAAACACATGCACAGACAGTTCACACACAAGTGCACAGACACAAAAAACACACACAAAAACACACACACAATCGCACACAAAAACACACACACAAGTGCACACAAACACACACACACACACACACACACACACACACACACACACAAGTGCACACACTATTCGAAGTGTACAAACTCATAGAAATCACACTGACCTGGTCATAAGAGCACGGAAACTTTGGTGACAACTTGAACATAGCTGCACACACAATCACCTGAGAGAGAGAGAGAGAGAGAGAGAGAGAGAGAGAGAGAGAGAGAGAGAGAGAGAGAGAGAGAGAGAGAGAGAGAGAGAGAGAGAGAGAGAGAGAGAGAGACAGACAGAGAGAGAGACAGACGGACAGACAGACAGACAGACAGAGAGAGAGAGAGAGAGAGAGATAGAGAGAGATAGAGAGAGAGATAGAGAGAGAGACAGAGAGAGAGAGAGAGAGAGAGACAGACAGAGACAGAGAGAGAGAGAGGCAGAGGGAGACACACACACACACACACACACACACACACACACACACACACACACACACACACACACAGATTGCTCCTTAGCGTTTACACATTTTAACTTCTTGATTGCACCGAGGTGGTAACATAACGGGATGTAGTGTGTGTGTGTGTGTGTGTGTGTGTGTGTGTGTGTGTGTGTGTGTGCGCGTTTGTGTGTGTGTGTGTGTGTCTGTGTGTGTGTGTGTGCGCGCGTTTGTGCGTACGTGGCGTGTATGTATAAGTACTTGCATGTGTGCGTGTGAGGAGCACGTCTGGGTATGTGCGAATACGAGGACATGCCTTGGGGAAGTTTCTAAACATGTCTATTATCACTGACCCCCAGTGCGTGGCCTAGGAAGATAGGAATGGTACCGTTAGTAAGTTAGAACGTGGCCTTGGGTCAAGCAATGATCGACCACATACAACAACAGCATACAACATGTACATAGTAGGACAAACGAGGTTTCCTGTATTGCAAAGATTTAAGTAGTGCGCGCTCTGCAAGATCATTGATGGGTTCAATTAATGGAAACAGTCATGTGGGATACGATATATGCATAATTACCCAAACAGCTATTCTACACAGCTATTCTCCCCCCTCCCCCAGACACACGAGAGTAGTGAACTGTGACCTACAGGTACAGAGTGATGCTTGGCAGCAAGGCAGATGGCCTGTGCTCCGTTCAGTGCCTTCAAGCTGGTAACACACACACAACAACAGCAGAACACACAGCAAGGCAATCTCGTGTGCTTACACAATGACATATCTAGCCCATGACAACAAAAGACGCAGACAAAACCCGCAAACACCGCACTCCAGAGAGCATTCAGAGATGACAGCACACTGCACTGTGCCGGTCACTGAAATCTGAGGTCATGGACAAGTTAGTGACCTGCACCAGAGCACAGCCCACTGTTTGATGGTCTGGGGCTGCACAGCGCCCGCTGCTAGTTGGCTAACACCACCGGATTTCATTGAGCAGCACTGTACGAGTCAGTATAGAAGACTGCTATAGAGGTTTTTCGAAAAGTGGTCACGTGCCGGTCCCGCGTGGGCTCAGGTGACCTTGAGTGGCAAAAAGACCGTGACCTGGTGACAGCTGCACTTTTTGGTTTGAGTTTGCACTATTCCAGTATTTCTTTGCTGATTTGACGATCAGATTTGTGCTTGTTTGTGCGTTCTTGAGAGGGTACCTGCTTGTTATGACTGCTGAAATGGAGCCTAGAGAATTTGGAAAAATCTACGGTGAGCTGGACGAAGTAGCCAAGAAGCGGTATCGCGAGAAGCTTGACCGAATTGTTTCAAATGTGTCCGATCCGTACGTCCTCTCCAAAAATTCTGCCGTGGAGTTTTTCCCGAGTATCGAGTGGCCTGATGTTTATAACTATCTTGTAAATACTCCTAGTCCGTACACCAAAGAGTCCTTGAAAGCCTACAAAAGTCTGGATGCTTATAATTTCGTAAAATCTGGCTGGGTTGGAGACGTCCTGTCGTTTCCTGCAAATGCTGACAGCACGAAATTTTTCGTGACAGCTTCGGTCAGGCATTCGCAGACTGTGTCTGCAGATAATCTGAGGCCTTGGGTAGCCGCGGAGAAGGACGGAATCGTGATTTGTGCGCATTGTAATTGCATGGCTGGCCTGGGCGAAGCGTGCTCGCACATCGCAGCTTTGCTCATGAGCTTGTCTGTCCGTACGTCCATGGCAGTGGAGCCTGCATGTACCTCCCTGCCTTGTCAGTGGATTGCCCCAAGCATGAAAACTGTGGAGTATGCTAGGGTCATTGACATTGATCTTGCTGTGCCCGACCCAAGGAAGGATAAGAATAAACAACCAAGAGCTACCAGCAGAACCGCCAAGAGCAAGCCTGCTCCGTTTGACAATCCCACAGCTGAGGAAGTTGATGCCCTATGTGCCTCTCTGGATTCCGCCGGCTCTTGTGCGGTGCCGAGCACTATGCCTGCCTTCTCTGACCGGTACGCTCCAAAGGATCAGGACGGCTGCCCACCATACCTGGTAGACGAGCTCTACAATGACGCACTGTTGACAGCCAACTTTGCCGATGTGCTGCAGCACTGTGAAAAAGTGTTCAGCGCAATAACTGTGACTGCGGAGGAGGCAAAGGCTGTGGAGAGGCTCACAAAGGACCAGGCTACCTCCAAGCAGTGGTTTCGCTACCGTGCTGGCAGGGTAACAGCATCCCGCTTCAAAGCTGCTACGCGCACCAATCCCAGCAATCCATCCGTGTCGCTCATCAAAGCCATTTGTTATCCGGAGGCGCAAGCGTTCACAACTTCAGCCACTAAATGGGGCTGTGAGCATGAGGCCAGTGCGCGTGAGCTGTATGTAAGGAAGCAGGGGGCTGTTCACAAGGAGCTGTCTGTGACTGAGTGCGGTCTTTGCCTGTCTCCTGACTTCCCGTATCTTGGGGCAAGCCCAGATGGCTTTGTCAGTTGTGCATGCTATGGGGCCGGTGTGCTTGAGATCAAGTGTCCCTATTCATGCCGGGACAAGGCATTCGCTGATGCTGCTGACGAGAGCAAATTCTGCTTGGAGAAGGACCCGTCTTCCTCCGGGTTGCTGCCACAGCTTCGCCTAAAGCACGACCATGCCTACTACTATCAGGTCCAGCTCCAGCTGAAGGTCTGCGCTGCCAGACACTGTGACTTCATAGTCTGGAACAAGGAAGAGCTGCACGTGGAGCGCATACTTCCTGATGCGCCGTTTATGGCTAAAGCCTTGGAGGCAGTTGTAGATTTCTACAAACTACCGGAACTAGCCGCTAAATGGTATTCAAAGAACTTTGATAGCTTACCTGACGGACCACCAGCAGCAGCGGGCGCATCAGCCACAGTGGGTCTGCCACAGACTACATTGTCATCGCCGGGTGGTTGTTACTGTGACGGGAAAGAGGCCGGTGAGGTAGCGAAGTGTGCTAATACTGATTGCACTCGCCGCTTCTTCCATGTGAAGTGCCTAGGCCTCAAGAAGAAGCCCGGTAAGAGCTGGCATTGTCCTGAATGCCGCAAGGCAGCTCGCCAGAAGAAGTCGAAAGCTTGAGGAGTGGTCCTGTTAGAATTATGTGCATGCATCCTGAAGATTGTGTTGGTGCTTCTCTCTGCTCAAGTAACTGTATCTGGCTGGACTTGTCCCCTTGTCTGTATTGTGTACGCATCACTTTGTCTGCACTGGTGTCGCGACAGTCGATTGCTTTGATTCATGCTGGCTGGCTCTTTATGATAATAGTTCCGGTGTACCAGCGCTGCAGCTAGCGTAGGCTGTGTGTGCAGCCCTATATGCACTTGCCTTTCACTTTTGTAAGCTCCTTCACTGCGTGTGAAAGGATGAGATTTGTTTTGTAGTTCGTGGAGTGAGTTAGCCTTTTCTCCCATGCAAGTAGCTTGCCGTGTTCTCGCTCCTTTTCCTTTGCTATAATGTATTTTGAAACTCGGGTATTGAGCCAATAATAAAAGTAGAAAGGAAAAGGACATACAGTGGTGGAGAGTTACTCTTAACTCGTTTCCATATGTCCTTTTCCTTTCTACTTTTATAATGTATTTGTAATGTATTTCAGTTTGCTGATAACAAGATGAGTTTACAGTCTTCTCTCGAGTGGTAATTATTAACAGGTCCTACCTTTCAGGAATACTGATACTGAGGTATTGTCCAGCATTCACTGATCATGCCTGTTCTTCATTTCACAGTCTGCCGTATGGTATGTACGTTGCTCAAGTCTACCCCTGACAATGCCGTCATCCTGCAACTTGTACAGTTACATTGTATACGCATGACGTCGCTGGATATCTTGTGTATGGAGTATGGCATAAACTAGTTTTCTAATTTTGAGGTATTCAAATCGTATGTCAGTAGCGATTACACTGTTGTACCTCATCAATCACATTCTGTATAATTATTGTGTGAACCAGTGTCTTCTTTTAAACCAAGATCCTCTCCATAGTGAAAGCCATTGGACCACCACTCAGACTTTGTTGTGCCTGTGAAAGGCAATTGCGGCAACAAGAGAGATACACTAAACTCCCAATTTGGCTGAGTTTGACTCCTGGGAAAGGGAATGGAACCCCAGCATTGAAGTGGATTTACACCCAAAGCTCATCCACAATCGAACAAGTTCAACTTGTCTGGGTGCCGATAGTGTTAGTTTATATGCAAATATTGAAGTTCACATTGCCGAACACAAAGACAGTTTCATTAATCATGGTGTACAGCAGTTTTCCATTTGATGCTATTAAAAAAATAAAACAATACATTCACAGTTCATCGCATAGCCGGCCAGTTCAGGCATCCAATGGACATTGAAACAGGGTGCCACCAGACATAGGCAAAATAACTGACACTCGTTGATATGGCAAGCAGAGCTGACATTGCACGACCATGGTGGCATGATGAGTTTCATGACCAAGATAATAACGGCAACGTGAATAATGAGCAGAGTACCACAATGCATAAACCCGTTGCAGCAAATCACAATCATCTACAAACTACTATCACAGTGCTCAGTTGAGCGGCACAACAGATTTGCAGCAATTGCACAAAGCACAGCACACACTAACAATACGATCAATCATGGACTCCTTCTCATCCGTATCATGCTTCAATAGGGTGATAGGTAGGGTTGACTGCAAGATGGTATACTTCTGCCGTAGCAGGCCGATCACCCTCTCAACGTGGATACGCACATTCGCGATTTGGCGTGACTGCTCGAGCTCCTGCCTTCTCAGCTGCTTCTTCCCCCTGGTGAAGGAAGGGATGACTAGTTTGGCACAGTACATGCCAACGTTGTCTTCGATAGTAAATCCACGATCCGCCATGACTTGATCTCCCGGATTGAGGAGCTTCAATAGGCCACAGTTCTCCGTCAAATGCTTGTCAGGTGTTCGTCCGCCCCAAGCCTTGGAGATGAAGGATATGGAGCCTTGGGGTGTGACAGCAACCAAAAACTTGACAGTGTTGTGGGATTTGTAATGTGAAAAGGTGAGAGCTCTAGCCATAAGATTACGTGGCCTCTCCATAAATACCTCGAAACAGTCGATTATGCAGACGCAGCGACCGAACTGTCCGCGGAAGCTCCTCGGCATGGTCTTCTCCAGGTCACCATGGTTTGGCCAGCGGATAAGTGGGCGTAGCCGGACGAACATCACTTGAATCCACTTCTCAAATATCTTTGTGACAGTGGCCGGACTGATGCCAAAGCGGTAAGCCAAGTCCTGATGCGCGAGGTTCAGTCTAAGTTTCATGAGCACGAGGATGAATTGTTGGAAGAGGGACAACTTGCTATGACCATGGGCAGAGAGAGGCTTTGACACATAAGAGAAGACAGTTGACAGGATTTTCACATCAGGCAGGCCAGTGTAGTAATGGACTTTGGCAGGGTCATTTTTGAAATTATCTTCAGTGTACCCATAAGACGGCTGCTTCAGCTTCAAGGTGGCGTTCTCCAGCTCCAACTCCGTCACTCGGGCCTGCAGTTTCGCTACTGATGCCTTCAACTGCTCCTTTTCACTCTCCAAATCGTGAAGCTTGCCCATGGTGAGATCTGTTTGGCAAGATTTTGAAGTGGACGCGGATTCAGCAGGATCAGGAGTAGGAGTTGCTGCAGTCGATTCCACAGCCTTTGTAGCGCTTTGATCAGCAAACAAACGAGTCCGCTTTGCACGCCGGTGGTAAGCCTCCAACTCCTCCTGCATTTTCCTCTTGACTGGGGACCGTACAAACGTAAACACACGTGGTACATAGTCTGGTGACAAAGGCTCATCACTCTTCGCCCCGCCGATAAAATGCGCTCCACATAACCAGCTGTGCTTTCCTGGTGTCTAGTTCTCCCTTCGCAGAGCAGTTATCCACTTTTCCCTGCGCTCAGGTTCACTTTCTTCAGAGGGCAATCTTGTCCAACCTTTGTCGCCCTTTTTGAATCGTCTCGTACAGCCAACAGCCGAGCAGCTCTTCCCCATTTCGACCTTGATCAATGTCGGTTACACAAACAAAGCGCTAAAGATAAACCTGAAGATCAAGCGTAAAGCGAAAATGGCCAGTGTGGACTGAGTGGATAGCAAAGAAAGACGACAAGCCGTCAACAAAATAAATAAATTGAATTTGGCGGCCAATCTCGATCTCACTTGATCTCATCTTTTGCCACTCAACACGCCAGCAGCTGCGCCGCGTGGGGGCGTGTGACGTGATTCGAAAAACCTCTATAGCTGGTGATCACTAGCACTGTGCCTGTGTCTGTGTCTGTGCACCAGCTAGGGTCACGTCACAAACACACACATATGCATACTGAGGCAGGCACTCCTGCTGGACTGCTCAATGCACACACCCACTCACCCACCCACCCACCCACACACTCACCCACCCACCCACACACTCACCCACCCACACACACACACACCTTTCGACCTTTTGATGTCCATCGCCAGAGGCGATGATAGCGATGCTACAGCAGAAGCCATAGCAACTTGTTCTGGGATTGCACCATTCAACAGTTTGCAAGGTTGAAGAATTGACTACCACTGATCAGCCTGGTCTACACCACACAGCTATGAAGTGGCTCTTTCTGGCCAGTGAATCCCTACTTTTTGGTCTTTTTCATTTTTTCCGCACACACATCCTGCCACACACGCACACACGCACACACACACACACGCACACACACACACACACACTCGACTCAGATTCAGACATGCTCATCGCGGAAGCGATGATAGTGAACAGCTATGTTAGACATAGCAACTTGTGCTGGGATTACACCATTCAACAGTTTGCAAGGCTGATGAGTTGACCGTCACTAATTTTTAGTCTGGTATCCAGCACATCGAAGTGGCTCACACGCACACATGCATACACACACTTTCTCTTACCCTCCATCGGCCATGATAGTGTGTGTGCCGATGATAACAGTATTGACCCTGGCCATCATAGCAAACACAGCTGCATCAGAGATGACTACCGTGTTGATACCATCGTCACTCAGTAACTTGGCCATCTCATGACCCTAACAACACACAACACACAACAGCAACAGCAGCAGAGAAATGTTCACAACGATTCAACTCGGCAGTACTAAGGGATCGTCGCAAAAGTTTTTTTGTCGTCCCTGAAACGAACATGATTCGTTTGGAGGGGGGGGGGGGGGAGGGGGGAGGGGTGCGAGCCAAAATCGCAAGTCAACCGACACTGTACATATGACATGTACATGCATGCGATTTTCGTCGTCCAGCATAGCAAGCTGTGTTCGTTTCAGAGGGAGGGGAGGGGTCTGAGTACGAAATGAACGGATGTTCGTTTCAGGGACGACAGAAAACTTTTGCGACGACCCCTAAGCGATCACCAGTTCAATAAACCACATGCATGATGTCATAGCGATGCCATCCGGGTACACTTTTCTGGATGATATACAGTGAAACCTGGTTAGGAAGAACACTGATAAGACAAATGATTGCCTAAGAAGAACTAGTATTCGTAACTGTATTGGACAAAACCCTGTGTATTCACTGGGTAAAACATAATATGGATAAGAAGAACTCCCGTGTCGTATCCATGCATATGACACGTGGCCTTTTAGGCCTCTACGTGACAAGTCTGCCTTATTTAGGTGTCTAATTATCTCCCGTAAACGGATTCATAATCGCCTTTATTTTATGTTTTCACACAGGGCCTGGGGCCTTCCTTATTTGGTATACCCTGTTATTTCCCCCAGCTGGCTCCCGCTCTTTATGCTATCGATATCGCTTTCCTTCTCTCTCTCTCTCTCTCTCTCTCTCTCTCTCTCTCTCTCTCTCTCTCTCTCTCTCTCTCTCTCTCTCTCTCTCTCTCTCTCTCTCTCTCTCTCTCAACTTTCGTCTTTACGACAAGTCACGACTTCTATTCTTCTCGTTGGTAACTATCGTTCGATCATTATGTCTGACCGTAAGATGTGAGTCTCGATGTGAAGGTATTGTGTGTGTGTGTGTGTGTGTGTGTGTGTGTGTGTGTGTGTGTGTGTGTGTGTGTGTGTGTGTGTGTGTGTGTGAATGCAGGTGCTGTATATGTGAGGGTATGGCGTGTGAGTGTGTGACCAGGTGTAGTGTGACCCGAACATGTCTAAATATGTCTGAATCGCGAGTATATGTGGTGTCGGAACGTCTAGTAATGAAATTATAGTTAGGGCCACCACTGCCCGGCCTTGTAATATGATAGTCTTAGGTTAGTCATGTTGGTTCCGCGGCTCCGGGGCTTAACTCCAGGTCGCCGGACTACGACATTTGGCGCAGTGAACAGGATCCGATACTATGGTGTACTATTGTGTGCTGTGTGTGTGTTGTCATCAGTACTGTAGGGTCCCATCACACCCTGACGGTGCAACTCACGCCAGGTCACCCCGCAAGACAACGGGCGGCAAGGAACGCTGCCGCCCCGCATCGCGACGGTGGTAGCAGATGGGCCCTCAATAAGTTCCGAAATTTCAAGAATAGACGAAACGCGGTCAAGGCGCCACGGTTTCGCGCGGTTCGGGACACCGCCGCCCGAACCAAGCTCCGAAAACATACCTCGCCGTCCCGCCAGCGACGCAACTGGGCGCGGGTACTGAAACTCCGGCAGAAAAGGAAACAGCAACCCGACGAACGAATGGTGGTCACCCCTCGGTCCGTCGACCCCTCGGCCGTCGACTCGGGTCTGGACGATTTACAAGACTGGTCGACGACAGAGATGACGTTAGAGGAGTACTTCCGTCAGACCGAGGGAAACTGGCTGAGGGTCGAAGACCAGGAATGACCGTCTCTAATCTCAGCCAGGTCGGTGAGTTAGCATACCCGCGCGGCTGGTTGTTGTTTGTTCATTGACCATTGATGACTTGTTTTCGTTTTTGCTTCTTGATTATTGTGGTTGGGTATGGCATTCCTATGATGAACTAGTAGGACGGAAAGTAAGACATGTGGAATGGTTGCGGCATTCCCGTTATGGGAGTACGTACCGCCGCATGCGGTGCAACGATCCTGAGGGTGCCGCCGGGTGCAATCGATTGATTGCATCGTACCCGGTATTGGATATGGGCTTGGTGTGGGCCGTACGGCATTTCCGTTGCTACCTGCTGGGTAGAAAATTCGCTATACGCACAGATTACCGTTCTCTGGAACATTTGGCTAACTTTAAAAATCCACCGGCGATTGTGGCTCGCTGGCTGGAATTTTTGTCTGAATTTGAGTTCACCATTATGGACAGGCCGATCGCACGCTAACGCAGATGCCCTGTCACGCCTCCCTGACTCTTCGACGACGCTGTTTGTAGGGGCCGTGAGTGACGACGCTGGCAACATCCCCACACCCCTCATCCGCGGTTCAGCTGGCCGTGGTCAAGGTGGGAAACGGAGCAGAAGAAGGACCGAGATCTCGCCCACTTAGTGTCCTGGATAGGTATGGACTCTCCGCCTTGCCCGCAAGACACGATGGGTAGCAGCCCTGAGGTACGTATTCTGTGGAAAAATCAAGAAATGCTGGTCCATCATGAGGGGGTGTTGTGCCGTCGTTGGGAAGACCCCTGCCCCGGTAAGCCATCTGTCTTGCAAGTCGTAGTCCCCCGACATTTACGTTCTTTGGTCTTACAAGAGTACCATGACCAGGGGGGGACATACGGGTTCTACACGCCTGCAGGTGGGACATACGGGTTCTACACGCCTGCAGAAGAAACTGACTCAGCAATTTCACTGGGTAGGCATGAAAAAGGATGTCCTAGATTGGGTGGCAAGTTGTTCTTCCTGTAGCAAATTGAAAGGTCCCGTAGGCAGAGGGTCTGGCGCTCCACTACAGTCTTCCTGGACGGGGTATCCTTTTGAGCGAGTAGCAATGGATCTGATCCCCGATTTTCCGGAAACGGCGGAAGGGAACCGTCATATCTTGGTTGTAGTGGACTATTTCACTAAATGGGTGGAAGCTTATCCGCTTCCGAGAATGGATGCTTCCACTATTGCTTTAGTGTTCGTAATTATAGTTACGGCCACCACTGCCCGGCCTTGTAAGGCGATAGTCTTAGGTTAGTCATGTTGGTTCCGTGGCTCCGGGGCTTAACTCCGGGTCGCCGGACTACGACAATTGCGAACAAATATCATCGGTCCCTTGATGTTCGTCCTAAAGAGGTTTGACTGCAGGTGCTTTCGATAGATGTTTGCCGCAGTTTTGGTGCTTTGCAGATCTGAAACAGTACAGCACTTTGTACTTCGAAGTACACACTTTGTCATCGTGTAGCAGGTGTACAGTGATGCCAAGAGTCCATAGGCAAGAGTGTGCAACGCCACATAAATGTCTGTCACGACTCGTTTTCAACATTATGTCATTTTCATGTAGCTGCGCGTGCAGGCCGCGACATTCGCTACATGAAAATGCACATGAAAATGACGTAATGTTGAAAACGAGTCGTGACAAGACCCTATCGCCCGTTGCACACTCTGGGGGTTGTGGACTCTTGTGATACACTGAAACACAATGAGCACAGCTAGTGAGCAATAACTGATAGGACGTTAGGACCAGTACCTAAAGACTGCCATGGAGTGCTTGACTGCTTGTCAACGAAATAGGCCTTGAAAGGTACGGTCGTCTCTCCAGCACTTTCTGGTTTCTAGCCAGCAGATTTTTCAGCAACCAAATTGTCCCACTCACACACACTACGACAGTTAATGACAACAATTTGCTAATCCCAGCTCGCACCCTACCTATTCCTACACAACTTCACAGCACATTGTGGCAGACTAGACTGGGAGTACTGTTGTTGCTCAGAGACATCATCCTACCTGAAATGATGGTGCCGTTTCAGCAACTACCACCTGGAACTTCCTCTTGCGAGCGGCACGCTGGAATGCAGCAAACGCGTGCACACACAAACGCGTGCACACACAAACGAGTGCACACACACACACACACACACACACACACACACAAGTGCGCACACACACACGCACAAAAACAAGTGCGCACACGCACACACACACGCACACACGCATGCATGCATGCATGCAAACAAACACATGCATCAACTATGGGTGAAACAACAGACGTAATTTCCTTATCGGCTAGACTCAATGCTATCGACTGCTTATCGAGTGACATTTCCCTCATGCATGAGTACAAAAACAGCATACTTGTATTTAAACATACATACATGCCTATACATGTTCAACCACCCATGCACAAGCAGCAAAAGCACATTAGGAACATATTGGAGGTTCAAAGTCCTAGTATTAGCAAGAGTACATGAAACCCAGAGTGTGAAGCTTCTGACTTTTCCTGCACGAGTGTCTGTCACGGTGAAATTCCGGGATTACATCATATTTGGTGCAAAGGTGGGAAGTGGCATAGCGTGTATAACTGAGCTGCAGTTGCACGGAAAAAGACTTGCGTGTACATACAGCATCACTAAAAAAGATGCAATCACGGAAGTTCGCCGTGACGGCAACCCATCAGACAACCCATCAGAGCTGCACACTCTGGGTTCAACTTTCATGTACTCTTTTCATGTACTCTTTTCATGTACTCTTGGTACAAGTATTTACACCACACTCTTTTATACCACACTAAGTTAGTAGCACGTTCAAGGCCTATACAAGCGAGTTGGGGACAATACAGGAGTACTCCCTCACTAAGGCTGTGTTTACATGAGGCGTTTCAACCCGGGTTGAGTTCGACCCGGGTCAGATTTCAACCCGCCATGTGCACAAAGTGAATGGCGCGTTTACATGACGCATTGCGCTTGACCCGGGTTGAAATTTCGAAGAAATCGTACAAACGTACTTCTGTGCGTATCTCGCGCCAGGTTTGAACAGCACTGCAGATGCAAATTTCGCGCGAACGGATTCACGTGACCATGCAGGACTGTAGAAGTGGACTTTTGGCGGCATATCAGTATTTGACCCGGGTCAACTGTCTTCATGTAAACGCTCACCTCTTTTGTCTATCGTACAGACTTTCAACCCGGGCTGAACTCGACCCGGGTTGAAACTTCTCATGTAAACACAGCCTTACAAATAACTGTTACAGTGGGGCACTACAATACAGTGGGGTAGTACAGTACAATACAGTGGGGTAGTACAGTACAATACAGTGGGGTAGTACAGTACAATACAGTGGGGTAGTACAGTACAATACAGTGGGGTAGTACAGTACAATACAGTGGGGTAGTACAGTACAATACAGTGGGGTAGTACAGTACAATACAGTGGGGTAGTACAGTACAATACAGTGGGGTAGTACAGTACAATACAGTGGGGTAGTACAGTACAATACAGTGGAGTAGTACAGTACAATACAGTGGAGTAGTACAGTACAATACAGTGGGGTAGTACAGTACAATACAGTGGGGTAGTACAGTACAATACAGTGGGGTAGTACAGTACAATACAGTGGGGTAGTACAGTACAATACAGTGGAGTAGTACAGTACAATACAGTGGGGTAGTACAGTACAATACAGTGGGGTAGTACAGTACAATACAGTGGGGTAGTACAGTACAATACAGTGGGGTAGTACAGTACAATACAGTGGAGTAGTACAATACAATACAGTGGGGTAGTACAGTACAATACAGTGGGGTAGTACAGTTCACGTGAAAATATATACAGGGGCCATTTTTACGAAAAATGAATTATGTATACAAAAATATATATATATATATATTTTTTTTTTGATAAAGCACCCATTTTGATAATCCAGGGGATGGCCCACGCCTGGTACTGCCACTGCATTATAAATCATACGTAATGACTGATAAAAGGTGTGAAGCAAACTAATAACAAAAGTGTAAATGAAAATTGCTGTTAGACCACACGAATGCCAAGTCACACTGCAAGAGCTAGTGCCCTGGAATCACTGCCTCCGCAGCAACAAGAGAAGCAGGGGTGGTAGAGTCGACGGAGACCTTGAGGCTGCGGGATCCACGGAGACACATGACGCTCGCCCGGAGGAGCGCAAAGCTTAGGCGGCAGCGGACCCATGCCATCACCACGGGGTAGTACAGTACAATACAGTGGGGTAGTACAGTACAATACAGTGGGGTAGTACAGTACAATACAGTGGAGTAGTACAGTACAATACAGTGGGGTAGTACAGTACAATACAGTGGGGTAGTACAGTACAATACAGTTTTTTTTTTTTTTTGAGCGGAATCGGATCTTTTTTTCGTTTGTGGCGGAGGCCGAATTTGATTGAGTAATTATACTAAAAATGTTTGGCACCTATGATCAGGGGATGGCCCACGCCTGGTAAAAAAAGTAAGTAATTTAAAAAAATAATAATAATAAGAGGTTCTGTGTTCCGGCTCTCCGCCTTCTCCGCGAACATAAGAGAACTAGAGGAGAACAAACAAACACAAGAAGCAAGAATGACACGAAAAGCAGAAATTATGAGAACATGGTATAAATGAGCACGGCCATCAACCTCAACAGGGGATAGCCGCCTCGGCAACAACAAGAGCAGCTGAGTCCGCGGCAAAGACCGGTGCAGAGAGCCGCCTAGCACCCCTCAGGCACATCACACTGGATCGGACCAAGGCAAAGCTGATTTGACACCGGATCGAAGCCATCACGGCACTGTAGGCCTCTCCGGTCTTGTCGGCGATGAGGGACGCTATCCTCTTGTACAGAGAGGTGGCAGATTTCCCCATGCCTCCCGTAGTGGAGAACACGGCGGGAACAAAGCTGGAGTGTTCCACTTCTCGGATTCTCTGCTCATAGGCACGGCGCTTGGCTTTTTCGTGACGGGTGTAGCTAGCAGCAAGTGAGTTGAGGCGATTCGAGGACGCAAAAGGGTTAAACACCCGGACATCAATGTAGGTGCGCTCGAACCGCCCTCCCCAAATGCCACTAGCCACCACGTCAAGGCGGGCTTGGTCGTCGCCCACAGCAGTACGGTACCGGAGCTGCTCTCCAGTGAGTGGCTGCAAATGTGGCTCAATAGCCACCTGGTGGCCAACACGCTTCGCAAGGCGAGCTGTCACATCGCGTACCTCGTTGTGGCGGAGGGTTGGGAAACCGCCTAACGGGCAGGAGAGGGCATGGCTGACGGTGAACTGCTGTCCACAGGAACATGATGTTGGCAGTCGTACTGGGTGCCAGCCATACCGGAGGTGCACAGCATCGCGGAACTCAGCCTTCGTGAGGGTGAAGCCGTGGGCCTTTAGGGGCCGGCAGGTGAGCCAGCTGGATGCCCCCCGCTCCGAAGCAAGGTCGATGGTACGTTGAACCTCTGGAGGTGCGGCAGAATGCAGAGCGACGGCCTCGGCTTGGAGTGATGTCTTTGCCTTCGCCCTCAACAGCTGCTTGTTCTTCCGCACTTCCTACAGTACAATACAGTGGGGTAGTACAGTACAATACAGTGGGGTAGTACAGTACAATACAGTGGGGTAGTACAGTACAATACAGTGGGGTAGTACAGTACAATACAGTGGAGTAGTACAATACAATACAGTGGAGTAGTACAATACAATACAGTGGGGTAGTACAGTACAATACAGTGGAGTAGTACAGTACAATACAGTGGGGTAGTACAGTACAATACAGTGGGGTAGTACAGTACAATACAGTGGGGTAGTACAATACAATACAGTGGAGTAGTACAATACAATACAGTGGAGTAGTACAATGGGGGGGAGGGTTTCTGAGGGCTTTTGCAGGGTAGGCACGCGTTTTTGTAGCTGTAGTTTTTCGGTGGATTTTCCGGCTCCAGCGCGGCTCCGGCATAGGCCGGCAAACCAGCTGATGCAGAGTGCCACTTGCTGCCGGTGCAATGGCAGCGGCACCTGCGTCCGGTGTGAATGCCACAAGGGGGGTCGAGGATGCAGGAATTGTCTCCCATCCAAGAAAAATCGATGCCGAAACAACAGCTCACCCGGCCCGACATCCCAACCGTCTCAACCGTCATCTCAACAACCACCGCCCACAGCGTTAGTGACCCGTACCGTACCAGTTTTCGAACCAGCTACTCGACCGACAGCAGAGGATAGTAACCCACCGTCGCCTGCTCTCCAACCGTCGACAGCCAGCCTCTCAGGTAGATCTACTTTAGCGGGACACATCACCCCCGTACAAGACCCTGTTAACTCCGGTGCTGACTCGGCGGAGCTCCTTCACGTACAGGATCAGGTGACCCACGGCACAGTCACGGACAGCCAAGTAGCTCTCCTTGCGACACTGGCGGACGATGCGACACTGGCGGACGATGAGTCCAGGGAAGAACCCCGCTTTCCTTTGCCACCTTACCAGAACGCAGAGTGTGACCTACGCATAGGGAATTTTGATCTCGATTCATCCCGCCAGGTGATCAACGCAGCGTATGCTGAAGCAGTTCACTTCCGCCCGAATCTGTTTAGTGTCCCATCGGGCGCAACTGGTGAGAAGTATGTTAACATCATAGCTCGTCTATACCAGTGCTTTGGTGATGCAGCGGCAGGCGAGGGTGTGTCCATCAAGGTAGCGATGGTGGCTACACAGGTTCTGCTTCAACAGCCATATCGTATGGTAGACAGCCGAGAGCATGCTGATTGCCTCCAACGCAGACTGTCGAGCTGGGATACTGGAGATATCGATGAGTTGATGACTGAAGCTCGTACAATCCAACAACAGATACGAGACTCGAGAGGCTACAAACAAATTCAGCAGGGAAGAGCGAGCAAAAGACGACAGTGACGCAAGGAGGTTTGCCGCCTTGGTCATGGATGGAAAGATAGGCTCTGCCACACGTATGCTTGACGGCGACAGTAAGGGCGACCTGCATCGCCTGGACAATGTCATAGGTGACCACACCGTTCGAGAGATTCTTCGAGAGAAGCATCCAGCAGCATCACCTCTAAACGAAGACGCAGTTATGGACGGAGAGCCTCTGCCTCAACCACATCCGGTCATCTTCACGGCACTCAATAGGGACGTTATTCGCCAAGCTGCGCTGCGCACGCATGGTGCAGCCGGGCCTTCAGGCATGGACGCAGCCAATTGGCGAAAGATTTGCACTTCCTTCCGCTCAGCCTCGGATGCACTCTGCGATGCTCTGGTTACCTGTGCCAGGCGAATAGCTACCAAGTATGTGGACCCCATCTCACTGGAAGCTTATGTGGCTTGCCGTCTAGTGCCTTTGGACAAGCAGCCAGGTGTTCGGCCTATCGGGATCGGGGAAGTCGTTCGCCGCATTCTGGGCAAAGCCATACTTCAAATTGTTGGCTCGGCAGTAGAGAGTGCTGTTGGCTGTCTGCAGTTATGCGGTGGGCAAGAGTGCGGCGTGGAAGCCGCCATTCATGCGGTGAAGACCACCTTCGATGATGACCACACGGAGGGAGTCCTGTTCGCGGACGCAACGAACGCATTCAATCGCCTAAATAGAGCTGTTTGCCTGCGCAATGTTCAGCGGCTATGTCCTGAGCTCGCACCAGCTGTTATCAATACCTACCGCTCCCCAGCTCACCTGTATGTTGGAGGAGAGGTGATCCTGTCTTCTGAGGGCACCACTCAAGGAGACCCATTGGCTATGCCAATGTATGCGCTTGGCACAGTGCCACTGATCCGGGAAGCCGCCGCAGCTGGGGCCATGCAGTCCTGGTATGCCGATGACGCAACTTCAGCCGGCGCTCTCCGACGAATGCGCACCTGGTGGTCCATCCTAGTAGATCGAGGCACCAGGTATGGTTACGACATCAACCCGTCAAAGTCCGTTCTCCTCGTGAAGCCACAACATCTTGCGCTAGCAACAGAATTGTTTGCCACAACCGGGGTCAACATCCGGACGGACGGCTATCGTCATCTTGGTGCTGCCCTAGGCTCTGCCCTGTTCTGCGACGGGTACGTGTCGCAGAAGGTTGACACATGGTGCACAGAGCTGCAGACCCTCGCCAAACATGCGGCGTCTCAACCTCAGGCTGCTTACGCTGTCCTTACCCATGGTCTCCGCCATAAGTGGTCATTCCTTGCGAGGACAATGCCAGCCATCGCGGACCTCTTGACACCGCTGGAAAACTCCATCAGGCAAGTTTTCCTCCCTGCACTGACTGGTCGCCAGGCCCCTGGCGAGGAAGAACGTGCCATCCTGGCGCTTCCGTGTCGTCATGGTGGCTTGGGAATTCTAAACCCAGGGACCCTTTCCCAGCAGTACGACACGTCTACGGTTGTCACCAGACCTCTAGTCGAGCAGCTCCTTCGACAGGAGGAATCCATCGAGGAAGTTGTTGCTGCCACCAAGGCAGCCAAGGCGGCCCAACGCACAGCTAATCGCCAAGATCAGGCAATGGCCCTCTCCTCTCTCAGGGATACCCTGAGTGACGACCACAGGCGGACTCTGGATCTAGCCGCAGAGAAAGGTGCCTCCAGTTGGCTCACTAGTCGGCCATCTCGCCGGTTCCAGTTTACCATCCACAAGGCTGGCTTCCGGGATGCCCTATGTCTGCGCTACGGCTGGACCCCTCCCCGGTTGCCGTCTCACTGCACCTGTGGAAAGCCCTTCGACACCACCCATGCCCTATCATGTGCCATCGGAGGATTCACTGGGATGCGCCACAACGAGCTCCGGGATCTAACCGCTAATCTGTTGCGTGAGGTTGCGCATGACGTCAGCGTGGAGCCAGAGTTGGAACCCCTCTCTGGTGAAACATTCCCTCTCCGGTCGGCCAACACGGAGGCTCATGCTCGTCTTGATGTGGCAGCACGTGGAGTGTATGGGAGTAGGTTAGAGAGGACAATGTTTGATGTTCGGGTGTTTAACCCTTTTGTCCCCTCCAACCGAAACCTTACTCTCCCGTCTGTCTACAGAAAGCACGAGCAGGAGAAGAGGCGTAAGTATGAACGGCGAGTCCTGGAGGTGGAGCATTCCTCGTTTGTACCCGTGGTTTTTGCAACCACTGGCGGCCAGGGGAAAGCTGCTTCGGCACTCTTTGCCAGGATTGCCAGCAAGCTGTGTGAAAAGCGCCGTGAACCTTTCCCGGTTATGATGGCTTTTGTACGGGCGAAGATCTCCTTTTGCCTTGTTCGAGCAATGGTTGCCAGTCTACGTGGTCACCGTCGGAACCCGCCTCGACATCTGTCTGGTTCGGCTGTGCTGGCAGCTGCTGAATGTGCCCTGGTGCCATAAACGGTGTACATGATACAGTACAGTTTCTTTGGTAATGGTGTTTCATTTACTTTTGTATTTTCAGTTCGTTTTCTTTGTATTTAACTCCTCATTGTTTTTTTACCAGGCGTGGGCCATCCCCTGACTTCATAGGTGCCAAACATTTTACGTTTTTCATTTCTATTTTGAAAGTTAATAAAAAATTACCGTCACAGTGGAGTAGTACAATACAATACAGTGGAGTAGTACAATACAATACAGTGGAGTAGTACAATACAATACAGTGGAGTAGTACAATACAATACAGTGGGGTAGTACAGTACAATACAGTTGAGTAGTACAATACAATACAGTGGAGTAGTACAATACAATACAGTTGAGTACTGACCTTGAGAAACGTGAGAACAGTAGTAGACTTGCCAAAGGTCATGATGACTTCATCAGAATGGATGTGTTCTAGAGCTTGCTGCGCCACAAGATCAGCACTGGATGGCCACAACAGACACAACAACCACACTCACACACATACGCACGCACACACACACACACACACACACACACACACACACACACACACACACACAGCGGTAACACCAAGACAAAGATGTTGAAACACCAGCATGTATCCGTGCATATACTCATTATTTATAACTTATAAGGAATGATATTGCTGATGGATAGGTTGCCGCCTTCACAAAATTATCGAGTGCTCTACATTAGTAACAGTACCCTATGAAATATCCCTGCTTTTAAAGTATGCTATTATGCAGATACGTCAAGATGGGGAGAAGAGAGAGAGACAGAGGGGGGGGGGGGGGGGGGAGAGATAGGGAAAGAGACAGACAGACACAGACAGACATGGATAGATAGATAGAGAGAGAGAGAGAGAGAGAGAGAGAGAGAGAGAGAGAGAGAGAGAGCGAAAGAGAGAGCGCGCGCGCGCGCGCGCGCGCGCGCGAGAGAGAGAGAGAGAGAGAGAGAGAGAGAGAGAGAGAGAGCGAGAGAGAGCGAGAGAGAGCGAGAGAGAGAGAGAGCGAGAGAGCGAGAGAGAGAGAGAGAGAGAGAGAGAGAGAGAGAGAGAGAGAGAGAGAGAGAGAGAGCGAGAGAGCGAGAGAGCGAGAGAGCGAGAGAGCGAGAGAGCGAGAGAGCGAGAGAGAGAGCGAGAGAGCGAGAGAGAGAGAGAGAGAGAGAGAGAGAGAGAGAGAGAGAGAGAGAGAGAGAGAGAGAGAGAGAGAGAGAGAGAGAGAGAGAGAGAGAGAGAGAGAGAGAGAGAGAGAGAGAGAGAGAGAGAGAGAGAGAACAGTCTCCTTACCCTGAATCTATGTCAGGCAGTAACTCCTCATTGATGTAGACAATAATGGATGCCTGGAATGCACAAGAACACACAACAATTGCCAGTCCGTATTACTCAAAGCGGGAAACACAGCTATGCATGTACATGTAGGCAAGTACTTGCAACATAACTGAGCCATAACTAGTTAGGAAGAGAACTTACCTTCAAAGATGGAATGGATGTTTTGTAGTCCTCCTCCACCATATCACGTAGAAACACCTGCAGATACGCAAGCATACATACATCAGATTACATCATTTGACATGACATAATCAAGAGCAACGCCTTGGTTTGAATGCTGCAATTTTTACTCCTGATAGCACATGGGGCTAGACAGAGTCAACGCTACAGAAAGGCCCATACCGGGTACCTTGGATTACCTAAAACAGTGCCGATGGTGGTGAAAACAGTGCCGATGGTGGTGAAGACCTGGGACCCCAAAGCCTGATTCATACTTCATTTCGCGTACAGAACCATGCTACTGTGTCGCCTTGGACTAGCATGATGAAGAAGTTTGAAATACACAATCATGTTGATCAGCAGCACAAATGACAGTAATCACAAGCCATGTGTGTCGTATGTACTAAATACTTTCTACATTGCGTACATGCTGTTCATGGCGTTCAACAGGCTTTGCATCCTTGTCCGCCAAAGCAGCAGAGGCAGACGCCTCGCTACTGATTTCTCAGCTGCTCGCAAGTCTTCAGTGATCGGGTATATTCATCACGAACCATCTTCATGACTGTAGTATGTACAAAGAACACACACACACACACACAAACAAACAAACAATAAGTATACCCATTACAGAGAACAGTGGCAGTAAACTATGCCAGGCTTTGTAACACGGGCTGGCATTCATGATTTCTACACAATAACACAGCTGCATGCAAGGCCTAGCCAAACTTGACAATTACTACTTGTAGTAAGTTATGCACGGCCTTACATCACACAACCTTAAGAAATGGCTACTTCAAACTGCACATATTCTGTTCTCTCTCTCTCTCTCTCTCTCTCACACACGAGCACAAAGACACAGACACACACACACGCACACACACGTACACACAAATTGCCCCTGTAGCAGTAGTGGTTGCAGTACTGTAGCCGGACTGGATGGAACTCACACAAACACAACAACAGTAGCAGTAGCAAGCTAAAACAGCCAATGATATACTTACCTCTTCTAAATGACATTGGCAATGGTAGTCTCTGTACAAAAAACACACATACACAAACACGCACCCACGTACACATCCACATACACACAAGTGAGTGAATGACGAAATGGATCAATAATTATTACTTTTATTAGTGCTGTGAGTGAGCTTGGCCGTGGGTAGGCAAGTACACGAGAGAGAGAGAGAGAGAGAGAGAGAGAGAGAGAGAGAGAGAGAGAGAGAGAGAGAGAGAGAGAGAGAGAGAGAGAGAGAGAGAGAGAGAGAGAGAGAGAGAGAGAGAGAGAGAGAGAGAGAGAGAGAGAGAGAGAGAGAGAGAGAGAGAGGAGAGGGAGAGAGGGAGAGAGGGAGAGGAGGGAGAGAGAGAGAGAGAGAGAGAGAGAGAGAGAGGAGAGATGGAGAGATGGAGAGATGGAGAGAAGAGAGAGAGAGAGAGAGAGAGAGAGAGAGAGAGAGAGAGAGAGAGAGAGAGAGAGAGAGAGAGAGAGAGAGAGAGATGGAGAGAGGGGTCACTGACTCACCTTCTGGGTGGTGGCTGACAAGTTTCTTGCCTTCTTCACGAATCTTTTCCAGTAGCTCACTGCCAGCAACAAGAAAGCAACATCATTCAACAAACTCTGTGTTTTAACTGAAAGTGAACACCCACCTTCAGAGGTCACCAGTGCTCTGAGGAACCCAACAACTAGTTCAACATACGGTGCAACCTGCTCTAAGCTAAGGACACCTGAGATGCAGACACCTGGAAAAGAACACTCGAGTAAAGAACACTCTCCAGACTATTCAGAATCAACATCTTCAGAACTCTTCCACTAGTGCTTGTATTGCCTGCTCATCAGGTGGAATACAGGCAAACAGAAACTGACCAGGCTGAACAGTGAAATTTATACTGTACTGATGTGATAACAACAGCGCAAAGATGATAAGCCAAAAACAACGCGGCAAAATGCATCGCTTCATACACATAGAACAATGACAACTCGTTAGTTGTGTCCCTTTGTTGTCGCAGAAAGTTACATGGCACTCTTTTTGTAAGTTTGTTCACACATGCACCTTTTGTCATTCTGGTCATTCTATGAGGTGACGCATTCTATTGCGTCGTTTTTGGCTAATCTTATCACATCACTAACAGATACTGTGTAAAATTCATTGTGGCAGCTTGGTCAGTCTCTGTTTGCCTGTATTCCACCTGGTGAGAAGGCAATGAAAGTGCTAGTGGAAGAGGAGGTTTGAAGATGTTGGTTGCGATGAACCTGACGCGTGTTCTCTTCTTGAGTGTCATTGCATTTTGCGACTTTTGTCTCCGAGAATACGTTGAAAAGCAGAGCTCCCACGGTAGTTTATACCGTATACTAACACCTGTTCAGGAAGACCACCTGTCAAGGAAGACCACCTGTCCTGGAAGACCACCTGTCAAGGAAGACCACCTGTCCTGGAAGACCACCTGTCAAGGAAGACCACCTGTCCTGGAAGACCACCTGTCCTGGAAGACCACCTGTCCAGAGAGACCGGCAATCTGCTCCTCATGGGATGGTGCAAAACCCAGGCTTGACTGTGCACTCTTTCCAATAGAGATCACCTAAGAAAGCAGGCAGCTAGAAATACATCCAACGGACAATGCATGTACTTTCCTCAGGGTGTGCAGACTCTCTACTGTAGCCACAGTTCATCTTTCACACAATTATACACCACTACCCAAAAACGGTCTCTCAGCTACTGTACAATTCTCCCAAATAAATTCAATCCAAATTCTCGGGCCTGGCCGTTTTTGAGTAGTGGTGTATCATTGTGTGAAAGGCAATGTATTTGCTGCAGAACAACCCTTGAGAGTGTGGACTTTACATAAGCTATGCTCTCACTACATTGGTCTCCTGGTCATGGGAAGGATATAAAATTTATAAATGAAATAAATTCCGAGGGCTCCGTATAAATATGATCCTTGCACCACTTGTCTTACCCGGCATTCGACCATCGTGTTTGTGAAATGATCTCGCGCATCAATAGGAGAGTGGTCCTGCCTATTTGAAAAGACCGCATTTTCCTGAAAGAAGCAAGCGTACATAAAAAAGCACATGTTATATTCTATTGCAATGGGAATGGACTGTACTTAAAATTCCCCTGGCCGTTAAAAGTTATGCACAGGAATACTGCCCCCCCCCCCATCTCTCTCTTATTCATCTACATGACTGTATTATTACACCTGCTTTGTGTCCTATACACGGACGAATTACTAATTTATTGACAGTATTGTCCACACATCATTGAGTACACATACACAAAATGTACACATACATTTTTTAAGAGAACAGAACTGAGTCAGAGAGTAGAGAGCAGCGGTTAATCTAGTGCATATAATACGGTGCTAGAAACCAAAAAGAGGTCTTCTCTTCAAAGACCAACTACTCAAACTTCCAATTCAAATTTCAGTTAAAAGAAATGGACGAATATACAGAAGACTATCAAAATACTCTCACAAATAAATTATTGAGAAGGACATATTCGCGAGGCTTTCGTAAAAGGAGAGATGAAAATGAAGAAGGAAAAGAATTCCAAACGCCATCCCGCTTCAAACAAAAGTAACACTTACCCTCGTCTTATTTCAGCCGAAAAGGCTTCCACATTTTTAGTCACATCATCTGCCATATCGAATCGAATGTTTTTCAATTATCTTTCCAGCCGGTAAAACGTTAGTGTCAGAAGAGCAATTCCACTGAACAGCTACAGCCGAACGAAGCTCAACTCTTTCAAGGGCACTTACAAGGTAAAGACATGAGAGTGGGAGCAAGAATAAAGTCAGGGAGGACGAATGATCCTATCATATCAGTCACTGGCAAAATCAACGAAATGACTTGAAAACTAAAAATACAATGAGAATCTATTTGTGGGATCAGCTAAAACCCCGTATCGCGTGCTCAACTTCTCAAGATCGATAGCTTTTGCCGAAAAATGGAGAAAATCATGCTTTTGTACCGCGGGGAAATGGTCCTTTTTCGAAAAACAAAAATAAGTAAAAGAGATCGATTCTTCTTGTTGACACCATGTAGATCTACCATGCATGTAGACTCTCTACGACCAGATCAGCAGAGTCGTAGAGATGGATATGGATCACTTGTACTCCCTCAACTACTTCAAGTACTTGGGTCAAGTAAAGCAGTGCCTGCTTGTCGTCGCAGTTGTCTGGAGTTCATGAGGCCATAAAGCTGAGGACCAGTCATTTTCTCCTCGTCATAGTGACTGGCGTTGCGGACAACTACTCACGAGGGCTGTGATAACCTGGGGGGGGGGGGGGGGGGAGCCTACGGAAGGTGACGAGGAGCAATACTATAGTACTAGTATTACCAAGACGGCAAGAGTAAATAAGTATTAGTTACCGTAGTTGCCAGAGCTATCATAGTGCACCGAAAAGAGTGAGGCTTGGACTGGTTTAGCTAATTAGGCTGCCTGCCAATGAGTTTTGAATTTGAACTTTTATAATAATTTTTGAACAACAAATCTGTGTTATACTTTTTAAGTTACATGATTATTGTGCTATCAAGAGTAAAATAAGCGTCTCGTATATTGGGCCCATGGGAGCGTATTTTACTCTTGATAATAGTACATTGGTAAAATTTAATTATGATCCATGTTTGTAGATATTGTACATGCACAAATCAAGGAGTAGTGACATAATTTTACTACTCCCTATACTGGCCGCAGCACGCAGCTGGTCCAAAGAGCACATTTGTTTGTGAATGAATCGTGGGAAGGGGCTGGCAGTGCAAGGACTTGGCACGAATGAGGGAACGTTTACGGATACATTGTATTCGAATGCAACAGAGTACAGATGATGCACACGTGTATTGCAGTTTGCACACAGCCTGTTCCGAAATAATTTACTTCCGGGTTGGCGCCTGTGCATGTGGGTGTTGCAACACGACTTGCTTTCAGACGCCAGCACCTGTACATAGTGGCACCAACGTGCACAACAGTGCACGGAACCATGCCCGGGCAAGTATGCAATACATGTACACCACACACACATTATACACACGCACACGCACATGTACACACCACACAATGGAGAATGCAGGTGACTTGTAATTGTGTCAACAAGCTTTGGGTAGTGCACGCTACTGAGGACGGCAATTAGTAACAATTACTATCTCGCCATGACCAGGCATAGAATAGGATCACACCACACACACACACACAGTTCCAGGTCAGCAGACCATGGCCGGCTTGCGACTTCTTGCAGTTTCACTGATCTGCCTTGTGCAGTGGGTGTATGTACTTAAGTAGTATGCACCCAAACACATCTGTTGGGTTCAGTTCCAGACGAGGCATATGTGCAGCACAGCCAGCAATGTATTCACAAGAAAACTCGGCAAATGCCAGAAAGCGAGAGCAAATCTTCAAAAAATTATTGGCACTCTGGTAAAGGGACTTTCTTCAAAGATCAAAGAGACCACATACAGTTTACTACAACAGTGATGAGCCTTAGGAGAAGAATCATTAGAATGAGAACAACAGTTCGCTGAGTGTGTACACGCGGTGTAGAGCTAAGACTTTCGTTTGAAGCTTCGCGAATGGCTTTTGGTCGACTTGATAAGAGCTGACATCCTGCAGTGGTAATGGGTAGGCAAGAAGAGAGCAGAGAGTCAGACATGAGAGCGCAGATATGAGGAAAGATCACAGGAGAAAGAGAGAGAGAGAGAGGGGGGGGGGGGGGGAGGGAGAGATGTGTGCGTGTGTGGTGTGTGTGTTTGTGCCGTGTTGCATGTGGCAAACAGCGATTGACATTTTGTAGTCTGAAGTAACAAGCAGCAAGACTGGATGGTGACTGGTGCTCTGTGGAAGAAGGCGATAGCCCACACCACAGATACGTCCAGTCAGTGTGGTGGAAGGTCAGACCTCATCTCACAGTTATCTACCTCCAAGAGTACATGAAACCCAGAGTGTGCAGCTCGGATGGGTTGCTGGAATTCTGGGATCACATAATTTATTTTAGGGGTCGTCGCAGAAGTTTTTTAACGAACATCATTCGGGTTTCGGGGGGGGGGGGGGGGGGGGGAGGGTGCGAGCCAAAGTCACAAGTTGACCAACACTGTACATGTACATGCATGCGATTTTCGTCGTCCAGCATAGCGAGTTGCGTTCGTTTCAGAGGAGGGGGGGGGGGGGGGGGGGTCGAGTACGAAATGAACGATGTTCGTTTCAGGGATGACAAGAAAAACTTCTGCGACAACCCCTTAGTGATGTGGTGTGTACAAGTAGGATTCAAGCTGGTCTCCTGCCGCACAACTGCAGCTCAGTTGTACACACTACACCACTTCCCGCCGCATATTTGCACCAACTTCTTGGACGTAATCCCGGAATTTCGCTGTGGCAGACACCCATGCAGAAAAGCCAGAAGCTGAACACCCTGGGGTTCATGTAGTAGTACATGTACTCTTGCTACCCCAGGGATGCGCGACCATAGCAACAAACACTGGGATGCGTGACCATAGCAACAAACACTGGGCTGCGCGACCCTAGCAACAAACACTGGGCTGCGTGCAGGGAGCGTGACTTTGTTTTAAACATGCGGTCGCATTTTTACATGCCGGCATTGTGTGAGACTTACGCATGCTGGCCCGCAGTCTTGCCGCTAGATTGGCGCTCTGTGAACACAAGAACAAAAAACAGCAGACAGTAGAAAGTGCTCAATAGTATGCAGCACAACAAATCGTAAAAATTGTCTATGCATCTGCTCCACTTCCGTTCTTCAGAATGACGTGCTGTTGTCCGACGGCCTTTCATGACGCGGATTAGGCAGCGCTGTTCCTTCCTGTTGAAATTGTTTCAGGACAGCTGCAGTAACTAACAACTTCTTCAGTGAACCACTAGAAGATGAAGATATTGTCTGGCTTGGTCCATTGTACATGACCATTAAATGGTCTTTACGTTTCGTTCATGCAAATAAGATGATCAAAAATAATCAGCATGAGATTTCGAGCATTTTGACATACATATCAGTGCACGGGGCGGCATTTGGATAATTCGAAGTTCCGGATAATTCGAAGTTGGGGCCTGGCAATTGGAGGTTTGAATTAAAGTGAGTCTACCTGTATACTGTCGTAGCCAATCAACTTTGCTAATAACGACTGTGGATATAACGACAATTCGCGAATAACGACAGAATTTCCATGCCCAGAGCAAAGTCCCAGCCCACTGTAATACATATAATGAGACTTCGGGTATAACAGCACTTCGCGAATAAGGACACCTTTTTGATGCCCCGCCGAGTGTCGTCATAAGCGAAGTTGACTGTACACCGCATCGTAGAGTGCATCACTGTAAGATGTCACGTCACACATCAACACTAACAAGAACACAGTACAGTTACAGATAGCCAGGACCAAAGCAGCAGGAGGGTCCCCGTATCCAAAGCAGTAAGTCTAAACAGCAAAGTACAGTACATACCAATTTCCTGCTTTTCCGCTTCTTCTCGCTGATCGATGCGTCGACGATGACGCTCCTTAACCAAATCATCCATGACTTTAGTTTTCCTAAAGAGTCAAGCAATAGCAACAGGAGCATTGGCATGCCATGTCAAACTCCAGTGTACAGAAAAGAAGCAACGGCTCGACCAGATCCCAACCTCTGTAATTCAGGGGCTTTATTCGTACGGTAACTACAGAAAGTGAGTGTGCATGTGTGTGCGGGCGCGTGTGCGTGCGTGCGTGTGTGTGTGTGGGCGTGTGTGTGTGGGCGCGTGTGTGTGTGTGTGTGTGTGTGTGTGTGTGTGTGTGTGTGTGTGTGTGTGTGTCACTAGCATCATTGATTACACAAGAGTGTCGGCCGTTGGGCGGTTCAATAGCCAGTTGAGTCATCTTTTCAAGATTCCTTTTGAGTCTCTCTCCCCTCTCCCGGGGAGACCCACGTGACCAGTTTTGGCAGTGAGCAACAAGTACAAGTACAAGTGTGTGTGTATGTGTGTGTGTGTGTGTGTGTGTGTGTGTGTGTGTGTGGGGGGGTGTGTGGGGGTGGGGGTGGGGGTGGGGGTGTGTGTGTGTGTGTGTGTGTGTGTGTGTGTGTGTGTGTGTGTGTGTGTGTGTGTGTGTGTGTGTGTGTGTGTGTGTGTGTGTGTGTGTGTGTGTTCAGTCCAATTCTTTACTGACGTGTGCAGGTAGCAGCACCAGCAGGAACCGTTTCACAGGAAACACACACACACACAATATAATTATTACGACTCCGTTGTCTGCTGAATCTTCCAAGCTGCAACAACAGAAATTGCATGGTCACTTGTCCCATAGAACACTAGCATACAAGCCACTAATTTGCAAAAGACGGTACATGTCATAAGCCAGGATGGAACATATTTATAAAGGACTCACTTGAAGTTCGGTGCAGAGGGGTCGATAGCAAACTTGGCATCGGAGAATATCGCAGAGAAACGCGGGTCGTTATCCATCTTGAACTCCGGCTGCGAATATTCCACAAGCACACAACCAAAATATGATAAAACCAGTCACAGACTTTATCACACACGTTTAAAATAGTTACATACACAAAGAAAAATGGTCCCTGGCTTGCAAAAGTGCTGAGAGGAGCCTGCAACACAAAATCGACAATGGTGAGAAGCTGAAGACTTGTTGCAGCTGCGAGTTTGATGACATTGAGCCAATCATGACATGTCGTCTGATGATCAGCCCAAATTCCATGAAAGTCGGAGTTACAACTTACAACAAATCTTTACTTTCCCGCCATTGTGAATGTGTGCATGCACTGCGCATTACGAGTGTACAATGATTCAATACAATGACAATAGAACAGCGCTAACTCTCTGACAAAGGCAGGCCCAGTGACAATAGAACAGCGTCAACTCTCTGACGAAGGCAGGCTGTCAAGCAGGATTTGGTGAGCAGCCTACATGCACTTGGATATACTCAGGTTGAACAGAACAAAACAAGAGAAGGCGTGGTTACGTTTGCGCCACAGAAACTTACCTGGGCGTTTGCACCATCCTCGTCCTCCTCCTCGCGCTTTCTCTTCTTCCTCCACTTCTTCTTGGAGGAGCCCATTGCCTCCAGTTTCTCCTGCTCTTGTATACGCTATTGGTGCACACACAAACGGAGCATGGAGGAACACAGGCAAGTTGAGGCAACATACATGTACAGTATCATCATTGCAAACATAGTGCGAAAACTGCATAGGCGGACCACTGGAGGGACCTGAAAACAAGGATCCAGCGTACAGTCAGTCCTCTGATCCTGGGGTTGGCTGGAAATGACACCCTGGATTTCAAGGTTACGGACCATGGTGCAAGTGACAATATATGCTACTATGGAACCTCAACCGAGAACAATAATAAGACAAGCTTGTACTAGTGACTCCATTCTTTCAATCACTGCATATACAAATATAGAGGTAAGCAGCAGCATTCGGCCCTGTACAGATTTTTCATCGACCACCACACCAACACTGCACTCTCCACGGCATATTTCGCCGTACATAAAGTTTCGATAAGAAGCATTCTTGCTGGTGCAACCAAACTACAGCAACCCCATGAAGTTACAGTAGCCCATTAAGGTTCGTCCCAAATAGGTTTGGATGCACGGTTAAGTGCAGATTGAGTAAGTCTACCTCCACATGCCAGTATGGGAATTTGTTCTACTTTTAACACGGTTACTTGAAATAGTAATAGGCTAATAGCACATGTATCATCCATTTATGCTACAGTAGAGTCTTCCCTATTACTTAAAAGGACACCTGAAAGTTGAGGACACATTTCGGTAGTCCCTCGAAGGTTCAAAGATGCGCACCTCATTCTCCAAAGCGGACATCAAGGACAGCTTGGGCTAATCCCTTGGGTGTCTGCATTTCTCACTTTCCAAGTTTCCACTGCATGGTCTGTGTGCCAGAGCCAGATCCACACTACACTTGTCATCAAAATGTCCCAGTCCCACAGAACCCTAACTGTAGTGTGTATGCAGTGTATGTCGCAGCATTGTCTCTCTCCGTACTGTCTCTACACTATAGTGTATAGCGTGTGTCACAGCATTGTCTCTCTCCACACTGTCTCTCCCTGTACATGTACTGTCTCTCCCCCCACACATCTGCAGATATACATAACTAGCATACCTTCAAACTAAAGTGCTTCTTCTCGTCTTGTTCGTCGTCGACCATCAACAGTTTGAGCTCAGCCTGGGCAAGACAAACAGCACAGCAAATCACCAAATATCAACACAACATGAAACAGCATGTAAAGATCGCCATACTAAAGCATAAGTTTTACTTGTATGCAGACTTGATGCCCTTGGGGAACAAGGACTTTTCTATGCACTGAACAGGACCGTAGCACCTGGTCCAGCCGGTCGGACCATGGCCGGGCCAGACCTTATTTTGGAAAAAGGTAGACCTACCCAATTCGTGCAAAACTGGGTTTAGGGGTCGTTGCAAAAGTTTTCTGTCGTCCCTGAAACGAACATCGTTCATTTCGTACTCGAACCCCCTCCCCTCCCTCTGAAACGAACACAGTTTGCTATGCTGGACGACGAAAATCGCATGCATGTGCACGTCATATGTACAGTGTCGGTTGACTTGCGATTTTGGCTCGCCCCCCCCCCCCCCCCCCCCCAAATGAATCATGTTCGTTTCAGGGACAACATAAAACTTTTGCGACGACCCCTTAGGGACCATCGCAAAAGTTCGCAGAAGCCCCCGAAACGAAGACCGTTAGTTTCGGGCCTGACCCCCCTCCCTCCCCCCTCAAACGAAACGACAGTCACAATATGGGCTTCATTATTTCACTTGGATGCTCACACATAATAACAAGAGTACATAACTACACAGTGTAGTTATGTACTCTTGATAATAATTATTATAATATACTACACAGCAGGGGTTCATAAACCCTATGAACCCCTGCTAGTACTAGTACTAGCAAGAGTCCATAAACCACGCGTTTTATGGACTCTTGGTACTAGACTACACAGTGTACAGGCAGCCAGCTACGCGACACGCGCAGTTGCATGAATGGACTACGCGTCCTGACAAGCGATCTACGCCGGCTGTGATGGCATGCTAATCAGCTCCTACATGTCATCAATACTTTTTTGAATTGAAGCCCGGTTTGCGATTTTCGACACCGACTCCCCCCCCCCCCCCCAAACGTATGCTCTTCGTTTCAGGGGCTTCTGCGAACTTTTGCGATGGTCCCTTAGTCAATTGTGTTCATTTCCGGTGAAGTATCCCAATTGGCCAGACCACATGAAATCCCGGTGCTACGGCTCTGCTGAAGGTTGCCTCCTCAAGTCAATGAGAGTACACACCTCCTCTCTTTTGAAGTCGACAGCATGTTACAAGGCGGAGGACGCTCCTGACTACAACTATAAACCGTTTGGCATAGTCCCGGTCTTGCGACCATTCAAACCGTATGGGGACAACCCCGGTTCGAGCAAGGCTTATAATATATACCATACCTCCTCTCTCTGCTCTTCTTCTGTCAGTCCTCGCTTTTTCTTCTTCTTCTTTGAATCTTTCTTGGACAGGGCTGTATCTTCGCCCTTAAACATCACCGAGAGCAAACACAAGGCGCACGACATGAGACATCAATCTACAGGACATACCGGATCTCAATACAGATAGTCGGTACAGACAGTACAGGCTGTACATGCATGCGCCGGTACACACTTTCTCCACTCTCCGCCATCGTCATTAACGTTGGAAAGGAAAGGACTCAGCTAAGCATCAAAAGGCAAACAGAGCACTTTGGTTATGAGGCAAAATTTGACTCCCAATACCCGCTACACCAACAAGAACAAGCCCACAGTGGCAAGAACAGCAACAAACAAACAAGGACAAAACACAATGTGTGCACTCCTCACCGCGAAGAAAGGATCGTTGAAATCAAAGTCCTGTGGCACCTCATCACTGTCGCTGTCATCTCCAGCTTCACCCTTAGCAGCCTGTAGAGATGTGAGCAGTCATACACGGTGGCAACACACAGACACACACAGAATGTACACGCACACCAACCCACACCCACACACAAATGTGCACGCAACGTTAGCCATCAATTTGTGGTCACTGCAAGTTTCTTGACAAGCAACAGAGAACAGGAGCATAGTAGAACATTTCGGGCCAGTCAACTATTATTGGCAGCAAGAGTAAATAAGCTCCCAAGAGTGCACAACTCTGCATACATGGTCTCCGACGGTAAACACTCACATCACATGTTCCAAGTACGATTTGTACTACGTGCACCGAAGGCTAGTGTGAGCGCAGTTCAAATATCGGCTATGATCATGCTGATGATTGGCATAAAGCTCAGTGCGTTTCTGCCAGGCTAAAACGGCCTGAAACGTACAAGGTGATGACTAGATCACATGATGTGAATTTTCGCCGTTGGCGGACCCCATGGAAAGGTATCAGGGGTTGCACACTCTTGGGAACTTTTAAAGTGCTCTCATCGGTAGTCATGTGAATAGCAATCACGTTACCTTCTTCTTCCGCAGCCGCTGTTTCCGTCTCTTGTCTTTCTGATATTGCTCCCATGCTGTTAGGTCAGAGTCTGGAGGAAGTACACGAGCACATTCACAACCACAGTCATTCCGGCACACCCAGCCACACATGTACACACACACACACACACACACACACACACACACACACACACACACACACACACATGAATTGTTTTTCGAGAGCCACATGCACAACTGTCGCACAAGTGGTCGGCTTACAAGATCAGCTAATCCACGCTATGTACTACCCCCCCCCCCCCCCACACACACACACATACGCACACACTCGTGCACTTACCCTTCTCATTCTTGCTCTTCTCGCTAGCTTCATCAGCACCGAATGCTGTAGGGAGGATACAGAATACACACACACACGGCAAGAACAGCAAGAACAGGATACAAATTTAAATCAGATGAGAGCAATTGATTTCTTTCCACTAAACCCCCAACCCGCTCAACACACACAACAGTCGTCGGCTACACCACGCACAATCGTTAGATGACAAGGCTGCAGTGGCTAGACAAGGCTACAGTGGCTAGACAAGGCTACAGTGGCTAGACACGGCTACAGTGGCTAGACAAGGCTACAGTGGCTAGACACGGCTACAGTGGCTAGACAAGGCTACGGTGGCTAGACAAGGCTACAGTGGCTAGACAAGGCTACAGTGGCTAGACAAGGCTACAGTGGCTAGACAAGGCTACAGTGGCTAGACAAGGCTACAGTGGAGTTTCAAAGCTCTTAAAATGAATAATATTCATTTTTCTAATGATAATCACAAAGGAGTAAATTTTGATCTGTACTAAAACCCGAGACTAATCATTAGGTATCATGATTTTTGAAATTTTGCGAGCGATTTATCTCCGGCACATCACCAAAGCAGCTGTTAAAATTCTCTCAGTGTTTCGTGTATATTACGGGCAGGATTTCTATGGGGTTTGGTCCAGATCACGTGCAGTCTAGACCAAATCCCTTGCTCAAGACCGGCTGGGATGCACTGGTCGAGTGACCTGCGTGACAGGGTATTCACCCTCGAGGGTGATGGGATTCTTACGAAGGTGGAAAAGCAAGCCTGACTTTGACGCAAGCCGAGAAATCCTGAAGCTAGCGTGCTGGATAAATTCCTAAGGAAGCCAGCTGCAGCCAAACTACTAGTGCGGGATGACTGACTACCACACACTGGAACCATGGGCATAGTAAGGGACTTTTGCACAGTCACACAAGAACTGAGTGAATGCATCACAATTTCACATACCGTAAAGTCATGTACAAATGCCGCGGCTTATATGACTTTTTGGGGGAAATTTTGCAGGCTTCTATACAAGACGGGAATTTCTATGTATGTCAACACTAAAATCAGGCTCATGTGCAGACAGTGTATCTTGAAAATCAGGCTTGTATTCAAAACAAGCTTGTATTCAAGACAGGCTTCTATATGAGACAGGCTTTAACCCTTTGAGGCCCACAGTACGGATATATCCGTACCAGTGTACAGTGCATACTTTTCAAAGCGCAACCTGGCGTAACTCGGCCGTCCCTTGACCAAATCGGACAATCGAAAGGGCTATCGACATTAGAATTGTCTCAGCTATCGGCTCGAAAAAACCCGAAAGCGATCCGAGTTCGGAGAGCGGAGATACGAGACTCGAACTAAATTCGCTCAGCAGAGTCAACTCGAGCGCGTGTATTTTGAACTCGTTTTTAGGGGTTTTCCCTGACTCGCGGCCCACGCAGCTACAGATAGTTCACGTCATCGCAAAGGCATGTTTCTCATCTCTCCAGTAAAAAAATTTGAGCGATCTGCGATGTGATTTGTTGAAATGGCAGAGAATTTGAGTTGGGCGCTCGCAATGCTGGCTTTGGAGCGCCGTATCGCGCTGTGGCGCTGGTTCTGTGGATCGAGTGATGTATTGCTGGCTATCGCTGTGTTCCTCTGGCCAAGAGCTTTCCAGAAAGCCCAAGATCACCAAAATCGGCCAAAGGACACCAAAGTTACGACCAGATAAGTACCCGGGGTCGCGTATGCAGTGCATTTCTTGAAATAATTGTGGGCCCTAAAGGGTTAATACAAGACACTACAGTATCTGTTTTTAAACAGATAACACTTAAAAGTGTTGAGAGACGTACCCGACTCAAATGTGACCTCCAGCTCTTGCTCCTTGTCCTCAGCATCCTCCTTGGCTGTAATGTCAGCCATTAGAGCCTGCACACAAACACACGAGTACACGCACACATACACACACAGACACACACACACACACACACACAGACACAGACACACACACAGACACACACACACATGTTGGACGGCTGGCATGGATACTAAAATTTAACGACACTGAATACAGCGGACTACATGTGCTTGCACTAACCACTTTCACAGCAGTTCTTGCAACAAAGAGAACCATACTGATTAGGTCATCAGGCAAATTTTAAGTTTAAAAGCCAGAGAACCACTTTGATCCCTTCAGAGAGCTTTGGAGTGGCATGAAAATACAGAGTAGAGGTAGCCCATAGTCAAGTCTGAGCGCAAGTGCAGAAGATGTTAGGGACACCTTGTTTCAATGATCTCAACTCTGTGAGAGTGGTGCTCGCCTCCTCTCCCTCGTTTGTCTTCATAGTGCGTTTCAAAAGTATAGACCTCTAGACTTTTCGAATTATTCAAATTTGGTTTGAGCTTTTCGAGAAATTTCTTTGGGATATTGCTCAGGCAGTTACCCCGATTTTTTCACATAGATTTCTAGGTGATTGGATAACAAACGCCCAATTTCGGAAACTTTATGCACAAAGTGATCACAGGTTTTATGTGGTATAGATGTGTTGTAAATGTATGAGCCCCGTACACACTCCCATACGCACGCACTCCCCTACACATATTCATGCACTCCCTGCCGACCCCGTTTCCCGCTCACCCTATCTCACTAACTGCATGCACCCCTTTTCCCGCTCACCCTGTCTCACTAACTGCATGCACCCCTTTTCCCGCACACCCTGTCTCGCTTAATGTATGCACTCATTTTCCCGCTCACCCTAATTCCCACTTACTGCATGCACCCCTTTTTTCCCTCCATAGCTTTAGGCTGCGTTTACACGACAACACACGGCCAGTTTTCCGTTTTCAGTCCCGCATTTCTTTTTTCGTTTTCGTGCGTTTACACGATCACAGCTGATCCGAGGTGGTCTCCGTTTGTATCGTTTTCGTGCGTCCACACGGGAGCAAAGGATCCGCAAAAGTTCGTCATGTGACAAGTATTGTCATGGAAGCACCAATCACACTCAAGGAATAGTTGAAAACAGGCCACAAAACAGCACTCGTCACATGACGAAAATTGTAAAAACACATTTTTTGGATTGCCGGATCCGTGTGAACGGCGGAAAACGAAACAAACGTGACGGAAAACGAGGCCAGCAACCGTTTCGACTGTTTACACACTCAAATTTATCCGGCAGAACATTTCCGTTTTCAAATTCTTCCACCTTGGCCAGCGTTTTGGTTTTCTTCCGTTTTGGTGTACAACTTTTGTGTTTTGCTCCTCGTACCGTGTAAATGAACCATGCATCCGAAAGGATTTTGTTCCGTTTTCACCCCCAGCGTTGTCGTGTAAACGCAGCCTTAGTTATACCCTGAAGGCTGCGCTTGCGCAGGATGTGCTCCTCCCAGTCCTCTTTGTGCTTCTCCCAGCCCTTTGTGCTATTCTCCCAGTCCTCTTTGTGCTGTTCTCCCAGCCCTTTGTGCTATTCTCCCAGTCCTCTTTGTGCTGTTCTCCCAGCTCTTTGTGCTATTCTCCCAGTCCTCTTTGTGCTGTTCTCCCAGCTCTTTGTGCTATTCTCCCAGTCCTCTTTGTGCTATTCTCCCAGTCCTCTTTGTGCTATTCTCCCAGTCCTTTGCGCTATTCTCCCAGTCCTTTGTGCTATTCTCCCAGTCCTTTGTGCTATTCTCCCAGTCCGGACCTCCTTGTGCTGTTCTCCCGGTCCAGTCCTGTTGTGATAGTCCAGTCTCTTTCCTTTGATAATATAACCATTATAAAAGCCTTACGCGTGTTCTGAGACGAGTAGTATAAAGAGTAGTTGTACATATAGTTAGTAGTCCCTTATTTGACTACAGATGCTGGCTTAACGTGGGGCTCGAACCCACAACCCACGACCCTGAGATTAAGAGGCTCATGCTCTACCGACTGAGCTAGCCGGGAAATTGTCCTCGCTGTTGCAGTGCCCGTGTAATATTTAACTATTCCTCTTCAGCCGAGTGTTCGTCCTCGCTGTTGCAGTGCACGTCGTCATATTTAACCATTCCTCTTCAGCCGAGTGTTCGTCCTCGCTGTTGCAGCGCCCGTCATCATATTTAAGTATTCTCCTTCAGCCGAGCGTTCGTCCTCGCTGTCTCCTGCAGAGTGTTCGTCCTCTGTGGAGTGTAACCCATACATTGCTGTTTCTGGTTTGTTTGTGGGTGGCTGTGTGTCTTCCCCTGTGTTCTGTCTGGTGTGCAGTACCATCACGGTGCAGATGCCTCCGCATCCGGGCCACGGACCACCACCACCATCGCCTCCTCCTCCTTGTCAACCCCTCCGTCCCCTGATGCCACAGCAGGAAGATGCGCGCTGTGTCATCCGCCGACGCCAGGCGCAGCGTCAGGCGCAGCATCATGCACAGCGGCGAGTCCGATCGGCCGCCTACATCGCCCGGGCTCGCCGCCATGCCGCTGATCGGCGGGCGCGAAGAAACACTGAAAATCCACCTCCCCAACCCACCCCCTGCCTCCACCAGATATAACCGATATCGGGATGACATAGAGTTGGTGTCTGAATGTGAGTTGTCTGAGTAAAAATTGTGTTACATGCGTTGTTAATTGTCTGGTGTTGGTATGTGGAATGCGTTGTTAAATTGTCCGGTGTGGGTATGTTGAGTGTGGCTATGTGGTGCATGTGTGGAGCTATGTGGTGCATGTGTGGAGCTGTGTGATGCATGCGTGGAGCTATGTGGTGCATGTGTGGAGCTGTGTGGTGTACCTGTGTTGTTGTTTCGTGAATGCGTTACACCCATTACCCATCCATTAGTTTGTTTGTTTTTCTTCTCGTGGAGACACGAGTTCTTCTCACCCGGAGAGCGGGGTAATGTTGTAAATGTATGAGCCCCGTACACACTCCCATACGCACGCACTCCCCTACACATATTCATGCACTGCAGACGACGATGTGATCAAGAGCTTGAAGGAGAAGATCATATCCTTCATGGCGAACGTGCGGTCGGAGGTTGTTGTGCGGCACAAGCGTCCTGTCACGCCCAAGTTGCATCTGCTTGAGTGTCACCTCGTTCCCTGTGTTCAGAGATTCGGCATGGCGCTTGGTGCTCTCGGAGAGCAAGGCGGTGAGTCAATCCACCACAAGTTTAACCTGCTGCGAGCAACACTGCAGAATACCAACAAGGATGTCGATCGTCTCCGGACTCTTGTGGCTCAGTACCTGACGGCAGCGCTGCCAGCCCACAACAAGCTGATCGTGCCAGCTGCCAAGCGCAAGAAATCAGCTAGCTAGTGACTTGGCAGAGTTCATAGCAGCAGGACCGGACAGCTCCAGGATCCAGACTGGGTGCAGGTAATTCAATTGTGTTGCTAGTAGTTCTGACATGTTCTCTTGATTCATATGAATATTGTGCACAAGGTAGGTGAAACTAGTGCAGGTAAGTGCAGGTAAGTGGTATCCACACATATTTGCAGACGTACATGAATATGTGTAGGGGATCCCCCTACACATATTCATGCACTCCCTGCTGACCCCTCTTCCCGCTCACCCTGTCTCGCTGAATGTATGCACTCATTTTCCCGCTCACCCTGTCTCACTAACTGCATGCACCCCTTTTCCCGCTCACCCTGTCTCGCTTAATGCATGCACCCCTTTTCCCGCACACCCTGTCTCGCTTAATGTATGCACTCATTTTCCCGCTCACCCTAATTCCCACTTACTGCATGCACCCTAATTCCCACTTACTGCATGCACCCTATTTTCCCCTCCATAGCTTTAGTTATACCCTGAAGGCTGCGCTTGCGAAGGGTGTGCTCCTCCTAGTCCTCTTTGTGCTATTCTCCAAGTCCGGACCTCCTTGTGCTGTTCTCCCAGTCCAGAACATTTGTGATAGTCCAGTCTCTTTCCTTTGATAATATAACAAATATTTTAAAAAGCCTTACGCGTGTTCTGAGACGAGTAGTATAAAGAGTACTTGTACATATAGCTAGTAGTCCCTTATTTGACTACAGATGCTGGCTTAACGGTTTTTTTAACCAGAGGTCTATACTTTTGAAACGCACTATAGAGCAGCGCACTACATGCAGCAAATGAGAGTACAGTGAAACCTGTCTAAGACGACCACCGCTCAAGAGACCTTCAAAACGTGGTCTCTGTTACCAGGTGGTCTCCTTATCCAAGGTCAGTTGACTAAAAATAGCATCCCTTGGTCCTGGTTTCGGTGGTCTTCTAGGACATGTGGTTGCCTTATCCGAGTGGTCACCTTATCCGAGTGGTGGCCTTGACAGGTTTTACTGTACAGTACTGTACATGAATGCGGCACGACTCACTCTGTACTTGTTGTAGGACTTTCTGCCTTGGCCACTGGCTGCAGCACTGCTGGATGGCGGCGCAACGCTGTCACCGCGTACTGATGATCCCTTGGATGACTTGCCAGCCTTGGCAGCCTTGGCGCGTGATGTGGTGGCTTGAGGGCCAGTAGAGCTACCGTTCGTAGAGTCGCCACTGGAAGCCTGGCCATGGGACTTGCGGGGGACGGCGGCTCTAGTGGCAGAGGATGTCGCCGGTGACGTGACCTCTGCATCTTCCTCCTCAGCAGCACTCTCGTCGTCACAACTGGCGTCCTCCTCTTCTTCTTCTTCACTGCTGCTGGATGCCAGATATGCCTTGAAGTCCATGTCCTGGATATCACCAGCTGTGAACCTGCAACCAATCACCCAATCAATGCAATGAGGAGAGAGAGAGAGAGAGAGAGAGAGAGAGAGAGAGAGAGAGAGAGAGAGAGAGAGAGAGAGATGACAGGTACACGCACGCACACACACACACGTGCATGAACACACAAAGAATATCATTTTAAAGCAATGAGGTGCTCTTGTTCCAGCACAGTCAGCACACAGTTGCTGCAAAAACATGTGAATACTGTACTAAGAAAGGTGGCATATTGCTTCCCAGGCAAGGTTACGTCAGCTGCAGATATCCAGGTGTAACTAACTTTGTAAGACAGAGGATAGCTTACTTTCTCATGGTTGCCTTGAGACGACCAACATCAGTCTCATCCCAGGTCATGTTGACCTTGCTCTGCTGCAGAGCAGTGGAGAAGAACCTACACACACACAGCATAGGCAAAAACCACACAGCACAGTGAAGACAATAACCACACAGCACAGTGGAGACAACAACCACACAGCACAGTGGAGACAACAACCACACAACACAGTGGAGACAACAACCACACAGCACAGTGAAGACAAAAACGACACAGCACAGTGAAGACAACAACCACACAGTACGCATGTTGCATTCAGCAGCAAGTAAACCTGCGTGTCACTATCACCAGGACATTGCAATCTTGATCTGGCATACAATAACAACCACCATAGCGATGAGTCTGTTCGATAACGATACTATTACCTGAATGTGATGCCTGGAGTCACTCCTCAATGTGTGAATTATGCTCTGCATTGCTCAAATGCAAAATGTGCGGACACAGGATACTATAGTTCAGTACTATAGTTCCTGCAGTGGAAGCCTACTTACGTCAGCGGTTCGTAGCCACCAGCCAAGTCCTTCTCGGTGGCGTGATCCTTGTACTCATCATCAAACGTCATGTCGTCGGGAACAAATCTCAAATCCAGACGGGTCTGACTTAGTTCCAGCTCCATACCGTCACACTCGTCATACAACTTGGATGCAGTGCCTGAACAACAGTGCAGTGCGGGAATAGTGGGCAAAGGAGCGAACACACATACACGCACGCGCGCGCACACACACACACACACACACACACACACACACACACACACACACATGTACGCACGAATGCCACACACACACACACACACGCACGCACGCACGCACGCACACACACACATGTTTGACCTTCAATAGGGCCGGCTACAAGCGAATGATATTACACCAGGCAAAGAAACTATGCTGGCCCCATTCAAGAGCATCCTGTATCCAAGGCCACCTCAGTCAGAATCATTCCAATGGAAACGATAGCAAAGAGCTGGAAGAGAGATACTGGACGCCAGACAACGACTATGGTTAGGGTACAGTGGCATGGAGCTCAGCGCAGGCTAAGTCACACAAGTAGCCAGAGACAGAGCTAACTGAAAAGCTGGCAACACTTGTTACTTGCTCAGCTGGGTTTAGGCACAAGCAGCAGCAAGCAGCTCACGTGTCGCTAGATGTCATGCAATACTCGCCAACGTTCAAAGCCAAATCGCCGATAGCAGTGCTTGTGTATGTGCAGGAGAGGGAGGGAGGGAGGGAGAGAGAGAGAGAGAGAGAGAGAGAGAGAGAGAGAGAGAGAGAGAGAGAGAGAGAGAGATAGCGAGATAGAGGGAGAGATAGAGATAGATAGAGAGAAAGAGACAGACACACACTTTTGAATTATGTACGGTAGAGTACAGGTTCCACAACGGAGACACTGCCCGCACACTTCCCTAACTGGCAGGGTTGAGCACAACATACCGATAGAGTTGCACTCCACTACGGCATAGTAGTACTTCAGGCGGTTGAGCTGGTACTGACGAATCTTCTCCATGGCATCATCTGGCTTCTAGTTATCACATGTAGTGTGACAAGCAGACAAAGTGCAAGAACAGGACAATCAGCAAAAGGGAAGGCAGATACTAAGTTAAAGGAAAGAAAAAGGACCAAGGCACTATAAGTTACGCCATACTGTCCACTAACACGACCAGTTACTGGACACTCAGCTCATGCTTTCCTCCTCGGCTCTCAATCCGAGATACCAAGTTATTAAATAATTATATCTTTATTGCAACATCTCAAGACTCAGTGGAAACGCCGGCCATTGTGAAGAGAGTGGGTGATAGCCAGCCACGGTGATGAAGATAAGAGTAGTGAGTATGGAATAGCAGTGGCAAGCATCAGCGACTTTCTGAACTACTGCACATGCAGAAAGACAGCATGGCCGGACACGCAGGATGCTCACTGCCATAACCATCCACCCCTGTGCGAATTCACCAGAACAAGAACAAGACCAAGAACAAGACCAAGAACAACAGATAGTGTAGACAAGTACTAAGTAGTGTAGTTACCTCTTCATTGTCATCTGAATCAGAGTCATCGTCCATTTCGGCATCATCAAATTCATCACTTCCATAGGCATCTTCACCATCATCATCATCGTCGTCGTCATCCTCCGCTTCTTCGTCGCCACTTGCATCTACTTCAGCCTCACTATCCTCTCCCTCTTCTTTTGCACTGTCCTCTTCCCCATCATCTTCACCACTCTCCTCTTCTAATTCCTCATCATCTTCATCTTCCTCATCATCCTCGCTGTCAGCAGCAGCCGCAGCAGAGTTCCTAGCTTTGCTCTTGCCCGTAGCTTGTTGGTTTGACTCAAACGGTCCCATCACATCTTCCTTTGCTAGTCGCTCCTTTCCATACTCTGATGGATAAATCTAAACAGAGTACAGAGTCACAGGCACAGAATAAGGAACCACTGTATACACACAATGCAATAAGTCTAGAATATGCATACAAAGCTCGTAGCTGTACTGATGAGACCTTTATGGCCGAAGCAGCTTGCTGTCTACAGCATTGGGAATATGCATCCATGTGAGCCAGTACAGTATCACAAGAGAAAAGCAATGCAACTTTCTAGGACTTTCTTGAGTCCTTGAATGATGTGGTGAAGAGGTGGTGAAGAGTTTGAAATTCGTTCCTTTCTTCTCATCCCACAAAGGCTTCATAAACCATCAATTTCGCTTCTTTGTTCTTCACCGCCCTCACATCCAGTTGTTTCGAATTGAATAAAACCTTCAAAGGAGTCCCAGACACTCTTAGCTGGCTGGTACGTTTTTTAAGCACACACTGAACTGGACAGTACAGCACATAGCGAATGTTTTTAAATTACGCCGCTGAAAACGTCGCCACGTTCTTCATCGGTGGCCAACAAAATCTGACCGTGTGAATATAAGTGCCTCCAGGCGCTGCACAGTACAGTCCACCTGCAGTGTAATCCAGTGCTGCCCAATGAAATCCGATCGTGTGAGTCCAGTACGCACCGAGCGCTGTGCAGCCCTAGACCTCCGAACACTGGGATGTTCACGGGTGCAGGACGCAACGCTGACTGACTCAATCGTATTCCATTGAGCAGCAGCAGCACTGTGCAAGAAACATTGTGTGGCAGCAGGCACGGGACAATGCTACGCGGTCAGAGTTATTTTGCTCCAACAGTGCTAGATAGCACTGCTGAGTAACTGGTTAGGCAGGTTACAAGAGCCGTACAAGCAGAAATTCGCATGACGAATAATTTCGTCCAACTCCAAAGAAACGGACGAAAACACATTCCCGATGAGAATGTCTGCTTGTACAGTATACTGTACAGCATGTGAACTAACCGTGATGGACTTGATGCTGCCGCCTTTGGGAGCAAACGAGTTGAGCAATACTGGACACAACGGGAGAAAGAACAGAACCAGCGTCAACAACCACAACAACAATGCCGTGCAAAATCATTATTCATCTCCACACACCAGGCAAAAAAGACACAACACAAAAAACTGGTTTGATGAAATGAACATGCGACTGGCCCGAAAATTTGGATTTATTTATTTCATTTGGTGAATTTGTAGCTGAGAGACTGTTTTCGGGTAGTGGTGTATACTCGTGTGAAAGATGAACTGTGGCTACAGTGGAGTCCGCACACCCTGAGGAAGATCATACAGCTGACTTACACTTGTACACCGAGCCATCAGCAGGAAACTTACCGAGCAGATCTTTGGCACAGACACGATCCCAGTCAACATTGCATACGGCCAAGCGACGCGACAGTTCCTCCGTGTGCTCAACATTAGCATCAAACTCAGCCCAATCGTGAACAATCTGGGATGCACACACGCACACACACACAGCATAAAACAAGCAAAGTTAGCCGGATCCGCGGCCACACCACCTGACTGTTTAGGAACACATCAAGCTACGACGTTCGCATCGGCGGGCCACCACTTGGCCCATATATCCTCAGTGTCGAATGCAGATCTCACAAGTGAGTCAGGGGAGAGGCCGAGAGGGGATAAGTCTCTCAAACAAACGGGCGTGCAACAGCCCTATAACCCCATAAACCGTACACGTGAAAATCAAGGACAAGGACGCGTCGGATCAAACCGCAGTGTCCACACAGATTCATAGAGCCAAGGTATTTCGTCAGGGACTTTCACAAGAAATGCACCCAGTGGGCTTTATAAAGTGCTCAAAAACCACAAGGTCAGAGCTTACAGAACACACTAAAACAGTGCATGAAAGTGTATAGTGCAGTTAGTCTGAGTGAAATGCACATAGTCAGTGTGCAGTCATCAAAACAACACACTTGTATTCGATGTGGGATGATAGATACCACTTACCACAAGGCATACAGTAGTGGTGGTGGTCGAGTGGTGATGGTATGTGTGTGTGTGGAGGAGGGGGGGGGGGGGGGGGGGGTGCGAAAAATATTTTAAAAAGTCCTACGTAGGAAAGTGCCTTCCTATGGAAATCTGTAAAGAGATTAACGTATGAAAAATGCCCTCGCTTCTCGGTGGATTTTCAGTGTTTCACACGTAATTACTAACTGCGTAGAGCAAAACCTCCCTAATCTTTCACCATAATGTGATCCTCAAGTTCACAGAGAGAGAGAGAGAGAGAGAGAGAGAGAGAGAGAGAGAGAGAGAGAGAGAGAGAGAGAGAGAGAGAGAGAGGGGGGAGGGTAGCAGCAAAGCATGATTTCGAGTAGTACAGACAGCCTGTGGAACACTCGCTCGCTACCTACCTCCGGTTTTGCTAAAGGCGCTTCCTCCTCATCATCACTGGATGAGTCGACAGTTGCTTCTCCACGGGCTCGGGCCCAGAAACCATCATCAGATCCACTGCACAGACAATTATCATAAGAAAGTTCACTACACCGTCAAATATTAGAAGAAAACTACGAACAGCGGTGCGTCCAGTTCTTGAGAAAATTATAGGAAGAAAATCTTCAGACCCCTTCACAATGAAATCCTGGATTGTTGTAGCCGCAAAGGGAAAGACTTTCGCCCTGCAAAATCTAGTCTTCCCTTCTCAAGCGCCAAAGCTCCGCACCAAAAATAGTTTCCCCGTGAAATTTAGAAGATATTGCCATTCGCAAAAGGTTTGTCCATGCTACAGTTGTTCCCCCAAAAGTATTGAAAGAATGTCTACACACAGCAAGAGGGGGGGGGGGGGGGGGTCCTTGCTGCAACTATGAAGATGAAGTGCAAGACCACAGCTACCATTTACATTTAGCTACATGTATATGCATAGAATTTGAAATCATGAATATGTTAGGGCCCAGCCACTGCGTAGTCCTATGCAACTGGCCTGGGTAGGCCTAGGCCATTGGGCGGTGTACGAGGAAACAGCATGGATGCATCCATGTGGTTTACTTGCACTGACATGTGCCACACCTGGTCTACTGGTGTAGTAAACAGACTTGCTCCAACACAAACCACTATGCATGACACAACTCACTGCTGGCTCCATTAGGTCTCTTGTTACCTACATTAGAAGTATCTGTACAACTTGCACACACACACACACACACACACACAGAATGTCTTACCTGGCCTCACCCGCCTCGCACACGTCCTCACCACTCTGCTCAGAGTCATCAGATTGCTCTTCTTCAACATCCCTTTCTTTCTTCTCCTCCTCATCGTCGTCATCATCTTCATCATCGCTCTCAGACACTGCATAGAACTTTCTAAAATCCTCCTGGGCACTCCCACCAAGGACTCGGCCTCGTTTGTCAGTGGTGTCTGCAGTGAGCAATAGAAACAAAGTCATAAAACAAAGTGCATAGACTTGTACATTCAGTCATTCATACCTCGGTTATCCGGACCCCGACATTACGAGCACCTCGGGCTACCAGGTACCCCTTCGGGCTGTTTCAGTGGAAATATTACGACTCTTTCGTCACTTTTGTGGAAATAGTGCGGTCATATCTCATATGCCATATCTATGGCCTTCCCCATCAAATTGTATGTGATTCGAAGTAACGGGCAGTAGCCGGTCCAGGACCGCCTGGATAAATGAGGTATGAGTGTATGTAAAAATGGCAGTGGACACAAACGATAACAAAGTGATGGCTTCCTGGATTCTGCATATGAAGTCTTCAAATTATTATCCTACAGACTAGTCAGAACGTTGAGGGGCTGCTAATGCTGCATCCCATCTTTGCCACAGGAGCAAGACTTACACTTGCTGGTGAATTTTGTGTCCGTCACAACATCCTTGAAGCGCTTGTCAAGCTTGATCTTATTCCTGGATTTCGGTACTTTCTGCAGAAAAGAAACAAATTCAGAGCACGCAACCCACAATACAGTGATGACAGTCATGCTCAGGAGTTGAAATTCAGATGTTGGAGTCCAGGCCCTGACACTTTCCTTGGTCCGGAGCCCCATTCAATTTCCACAAGCTACTATAATATAATATTATAACACCATGTTTTTTTTTAGATGAAGCGCTTTTCCTGCCGACTTTTAACACTTGACTGACTCACGACTGCCAACCAGAGCACACGAGAAGTTCAAGCATTCGACTCAGCAAAACTGCAAGGAAGCACCACTCCCTGCTCAATACACATTATTTTTGGGGGGAATTCACCCTCATGAAGTGCAGTTGAGCTGGAATAGGCGAGTGACCAACTTTCTTATATACAGTGCTGCTCAATGAAATCCAGTCCCGACACTCAAGTACTCGCGGGGCATTGTGCAGCCCTAGACCTGCAAACACTGGGCTGCGAAATGGTGCAAGGTGCAAACTTGAGTGATGCGACTGGATTTCATTGAGCAGTACTGCACTGTTACAAGCTGAGACAGTATTTTTCGTGGTGCGGGTACCACCACGGCTGAGTACAGCGGTGTGGGCATCAATGTGTTCTGTTGTGTGATTCCAGTCTGGGCTAAGACTCAGCCATGGGGTAGTAAGTCATAGCTGGTCAGTGGTCACACAGACATGCTACATCACCTTCTTGAGGTGCTTGTTGCTGCCAACGGTGGTGGCATACAGAGTTGATATCCACACCAGCCAAGTACATGTACTTCGGAAGTACATGTATACTCCACTCGCATAGCCACGGGCGTAGATCGCACATCTGTGGTGTGGTGACCTTGTGCCTGAGCCACATGTGCGGTGTGGTGACCTGCTCCTGTGGCCGTCAATTTAGTGCAGCCCATGCCATGAGCTGCCCGACTGGAGGATTCCCGACAATACGGCATAACGAAGTGCGAGACATCCTGGCTGATTTGCTGACTGAAGTGTGCGTGGATGTTGCTGTGGAGCCAGTGCTCGCGCCACTCTCTGGTGAGGTGTTTGTCGCGGCGTCTACAAATACAGCGGATGATGCCCGGGCAGACATTCGCGCGAGGGGGCTGTGGACCCGGGCCCAGAACGCCTACATGGACGTTCGAGTATTTCACCCTGATGCGCCTTCCTATGCTGCGAAGCCACTGGAGAAGCTTTTGGCAGAGCACGAGCGCAGAAAGAAATCCGAGTATGCTGAACGCATAATCAATGTAGATCGTGGTACATTCACTCCTCTCATTTTCACCACGGCCGGTTGTTGTGCGCCAGAGTGCTCGCGTTTCATCAAGCGTTTGTGTGGTCTGCTTTCCAGGGGAGAGAAAAAAAGTATGCGGAGATGACGACATATGCACACTGTCGCCTGGCCTCTGCACTATTACGGTCAGCTATTGTGTGCATTCGCGGAGCTAGATGATCGTACCACCGACCAGTCTACGCACTGCGGGAGTTGGCGGTGGCTGAGGGCCGCCTGTGAGTGGCTGAGAGACAATGACAGTTTACATCACATCCAGAGGTCTGGATTTTGTATTGTTCTTGTCTGAAGTTAGTTGTACTATGATTGGATTCGTTCCATGTTGGTTTTGGGCATCCCACCTGGTTTTCTTCCGTAGTGTTGATTGTAGAGTTTGGCTTATTGAAGTTCTTTTTCTTTCTTTTTTTTCTTCATACAATTATTCTCTTCATTTGTGTTAACATCCTTCATCTTGGCAAATTGTGTTTTGTTGCCCGTAAAAGAGGCTTTTGTTTGGACTATGTAGTACCTACCTATGATGGCCATTTGCTGGTGTGATGATCAAACTACGCTGACTACACACGAGCTACACGCCTGCATAGCTTTGCTGCCAGTACTACTGTCTCTACCTCGGTGGTACCCATAAACCTATAGAACGAGTGTCTGCGCCCAAGATACTGGCGCCAAGCTGCAGGAAAAATTGTGAGCCTACTCATCTGCCCACATTCGTCGTGCCGTGAAGGATTGCCTTGTTCACTGCGTCAGACTGAAACTATAAATAATGAAATACTTCCACAGGGGAAAATCCCTGTGTGCCACTCCAATGTCTTACAAACTAAGCACGAGAAGGAGTGCTGTTTCAGATACTAAGGTTGTATTTGGTTGGGCATTTTCAGAATGTAAATGATAACCATTCTGGAATGGGAATGGGTAAGAATCACCTGACCAAACAAACGCGCCAGAATCAACTAGGAATCACTTGACGTAACAATTCCATGATGTCGTTGTGGAACGGCGGCTCTCTTCTTTTTGCCCGACTCTAGTTTCCTTGAGAGAGTCAAGGTACTTCTGAGTGCGTTCGAGGCACTTGAACCTGATGCTACATCGTTTGGCTCGTGGCAACCATTATCATTTTTGATTCCGGAATGAGAATGCCCATTCCAGCATGTGAGGTGGAATGATCAAGAGCCTATGGATTCGAAGTCGGCTCGAAGAAGGCAAGGTGACACCTAACACTAAGCACGCTAGATTTATCACATCCCTGACTGTCAAAACACGTTTGCTACATTGAGAGGTGGTGATGGGGCTCATGACCTCAGTGCTGAATAGATACCACTATTGACTGACAACGTAAATATTGTACATGTACAATGTATAGGGTCAATAGCTTACCTTGAACCTGGGGTCGTTGGCGATCATCCCAAAACGAGAATCCATTTTGTCTTTCGACATGGTGCACGCAAGCCTTGAGGAAATGGCCAGAACTGTTACAGGAGAAAGGGGATAGGTAGTTCTTTGACGATACAACAAAAGTCAAACTGAGCACAATTGCATTTACGTCAATGAATTTTCAGTATAAAAAATATTTTTTTTCTCGAGATTTTATGTTTGGCCGAAAATCAAAAAAACAATCGTCTTCAGCCGCCATTACGAGTTGCCATGACATTAAAATTTCAAAATGAAACTCTGCGAGTACGACACCGGGAACGCGGGCGTACGCGTGTTCGATTTTGTCCCAAACTGAAACACATCCTTGCGCAAGCTTGCGGAGGTCACCCACATTTTTGTAAGTTGTAAAAATTGTAGGCAAGCAATCATGAATGTTGCATGCCAGACGACAATTTTATCATCGAGTGATCAGCAGCTAGCAGCTACATGTATCTCAGTTGATTTATACTTTTGAAGTCTTTTGAAGTCCATGTACCTGATACGTTACTATTTATTCGTGAAGACTTGGGAACGGAAACAAAACATGTCATGAGAAAGAACCACAGGAAAAAGAAGCACACTCAACTAATCCGTGTGTGTGCGTGCATGCAGTACAACTATGACGTAATGAATATAGATACACATCACGCCCCTTCGAGATGTTGCGAAACCTGTGACAGCAACATCTATCATAAATAAAACAAAATGAAGAATGAAAACAACAAAGCAGAGACAGCAGAAATTGACATTAGTGATCAAGAGTGTCAATCATAGGACTGTCCATGATGCGAACCAATGTTTAAACGCTGGGGTGGCTTGCGCTGACGTGCGCTGCGGCGGGACGGCGGCGGCGGGGAAGAGGGGTCAGCAGCAGCCGGTTGGACAACAAGCGGTGCAGGCACAAGTGGGCGATACGGACGCAGGAATCTGCGGTTCCGCCAATAAATGCGACCACTCGGCAACTTCACTAGGTAGTCCCGATGATTACCGACAGCAACAATGACCCCACGAATAGACCACTGCTTGGTGCGCGGATGCTGAACATCCACGTGGGTGCCGAGGCGAAGCTGCGGCAACGAGCGACGAGTTGACGACTTGTCTGTGACGGCATCGTCGGATGGCATGGCAGTCTCATCACGTGTCGTCGCTTTGGAGAGCCAGGATGAATCAAACTCCTTCCAATGTGCAATGACGAATGACTGAAGAGAGCGGCCATATAGGAGCTCAGCGGGGCTCTGACCAGAGGAGCCAGGTGTGTTTCGCCATTCCAGTAGCCCTCGGCGGAAGTCATCTGTGTCAAGATTGCCATTCACGGTTGTCTTGGTGATAAGACGCTTCATGGCTTTGACAGCAGCTTCGGCGTGCCCATTACTCTGCGGGTAGTGGGGAGAGGACATGACATGCTTTACCTGCCAGCGCTTACAAAACTCAGCAAACTTATGCGAGGAGAACTGGGGACCACCATCTGTACACAGCACAGCAGGAACACCAACATCAGAGAACCAGCGACGGAATGCTAGTATCACGTCATGCGATGAGGTGGTGCGGCCAGTACGCGCGACACAGGGCCAACCGGTCAAACGATCTGCATACACAAGGAAGTCGTGACCTTGACAAGTGAACAAATCGGCAGATGCACATTCAAACGGTAGTGTTGGGGTGCGGTCGTTCAGCAGGGGCTCAGCTGGCTGGGACGACTGGTGTTCGCGGCAAGCAGGACAAGAACGAACGAGTGTATCAATGTCCTTGGTGATACCGGACCAGTATACAAGCTGACGCGCACGAGACTTAGTACGCACTAGGCCTTGGTGTGAAGCGTGGAGGTTGTGCAATACCTGAGCACGCAATGATTCAGGAACAACAATGCGGTTGCCCTTCAACACAATGCCATGGTCGACGGAGAGATGCTCACGTCCATTCCAGTACGCACGTAACGGAGCAGGCAACTTCTGCTGGCGATCAGGGAATCCAGTCAAGATACACTCAATCAATGACTGGTACGTGGCATCTGCAGCTGCAGCTTCCCGCAGCTCTGCAACCTTGAGATTCGCATTCGGCTCAGTGTCAGAGTGCACCATGCAGATCTGAATGCTGCGGCAATGAAGCGACGGGGCTTCACCAAGCTCATCAGTGGTGGAAGGAATGCCAACAGGATTCCGGGACAGCGCATCGGCGAAGGCATTTTCAGAACCTTTTCGCCAAGATGCCTGCAGCTGATAGGCTTGGAGCTTGAGGCGTAATCGTAGAAGACGCGGGTTCTCGATCTGATCCAACGAATATGAGTTGATGATCGGAATCAGGGGCTTGTGGTCGGTGACGACTTCAAATGGCGCACCAGACAGGTAGATGCGGCATTTGCGCACGGCCCATACTACAGCGAGCATTTCCAACTCGATGACAGCATAACGTGTTTCAGCATCAGACAGGTAGCGGGATCCACACTGAATAATACGCCACTGATCATTCTGCTTTTGCCAAAGCACGAATCCGAGACCTCTTAGAGCGGATGCATCGGTTTCAAGCCGGAGGTCTTGACCAACTTGATAGAAAGCGAGAACCGGAGGAGACAAGAGAGCTTCCTGTGTCCGTTCAAACGCTGCAGTGTGGCTAGCGTCCCACATGAACTCACGGGAGGTCTTGAGCAGGCCACGCAGAGGATTGGTCAACTCGGCTAGATGTGGAGTGAACTCACCACATTGGTTCACTAGACCGAGGAACGAACGGAGATCGGTTCTGTTGGCGGGTACTGGAAACTGGCGAATACCGGACGTCTTATCATCGTCGACGACCCAGCCATCAGGCGTGACGTTGTAGCCGCAGAAATGGATACGTTGCGTACCGAACACAAACTTGGCGGGGCTGAACGTGATACCATGCTCCCTGGCGCAGAGCAGAATCTCGCGCACGTGGCTGACATGCGACAGAAAGTCGTCGTCGTACGCTAGGCAATCATCGACTACCTTGCCGAGACGCGGGATGGCAGAGAACGCAGCATCAGTGCGCCGGTTGAACTCATCCCCAGCAGATATTAGACCCTGCGGGTTCCGTAGATAACGATATCTGCCGTACGGGGTGATAAACGTGGTGAATTCCTGAGCAGTGTCACTGAGAGGAATCTGCCAGTAGCCGTGCCTTGCATCGAGCTTCGTAAAGAACTTAGCAGAGCCAACTCCAGAGACAACGTCACGTGCCGTATGTACGGGATGCGCGGGACGACGGACTTGGTCGTTCAGCCGCTTGAAGTCAACTGTGAGGCGCTTCTCAGTGCTGCCCTTCTTGTCTACTATGACAATCGGATGGCACCATTCACTGGGCTCCGTCACTGGTTCAATAATCCCGTCGCTGACCATGCCGTCGAGCTGAGTCTTGATCTGGTCACGGAATGCATACGGTATTGGTCGAGCAGTGTGCACACAGGAAGGCTTAGAATCATGCTGTAGCTCAATTTCCATTGGCGGACCTTCCATTGGCTTCAGACCGGAATCCGAGAAAACGTCAGCGAACTCTTGCAGGAGCTGCTCACGTGTCCGTGCTAACTCAGCATCACTAGGATGAGCGCATGACGAAACAGCTGCACAGATCTTGGGTGAAGATGCACCCTCGTGTTCAGCGGTGAATTGGACTGGCCAATCAGGTGGGAGAAACTTCAGCGCACGCAATGAGGTATGAGAGAGCAGGGCATCGTGTAGACCCTTGTACACATGGATGACGGTTTCATGCTGCGTCTCACCGACTCGTAGAGTCGCACGTATTTTGCCCAGGTTGCGTAGCGGCTCACCGGTCACAGCCTGCACACAGTCATGGTCGTCATCTAAGTTCTCGACGAACCCACCGATCTGCGTGAGGTGCTCCTCGCCAATGGCATCAACGTCACTGCCTGTGTCTGGTGTCCAGGACAGTTGGGATGGCTGATCCTCTGTTTGCAGCATGGTCGAAACAGGTACTGTGCGACGGTCCACGCGAGACGCACGCTGTAGCTTCAGCTGTCCAAGCTTGGCAGCAGAGCTAGTCTTGGGCTGTTTCTGGCTCTTGCACATTCGCTGAAAATGCCCAATGCCATGACAGGAGTTGCACTTCTTGCCCTTGGCAGGACATACAGATTTCGTGTGGTCAGAACGACCACAATTTGGACAAGTGGACTTGGTCGCACTTGATGTCTCACTTGGCTTAGAGTCAGCTGGCTTGTGACGTTTCTGCTGCTTGTACGCCGACTGCTTGGCAGCACTTGCCTGGAGGCCAGGACTGGGCATGTGTGCCTTAGTGTGGTATGCTGCTTCCTCCGTCCGACAGAGGGTGACAGCCTGGTCGAGCGTGAGACCATGGGTTGCGAGCAACTTGTGTCGCGTCTCATCGTTCCGCACACCAATTACGACGCGGTCGCGCAGAGATTCCTCCTTGAGGGTACGGCCGAGGCCTTTGCACTGCGCACAGCAGCGAGCATCACACGTTCCACATAGGCTGTGTGACAAGAAGTCGCATGCACTTTGTAGTTCACACAGGGCTGTGTAAAACGCATCAAATGATTCTCCAGCTTGCTGGACACGCTGGTAAAACTCAATGCGGTCCAACAGTGGATTACGTTGCCGTCTGATATACGCCTGAATGCGCTCCAGCATCAGGTCGACGTCAGCTGAAGCTGGTATGCAAATAATATCCTCTCGGATAAAACGTCGCAGCTCCTCATCGAAACACTGACGGAGTGTTGCCACTCTGGCCTCACGAGCCTGGCTGGCCAAATGCTGGCAAACACTAAAATCTCTCCAGCTTTCAACGAAGGAGTGAAAATCAGCCAGCGTCGCAGACGACAATAAGTGTGGGCAGGAAACACTGTTCACTGGCCGTGGTGCTGAGGTCTGCGAGGTGGACTGCGCTGGTGCTGAGGGCTGCGGAGTGAACTGAGGCTGCGATGGTGATAGCGACCTGCTCTGAACATTCTTGAACAGATCTTGCATCGCCTTATCACGAGCCTCAGCTGCACGCATCTGCTGCTCCATAAATTTCATCAGGACACCCATTTGAGATTCCTGCTGTCGCTCGGTCGCGGAGGACAGGTCAAATCCGGTATCGTCCTGTGATTGTTCCATTACGATTAGTCACTCGTCCACGAGTACGAACAAATACACTACTAAAATAATTCAACTGAGACAGAGTTTCGATCGCGGAAACTACTACTTCATACGGAAAAAACAACTGGGCCCGTGCAAACACTACAAGGTGCGGACACAAGGCACGGACACAGGAAAGAACAAGTTCACTGCGCCATGATACGTTACTATTTATTCGTGAAGACTTGGGAACGGAAACAAAACATGTCATGAGAAAGAACCACAGGAAAAAGAAGCACACTCAACTAATCCGTGTGTGTGCGTGCATGCAGTACAACTATGACGTAATGAATATAGATACACATCAGTACCTGGTACATTTACTTCATTTCGTGCACGGGAAACACTTCACAATGCGTACATATGGCGATGGTTGTGCAATGGGCCAAATGCATTATAAATTGAGCCCGTCAACTTTTTCAACGCGACGGGCAGTGCGGTTCGGTTCCGAATACGAGACAATTCTGTATTCCATTGGGTGCTACGTTTGCAGAGTAGAAAACATACTCTGAAGTGGGTACGGAGTATCATAGTCACTCCACACTGCCCATGCACACACCTGCACATTTCAAGTTCATGCATGCATGTAGTGCTCATGTGCACCACACAAACACACACGCACGCACACGCCACAACGTATACATGTACTTGTACACACACCATCTTCATCGTAACGCACAGCAGAATGAGGTAATATAACATCTAAGCAAAATGTTTTCTTCTTCATTTGAATTTTATGACATGATTATGACATGATGGTTGTACACAATGACTAGTTCAAAAATTTGAACACAAATAACTAAAAAGTCAGTATATCACATCTATTCAGCGAAAGCAAACGCACACACGTACACACGCAGACACACACGCAGACACACACATACACACACACACACACACACACACACACACACACACACACGCACCCACACGGCAACTGTACAGGGGAATTAGGGGACCGGAAGGGGAAAAGAGCAGAGGAAAAAAAAGAACTATGTACAAGTGCTTCCTAACATCAGCAGACTATTTACAGTTGCGGAAAGCTCATGACCAATCAACATCTCTTCAACGGGGAAATTCGAGCTGATAAAGACATCGCTAGCGGACGTTACTCTGCTCCAGCTGTCGAAATGCCATTCTCAGCTGGGACGGTCTCGCCGCGTTCGGCAGCAGACAGGCGCAGTTGTTGAATTTCCACTTCAAGTTCCAGGCAAGCGCGATCAATCTCGTAGTTCTTTGCCACTAGGGAGCCCCATCTACACACAGCACGAGACAATTACAAGTACAGAAAGAAGATAGTACGTGACGAGAGAATGTGTATTCGTGGGTACAATTGATTTCGAAGTCTTACGAGTCACAGGTTGCGCAAAAGAAATGGATGTGAAATACAGTATCATAACAGTACGTGCCGGGTGTTGCGCGCAGCTCTAGACCTGCGAACACTGGGCTGCTAAACAGTGCAAGGCGCAACTTGACTCACGTCATTGGATTATATATTGAGCAGTTCTCTACATGATGGCAAGCGAAGAGAGTGAATGGATGTGAGGGGTGGGTGGGTGGTGCACAAAGTGTACATATGCCAGGACATGTGTCTCCAATACGGGTGCAGGATTGCAGAGACTGTGAGTAAAGGGCAAGGAAATACGCTCGCAGAGGTGACTTCACCTACAAAGAACAGTCAATGCGCAGCACTGGAGATCAACACCCAGAGCGACAAGACAGTGTGCTTCAATGGGACTGGATAAGCACAGCAAGGGCAAGATTATAAATGAAGGCGACTTACTCCTTTTCTAGAGTGGCAATCTCTGTACCAGCTTCAATCTGCTCAGTTTTACGCTGCCAGTTGACTTCTTGTACTTGTTGCCTGAGAACAACGGGGGAAAGTACACAACAACAAAAAAAAAAGCTATCACCAAAAGTAGGTAGGATACAGTGTGCATATTTTGCAGGCACCCTACTCTGGAGTCTGTACCAGGGTTCTAGCCAAAGGGGTAGGGGGGGGGGGGGGGGGGGGGGCATATATTGCATTCTGGCTGACTAGGCAAGGGGAAATGCCAAACAAACGGGTCAACTGTTTGTCCCCCACCCCCGCTATTTTTGAAGTACTTTCCTGGCTAGAACCCTGCTGTACACGGAGACCATCAAGTATAAGCATCTGCACTGGTCTCATCAAGGTTGCGTAGGTCACCTAGAGCAGATAAGGGTAGCAATGGGTAACAAAGGAATTCCAGCCAACAGCACAGGATAACCGGCAGAGTGCAGGCACAATGCCCACGCCAACTAGTGAAGAAACAATTTCAAACAATAGTAGCAAATGACGTTGCTAATTTTCACAAGCGAAATTCCGTACAGTCCTCATCGTTGCCGAATCAAAACTCAACCCAACAGGACAAAGAACCATAAAAGCGTTAACCAGCGGTTGGGCATGGAAAGGACTGATGGGAAATACATGTGCTGCATTTCAGTTCCAAAAATAATCGATGAAAAATGTCCATAAAGAATACAGACCTCCACACCAGCACAACTCACCGTAACTGCTGAAGTTGCCTCTGTTGGTGTTCATGCATTTTCAACAACGACCTGCATATCGATACACAGAAAGAGAGAGAAAGAGAGAGAGAGAGAGAGAGAGAGAGAGAGAGAGAGAAATGAGCAAGAACGAGGGGTTACTATTACAAGTAAAACCTGGTCAAGAGATCACCTGGTTCAACCAACAACCCGCACCATTAGACTATATGACGGTGAATATATTATGTAATCCCAGAAAGTGTTCCCCTCAAAACGGCTGAACAGTACCAGCTAACTCACTGCAAGAGAAATGATGATGTCGGGTAAACATCTTTCTAGGAAGCGTAAACCAAGGGCATTTGCTCCAATTGACTACTATTCCTGGTTAGTCAAGCAACTATGCTGCATGTACAATGGTAAGTAGGACATTAGTGCAACTCACAGCAGCTGCAGACAACAACCAGAAGACATGACTTACTTGACATGCTGCTCCCATGCAGTCACACCATACGTCTCAAGAAGCTCCAAGTTGTGTATTCTGCAATGTGAAAAGCAGCAGCGAAAAAACCTTAAAATAATTCACGATGGAACTCCAAAGTATTGCCAGAATAAAGGTTGTGCATATTAACCAGGAGTATCGCAAATACCTCTATTGCATACACGTGGACTTCAAAAAGAAGTAGCTTGACTGACACATGCATACATGCACTGATCATGCGTGTGTATGTGTGTGGGGGGAGGGGGTAAGGATCTAGCATACTAAGTTAGGAGACCGGCATTCCACACTGAGACACCCCGACAACAACACACAGCCCACTGACCTTAATGATTGATGTTGCAGTTGCGCAGAGGAGTTATTCACACTGTCCATCCACGCAGACATGTCATTCTTCTGACCTGCCAGTGGTGGTGGAAGCTCATATCTACAAACAGGAACAAACGCCAGAAAAACAGCAACAGAAGCCAGCTTCAGTTCCTTCACTCCCATAACAAACTTCTAGGTTTTAGGTCGACAAATAATAATTAAGTGACAACTATCCTGCAGCAGCTAGGGATTTGGTGGCGGTAGTGAAATTATGCACTTCACACATAATTGCAGAACACACATGTGTTGTTAGGGTGTGAATTGTCACACAACACTCACCTTTTAAAGCTAAGAATATCCATGGGCTGTGCCTTTCTAATACGTTCAAACTCCGCTCTCAGAACGGGGGTCTGCACAACGGATACAGGAACAAGCATAACACAATGTTCGTTTATCACTGAAACAAGTCCAGAGCCATGTGTTTCATCACTGTGCTAGGGCAAGGTTCAATTAGTAATGGTCCTAATGGGTAATGGCAAGAGTACATGAAAACCAGAGTGTGCAGCTCGGATGGGTGGCTGTCACGGCGGAATTCCGTGATTACATCATTTTAGTGATGTAGTGTGTACAAGCAGGATTCACGCAGGTCTCTTTCTGCACAACTGCAGCTCAGTTGTACGCACTACGCCATTTCCCGCCTCAGATCTGCGCCAAATATGATGTAATCACGGAATTCCGCCGGGACAGACGCTACCCATAGCAGAAAAGGCCCCAAGCTGCACACTCTGGTTTTCATGTACTCTTGGTAATGGTAAATATATCAGGCCACTTGCACAACATGGCATGCTGTCTGATGATTGTTTGCGCGTGCAACTCAGAGCTACAGGAAGACCATATTATTTGACATTCTTTCGATGTGTATACAGCTCCACAACCAGGTGTATCGAGCACTGTCTTTAAAGAGAAACCCCTGGTGATATAGAAGCCTTTTCGGAATACAAGCCTGATTTTTCAAAAGGACTATCAGTGTATGTGCTGACATACATACTTGGTAGAAATACCGGATCAGCCCCGGTCTGAATACAAGCCCAGCTATCACACACAGGCTTGGATAGGACAAATCCCAATATTTATACACAACTTCACGCTAATTAACGCTAACTGGGTGAATCACAGACGTAGCAGGAAAACGAGCTAAACCATTTCTAGATTCTGTTTAGCACTACAGTGCAGTACAAGTACCAGAAGACCAGGGCCGCAATAAAACTCACCAAGAACACTGCCTCTGGCGCCGCTGGCAAATAGTCTAGATAGTTCTTTGTTGGTCGATATCGGCGCGTCTCCTCCTCCACTAATTTTAGAGCCTTCGCAGATAAGGAGCACACACACACACACACACACAGCAAGTGTGAACAAACGATTATCACTGCACGTTGATTGCACCAAAGATAGATGCGTAGTGCACACACAACCACTTCTGTATCCCCCCGACCGAACAAAGTCGGGAAATATAGTCAGACCTCGCTTATCCGGTCCTCTTTTATCCGGATCCCTCACCATCCGGAAGAAAATAGCTGACATATTTTTACAGCATACGTGATGCATCCAATATAAACGGTGTTCGGTTATCCGATTCCCTCGCCTATCCGGATATTTTTGTGGAAAACGAATGTGTGCGGTTAAGCGAGGTCTGATTGTACAGAGCTAGTTCCTCTGCTCACATAAGAACATGCATGTAACACTATACCCACAAATCAGGACGGTTTGCACTTGTACAGGAGTGTAGTTTGCTCAAAGAGCCAGGTTGTGTGAGCATCACCACCATGGCCCTGGTGTCCATACAGCCAACATGAAAATTTTGAATTTGCAGGTCATGGACGTAAATGCAAATGCAGACAGTGCCCGGCGGTGGGTTTGCATACACAATACGTAGCCTTCATAGAGTTGGTGAAATCATGTGTTTCCGGCTCAATCGGCATCATCACCATGGAACAGGGCGTGTCATGTACAAACTAAAACTAGATTGTAACGTGCAACAACTACTACTAGTACTAGGTACCAAGGCAGCTGACCCACTGCAGAGGACACTACTCGTCACTACCACTAGGACCAGCCGGTAGGAAATCAGTATGTGCCAGCGCAACAAACATCAGGAGAGCGTTGGCACCTTGTTGCTGATCCCCAACAACCACAGCATTCACCAAATCGGGGCCCATAGGTTTTTCACAGTTTCATAAAATTGATCAAGATATGGTATGTGCAAAACAAATTTGAGACATAGTTTTAGTGTATCAGCCCCCCCCCCCCCCCCCCCCCCCCCCACCCGATTTGGCGAATGGACTGTAGGCTGAAGTAGAACATCAGCCTTGTGCACTCTGCTTCATGCCGTGTCCTCTTACACACGCTATCAAGAGCACATGAAGCAAAGAGTGTGCGGCTTCTGACTTTTCCTGCATGGGTGTCCATCACGGCGAAGTTCCTGGATTACATCATATTCGGTGCAGATATGCGGCTAGAAGTGGCGTAGTGCATACAGCTGAGCTGCAGCTGTGCAGCAGGAGACCTGCTTGTACGCACTACATCACTAAAAACGATGTAATCGAGGAATTTCGACGTGATGACAACCTACACCGTCGACAAGCCATTCGAGTTGCACATTCTTTGTTTCACGTACACGTACTCTGACAAGATGCATCACGGTCCAGTTAACCTAGGTAGGTCATTCATACTTCAAGTACACAGTACATTCACCCTGCACTGTATTCTGGTCTTTCACTTGCGCAAGCAGTTGGGCTGGTTAGAGGTTCTTTTCAGGCCTGAAGATTTCATCCGATTGGAGTTTGGGCTCTCTTTGCTTTCTCTCGGCTCTCTTTCCTCCTAATCATGCGATCTGTGGATAGCTATTCAAGTAGCTAAATGTACAATGTACAAGGAAGCGTAGCGTGGTGACCCGAGTCAAATCCAGTGGTGGATGTGTGAGCACCATCGCAGAACAGCACTTTGAATGGTAATCAAAAGCCTGGTGCAGCCTTTCTCACCACACTACCGTTGTGCAGGCGCGTTAACATGCAATCCATGGAAAAACTCTCGTTCAGGGCACTAGGGTTATCATGCAGCACAGTGCTCACAACCACGTACTGTATTGACCACTGGGCATGGTTGCCTTATACTGGTCCAATCACAAGAACCAACACTTGACAAATGTGTTGCTAGAACCACAGCTGGACGCTGAACAGCTGGTTCGGGGATTGATTGATTTTTTTTAATTTAACTGGGCACTTTATGTGTAGGACTCCTCCAACTCTATGATCTCCCTTGTCCCTTGTTACTTACTGCTTCTCTCACTCCAGGTTCTTCATAGCCTTTATCAAAGTAAGGAAGTGCATCAGGTAACACTTCATTTGCCATCTTCCCCTTTTACCGCTGATGTCTACACACCTACGTCCAGAAACTGGCTCCTTCCGCTGCAGACTATGGAATGAACTAAAAGCTGACACAATAGATAACGCAAGGGAACGCTGTAAGAGCTGAAGAACTTGTCAAGCGCCTTCGAAGTTAGTTTATACTCTTCTTGAGATTTGATGAGCCTTCGCAAATGCAAGGTTGATTGTTTCGCAAAAAAAGTTGGAAACCTTCAATAAAAAGATGCATTTTTGCAAAGACTTCTTCCTTGTCACGTCAGCTGACCGATCATGCCTTGTTACCATGACAGGTCCAGAGCCGCGAATATGGCGTACCCTGAGCGTGCCTTTTCGGATCTCTTGAAAACTCGCTCGAAATGTGGGAAAGAAGACGACATGTCGGCCTCCTCCTTGGACGATAATGATGCCAAGGATCTTCTCCTTGACGGCATATCTCAGGCAGTGAAAGAGGTAAGCGCGTAGCGAAGATCCTATTTTCCACGTGTTGTTTTGGGAAATGCTCGATGCTCCAAGCGCCTGTGAAACACCTGGTTGCGTTGTTCAAACTCGTCAGAATACCTCTGGTATCTTTGTTTCTGTCGTTGCCATGCTTTGTCTAGTTGATGTAGACCGTGTCGGATTACGCAGGTGTAAAAAAAATGGTTGCTTCAACGTTCTTTGCGCATTCTCCCTCTCTCTCTCTTTATCATTTTGGTACGTGGGTCTCTTATCTCGCTGTGTGTGTATTTCTATGAATCGATGACGTAGTGTGAGAGGAGTTCTTTGGATCTTGATCAAGCAACCTCAAGTGCTGTAGTTACTAGTTAGTGCAAGTGGGCCTGTGGCTGTGGTGTCGTATGCACGTGGCTGCTGAGGACCAATGAGGGTCTGGGCGTCACTGATGACTCGTCTACATTGTAGGGCGTAGCAGGGACTACAGGATTCGAGAGCAATGCATTCCTGCAAGAACGCAGAGAGAAGAGAATAATGTCGTTCATAGGAGTGGCACTATTGGTGCTGGAGCATGTTGCATTTGATACGCTGTGCAATGACCAATCAGTTTGATAGTTTTGAATTGTCTGCAGATTATTGGCCATTGATTCTTGTTACAATTTGTTAGTCCTCCACCAGCCAACATGCTTTTTGATCAGATGTCGTTTGTAGCTGTAATAATGCTGGGAAACAGTTTTAAAACTGTTAGATTGGTAGATGCCTGTGCTACAGATTGTGTCCTTACTTTTACAGAAATCAGACCGTTGTATTATAAACTATGCACACACGGCTAGATTTCGCCACTTTGCTAGTGTGCAAATACATGCGTTATGTACGGTCATGACCAGAGAAATTCGACCCACGAGTCGAAAGTAGTGCCGTGCTTCCATTTCAATTAAATCATGCATGTTCCAAACAACGATCTGAGGTCCGCATGAGCCTTGGCGCTGCTTTCAGCACGTGGGTCGGATTTCTTTGGCCACGACTGTAGCACATGATACGAGTATACTTGTACATGTACTGCTGTCATGGTAGATGTCATTACAGTCGTCCCGCTTTAGTTTTCTGTAACCAAAATGTCCTTTTCATGCACATTGCAGCAGTAAATCAGAGTTGTTAATCCATCACCCTCCCTTATCCAGCAGAGTTTCCGTGGCACAAATGGTGCCGGATTATAAACGGACCGCTGTATCTTGTTTTGCACTTGGCAGCTGCAACGAGAACATCTTGTGCAGGAGACGTTCAAGATCGCCAATGAGAATGTGCAGTTGCAACGTCTTTGCCAGCACATTGATCAGGTCTTCTTATGTGGGTGAGTGGAGATAGACAGATGTGTGTGTGTGTGTGTGACACTGTGTGTGTGTCACTTTGTGTGTGTCACTTTGTGTGTGTCACTGTGTGTTTGTCACTGTGTGTGTGTGTGTGTGAGAGAGAGGGGGTGGGGGTGGTACACAGTATGTTGGTTACATGACCTGGTAACTACTGTAGGGTCCGGGGTTTGAGAGTTTCTCCATAGTACTTTGATGCTGAGAAGTCATAAGAGCTAAGGGAAGATTGCCATCAGCTCTGTGCTACATGTAGTTCACCACAGCGGTTTGTGGCTGTTACTTCTATTGTTAAATCTGTTTGGCTGTCTGTGTCTCTGCATTGCTGTGCATGCATGTGTGTGTGTGTGTGTGTGCATGTGTGCGTGTGTGCATGCATGCTCGCGCGTGTGTGTGTTCGTGGTGTGTGTGTTGACGTTGTCCAGCCTGTATCGGCGCGAGCAGGGCTACTGGCGCCTGGTGAACAAGATGACCCGCCAGGAAGCCCTGCACTTGCTGGATCACTTACCCAGTGTGAAGACATCACTTGGAAAAGGTACCTTCATGTAGTGTAAGACATGGTATTATAACGAATCGCAACATTAGTGATTGTCCGAAATGCATTAGTTAACGAGAAGATCCGTTAACAATCATGCAGTCTTCAGCCGTATCCGCACATAACGCATATGATCCATTACAGTCCCAACAGAACTTATTGTAATGAAGAAATGTAACTTGTTAAAGGGGAAGTTTTAAGGCAAAAATTAAAATTTCACCAGTTGTCTTCGGGGTGCTGAGTCGAATGGTCTTGGTCCGAGAAAGCTGAGACGCTCCCTTCCTACTTGAATCCCAATCGAACTCGCGCACTTCCACCGAAACTGGGTGACTGCGCCCTACTAGATGGGGATTTGTATGCAAAATGTCACTAAAAGCGCCATTTCGTTCTTATAAAAGCACGGATGACCGCCATTGGCCCATATGTTGTAGTCTTTTGGACGCTGAGTCGACTGGTTTTGGTCCGAAAAGGCTGCGATGCAGCGTTCCTCCTTTATTCCCAATCGAACATGGTTGAACAAGTGGTCACGTGCTCCTGGGTGCCCAAATCACCTGGTCACCACGCCAGCAGGCGACAACTTTCACACCAAGGTTCAACTCGAGTGACAGGACTGCACCCAAAAAAGGTCAAACAGGCTAGTAAGTTGTACCCTGCAGGCACGGTGACCAGCTGACTGGTGTACGCAGGAGCACGTGACCACTTGTTCAACCATGTTCGATTGGGAATAAAGGAGGAACGCTGCATCGCAGCCTTTTCGGACCAAAACCAGTCGACTCAGCGTCCAAAAGACTACAACATATGGGCCAATCGCGGTCATCCGTGCTTTTATAAGAACGAAATGGCGCTTTTAGCGACATTTTGCATACAAATCCCCATCTAGTAGGGCGCAGTCACCCAGTTTCGGTGGAAGTGTGCGAGTTCGATTGGGATTCAAGTAGGAAGGGAGCGTCTCAGCTTTCTCGGACCAAGACCATTCGACTCAGCACCCCGAAGACTACAACTGGTGAAATTTTAATTTTTGCCTTAACTTCCCCTTTAACATTTTTAGATTTACTTCCTCATTACACTTTCATGTCTAACAGTATACAGTAGGATTGGGTGTGAGGAAAATAGCGAGCAGTCGTTGCTATGACTAGACCATAGCCTGGTGATAAGATCACTGCAGGCCTATAGCAAATATCCCTGTATGTTCAGGCAGACTCGTGTCAATTTTACAGCCAGAGGTGATTTGGAGGTTGACTTTTGCACAGGGGGGGGGGGGGGGGGGGGGGGGGGGGGCGATATGATCAAGCAGGCTCAGTTTAACAGTCATTATAGTCAGCCTTCTCTGTACCAGGGTGTCACTTTTCTATAGTTTTGTGTACGTTGCTCACTCCAGCATGCCTGTCAATACTGGACTTCACACCCTATATGCCAGTTTGAGTTTTAGCGACTTGCGTAGAACTTGTGTGCACGTTGTATTGCGCTAAAATTCGCGTGCAATGTGGCGACTCAATAATGATATGTACAGTACCCGGTATCACATTGTGTTTGGTCCTCATTTCGTCAACTTTCTGGAGTACTAGTAATGGTTGCAATAATGTCTTATCTTCAAAATTTGCTATTGGGCTGGTAAGATAGGACATTCAAAGGTTAACTTGTTTGAGGTTTTTTTGTAGACATGTATCAATGACTTGTTATGTACTTTTTGCCCTTTTTCTCACTGATCAATGTTACTCTCTTCTTTCGAACATGGCCCATTGTGTGTGTGCGTGTGCGTGTGTGTGTGTGTGTGCGTGCGTGTGTGCGTGTGTGCATGTGTGTGTGTGTGCGTGTGCGTGCGTGGGTGTGTGTGTGTGTGTGTGTGTGTGCATGTGTGTGTGTGTGTGTGTGTGTGTGCGCGTGTGTGTGCGTGTGTGTGCGTGTGTGTGTGTTCAGGCCGAGCATGGCTCTACCTGTCTCTGAACGAGAATGTCCTGGAGAGCTACCTGCGAGCACTGCCTAACTACGAGGAGTTGATCTCTGGCATGTACTCCAAGTAAGTGCGATGCCAGCGTACTACAGTACTATCGGCCGCCGAAGAACTGGGGGGTCGGCCTCCTAGCCTAGACCGTTCTCACTGTCACGTATTACAGTCTATGCACAGTTGAGTCACCGTGTGTACGTTGGTATGCTGTGCTTGGTGAAATTCTTGCCTGTTCACTCTTCGGCGCTCCGACAGTCCTGTACTGGTAGAGCTTCTTCACTATGTGTATCTGCATGTGCAGTCTTATCCTGGGTCTACAGGTAGGGGTGCGCGGATTATTCCCGGAATAATTTGGGAATACTATCGTCGAGAAAATTTTGGGAATTTTAGGGGAATTCTATCGATCTTTTGCCAGATCCATTGACCTTCAGAAGAGTTTTGGGGGAATTCTGTCAATTTTGACCTGCCAGAGAACAAGCATGCATCCATGGACGCACGTACATGTACATGCAGCAATACCCGGACACGACATAGTAGCTGTGTACAGTCAGATGTAGATCTAGTACATGTACTAGATGTAGTGTAGATCCTGCATGCACTGATCACGTGCCTGACCGTCCATTTTGCATACTAGAGAGCATGCGTAAGGCACGGTTCGTGCTGGGGTTCTTTTTTTGGGGGGAATTCTGGAGAATTTTTTCAATGTTTTGGGAGAATACTTTCGAAGTTCCGCGGGAAATGCCCGAAAGCATAATATCGGTTGCGTGCGAGCATAATCCGCGCACCCCTATCTACAGGACTGTCGGGCGCCGAAGAACGGAGCGCCGGAGAACGACCAGGCTAGAATTTCACCAGGCACAGCATTCCAATGTACAGACACTGTATACACAACGTGTTATTGTTCTTTCTTCGAGTATGTTTTACTTAGTGTTTTTTTTTAACGGTTGTGTGCATGGGCATGTGTGTGTGTGTGTGTGTGTGTGTGTGTGTGTGTGTGTGTGTGTGTGTGTGTGTGTGTGTGTGTGTGTTTGCGTATGTTGCTGCAGGGATTCGTTTATGCGTGACTCTGAGGTGAGCAGTACTGCTTCTTTGACTTTATCCCTGTGACCATACATGTCGTCGCCCTTGCATTATGTAACATCAGCTACTCAGCTGCGGTAGATATTTCATGCCAGGGTAAAGTTCGATGCCTACTTCACTGTTGGCAGCGTGAAACGCAATGTAATGTGATGGGGTGCAAAACAGGGCTCCCCACTTAGTACTTTGACCAGGTATGTGTGTACGCGCCGGGCTTCATGCTGCGAGCTTGGAGAACACGGGAGCGTCTCGAGACTCTGAACCAGGAAGCCCTACACATACCACCAAGAGTGTATAAGGTCCCAAGAGTGTGCAACTCGTGATACCCTTTCTATTGGGTTCTCCGACGGCGAAAACTCACTTCACATGACATGGTGTAGTGTTTCAGTTGTACGTTTCCAGCCAGTTTTTAGCGAGCAGCGGAGTAATAAAATGCACTCTCTGGCAGAAACTCACTGCGCGCGTATGCAACTCGCCAGCATGATCATGGCAGATTTTCGGATTACGCGCACGCCATCCTTCGTTTGTACATGGTACGAAACGTACCTAAGACACGTGATGTGAGTTTTCGCCGTTGGAGACCCCATATGCAAAGTTGCACACTCTTTGGAGCATATTTGCTTTTGATACCACATGTCTGTAGTCTGTAGGTCTCCCTGGCCCTTACAGGAGATAAATGCGATACACATTGCACCATATCGCAATCCCTGCCAGCACACACCGTGCCGAAAAGGCAGCGCACTAGAGAGCCAGAGAAGTGCATGCTGTAGCTTGCGTTCTTGTATCGTCGGCGTCTCATTTATTGTCTTATTTGTGAGAAAGACGAGCAAAGCAACATGGCTTGTAGAGATGGTGTTGTTACGAAACTACAACTAGACTTGTTTGCTCCTGCGGTTCACGAACCCCACACGGCACTCACTGGCCCGCACGACACGCAGCCAAAACAACACAACCGTCTTCTTCTGGGTCTAGAAAGGTTCTAAAGGAATGAATTCATAGAGCTATCTGAAATATACTAAGAGAAAGCACCAACGACCCGGGTCGGCGCAAACACGCATGCCCAACGACCCCGGGTCGGTGCAGGTACGCATACTACAAGACTTGCACGTTCCAGAGTGCAGCTGCACGTGCAGTGCAGCTGCACGTGCAGTGCAGCTGCACGTGCAGTGCAGCACCGGAAGTCAACCAAAGCAGTGTACACTAATACACAGCGGCAGAACGTGCCGAGCTGCAGAGCGGGCAGGAAGTCATGCAACCTAAGCACCATACAGTAATAAGTCCAGTGCAGTGCAACTACCGTACAATAAATTACGATGGATTTGTCCAAACAGAGTGGAAGACTACAAGACAACACGCACGCACATGCATCACGCGGGGGGGGACGGACGTCACGACGATCGCGCAGACCGTAGACATGCCGGCCAGCAATCGGCTCCACGCCGTGCTCGGCAGGTGTGTCATCGCCATCGGATGGGTCACCAGCCGCGACAGGTTGTGATGGCGAGGGCTTCAGAAGGTCAGCATTGATAACCTTCTCCCCGCCATTCACGTGTCGGATGACAAAGGTCGAGGGGCCCACGACTCTTTTTACCATCCACCCGGTCTCGTAAAGCGGCGCCAGCTTGCGCTGCCGTGTCGGCTGCCGGAGCAGGACGGCATCTACGTCATAAGCCGACTGTTCAGAGACTTCGACGACAGAATCGGTCGTAGAGAACTCTGCTTCAACGAGGTCACGAACGCGGGCTGTCCGCTCTCCTAGCCGTGTCACCCATGCTCTGAGGCTACACGCCTCCTGATCAGTTGCAACGATGAGATCTCGCGGCAGCCAGCCAGTCATGACAACCATCGGTGCAACGCCGGTTGCAGAGTGCGGGCGCGTCCTGTAGTGAGGAGCTCCAGCTCAGACTTCCAGTCAGACGCTTCTAACAGCACCTTCCGCATCAAGGTGATTAGCGTCCTGTTCATACGCTCCGCAGCTCCTTGGGACTGCGGGTGTCGCACCGCTCCGGTTCTGACTTCCACGCCGAACTGCTGGAAGAGGGCATCGCAGATGGCGTTCCTGAACTCCGTGCCATTGTCCATGCGAACGATGTCCGGCGGACCCCAGCGGCAGCAGATCGTCGTGAACGCGGCGGCAACACACTCCGCGTCGTGACGGCGAAGAGGCACAACCTCAGCCCACTTGCTGAACTCATCAATACAGACAAGCACGCAGTTAAACTTGCTGCTCTTCTCCGCACCAAGTTCCAGCGTGTCGATCTGCACGACACTCCACGGGCGGCCTGGGGCTTCCGTTCTGGTCTGCGGCGCTGCTGGTCCTCTCTGCCCGCTGGCTGCTCTGCATCGCTCGCAGCTTTGGCAGTGACTCTGGCAGCTCTCGGCGATTGACGGAAAGTAACAGCGACTGCATAGCATCTCGTACATCGCGCCCCAACTGGCATGTCCAGATGCGCAATGGGCGGCTTTTACGACCTTCGGGACAAGCTTGGTCGGGATCACGGGCACCGCTACCACGCCTTCGACGGGCAGTTTGACGCTTCGGCAGAGGACGCCACCGTTGACCACAAGCTGCTTGCTGACTTTCTTGAACGGACCGGCGATCAACTCAGGCGTGCCAGCCTCGACCAGCTCAGTAGCGGAAGCAATGTCAGCATCAACAAGCTGACCTCTAGCGATCTCTTCTCTCGACACAGGGCCGACTACCGCTGGAACAGTGGCGGCTCCGACGGCGGTTTCCTTGGCTGCCGCTCTCTGACACTTTAACCACTCCGACGGCACGCGGGTCAGCCGGTCGGCCGGGTTATGCTCGGATCGGACCCACTCCAGTTTGACAGCTAAGCCGGTCGACTCAACCAGGTCTTCGATGATTTGAAGGCGGCGCTGGACGAGTACCTTGTGAAGACCGCTCACCTTCACACGGCAGACGTTGCCGATGACTTGTTCCAGCCATCCGAACACGGTCTTCGAATCGGTGATCAGCCGAACTGCCTCCAGCTTCCACTCCGCAGCAAGCGTCAAGCCGCGGAGCGCGGCGTCAAGCTCAGCGACGTTGATGTGCTTGCTGTCGTTCGCGTCTCTCAGCCACGAGCTGTCCTCGATGACCTTGCCGTCGAGCTGCAGGACGACTCCTACTGCCAGGTCAGACGCATCGCAGAACACGGCCCAGTCGCCGACAGCCGTCGACGGGACGCTCCATACGCCGTGTACTGGATCGCTGCTTGCGACCTTCGCTTCTAGGTCCTCGCAGCACCGGGCGGTAGCGTCGGACACGGCAACATCCCAGTGATCCCCCGCGCATGCGAGCCTCTTGAGCCACGCGCATGCCGGACGGAGCCAGGAATACACCGGGTAGTGGCTGGTCAGACGTCCAGTCCACTTGAACACGCCACGCTTCGTCAGCGGACGGTCGAAGCTGAGGTCGACACCGTCGCGGCGTGCCCAGTTGACCACGTCGGCCGCCGAAGTGGACAGCTGTAGGCCAAGCACGCGGGCAGACGGCAGAGACTCGGCAGGCTTAGTCGGCAGGCCATAGCGTAGCAGCTCCGCAGCCACGGCTTCGCGGATCTGCGCCGGCGCCAGGATGTCGTCAACGTAATTGTCGACTCCAGGCCACTTCCGCGTGACCCAGCGCACGATCATGTCCATGAACTTAGGCGCGATGGAGAGACCGAATCCCATGCGCGTCATCACATACATCTTCCCGTTCCACACGACGACTTTATAGCGCAACAGTGCACTTGCAGATAGGCCTTGCGGATGTCGACCAGCTGATAATCCGCGTCGCAGCTTGACCGCCATTTCCGGATCTTCTCTGCGTAGGCCGGGGCGTCGGTGCCTGGGTTGGACTTGATCAGCGAATTGAGACCACGATAGTCCAGGCAAGGCCTGACAGGCGTGGAACTCTTGTGCTCTTGCGCCTTCGCCAGCAAGGGCAGCATGGCAACAGGCTCGCCATGGACTGCCGGATCGTGCTCAACAAGCCAGCCGTTCTTCACCCAGGAGTCGACCTCGTCACAGAATAGCGACTCCTGCTCCGCCGTGAGCTTGTTCCGCGCATACTGGCCAATGCCGGACCCAACAGGAGCTGTCGGCTGCTGGTCTTTCCACGCCCATGTCAGCATCCAACGCTGTGCGACGCTGTCCCAGCGGACTTGACCGTCATCCGTCGACAGGGTGACGTCATCTCCGTCCTGCTCGACAGTCACACGGCGCGACGGATGCTTGTCGGCGGCTGCGGCTACAACGGCAGGCTCCTTCGCTTGACCAAAGCGCACTCCGTCCAGCACACCATTGTCGTCGTAGCTGAGCTGCACGCCACCAACACCCGCCACAATGTCGGCTCCAATCAGCACGTCGGTGCCAACGACCTCCAGGCTCCGCGTCACGCATGCCACGACAGACACACAGGGTAGAAACACAGGGCCGTCCTGCCGCTGGACGTCAAGGTTGACGGTGCCGATCAGGTCGATCTCGCTACCATCCAGGGCAACCATCCCGACGGACACGTCATCACTGGACGGGATGTTGCAGGCCTGTAGAAACTTCGCTGAGACGAGCGAGTGACTCGCACGCGTGTCGACGACGACCATCGCTCGCGCCCACTCCTGGCCAGGACCGTCGGCAGGTTGGATGTCCATGTACACGCGCGGCAGCGCACCTCTAGACCGTGCAGCAACCGTGCAGAGGCAGGGGTCGTTGTGGCTGCTCTGTGCCGCTGCGTCCTCTCCCGCGGCAGCTGCGCCCCTCTTGCGCGCTAGCCACGTCTTTCGCTCAGGGCAGTCCGCCTTGACGTGCCCAACACCATCGCAGAAATAGCAACTCAGCTGCGTCGCGCCCTTCTGGCGACCGCCACTTCTTGGTCCACCGCCACTCAGTGGTGCACCCCGCTGCAGGCGAGGGCAGTTGCGCCTGATGTGGCCGACTTCCTGGCAGTTAAAACACACTCCGTTTCCAGTGGAGGTGCCGCTCGACTGGGCGCTAGACGCTGGCATCGCAGCAGCCACGGGCTGCTGTACTGACTGACGAGCGTCGGTGGCAGCAGTCCGCAGTGCTCGGATCAGGTCCGTACAGCCGCTCACGGAGTATTCTTTCCCGGCCATGGCCAGCCTCAGCTCGCGCTGAAATTCCGCCCGAAGACCGCACACTATTTGCTCGACGACCATCGGGTCCTTATCATCGGATGCGTCGCGGCCAGCCTGCCCCGCCAGACGCTGCAGATCGGCGATGTAAGCGTCAACGGCCTCGTCCACCTTCAGCTGACGCTGAGTGAAACACTTGTAGGCCTGTGCCTTCGTGATACAAAACGACTCGTGCATCTTCGAGACGACTGTGCCCTGGACCTTGCGGTCCGTGGCGCTCAGGCGTGAGTACACCAGGAACGCGTCGCCGTCGAGGAAAAGAGGCAGGCTCTTCATCCTCTTCGTCTCCGTGTCCCAGCCCTGGATACTGGCGAGCACGAGGAACTTCTCAAAAAACTGCTCCCAGTCATCCCCGTTCCCGCGGAACACTCGCAGAAAGTTGTCTAATTTCATCGACATGTTCACTGAGTCCCGGGTTTCGGCACCAGATGTTACGAAACTACAACTAGACTTGTTTGCTCCTGCGGTTCACGAACCCCACACGGCACTCACTGGCCCGCACGACACGCAGCCAAAACAACACAACCGTCTTCTTCTGGGTCTAGAAAGGTTCTAAAGGAATAAATCCATAGAACTATCTGAAATATACTAAGAGAAAGCACCAACGACCCGGGTCGGCGCAAACACGCATGCCCAACGACCCCGGGTCGGTGCAGGTACGCATACTACAAGCCTTGCACATTCCAGAGTGCAGCTGCACGTGCAGTGCAGCACCGGAAGTCAACCAAAGCAGCGTACAATAATACACAGTGGCGGAACGTGCCGCGCTGCAGAGCGGGCAGGAAGTCATGCAACCAAAGCACCATACAGTAATAAGTCCAGTGCAGTGCAACTACCGTACAATAAATTACGATGGATTTGTCCAAACAGAGTGGAAGACTACAAGACAACACGCACGCACATGCATCACGCGTACACCAGTGGGAGAGAGGCAGAGAGGGTGAGAGAGAGACACCTTACTTCTCTAACAGTGTCATAGTACATCTTGCAAGACCAGGCTCCAGCAGCCCTTGTTGAGCAACATGTCGGCGAGCATGGGTATAATTATTTGTATTTGTTCACGTACGTCATGTGAGTGAGTGGTTTTGTAGGGTTTGCATCTAACGTACTTCCTCTTGCGTGCATGTGTGTGTGTACGTGTGTATGTGTGTGTATGTGTGTGTGTGTGTGTGTGTGTGTGTGTGTGTGTGTGTGTGTGTGCGTGCGTGCACGTGTGTGTGTGTGTGTGTGTGTGTGTGTGTGTGCTCATGTGTGTATGTGTGTACACATGTATGTGTATGTGTGTGTGTGTGTGCACCTGTGTGTCCGTGTGTTCAGCGTATGTTCACCCTGACGACGCTCATCACAGGCCTGGACTTCCTCTGCTTTGAGCTCACCGTGGTAGGTTACCGCTTTCTCTCTTCAACGAAGTCTGCGTGGGTGCATTCTCCTTTATAAAGGTCTAATGCAGTCTGCATAGCTATGCTGATGTCTTCATGTTTACCATAGCAACCCTGGCTGCTTTGTCTGGAATGCAGACCACACTTCAAGCTCACACAGCTAGCTGGAAATAGTAGTGTATGGATCTGGGCAAGATTAGAGGATTTAATCGAGAGAAAAGCTTTATTAGACCTGACTGACTTTTTCCGGGACTGACTTCATTTTCACCACCGTCACGATGAGAAATTGTCAGGTGAGCTGTGCTGGCTCTGTGTGATGAGCCGTTGTTGTCATATACATGGAGAGCACTGCTCATTGAAATCCCAATCCCGGTAATTGAGAGTATGCGCTGGGAGATGTGAAGCCCCAGACCTGTGGTCACTGGGCTGTGCACAAGTGCAGGGAGCTAAGTTGAATTTCACGATTGGATTTCATTGAGCAGCACTGTCCTTCACTTGTCTTTACATGGCTGCAGTGGTGGCAAGAGAAATCCAGATCTCTAATTGGCATGTGCGTGCGTGCGTGCGTGTGTGTGTGTGTGTGTGTGTGTGTGTGTGTGTGCGTGTGCGTGCGTGTGTGTGTTTGCATGTGTGTATGTGTGTGTGCATGTACATGTATGTGCATGCGTGTGTGTGTGTGTCCATGCGCCGTGCTTGCACAGGATATCGACTACTTTGATCGGCATGGCTTGCTACCGGCCGCTACTAACTGTGGCTTGTCGTTCAACTACACGTCGTCATCCGTGGAAGCCACCACCACGTTCCGCGCTGTCCACTCACCACTCAGGGAGAAACCTGATCCACTGGCAGCTGGTATGGGGCAGTGTGGATTATGTGTGTGGGTTTATCAACAGTATGGTGCTGGTTCTAGGTAGGGATTGATGATGCCAACGATTGATTCCTTACCACTAAGCCGTCGTTAAGGCTGCGTGTTTTCACGCCGGCGTGTACACGGGCTGACTGAAGGTCTCAGACAACGAGTCGCATTCTACCCTGTTTGAGGCGCCTGACGAGAGAATTGAAATTTCAACCTGGGTTGAAAGTGCCACCACTGGGCGCGTGCGCGCGCGTGTGTGTGTGTGTGTGTGTGTGTGTGTGTGCATGTGTGTGTGTGCGTGCGTGGGTGTGTGACCGCAGGCATGTGGGTGCACTGCATCACCTGGTCAGATTCTTTTTCAATTTAATTTACTCAAGTGACCAATGTTCATGGTCTGTGTGGTGTGTGCGTGCGCTCGTGCATGTGTGTGTTATAATTATGGTTCTATCTGGTTGTGTCCGCGCTCAGGTTCGGGCAGCCGCTGGGACTTCCGTGGCATCCGCGGCTATCTGTCCAAGCAAGCTGACAAGCTGACGACGGGGGGCAGTGCACCTCGCGACATTGCTGCCAGCTCCCCACCAGCCGAGGACTCCACGCTGACGCAGTCCCTAAGCTCCTCTATATCCTCGCTGAAAGTCATGGCATCTCGCTGGACTGGTAGTCACGAGACCGGTCTCAGCCGGCCCGACTACAAGGAGATAGCGGCCATTGTTCCCGGTGAAGGACCGCCACCACTGCAAGAGCACGAGCAGCAGCCTGGCGAGGGCGATACGCTGCAGGAACACTCCGCACTCGGTCCATCGCCTGACAGCTCCGCGGCCATTTCCGACAGCAGTGCCGAGAGGATCAGTCCTGGCGGCGCATCCACTGCACAGCGTTTGCTGTCCACGACGTCAAATCTGGCACAACAAATGGACGAGTCCACTCAGCTACCCAGTGGTCAGGATGTCATATCGTCCGAGTCTCAACTGCATACCGATGGTGGTACATCTGCCGGTGTCTCATCAGCACACATACCACAGCCTGTAGGCAGGACGCATACTATTGCTGATATGCAGGATGATGCGTTGGGGCGATCGAGTCGCTCTAAGTCATTCACCGGCGGCGCCACGTCGGGCCAGGCTACCAATGGCGTGCTGAAGAACGGCGCTGCTGCCAGCGCAACCTCCAACTCTGTGACGTGGGCAGCATCTTCCAGCAGCAAGCGATCCACCACTGGCGGTGGTGGTGAGCACAGCTTCACGGCCTCCTTGCCTCTCTCCGGTGGTGGCTTTGAGCAGCCGGAGTCAGATCTAGTGCATAGCACGGAGGGGAGCTTCAACTCCAGCGGCACCTTCAAAACTAAGCCGTCCACACGGCGACTGGACTTTGGCGGAGACTATGTCGGCGCGTCCGGACCACCGTCCATCGGTTCTGATCGAAGTGACTACGTTGACGGTCCGAACGGAGACGATGATGTGGAGGTCATTCAGCTCAGCAAGAAGACAAAGAAGGGCAAGAAGAAGAAGAAGCCTAACGTCGCCGTCATTGCTTCGCCAAAGCGCATTGTAAGTTGTCCAGAGCTGATTAAAACAATGATCGTTGTGTTTAGAGCCTTATAGTCAGTTAGTCATTTGAAGTAGCAACGTGTACACTGATTCTTGGTGAGGTTTGCCACTGTGCCTTGACCGTAGAGGGTGATGGTGTTCCTGCTGATGCGGAAAACTCGGCTTTCAGCCGAGTCTCACACAAACCGTGATTTTTTTGCCACTGTGAGTAACATAGTGCACCAGTGACGGCGCACTTCGAAGAGTTAAAATCTGTGCCTTTCAAAACCATTACCCTGGTATTCTCTAGGAGATGGCCTAGTTCTACTCCTCTGGTATCGCCCAAACACCGCTCACTCAGTGGGGACTACCACGATTAGTACGATTGCCCTTACGGCAGCGCTTTTAGATGGGCTGTTGCCGCCATCTACATTATGTCTTAGCATGTTTGTGCATGCGATCTACTTGTAGTGATATGGTGAACCTTGCATGTTTCCTAGTGGAATATTCCTGGGGTACTGTTAGATCAAATAAATTCGGATAGTCGAATGTTTTCTATAACCGTACTAGAGGGCAAGCAAGCACCCCAGTGGAACTTGTAGTTTGTGTATGCATTGTATAGCACAAAGGCATTAGCATCTCCCGGTGTATGCTGTCTTTATTTGTGTTCTCTGCTGACCAGGCTGAGGAGGAAGAAGGAGCAAGCGGCGCATCTGGCCAACGTGATGTAAGTCTTGTTGACTTCATGTTGCCGGTGCCATTGTGTTGTGTTCTTGTGTTGTGTTGGTATTGGCCAGGGAGTTGTAACATCTCGGGGGACTACACAAAATCATGTATCTGAATCGATGTGCATTTTGACCCTGGATTGGGAAGTTCTACGTGATCCATGGTCTATGCAACTCGCGGTTGTGGCTTTGACCTGCTGATCCCAAACGTGGTCCTGTACAAAGATGCCACATGCGAGCGTGTATAAATCGGCGCTGCTCCAAGGGTAATTGTAACGGGCAGCCCGGGAGCGAGATCCACATCGCTTAGCATTACAGTCGCCTGTGCCGCCTCATTGTCTGCTGCAACTCCCTGGTCATATCCATGCTGTATCCAGTTCTGTATAGCAACGTGTTGTGCTGGTAGAGTGATGTGTGTGCGTTGGGATCTGTGCATTTGTTTATGCCATGATATTTCCCTTAGGCATCGCCTATTTGTCGAGAAATGTTATCTATCAGGCTGGGTATAGCAACTCACCCCCCCCCCCCCCCCCCCCCCCCCCCCACCGCTTTAGGAGCTGCATCTGCACCTTGACCCTAGAGGGTGGTGGCGTTCCTACGGATGCGGAAAACTCGGCCTCTAGCCGAGTCTCACGCGAACCGTGAAAACGAATTGTGTGCTGTAAATATACAAATTTTCGGCAGCTATTTAATTTCGGCTATATTCGGCACCGACCCAAAACGCCTAAATTAAAGCGCCGATGAAATTTTTCACAGCATCTGTCGCACTATACCATGCCCTCTACCCCACGCCGAAAATAAATCGCCGCCAAAATGTCAAAAATCGTGAAGTGCCGAAATTTTGTATATTTACAGTATAGCAAAGCGCTGTGCTGGACTGCTGGGTGGGTGATGTATCAACATAGGGGATCTATGCCTTTGTTTCATGCCCTGGTATTTCTCTGAGGGTTCTTCTATTTAGCAAGAAATGTTATCTAGATTTTGACCTTTTGCCTATGTGTGTGGTCATGCCTTGCTGATTGTTGTAGGTTGTGGATGGCGGTGGTTCGTATCGTGGAATGTTTGCTAGCCGTCTTGTTGAACAGCAGCGTCAGCAAATGTTGAACAGGGATTCCCTTCCTGAAGGTAGGTTGTCTATGCATGCTTGTTTTTGACCTGTGAGTGCGTATACGTATGTGCTTGTGTGGGTGTGTATGTACATCTCTCTCTCTCTCTCTCTCTCTCTCTCTCTCTCTCTCTCTCTCTCTCTCTCTCTCTCTCTCTCTCTCTCTCTCTCTCTCTCTCTCTCTCTCTCTCTCTCTCTCTCTCTCTCTCTCTCTCTCTCTCTCACACACACACTCTGTCTCTTCCTTCGACCACCAATGCAAACAAGGAGAGTTGGTCATCTTGCCAGACCTTGGTGGAGTCACACAGTACGAAGCACAACGTGTTTAATTTGTTTGTCCGGCAGCCGAGTTGACCACTCTTCATCCGTCAGTAGGCGTCCACCCATTGCCCTCATTATGCTCACCACACTGTGTATTGTGCCTTGTATCTGTGTTATGTGTGTGTGTGTGTGTGTGTGTGTGTGTGTGTGTGTGTGTGTGTGTGTGTGTGTGTGTGTGTGTGTGTGTGTGTGTGTGGTGTGTGTTTGTGTGTGGTGTGTGTTGTTGTTGTTGTTGTTGTTGTTGTTGTTGTTGTTGTTGTGTAGGCCGTCCGAGCACATCAGCAAGCTCTGAGGCTGCTCAGGTCACTGTTGCAGCCACAACTGAGCACTCCGACAGACCTGTATCCACCAGCAGTAGCAGTGGTGGCATCGGTGGCATCAGTAGTAGTGTGTCCAGCTCAATCTCCAATGCCGTGTCCACTGCCCCGTCTCCGACCACTGCAATCGCTGATCAGATAGATTCGGACTCCGAGGTGCCAACGCGTCGACTCACACACACGGGAGCTACACCATCCCACGTTCGCTTCCAACCACCCGCAGATACTCGCGTTGCGTCACCTGAGTTGCCAGCGCCGCCTGAACAACCATCCCTCCAGGCATCTACCGATCACCGCGCGCCTGGCATGACATCATCAATGACATCATCAGCATCAGCGGTGACATCATCAACAGTGGTTACATCAGCAGCAGCAGTGATTACATCATCGACAGAAGAGGCAGCAGCAGCCCGTCCTGCCACGCCAGTGCGCAGCATCTACGATAGCTTTGTGTCCGGCGCCGTCACCAGCAGTCCAATGGCGGACGTCGATACTGACACTGCTGGCCGTGCGGCGTCTGCAAGTGCACCAGAGCCAGTGCCGGTAGCACAATTGGTCAACGACGACGAAGCAGATGTCATCCTGTCACCGAGTCAGAGCAGCAAGGCGCGCGCCAACACGTCTTCGTTCAGTTTCGGCGACTACAATGAGTACGATTTTGGCAGTGCATCGGCAGGTCAGTCTGGACAACTGAAGAACTCATCGTCTGTGTCCGCAGCACCAACTTCCCATGCCGATAGCGAAAAGCCTATCTCTGCAGATTCACCACAGCCGTCATCTGAAAGCAAATTGCTGGAGTCGCGGCCCTCGGAGACTGTTGCCGTGGAGACTAGATCTGCCGATACGGGCACCGGCGACGAAAAGGCGATGTCATCGCGGTCCCCCGTTGCGGAGAACTCTCTCGCTCGTCCGGCGTCCACTCGCAGTAACCTGAGTGGCCAGAGCACGCACAGCCGAACGTCTTTCACCGGCGGTGGTGGTGGCGGTGGTGGTGACTACCAGCATGGTCGATCATCCAACCCGTCACCCGGTAGCGTGTTGCGTAGTGTGTCCACGACGTCCTCCTCCGACATGGACCCGGCCAGCTCACGGCGCTTGCGCAGCAGTAGTCGCGGTGGAGAAGCGTCGCCGTCTCTCCACCGCAGGGTCAGCAAAACGTCAACGCCGTCCGTGGTGGCCGATGTGGATGGTGAGAAGATCGAAGTCGTCGAGCTGGGCGCGGTGGCTGCTACTAGTTCTGCAGACGATTCGGATATGTTGCCTACACTGCAGCGCAGCAAGGAAGCATTGCTGGAAGAGAGAAGTAAGTTCTGCTGTGTTTGTGCAGCACATCAGTACATGCATAGTTGGGCCCGACTGCCTAGGCTTTGGCAGACCAGTCACTTCAGGTTCTTGACCATGTTGCTACGTGTTTCTGCATACATTCGATCCTTTATAGACAGGCTTCCTCTGTGGACACACGTGTACTTACCACGCTCCTGTGATTGTGCTGGCACTCCTGCCAGAGTTTGAACTGCTGCTGCTGGCTTCAGTACCCCTTTCACGTCTGCCTCGCGCGTGCTTGCCCTCCCATGTGATGGCACAACCACATACCTGGAGTGAAAAGTCAAATGAAACTTGGACATGATCACAACTGGCACTAGCAACTAACTGTTAATAATTTGTTGTTGACATCTTCATTCAGTCCATCCATTCATAGTTGTAACAGGTTCTTTATTCGACCCGACGAGACTACACAACGCTTGCTGACAACAGCACCAACAGTTCACCAGCCATGCCCCACAATAACCGGTAGTGTTACTCCTGACAAGTCTTGTTTCGTTCCATAAGATGACAGGAACTCATGAGAGTATGTGTGTTTGCGTGCGTGTGTGTGTGTGTGTGTGTGTGTGTGTGTGTGTGTGTGTGTGTTGTGTGTGTGTTACGTACAGACTATCCCATTCCGGAGAGACCGTCGCTATCTGACGCCAACGCCGATCAGCATGATTTGTCGTAAGCATGCCATTGTAGATGTGCGCGTGTTGTTGCAATTGCAATTCAGACAAATATCCAATCACACAAAGCAACACTGTTGCTAGTTTCATCTCACTTAGTCACCTCACTTGCCGTAGTCGACTGCCACGACACTAACATGCGACCTCAGAGGTCGATAATACACCCTCCGTACAAAAACTACCCAAGACTGGAGCCGAAGGTAGTACAGGTCCGCCCTCGTTATAACGAGTCCAGTTAGTACATAAACCCTGTTAGTAAATTAATATAAATCTGAAATCCCCTGGCGAAACGTGGTCTATACAACTGTTTACAGGTCCGGTTACAACATAATTCGTTAGTACATAAAATTCGTTATAACAACCCTTTGCCCAGGTCCCTGGAGTGCCAAACCCTCAGTATAAGATAATAATGACTATGCAGGACCAAGACCACAACACATAGGATAAAGCACAAAGGCATAACGTATTATATCTATGTATTCGTAGATATGTACAATCTTTTGCATCCAAGGAAGAGCTATGTTAGGTTTTTTTAAATTATCTTATAACGAGTTGAAGCATCGATAATTTATGTTGTATTGAGGGTAGCCCCGTTAAGTCTCGTTATAAGATAACTTTCTCGATGGCCCAGAGATTATCTACTAACGAGGGAGGACCTGTAATCGTATGTGAAATTTCTACTTCCAAGTCATGTTTGGTGTCATCTTTGAAGCCCTGTTTGAAATATATCCACGATAATGTGCTACACACTCTTTTCTGAATGTTCACAATGCGGATGTGTGTGTGTGTGTGTGTGTGTGTGTGTGTGTGTGTGTGTGTGTGTGTGTGTGTGTGTGTGTGTGTGTGTGTTTGTGCTTGTGTAACAGTGTTGATCACAATCTGCAGCTCATGCTAAGTTTGAAGATCTTCAAAGTGTCGAGCAACGAGAGTCTTGTAAAGGTGAGTCTTGTGTGTGCAGTAATGTGTGCTGTAATGTGCGGCAATGTGCTGTAATGCATGCACTCCTCTGATGTGCACCGTATTTTCCGGAGTGTAAGCCGCACTCTAAACACTCATAATTCACCCAAAAGAGCTGATGCGGCTTACACTATGATGGGCAAATGAACCGTGAGATACAGGGTAGATGTCTGTATTTCGTGACAACAATCTGGGTGTGGCTAGGTGTGGCCTAGCTAGAAATAATATGTACATGTATATAGCATTGCCTTTTCTTGTGTATGTGTGTGTGTGTCCATGTGTGTGTGTGTGCGTGCGTGCGTGCGTGCGTGTGCGTGCATGTTGTGTTGTGTGTGTGTGTGTGTGTATGGCTGGCGTGTGTGCAATGACTGTGTTGACACAGTTGATGAGAGTGCAGACCAGTGCTGGCCGGGGAAAGTTCAAGGTCACCATTGCCGTGCTGAGTAACTTTGCCTTCTACCTCATGAGCATGGGTGAGTAGTCACTCCTAGCATTCTACAGTGATGATGATGCTGATGCTGCTTATGTTGATTAATGAAACCTGATTGTGTGAGTTAAGTCAGTGCCCCGCACCAGTGTACTGCCAGGGGTCCGCAGGTCTGGGGCTGTACAGCTCTTGACTTGCACAATTGTATGCCATTGAGCAGCAGCACTGTTACAGATACTACTGTGCAGCCCTGTCTTCACCCGACCCTGTCTTCACCCGATCCTGTCTTCACCCGATCCTGTCTTCACCCGATCCTGTCTTCACCCGATCCTGTCTTCACCCGATCCTGTCTTCACCCGATCCTGTCTTCACCCGATCCTGTCTTCACCCGATCCTGTCTTCACCCGATCCTGTCTTCACCCGATCCTGTCTTCACCCGATCCTGTCTTCACCCGATCCTGTCTTCACCCGATCCTGTCTTCACCCGATCCTGTCTTCACCCGATCCTGTCTTCACCCGATCCTGTCTTCACCCGATCCTGTCTTCACCCGATCCTGTCTTCACCCGATCCTGTCTTCACCCGATCCTGTCTTCACCCGATCCTGTCTTCACCCGATCCTGTCTTCACCCGATCCTGTCTTCACCCGATCCTGTCTTCACCCGATCCTGTCTTCACCCGATCCTGTCTTCACCCGATCCTGTCTTCACCCGACCCTGTCTTCACCCGACCCTGTCTTCACCCGATCCTGTCTTCACCCGATCCTGTCTTCACCCGACCCTGTCTTCACCCGATCCTGTCTTCACCCGATCCTGTCTTCACCCGATCCTGTCTTCACCCGATCCTGTCTTCACCCGATCCTGTCTTCACCCGACCCTGTCTTCACCCGACCCTGTCTTCACCCGATCCTGTCTTCACCCGATCCTGTCTTCACCCGATCCTGTCTTCACCCGATCCTGCCTTCACCCGATCCTGCCTTCACCCGATCCTGCCTTCACCCGATCCTGCCTTCACCCGATCCTGCCTTCACCCGATCCTGCCTTCACCCGATCCTGCCTTCACCCGATCCTGCCTTCACCCGATCCTGTCTTCACCCCCCCCCCCCCCCCCCCCCCCGATCCTGCCTTCACCCGATCCTGCCTTCACCCGATCCTGCCTTCACCCGATCCTGCCTTCACCCGATCCTGCCTTCACCCGATCCTGCCTTCACCCGATCCTGCCTTCACCCGATCCTGCCTTCACCCGATCCTGCCTTCACCCGATCCTGCCTTCACCCGATCCTGCCTTCACCCGACCCTGCCTTCACCCGACCCTGCCTTCACCCGACCCTGCCTTCACCCGACCCTGCCTTCACCCGACCCTGCCTTCACCCGACCCTGCCTTCACCCGACCCTGCCTTCACCCGACCCTGCCTTCACCCGACCCTGCCTTCACCCGACCCTGCCTTCACCCGACCCTGCCTTCACCCGACCCTGCCTTCACCCGACCCTGCCTTCACCCGACCCTGTCTTCACCCGATCCTGTCTTCTTTGGACCAAGTCCCATGTTCCTCTATAAGAGACCATCCATAATGTATTTAATTTTTCAAAATGATAATTATTCTTCAGAGGAACAATATTCGGTAGAAGTAAGATGTGTTCTGGAAATACCATCATTCTCAGTTGTGAGGCTGAATAAAGGTCGATGAGTTTCTCTCATATCGAGACCATTGTCTACTACTGCTGTGGTTGTGGCCGATGGCATCTTCCCCATGTTCATGTTTCTGTTATGTGTGTGTGTGTGTGTGTGTGTGTGTATGTGTGTTCAGACGGCACGGAGGGCAAGTACCATCGTGAGCTGTGCTTTCCATACCGGAACTTTGACCACATTGAGGTAGGCATTCCTGGCCGACAAGGCTACAGGCTAGATAGCACAGTCACCTTCGTTTGCATGTGTTCTGTGTTCTGTGTTTTGTCCTGCGTGGCGGTGGTAGTTTGTGCATAGCATGCTCTATGTTTTGTGGAATTCTGTGAATTTTGGAGACTTGTATTGCATGCGGGTTTGCCGGAATCTAGATCACCACCTGCTCATCCATGAAGCGTTTTTGCATGTGTGGGACTGGTGTGTATGCATGCGTACGTGCGTGTGTGCATGTGCGTGTGTGTGTGTGTGTGTGTGCGTGCGTGCGTGCGCGCGCATATGTGTGCATGTGACACAGATCAGTCTGAGCTGGCAGACAATCACACTGGTGTGCAGGAATGAGGACCAGCAGACTCTGGTCACTGCCAATGAAGCTGTCACTCGGTTAGTCCTATACTCTACTGCAGTCTGGGCGACAGTCTTACTTTAGTCTTACTATAGTGTGCTAAGCAGAGATGTAGCAGATAGGGTGACAACACCAGATCATAGATCATAGTACCTGAAACGATGTGTGTTTCGACCCAGGATTTTGAAGGTGCAACATGATCCGTGGTCTATGCAACTCGCGATCCAGGTGATATATTGATCAATCTTTTCCAGGCATCTGTTTGTGGCCATTTGGGAGGTACCCTATTTCCCCGATTATAAGTCGCACTCGATTATAAGTTGCACCCTTCTTTGCTCTTGAAGTTTAATGTAAAAAAAGGTTTTAAAAAAGGTGCGACTTACATTCGGAGAAATACAGTATGGTTCATCTTCCATCACCACCTTTATTTACCTATTGTGCAATATCCCCAATTCATTTCGCCAGGAAGTTAGCACACTCATTCATCTTGGGCACCCTGTAAGAAGACCTTAGGGTCTGTTGGGAATGCCCAAGTAATATAATAATAAAATGCAAAACAAAATACCGCCTCTACTGACGAGGTGGATGGTTTCATCACGTTTCTGGTCAACTTCCAGCAGAATGTCTTAGGGTTTACCCTCTCCTCTTCTGTCCAGTGTGGATAGTTCTCTATTGTAACGTGCAGCCTTCCTTTTTCAACACTTTTGTACAAACACATGTACGTATATGTACCTGTAACCTTAGGGTCTACAGACTACGAACTTTCTGTCCTGACTTTGTGCGCATGTGTGTGTGTGTATGTGTACGTGTGTACGTATGTGTACGTGTGTACGTGTGTGTGTGTGTGTGTGTACGTGCGTGCGTGTGTGTGTGTGTACATGTGTGTGTGTGTGTTTGTGTGTGTGTGTGTGTGTGTGTGTGTGTGCGTGCGTGCGTGCGTGCGTGTGTGTGTGTGTGTTACTGTGTTCCTGTGCAGTGGTCTGGTGAAGTCATTGATCCGTGCTGCCCAGAGCTCAGGTGCACAGGCACCCCGTGTGGATGCACGTGATCGTGAACGCTTGCAGCTCCTGGAACAGCACATCGAGGGACTGGATAATGAAGATGCTACCGACTCTGAGTTCACATTGGTGCAGCAACCAGAGGTATGTGTTCGCACGTATTCGTATTCGGTGCTTGGATGAGCCTGTGTGTGTACGTGTGTGTGTGTCTGTGCCTGCGGGGAGGGGAGGGCATGAGTGCCACTGTTCGCAGGTCTAGGGCTGCACAGCGCCCGACATGTACTTGACTCGTCCGATCAGATTTCATTAAACAGCTGTAGTACGCAACGCAACGTGTTGTAGAGTGTACCTGGAGGCCCGCGAGCTGATCAGATATCTTACTCACTAACGACAGGACAAGCAGGTCCGTGGAGCTCGAAGCCGGAGCTGGAGCGACACGGGACACGGTGGCACTGGCAGCAGAACCGTCGATGCCACACGCGTCGGGTCCGCTGGTAGACCTACCGAGTGTGCAAGATTAGAGGCAGTCAGAGCTGCTCAGGCTTGTGTGTGTGGATGCGGCGATTTTCCACCTTGAGGATAGCAGCGATTCCGTAAGCGCCGCGAACGGCGGCATCGAGGGCTGCAGGGCTGGAGGTTCGGATAATTATGCCATCATAGGTCACTGTTCACCTGGCCGTTGATAAATTGATTCAACGTGAGGCGATCTAAAAGGGGACCCTGGTGGCCTGGGAATGTGCGTATCGCCAGGCGCCGAAGAGCTGATGCAAACTCTGCCTACGATTTATTAGAACGTTTGTGCGAGCGCGAAGCTCAGCCTCAAGAAGACGACTCTGCTGGGGCGGTTCAAAATACAACCCTAATTTGACGCACATTTCCCGATAGGTGTACTGTGGGTTCACAGCCAGAAGGGTTTGGAACGTGGTGAAGGCATGTTCCTTGAAACAGCAAGGCAGAAACTGTATTATGTTCTTCTGTAGTACTGGCTCTATGGACGCTTCACACGGGCCGAGAACATCCTTGCTGCGGCACAAATGGCCAGTTCGTCTTCAGCAATCTTCAGCTGCGAACTACACTGCTCTGTGTTGGCCTGTGCTTGCTTAACCTCCCGTTGTAGTATGCCAGTGAGTGCTTCTATTGCCATGCCCTGTTGCTGGCCAAACAAAACGAGGAAGTGCAGACGATTCTCCAGAGCGGGGGCTTTCGCTGTTGCTTCTGAGAACGCTGTTTTGCAGCCAGACAACTTGTGATGTGCATTTGACAAGGCTCTAAACCGTCCACTGTCTTCTTCTTCTTCAGCGTCGCATTGTTCTGCAAGCTGCATGTCCAGAAGATGGACCTCGCGTGTGAAAGCATCAAAGATCCACGGGAATACACCGAGGTCTAGGTGCAGCACTGGAATGATGGCGCTTGCAACGGGCACTCTCAATGTGACTGGTCTGATTGTGTTGTTATACAACTTTGCTTTTGACCGCAGAGCACCTGCGCTTGTAAACTGTGCATACTCCTCCGCCATCTTCTCTAAGGACCGTGCTGCATACTGTATGTCACGGTTCTCTGGTGGGACCTACATGTCTTTCCTTGTGCACAAGCAATGGAAGCAAGGCCTTACGCCACTGGAACCCGACAAGCCGTAGTTCATTGTTTGGAACTCGTAATCACCGAACAGGTAGGGCACAAGGGTCTTGCCTTTCCATTTCTGGCCGTGTAGCTTCTGCAATTTGGTTCCGATACATTGATACCAAAATCTTCTCCCCGTAGGGAGCGCTGTCAACAAATCTACGATCATGAAAGACTGCTGGCCTACAAAAGGCCTAGAACGACGCTGTGCATTGAAAAACAGAATTTCGTCCTCACATATCCTTGACCTAGTACGACAACGGAACAACAATCTCCGTGCCTTTCTCGAACGGCCATCAGGTTGTGTCCGCAGCGGCAGGGTGAGAGCAACGTACTTCAGAATGGACGTGGTGGAGAAGCAAAGGAGAGCTAGCTTTGAACAGCAACAGCAAAATGTGCTCGTGCCACTGCGTGCATGCACTTGTTATTGGTTGAAGAAATTTTCCGAGATTCAGCGCTGGCTGACTGAAGATTTTTTAAATTTCCCCCTCTTTTGTCAGTATTCACAGACACCACATAAAAATTCGCCGAGCGATGATCGTGCAAGTACTCGTCGTGTGAATAGGCTATACTGGCCTCCACTATTAAAGCAGCAGTTCAAGTACGAGCAGTGCAAAGAACAACTGGCAACGAAGAGCTAGCTTAGGGGACAAGACAAAATGGGCTACAAATAGACCTAGCGAAGCGAACCTAGCAACACTAGCCCGAAATTGATAATAGCAACATGGCACAATGTTACTGGGCTTGAGTTGAGACGAGAACGGCAACAGCCACTGCACGGCGAGAGTCGGAAATGACGAGGAGCGGTTCCGGAAGTACTGTGGCGGACGAATGCGGAAGACAACACCGCTGCCACCGAATGTCGTACGCGACCGAGTGACAAGGCAAACTGGATTTCTCTCAGGACTTACACAAGTAGTTTAGTTAGAGGAGTAAGATTGCACGAAGTGATTCAGAAGACTAGGTAGCACAGAACTTAGACTGAAAGAAAGACTGGACTGAAGAGAAGAATAGACTGAAGCAAAGACTAAAACTGAATTGAGAAACTGAAAGACAGAGATGTACAGTAAAACCTGTCAAGGCGACCACTCGGATAAGGCAACCACCTGCCCTAGAAGACCACTGAAACCAGGACCAAGGGATGCTATTTACAGTCAAATGACCCTGGATAAGGAGACAACCTGGTAACAGAGACCACGTTTTGAATGTCCCTTGAGCGGTGGTCTTGGACAGGTTTCACTGTATATAAGGGATTGAAGTCCAGCTACAGTTCTAGCTAGCAAACTATGAATAATGGCAGCAAAGAACAATGGCAGTTAAGCATCACTAGTCACATAAATATCGTGCATTGTCTGGCAAAAGAATACAGATACTATCCGATGTAGGTAACAATGAGGACATTTTTGAGTCCGGGGGCCACACTGTCATTTTCCTTTAGCCAGCGGAGAGGGCTGAACACAATAATGTGGAGCACTACAATGTAGTACACACAAAGGAGGTTTACACTTTACAGAGTTCGTCGAAACCACATGTACATGTACGAGTTTCGTGCACAATACATGTACAATCATCAAGTCGCCTGAGCGCAAGAAACTCGGAGTTGCGACGAGCTCTGTAAACCTTCTTTGTGCCTTTTTGTGTGTAATGTGAGTAAGAAGATTAGATACTGTAAAGTGTAAATCAACAAATTTTGGCCGGTGAGAAACTTTGGCCGATCTCGAAATGTAATTTTTGGCCGTCATCAGACTTTGGCCGATTGGGGTTTTCAAAAAAGAAATTGATCAGTAGTTCTTGCTCTCATATGCAGCCATGGCTCAATCATGCATCGTTTGCCTCTATGAAAAACTTTGGCCTGTGATTTCCTTTGGCCGTTCGGTACCCAGCGGCGAAATCAGCGAAATTAAATCGGCTGCGAAATTAAGTTGATTTACAGTACCTGAATGACCTGATGGAAGCAGCAATGAATCCAATTGTGCCATACATAGTGGCTTGTGTAGGAGGAAGTCCGGCCACTACGATAGCACTGTGTATTTGAACGTGTTGGGCCAGTCGCAATGGCCTCAGCGATGGCATTGCGTTTCCTCGTACACCCAATCGTTCATGATCCTAAATGGCAGTGCGATTCGGTGTGATGCACGTGCTCGTGTACGTCTGTGTTTGCCTGTGTCATCTGCAGGCTGAGTTCCGTGTGCTGCGCTACAGCGTAGTTCACTGGGAGCAACTCGACGGCAAAGAGTCGCAGTCACTGTTCGCCACCAGCACAGCAGGTAAACATAACTTTCTAGACAGGTGAAACACTTCTGTGATTGTGGCTGACAGTACCGTATTTTCCTTTTATACTGAACTGTCTCATTGTGTTGTATTGACGTGTGTGTGCATGCGTGTGTGCTCTGATGTAGTGGTCATGGAGGGACCTATTCACTACAAGCAAACAATGGTCGGCATCTCTTACTGGACCGAGGGATACGCTGTCTTGAAGTGAGTGAGCTGTCCATTGATTTATGCCCCCATTATTGTGCATGCAAGATTGCTCCTCGTTCAAAAAATGGTTTCGCCTTCTCTTTTTCTAGTACAAGAAGTTTGCATTTAAAATACATGTAGCATGTATCATTGCATGTATGTTTGTCTTTTGGGAAAGAAAAAAAAGAAAAAAAGATGCATTGGCCGGGAATCGAACCCGGGCCCCCCGCGTGGCAGGCGAGGATTCTACCACTGAACCACCAATGCTTGGATGAGTGTCCTAGGCACTGAGAACATTTTTGTCAGGAGGCACCAGAGTGTGCTGCTGTCGATGCTGATGCTGACAGTTGACAAGTAATTGTATTGGCAATGAACAGAGATGAGTGCTGTCAACGTCGCTTGCCATAGATGTCAGGGCAAGATGGTTGGTTTACTGTCGCTGTTCCAGGGTTGAACTATGCCACACATTGGTACTGTTGGTATCACATAGGTCTGGTTTAGCTAGATTGTGCGTGTCTGTGTGCGTGTGTGTGTGTGTATGTGCGTGTATGTGTGTGTATGTGGTACTAGGGCTGTGTAGCACCCTATGCTGCTCTAGTCTTGAGGTCGAATGTCTCTAACCAGTACTCTAGTTCAGCTAAATAAAATACTTTGTGCAACTTGTTGTCATCAAGCTGTTTCTTTTGAACGTATTACATGGAAATGTTTGTATGGTTTTTCTTTTTTTTCTTTTTCTTGCAGAAACGGCACATTTTTCCTGTACGGAAGAGAGGTCAGTCCTTTTAGAGCGGTATTATGTCAGAGTATATTGAGTAGGTTGGAGAGAGAGCGAGGGGGGGGGGGGGGGCATGTGTGTCTGTGAGGGTGGTGGGGTGGTACTGGCCCTGGAGTGGGGGCTGGCAGGAGTGGCAGTGCATGTGTTTTGCATGTACCGTGATGGCAACTGAAATCCGACCCCAGGATGTTTGCGTACTTGTTGGAGTGCGCTGTGGAGCTAAAACGAAGAGTAGTGTACATGCCAATAATGATCTCTATTTGTGCGTGTGGGTCTCTCTCACTCTCTCTCTCTCTCTCTCTCTCTCTCTCTTCATTCTAATACAGGATGCCGAAGAGCCATCCGTCTTCATCCAGCTATGGTAAGGATATCAACACCAACCGCACTGTTTTAAATGATCTCACTTTCACCATTGGTTGTGAGAAAGGCGGCTTTGGCTTTCCACTGCACATACGTTCCCTTCCTGCCACACATTTATTTTGAACACTACAGTGCTGTCAAGTTCCAAAGAACTGAGGGGTCAGCCTGGTAGCCTAGGCCCTCAGTCTTATGTTTCATGTACTACAGTCTATGCACAGTTGAGTCACCGTGTATCACCGTGTGTCATTCATTGGTATGCTGTGCTTGATGAAATTCCAGCCTGGTCATTCTTCGGCGCTACGTTCTTCAGGACCCGGCAGTACTGTAGCATAGAACAAGCATGTATAGTCATTGGCCTGCTGTAGGAGCCGGGGGGGGGTCACTTGGCACGTACATTGTGCGGGTGATCCTTCGGAGCTGGGGGGGGGGGGGCACTTGGCATGTAAATTGTGCGGGTGATCCTTATACCGGGATTTAATTTCCGGCCAAGGGGGGGGGGGGGTCCCCCGTCGGTTTCCGAGGAAGCCGTAACTTTTTTCGCTCCAAACTATTTTTCCGGGGTCCATCTACTCACAAGAAGTCGTTTTGCACACCTTTTTGCCCATCCCTGTACAACTGAGTCCAGCTATGTCCGCGCAGAGTTAGGTGGACCCTTAACCCGGGTTCTACTCTACCACTGGGCATGCAGCTCATGCCAGAAACCCATGCCTATATACACAGCGTTTAGTCATTCAAGACACTCACACAATACCGACGCTAACAATGATTTTGGGCGTTTGTTGAAATGTGTTGGAGAGTATTCCAGATTTTAGGTTGGTGACAACAATTGTGTTTCGTGATTTTGCTGTGTGCTGTGTTGGTTTTCACGGTGTGTTGTGTTGGTTGTTACTGTGTGTTATCCATGCAGGGGAACACATTGTGGTGGTTGCCGGCGTCTGAATGTTCCCGATCGACAGAACTGCTTTGAGGTACGCAGGATGCATAGCAGTGTTGCCCCTAGCCATAAAACATGTGTATGTGTAAAACTGTCAACACGTTATCAGCCACATGGTCACCATAGCCAATACAGACAGATTACAGTGCTAACTCAAGCCGGCCGTATAGTTGACCTGTAGTTCATTGCCGGCCGTATGGTCAACATGTAGTTGAGACTGAACACATCATGTGTACTGTATGTGGAGGTGTCCTTAGGTGAGAGGTGTCCAGCTATGGGTCACCTTATAACCACGCAATTCAACGTTGTGTCTGATGATTGCTTTGTGCATGAAACTTCAAGTTACTACCGAACATGTTCTCATATCGTGTATGTGTGTGTGTGTGTGTGTGTGTTTACGTGTGTGTGTTTGTGCACGCGCGCGCACGTGTATGCGTGTGTGTGTGTGCGTGTGTGTGTGTGTGTGTGTGTGTGTGTGTGTGTATGTGCAGGTGAAATCCACAAGCGACTCGCTGACGTTGTCTGTTGAGAAAGAGGAGGATGTGATGGCATGGCTACAAGCTATCTGTGAAGTTGTTGCCGGAACTGTGAGTCACATTGCTCTTCCTTTTGTATGGTAGAGAGTAATTGCTGCTGCCGCTGCTGTAACCACCCTTGCTCCTGCTACTGTTGCTGTTGCCGTCGGTTGTGTTTTGGTGGGTGCCCACGTCTCTCTCATGTGTAGGCCATAATGAAAGTTTGTTGTTGTTGTTGTTGTTGTCTGTGTGTGTGTGTGTGCGTGCGTGTGTGTGTGCGTGCGTGTGCGTGCGTGTGTGCGTGCGTGTGTGTTGGTGTGTGTGTGTTGGTGTGTGTGTGTGTGGGGGTGTGTGGGTATGTGTGTTTGTGTTTCTGTACAGATGGGCAACACAGCGCAAGCGCAGTGTGTACAGTGCAGTCTGGTCGTTACTCCTACCAAGGTATGTGTATGTGTAGATTATTCGGGGACCAGGCACTGCCCGTAGATTTGAAATGTATGTGTCACTCTGAATCAAACAAGGCCGGTCTAGGCAGCTCGAGGTAGAGTGCTCAATGCATGAATGTGCAGAGCAGTATACACACACAACGGAGGTGAAAGGCTGTGTAGCTGTAGTAGTACAGGTGGAATCCTGATAATTCAAACCTCCAAATGCCAGGAAAAAAACTTCTAATTATCCAAACATGAATCCACAACACAATATGTATGTCAAAATGCTCCCATGTTCACGCAGAGTTGCGCGATGGACCTTAGATACAGATTTCACGGATACTGAACTGACCGGCACAGCCTGCTCATGCAAACTGAACTGACCAGTTCAGTGTACAGTGAACTTCGAATTACACTTTGCTTACTTCGAATTATCAGCACAAATCCCACACATTTTCTATGTAAGTGGAATCCGTGGAACTTCGAATTAACTGGACATGTCCGGTTCGAGGTTCGAATTATCAGACAATTTTATGTGGGAATCGTATTGACAGAAATCGGTCCTCGAAAAACTTCTAAATAAGCGGTATGTTCGAATTAAGCCATATTCGAATTATCAGGATTCCACCTGTGATATTAAATATTCCCACTCAAACTCACCCATAGGGTGCCTGGTAGACGGAGGAGGTGTCCGTAACTGCAAGGTCTGGATAAGAGAGACATGAGTGATTGGCAGGCAGTACATGAACATCACGCATGAGTTGCAAAGTGTACAGTGCAGTTCGGCCAATCTGTGTTTCACGACCGCGCCCCATGGTGAAGCTGAACTTCCAACTGATGCAGCCTGACACGATTAGCTCTATTCAATGTTTGTTGGGATGCTGTTGATGCTGCTGCTGCTGCTGTGGGCCTGACATGATCAACCTCATCGCTTTTGGCAATGTTTCCCGTACATTGAGAGGGAGGGGGAAGAAGAGGCTCTAACCTTTGTTGTTCTTCTTCTTTGTGCTGCTGTTGGTTAGTGATGGTTACTTCACGAATTTCTCTTCTCACTCAACTACAGTACTGCTTGATGAAATCCAATCGAACGAGTCAAGTATGCGCTGGGGCGTTGCACAGCCCTAGACTTGCAAACACTGGGCTGCGAGATTGGCGTGTGCAAGGTGCAAACTTGACTCGCGAGGCCAGCTTTCCTTGAGCAGCACTGTACATGTATACTATTGCAACTGCAAGTACAATGTTGTATGCGAGTTTAACATTGCTTGTATGCTGAGCTGCCGCTTTTTCTTACTGTCTGCTGTGCAGTTGAAAATATTGCCTGTTGTAGAAGCTGATGGCTTTCGCTCCTGTGTTTTCACGTGTGTGTCTGTCTCTGTCTGTCTCTGTCTGTGTGTGTGTCTGTGTGTCCGTGTGACGTACACTTCTGTGTTTGCTCTTCTAACCCACACAGCTGTATTGCTACCAGGAGGATTTCTGGGGCGGTCCGCTGTTCCTGCTGTCTGCCTGTGATGTCAATGAGGTGACGACGGTGTTTGTCGACGAACAAGTCCGTACATACTGTACTGTGGTAAGTACTGCAGTGTGCTATAGACCTGTACTGTGGTAAGTACTGTACTGTGGTAAGTATCACTGTGCAGCTATAGACCTGTACATGTACAGTGCGTATCGGTTATAGTGTGGTCGTATGCAAGAATATACTGCTTACAATGAACACTCATTTTTTCATAATCATAACACCTATTTTATGTGTATATTTATTCTTACAAGCAGTATTATCGCATAGTAGAATATATCGGCCCTAAGAATGGATTTTGTGTAGCAAAATATGCCAGATTAGTGCAAAGTGTATCGCCTGCAGTAATAACATCTGTGCTCTGTGCATGCTCAATACAATAATATTCAACACAAAAAGAGAGTTATGTCCAACTGAGCATTGGAGAATCACTTTTTCTGTCCAGTCGGACTCTTTCTTCCGACCTCTCTCCTATCTGCTGCTCTGCAGTCGCCTAGCACGACCGCGAGTCTGATCCGTGTGTATCATGATTGTGTAGACCTATGATTGTACGTGTCCACATGCCAAACATGTATTATGTCACACGTGCATATGATATGTCACACGTGATTTATCGTGTGTAAGAAATATCGGCAATAAGAATCAAATGTCGTTTTTCAAACACCCACGCTATAACCGATACCTACTGTACATGCATACATAACGTACAGTCATCGCCAACAAAATCCGGCCAATGCTACAATAGCTACCGGTAGCTGTACCGTACACTGCCACTGCCTAGTGCACGGAACATGCCATGCCTATGCCATGCCTATGCCATGCCTATGCCATGCCTATGCCATGCCTATGCCAGGCCAATGCCAGGCCTGCATCATGTGAATACACTCAGCTCAGTGCAGTGCTCGACCCGCCTGCAGCAGGCAGAGTGCAGTGCAGACTGTTCAGTGCTGTGCTGGTACCGGCTGTATGTGCATGCATGCCACCGTAATCGGTGAAGTACCGCCGGTGACCTCGTACCATACCACTGTATCCATGGCATTGGCCAGATTGTTTTGGCGATGACTGTAGATTATCCCACCACCTTGGGCAGGGGACCGTAGCCAGGCGTTGGATATACTGCAACACTTGGGCAGGGGAGCGTAGCCAGGCGTTGGATATACTGCAACACATTATAGTTATGCTGCTACAGTACTGTCGGGCGCCAAGGAACGGAGTGCCGAAGAATGAACAGGCTGGAATTTCACCAAGCACAGCATACCAATGTATACACAGTGACTCCACGGTGCATAGACTCTAATACATGAAAATAGGAACGGTCTAGGCTACAAGGCTGACGCCCCCCCCCCCCCCCCCCCCAGTTCTTCGGCGACCGACAGTACTGTAGGCTGTGTGCTGCGCAGTGAGCAGTATGCTGTGTGCAGTATGATGCTGTGTGCTTTGTTGTTGCTGCTGCTGCTGCTGCTGTGTGCGTGCGTGTGTGTGTGCGTGCGTGCGTGTGTGTGTGCGTTCGTGTGTGTGTGTGTGTGCGTTCGTGTGTGTGTGTGTGTGTGTGCGTGTCCACACATGTATACATGCATATGGTGGTTTACTGGTGCCGTTGCTTTCTCTGTTCAGGCGTTCGGCTTGACGTTTGAGTCCGGCTCGTGGCTGTTATGCTTCGACAGCGAGTATGAACTGGGCCAGTTTGAAACCGCACTATCCACCGCTTGGAAGGATTTGTTCAAGGTACTGTCTCCTAGCGTGTACCCCCCCCCCCCCCCCCCCACACACACACACATCCCTGTTTCCTGTCACTGCCCAGGGTATTGCTGACCTGTTAAGCTACACAGTCCTAGCACTACACATACTGGTCTGTGCACTCTAACTCGGCGCTGCTGTATTCATGGGGTTGGATTTCTCTGACCAGCACTGTAGTACAGTTTGTGCAGCGTGAAATCCAACACTGTAAATCCAACACTGTAAATAAGTTAGCTTCCTGCAGCAGTGCACACAGTGCTGTGTTCATACTGTCATAGTGCTAGGACTGCTTGAGTAGGACTGTTTGAGTAGGACTGCTGCACATGCTGCACAGTGTGCCTGATGCTCCGCAATCCACCAGACACCAGACTCTCTTGAGCATCACCCTGTAGTTGCGAGTCAGAGGTCCTTGAGCATCGCTGTAGTTCCGGAATGTTCCCACCGCATTCTACTTTCTATGCCACTTCTGCAGCATAGTGTTGTGTTCCGTCAGGATTGATTTCATGTTGTATACTTCTTGTTAGAGTACCATCATGAGAGCCACGGGATTCTGCCTTGCTGGCGAAATTTGCCGCCGTGAATACACAGCAGGCACTAAGTGCGCAGCCTGGTGTGCTAGCAGCTATCTATGCACAGTAAAACCTGGCAAGGCGACCACTCGGATAAGGCGACCACCTGTCCTAGAAGACCACTGGAACCAGGACCAAGGGATGCCATTTGCAGTCAAATGACCCTGGATAAGGAGACAACCTGGTAACAGAGACCACCTTGTGAAGGTGTCCCTTGAGCAGAGGTTTCACTGTACTCTGCTGCTCTTCTCACTAACATGGTGATGTTTTCTTCCCTGCAGATTCCGCTGACGTTTGCACCGATAGGAGAGGGTCCTGCGCGGGAGAGAGCGCGGGACGCCGTCGCTCTCGTAGAGAGCCGCTTCAATCGCAGCGACAGCGTTACCAGAGGGCGTACGTGATGACCTATTTCTCTCTCTCTCTCTCTCTCTCTCTCCTCCCGTCGTGTGTGGTGTGGTAGTAGCAGACACAACCGTTTGCAGTGTGGCTATGGTGGTAGTGAATGCTCTCTTCTTTTTTTGCTTTGCATGCTGTGTCGTTTTCATCTGTGAAACGTTCTTTGAAAAGAATTCATCCCTGCCCATGGTGGTATGAGTCAATTCTAGATTACTTCTCTTTTTATCCGTCCGTATCCTCTCACGTGGTGGGACATTTTTTTCAATCTTTATCAATTTTTATCTCATTTTCTATTCAACTCACAACTTACAGTTGTCCCCTTACAATTGTCCCCCTTGTTCTTTTAGGTGAAAGCTGGCCAGCTGGTTCTCTGGCGTCTGTTCATGATAGATAGATTGCATGCTCCTCTCCCTCCCTCAGTTGAGCTGATTCCCCATTGAAACATTTCTTCAAGCCTTTCCTCAAGCGTGCAATAATATATTATCGTGTAACATCATCATCAATTTTTTTCATGATGCTTATTTACTATAATGTTGCTTTGGGCAGCAGTGGACAGCGCGGCAACCTACACGCTTGTTTTGTAGCTAAGTTACTACTCATAATCCAGAATGCTAGCTGAGAATTCAGTATGCTGTAGAAAAATAATCGAATTGTCCCCTCCTGTGATCACCAGCACCGCACTGCTGGCTGGATCATCTGGGAAGAAGCTACTGTTGCGCTTGGCTAAATTCGGCCCAAAGTGAAGATTTAGCACCCTCGGCACCAAGTGGTACGAATACAGCTGGACATACACACGTACAATTACAATGGTGTAATCAGAAATGACCTGGTGCGCCAGCTTTGCACTCTGGGTCGGATTTCACCGAGCGCAACTGTACCGAACCCCAACGGCCCTCCCTGGATTTTGTGTCTGATTGTTCAAGGAGCCTCAGCCAACCGGCGGCGCCTTCCACGGGCTGCAGCTTCGAAACGTTGGCGGAAACAGGGGGAAACGTTTCCTAGAAAAGCATGGGTTCAATTATGGTTACCTCGTCAAAACAATCAATGTTACTTTTTATCTCAACACCAATAGTGTGGTGGCAACATGCACCATTGTGCATAGGATAATGATGATGATGAGGACTCGCATACAAACAAAATCAAACACTGTACTCACACAAACAGCACATAATATTAGATGCACAGCTAGCCGAGTTTAGAGAGCACGTTAGATATAATTATGTACATGAACACTTGATTTTATTTTTTAGTTGGTAAACTTTGTTTGTAGTGTATTAAAACTTGTTCTAGCTATTCAAGCGTAGCTCAGCTCTATGACGTGACAAGCGGAGGCGGTGGTAGGTGCTCAGGACTGTCGACGCCAAAGCTGGTGAACGTGGTAGGTATGTTTGAGGCGTGCGCTGTCTCTTCATCCTGTTTGGTAAAGAACGAGAGTGAGAATGGATGGATAGAGAGACACAGAGAGACGTAGCGAGAGAGACAGAAACAGGCACAAAGAGAGCGATAGAGAGAGAGGAGAGAGAGAGAGAGAGAGAGAGAGAGAGAGAGAGAGAGAGAGAGAGAGAGAGAGAGAGAGAGAGAGAGAGAGAGAGAGAGAGAGAGAGAGAGAGAGAGAGAGAGAGAGAGAGACAAAGACAGGCAGACAGACAGATATAGACAAACAGAGAACACATCACGCAACTGACAAACACACGTGATTACATCGGTGGGTGGCTGAAAGTGAATGGTTGCCACAGTAGACCTATAGTCACAGCAACAGGTAGCTCAGTCCACCCTGCATGTTGCGCAACTCTCCAACATGCTCACCACACGCATACTGGAGCATATGGGCTTATTATTATGGGTTCACAGGTAAAGTTATCGGAAAGGTGGCGCAGGTCTCCTCGTGATTCATGCAGCTCTAAAACGTACATGTAATTAGAGTACAGCACCCTTTGCCACGCTATCAGCACCGACACAAGACTCCCCCTCGCACGCACACACACACACACGCGCGCACGCACACACACACACACACACTAATCAGTTTCAAAATAGAATTAAAACTGATCTAAGAAGAGCCACATGCACAGCAGTCACACACACAGTGATCAGCTTACAAGATCGGCTAATCCACGCCTATCTTGGGTATCCATGATGGCAGGTAGACTGGTGGTGCTCTCAAATCCAGACTGCGTGTGAACACGGTTATCCCATGCACTGCGTTGAGCCAGACCAGGTGGCACGGCAGGGTCCACCTTTGAGACGTTGTCGGCACTCATCGACCTGCACCAGACACAACAAGCAGCAGCAGCAAGGTACAGTTATTATGTGCACGTTCCAACCAAACACAGGCGCACATTGTGTGCATTGACACCAGTGTGGTGTGCATGAACAATACAAAACTGATTTACTGTGAATGTAACAACGCTACCTGATATTCACAACCTGCCCCTTTCAGTTGTACTGAGCGTAGTAGTGACTGGCTTACCATGCAGGCGGGGGAGGTGATGGTTGTGCCGGTGGTGGTGGCGTGACATTATCTACGTTCCACACACCTGCATGGGGTACACAAACACACCTCAGACATGCCCATCGGGGAAGCGATGATAGCGAATAGCTATGTTAGACATAGCAACTTGTGCTGTGATTACACCATTCAACAGCTTGCAAGGCTGATGAATTGACCGCCACTATTTTTAGCCTGGTATCCACCACACAGCTGTTTGAAGTGACTTTTTCTGGCCAGTGAATCCCTATTTTTCATTTCAATTTTTTTCCTTTTTTTTACACACACACCACACCACATACTCCGGCATACACTGGCTGTTGGTAACCACCCAGGAGAATGAAAGAAAGGTCAAGAAGAGTCCGAGAAAGAGAAGAAAGACGTGTGCGACCATAATCGTCGGGAATTGAACCCGCAACCTCTCGATTGGAAATCGACTGCACATACCACTGCACCGTATGGGACACACACAAACAAAACACACACACACACACACACACACACACACACACCATGTACGCCCGTCACAAGAGACTGAGCACGCAAATCTGGAAATGCACTGGATGGACACCTACAGATTTTTCTCTTATAATAGCAACGATGGTGAACAAGACGCAACCCCCAAAACATAGCCCTGTACATCAATTACGTCATAATTATGATGATCACGCCATAATGACGTCATGTAGCGATGACGTCCTAACATATCCTTATTTGGCTGGTTCTGTAGCAATGACATCATATAGGTCGCGTGGCGCAGCTACTACTGCAAGAACACATCAGCCCTGTATGTAAGTCACAAGAACACACCAGCCCTGCAACACCGCAGCCCTGTACTACGTACGCTTTCTGTTCAGGTCGCGTCTCCGCCTGCACGCACAGATCATGATGAGATTGAGTACGAGCAGCAAGGTCGGCGCCAGTACACTAGCTACTATGATGATAATGAGATTAGTCTGCGATAGCGACGACGGCTTGCGTGTGGAGTGGATGTGGATCTCCGGTGGTGGTGTACCCGATGGTGGCGCATCCGCTGTATGGAGAAACAACAACAACAGGACCATGCACCATCAATGCCCCGCCATCACTGCTGAGTCTTGGTGCAGCCCCTGTTCTAAAGACCTTTGCCCATAAAGAACTAATTCTCCTGCACATTGGTGTGCG